CTTATTAAGCTTCTGACTTTTTAAGTGCGTAATCCATATGATTTTGAGCAGTTCTTAGATAGACTTTTAAGTTTTATGCTCTGATCTATTGATTTTGTTCTAAATATGGTAAACTATTGTGAATTAGGTAATATTTTTCAATAGCAAATCTCAAGTGAAATTTGAAGGCTTTTGATACTAATAATAATTAATATGGTCTATCCTTATGTTACAAGTATTTAATAGATAACCTAATAGCATATATTACTCTTGATTAAACATTATTTAAACCAAATCTTCTAAACTTATCTTCCTTTCGTTATTTCATTCCCAATCCTGAAGAATACTTTGAGTTAAAAGTTAGAGCATTTTTTTCTTCCATGATTTGTAATATTTTTTCTAATTGCACCTTTTCCAATTTGATTTCAGAATGAAATGCAAGTTCTAATATAACATCTGTTCCTAATTATGGTGAGACATTTAATTCACTTAGGAAAGTGGCAATCTCATGTAACACTATGTATTTTTGTTATTAATATTTTTCTTTTTCTGAAAATTATTATCCTTATACAGCTCCAGTTATTTTCTTTAATCCTTTGCTAATCAATCCATATCCTTTTTTTACTAAATTAAATTAATCATCTAAAACTTATTTTTATTGAAATTTAGTAGTTTTAATGTGTTCATATAAAGATCTCCATTTCTATTTATTTTACCAAATATCTAACTTAGAGAAGCTCGAAATCAGATGAGAGTTTTCCCCTTTTACAATTTTAAATGATAATTATAAAAAGATATAGAACTCTTCAACATCAAATTCAGCATCCAAAATTAAGAATACATGTTTAAAAATAGAACTAACTTCATTAAAAGAATCTTCTAACAAATTTAATTATTTGACTTTTCTCTTTTCAATTTCTTTTTATAACAATTTAATTAAGAATGATCTGCCTGATTATTTAGTCATCAATTATTTGACTCCCAAATATTCATGTGATAAAAATTAATTTGATTTTGTTGAAGATGTGGAATAGGACCTGTTTCTTGAGTTATTGGCACTGTCATCTGAAGTTTCTAAATTTTCCATAAGATCATTTATGAATTGAATAATTTTTGTTGCTTATTCTTCATTCAATTATTCCCCAATCATTGTCCATTCACTTCCTAAAAATTACAGTTGCTTTTTCCATTCTCCTCTTTTAATTTAATCATAATTAATTTAATCATAAAGTGAAAATTAAATTGAATCAGCTTCAATAAGTATAAGAATTACTTCCACTTTTTTTTAGCAATCTTTAGATTTAATGTTGAAGATCCTGAGGTTATTTTTAAGTGACTCGTTATTCCAATTAGTTTAGTTTGTCTTGGTAAATAGAATAGACAGTTTCATTAGTTAACTTTTTCATCAACGACAACATAATTTGCTTAGAGAACTTGATTCTAATTTCAATTATAATTTTTACCTGTTTTCATCATTTAAATATACTTACTAATACCAATCTTTAATCTTCACATCAAAATCAGTTAGTTTCTTATTTCCCTTCTCTATGAGTTTTTTATAATCTTCTTAAGCTTCTACTGCAATTTCTTTTAATTTAATTTGCTTTTCTGAAGCTTTTACCAATTCTTCCTTGCCTTTATTTCCTTTAGCAATTTCTCCAACTGTTCTTTCCATAAGTAACTAGCACTTATCAGCATTTTGCATTAAGCGTATATATTCCTCTTACTAATCTGAGATTTGCTTATTTAGTGATGAAATATTTCCAATGTAATCTTTCATTTCTGAAGATAATTTCAGGTTTATATTTCTGTAATTGCTCATAATTAATTGATATGGTTCAAGAACCTAGAAATGAATAATAATATAAATAAACTTCGCTTTTCAAATTTTCACTTGTTTATTACCACTATTGTGAATTTTAAAGTAAAAAGTTACTCAAATACTAGTAGACACATTCGATATTATCATCATCTCCTGTGCCTTTACTCACAAATTCGTGGAGTCGTTCGGCAATTTTTTTTAAAGATGCTGAAAATGCATTGCAAGCTTTTTCTATTTCCTTGAACTGAAATACTCAATGAAATATTACTGTTTTCTCTAATTCTAGGGTGTTGTTATTTGTATTTAAAAGGTAAGAATGCAATTACAAAAATTCTTATGATGTATATTCAATAAATTGATTAGCCATGAATTATTTATAATATTAGATATCAGTATTAATAGTATAAATAATTAATAATATATGTAAAACTTATGTGAATCCTTGCTAAACAGATGGTATAATACCAAGTTTAATTTGACTTAATATGTTTATGATATAGATAAATAATTAAGATAATAGGACAAAATAATTCATATTTTGAATGAAACAATATCAAATGATGCAGACATAGAAGTAAGAGAAATTTATTAAATTTTTAAGTAAAGAATTGAAAAAGTAAAGTAGACCTGTTCCAAAATTATTTGGTTTTCATATAGGAAAAATATTCCAAAATTTTAAGGTTTATATTACTTATATTTTTAAGTGAGCTCATTAACTTCAGATACAGGTTGGGGATGTATGATTAGAGTTGCTCAAATGGCTTTGGCTTAAATCATACGATATTATAATTATTTTAAAAAGCCAGAATAATTGATAGTTTTAATTAGACATTTCATAGATGATGATGATAATGAGTTGACTGATTTCATTTAATAGTTTCATAAGAACTAAAACTAATATTATCATGCTCCATTTTCTATTTAAAAAATTGTTCATTATGCAAAAGTTGAACTGAAGAAAGAACCTGGAGATTGGTATAAATCTGATGAAATACTATAAACCTTAGACTATTTATTTAAATACTCCCAATGTAAATTGAATGTTAATAATAAGACTCCTTAAATATGGAAATATATATTAATTATGATTGTGCTTTTATTCTCTAAGATGCAATTCAATAAATGTTTAATCAATAAGAAGGTAATGAAATTTGGTTGAAAGAGCGTGCTAAAAATAATAATCAATTCGATTTATAAGATCACAAAGGCATTTGTATTTTCCTTCCTACTCGTATTGGTCTTCAAAACATAAATAAGGATTATTTGGAAGTTTTAAATTAAATAATAGCTCTACCTTATTTTCAAGGAATGATAGGTGGAGTATCGAAAAGAGCCTTATATTTTGTAGGTAGAATTCAAGATTACCTCATCTATTTGGATCCACATTTTGTACAAAACGCTCAGAATTTTGATGATCTTTCAAAAAATCAAGCGTCTTACACCTGTTAAAATATATAATTGATACACAATTCACTTATTGATCCATCTATTGTTGTTTGTCTCTGTATTCGTAATGCACTTGAATTATTGGATTTATGGCAAATAGTAAAATTCTATTATTATTGATTAGTTTTAACATTTCAAATAAGAATACTAAGATTTATTTTTTTTTTCACTTTTAGAAACAAAAGCTGAAATAGAGAAATCCTTTGAATAAATATTTGGAGATGATAATGAATTCATAAACATTGCAAAATGAAAATAATATACTTTTTATTAAAATTAATATCGATTTAATTAATGTCAAGATAAAATGACAAATAACCTTAAACTGTACGTTAGCCAAACAAAGGTATTTTCAAAAAATCTAAACTACTCAACAAAAGGGATTCAATGCTGAAGATTATGCCAAACCTCCTCATTTAACAAAAGAGGAAGTCTTAGAAGTCAAAGTATGATAAAATTATAATTGTAATTAAGCTTTTGATATTTTCGATAATGATGGGTCAGGAGCGATCGATCCATAAGAATTGAGAGAAGCCTTTGAGGCATCTGGAATTAAAACATATCACAATAAATTTATTTATCAAGTATTAGGTGAATTGGACACTGATAATTCTGGAGGAATTGATTTTGAAGAATTTTTACATCTAGCGACAGCTAAAATTAGTGATAAAGATACACGAGAATAAATTCAAAAAGTATTCAATTTATATGATTGGAACAAAGAAGGTAATTGATTTAATAAGTTGAAGGTAGAATTACTTGGGATGAACTCAAAAGAGTAGCTTAAGACCTGGGAGAAGAAATGACAGACGAAGAAATTTAGCATATGTTTAAGAAAGTATAAATTGTTTTGATAAATAATCTAGGCTGATTTGGATGATGATGGATTTGTTACTTTCGATGATTTTTATAATCTAATGACCTAAAAAGAGTATGGAAAGTAATGAGATTGTACATTATTAAATAAATAATTAATTATCTTGCATTCATCAAGAATGCAATTATTATCACTCTTTTAAATAAGTTATTGTTACAATTTAATCAAAATTGATTTCCCAATAATCTTTGAACTTTGAATTCAATTCTTTTTTTTTTTAATGCAGAGTATTTGCTTTCAATTAACTATTATTGTAACTATTTGGTTCTACTCATTTCAGCTTGAACAAAGGGATTGTTTTAGGGTGTTTTGGATACAATCTAATTTACATCAAATAATACTTAATGAGATGCTTTTACTTTTGAATTTTTATCAAAAAACTTTAAAGCCTCATCATTTTTGTTTGGTTATGTTTTATTTCTTTGTCTTACTTATGTCAAATTACCATTGAAATAGTTTTTAATCTCCTCATTTACCTCTGTTTTTACTCCATTATCTGTTTCCTTTTTTGGCTATAACTTAATGCTTCCTTATAATTTCGAGTTTTTTCTTGTTTGAATCCTAAGATATATTCATAAATCTACTTAGAATCTAACAAAGCATTATTCATGAATTATGGATAATCAGAATATTTCTCTTACACTGAATATGTCTTTTAGCGTGCATTATCAATCTGAACACTTACTCTTTTTGATTATACAGATAAATTAACTTTTTTGAATTTTTATGAATTCTAAGTTTACAGATAAGGAGAATTATCAATTCTCGATCTCAATTTTTATTATCTGAGCTCATACTTTTCAAAATTTGGGGATCCTTATTGTGAAGGTTAGAACTTAACAGCAGTATGTCTTTTTTAATTTATATCCAATTTCAAATTAGCAATGTTTTGAATATTCTGAAAGAAGTTCTTTCTATAAGGTTGGTTTTATTTTTTTTATAATAAAAAATAGATTGTAGTTAAAGTATTATGTTTATTAGCGTGCAATTAAAATGTAATTTAATTTTGAGAATAACCCATTTCCATCATCTTTTAAATTATAATTTAATCATCTAAATTCAAATTCTTTCGTTACAAAGGAGGTTGCATTAGAAAAAAAGGATGTTACTTAATTTAATCAAAATTTAATCTTTTCTCTGGGTCCTTAACAAGGATCTTTGTTAATATATCAATTGCATTGGATGATAAATGAGCAGGCTTTTCAAAGTCACTCGTTTTAATTAATTAATATAATTCTTTTGTGTTTTCATGTTCAAATGGCAAGTAACCGCAAAGCATTGCAAATAAGATTATTCCACAACTCCAAATATCACTTTTTAACCCTTCATATTATTTACCGACTTTGATATTGAATGTATATACCTAGCATTTCTGGTGCTGCATAACAGGGAGAACCACAAGCTGTTTTCAATGGTTCTCCTTTTGTAAGAGAGATGAAACTCAAACCAAAATCTGCAATCTTTAATTATTTATTTTCATCCAATAATAGATTCTCTGGCTTCAAATCTCGATGTGTAATATTATTGCTATGCAAGTATTCTATCGCAAAAATAATCTACTAGAAAAATCGCACAGCTATGTGTTCAGGCAGGCTAATTCAATTAGGATTCACATTACTAATTTTTCTTTATTATGTAATCATACAGCTCTCCCCCTCTCACGTATTCCATAACTAAATACACAGACTATTCTGATTCTAAAATCTTTAATCAATGAAGTTATTACTTCATACAATTTTATCACATTTGGATGATTGACTTTTCTCAAAATCATTATTTCCCTCTAAACTCTCATTAAATCAAACTAATTTTCAATACGGTTCTTCTCAAGAACTTTAATGGCAACCTAATAAATATACAATTACTCATACATATTCATCTGTTATTGTATGATAGCCTAATTTCACCTTCCCAAAAGTTCCTTATCCCAATGTACGCTCTTGTTAAATTGCATATATTTACATAAAATATAGTTTTGCACTTAGTGAAAGGCTTCCTGCTCCATTGAAATTAAAAAATAATTAATTAACTGCATTTATCAAAACTTCACAAGCTCTATTGAACAATTTTTGCGGTCCCTATTATACATAAAAAATGTTCATAAGGCCAAAGGATGTTCTCTAAGAACTTACCCATTTATTAGAAATCAAGAAAAAAAAGAAATGCTATAATTTGAATAAAAAGATGTTCAATTAAATATGTTTATATTTATCACATTCTTGCATCACTTACGTGCCTTACGTCTTTTTCTCTTGAGTCTTCGCATTCTCTTCTTTCTCCACTTTTCTCTCATTATTTATTTTAATTAATGAATTAAGATTTTAATTTTTTAATTTATATGATTCAATTTTTAGTATTAATGGTTGGTTATAAAAAATAACTCTTGTTTGAGTATTATTTATTTGATGAATAATTTTTTCTTATATTATAAATCCTTTTAGTTATTCCTAATAAGTTGGACATAATTAATATTTATTATTTTTAACCTTCAATTGATCTTTCATGTGCTCTGAATAATTTTTGTTTACGCAAATAATGAAGTTTAATTAGATGAAAGTTAATAATTAATTATTCTTAAAATTTTATTAACATATAAATTGCTATAAATACAGCTATATTTCCAATATTATTAATTCATTAAATAATAATTGTTATATAATATCTACTAAAAAGAAAAGAAGATTTGATAGCACACTAGTAAATTAAGATCAAACTCAATTACAATTACCCTAAATGATAAGAGAAATTAGAAATGAAATGAATAGAGATTTTAAGAAAACCCAAAGAAACTATTGAAAAATACTTAATTTGAGAATTTAGAATGTTTTTGCATTAATGAGATCCACTATGGCGATCTAATAATCTTAATTTTTATTTCAAGATTGACGACATCAAATGAAGATCTTAATGTACTAAAATATAAAACATCAAATTAGATTTGTATAAGAAGAATAAGATAGACTACAAAACTTTGTTTATATGTCGATCACTCATAGGAAATAGTAGTGGGATTCATAATTCTTTTTATAAATAATTTTATTAAAGTCTTAATTAAACTCATTTAAAATTTGGCTTAAGAAAATCATAAATCAATTTGAATTCGAGTTTGCAGTAATATTATTAATTTATATTTAGAGCATAAATAAAATTGATTTTAAATAAAAAAAGAGAGGTTATTGTTTCTATGCAATTAAAAATTAGACATGAAGAATTAAAACAACTGAATTTTAATATATTCAACAAAAACATCATTTCTTATACATCTCATAAGCTACTTCTTCAATCAGAAAATCAAACAATAGATCTGATAAATCTATTGAGATTTCAGTAGTCTCTTCATCGTAATTTGTCCATCTATCTTCATTATCAATAATCTATAATTCTCACAATTAAATTATACATCTAATGTTAACATTCTATAGAGTCTGTCTTCTCGTATTTAAGCTATGGTTTCTTGGTCTAATTACATAGATTTTGGAAATGGTGAATCCTCTTTATCAACCAAGATCCCTGCCATGTAATGACTCCAATCTATGACTTTGTCTGAGGCTTTCCTGATGATTTGAGGTACATCGGTCAATTAATTTTCCCTTGCTCTCAATCTGGTTGGGTCAGATTTCCACAAAAATGGTTATCCATGTAGACCATATGGTCTAAACTAATCAAGTGCTTCGTTTAAAGAATCAAATATTGCTTTATTATGAATATGTTCTAATTCAATTATGAGTTTATTTTGATGATTAATGATTCGCTATTCCATTAAAAATCTTTCAAATTTACCAAATAACTCTACATTGAGAATGATTTATTGCTAAGCTCCATTTGAATCATAGTCTGACTCTGCTGAGTCTCTTATTGGTTGAAGAAACTTAAGCATTAATTGAGAGGATGGACCCAATGGAATGTTGATAATTCTCTAGATTTGAATCATTAAATTATCTAAAAGACATAAGATAATTTGTTACCTATCAAATACTCTTCCAAATATTTGAGATATGATTTAATTTATGCAACATTTGTTTTCAAACCTTGAATCTTTTGTTCTTTTGGCTAAACAATCTAATTCTTATTATTGAATTAAGATTTGCTGATTAGTTCATATAAATCAATGCCATCTCTTTACATTTCTATATAAAAACTATTCACTTCTTCTTATATCAGCATATTTGAAATTAAAATAGAATATGAATCTGCACATTTTTCAGATATTTTTTATGGTTCTTTGAGCTGTTCCACATTTCTAACAAACTAAGATTAAGCCAATTTTTTTAGATTGAAGGGTTCAGGACAAATTAATTCTTTCTCCTCTAATATATTATTGCTTTTTCTCTAAATTGTTACTACATCATCATAAGCTTTATTTTTATCATCTTGTTAAGATTGCAACATTTAAGAATTTGATATTTAAATATCAATAATTGAACTCTTTAAGGAATTTTCACTATAATTTGCTGATTCTTAGCTTAAGTTATCAACTATTTTGATGTATGTTTAAGAATTTTATGAAGATAGCATTTATTTCACAAATTGCAAATCTCTTTAAGTTTTCACAATAGCATCAAACACACTTTGTTATCCTTTGAGAATCTCCCTCTTTTTTTACTCTAAATCATTTTTTTATTTATTAACCCACTTCTCGACTTTCCTTTGTTAAACCTCGAAAGTCCTTGGGGATATTTGATTATTTTAAAAGGCTTTATCAATTTACCTTAAAGATTATTATTGTCTTTATTGAACTGCCTCTTCTCTTAAAGCAATTAATTAGTCCATCTTGTCTCTTTACATAAGTTCTTTAAACTTATTCATAACAAAGTCTTAGAATGATGTTTATTCAAACAGCCCTTTGTCTTATTAGAATGATTATTCACCTTCTTAAGAAAGACTCTTTAATAATGATTCTGAACCAAAAGCACATCTTATTTCTCCAATATCAACTTTATTCTCCTCTTCTTACTCTTCAACATCGATTGATAATTTACTAATTTTTTTCGATTTTTAATTTCCAAATGATTCATCTTGAGAATGTTGATATGATTTCTTAATTTTTTCAGGAGTATACTCAGATATTATTTGTAACTAAATGTCTTTAAATTTACTTGAAACTTAGTTCTATTGATTAGACGAGTTAGGCCTGCAATCTAAATCATCTTAAAAGTTTTCTATGAACTTTTAATATTAATTTGATTCATTAATCTTTTTTGTATCCTTTTAATTATCTATTTAAGAATTGGGTCTAGACTGACTTACAAAGCTAGATTCATCTATAAGTTATGAGTTATCTATTGATCCTTTTTTGAGAAATCCAAATTTGATTAGTTTATTAATTTGAGATTTGGTTAAACTTTTTAAATTTAATCCATCCTTAGTTTTATTATCTTTATTCTATTAGAATTTAGATTTAAAAATCTTCTTTCGTACTTAATATCCTTTCCATACCTTTTAAATGATCACTGCTGCCTAATTTTCAACAGAGTAAGTATTTTAAGGTAAAGTAATCTTCTTAAAATTTTCTTTTTTGAAATAATATTCTTCATTATAATTTTCAGGAAAAGTACATTAAAAGATGTTTGTTTCTTCAATTTTTTATGCTTCTTCTTCTTCAGAATGAGTATCTAGAATATTCTTTTAACTATAAAAGCTATCATCCAAGTCTTAAATATTTTATTCTCCATCACTGTCATTTGGAATATTATTGCTGCTTGAGTTGCTCATTAATTTATAAAGAGATGATTGGGGTTTTGATTAATTTTTTGATGAATTACACCCTAGTTTTTTATAATTTAGATAATTCTCTTCGATGTTTTAATATTATAAAACAATCCTTTTTTGCTTTTCTGCTTTATTGAACTTCAATTATAAATTAGGAGCTTCAAATAAGGTTCCTGGCTTCTCATAAAGAGAACCGGTTCTAATTCTATTAATTTAAATTGGCTTATTCTGTTAACCTTACGAGAGACTTCTATTTCTTTTTTATACTTTCTAAGCAGGACTAGGATAGTGAATAAAACTCATTTTCATTCGATTTGGTAGAATATTGAAATTTTTAGATTTGCTTCCCAACTTTTTGTATTATTATTACAAAGCAGTTGATATTTTTAATTTTTGCTTAGGTTGATTTTCATCATGGAAAGATTTTTTCTCTAGCTTAATAAATCATATTACTTTTCATCATTGATTTAAGATTCTTTTCGATGTATTAGTTTAAAAATGATGTGCCAATTTATTATCTTCTTTCTTTGAGGTCTACAGTTGTTCTTGTATTTCTACGTTAAATCGCATTATAATATTTCTATTGTTCAGCTAAAATGTAATTGCGTAGTCTCTGCTGATTCACACCCCATGGAATAACTTACGAAATAGACTTTTTTGTTTTAAAACCACTTTTTTGTATTTCAGTTTTTGATTTCTAAGAGGATTTCTTAGATTTTTTCTTCTTCTTTTTCTTGGTTTTGTTGGGTGTAACTATTTGACTAGGATTTTACTTGCTAGCCATGAAAATATCCTATTAATCTGATTCTGTATATCCTTATTATTTACTTTCTTTTATTGTCATTTTTGGTTTGATTTGACCTTCAACCTTGCATCCAGTAATCTTGTCTAAATTAATTAATGCAATACTGTTTGGGTTGCTTATCTTAGGTTTCAGCATTTAATTTATAACAACCAATTAAATATATTAAAAGAAAGTTGATAATTTATCCCTAATTTGATACAATAGTTTACCATGTAGTTATGAAAATTATAAAATATAATAATTATGGTAGAATGAGGATTACATTATTCAGTAAACAAATCTACTTGAAAATATATTTGCAAATATTATGATATTAGATATATTAGGATGATGAGAGAAAAACCACTATTGCATTAGGAATAATGAGTTAGAATATAATAAGATGATAAGTTTTTATGGTTTTGTATAAATTAACGATCTTTATTAATAATTATTTGAATTTAAAATGAATACATATAGTCGATCTCCATTAGAACCAGTCACTTAAAATAAAGAATACTTTACATCACAATCTTCATCAAAGGTGATAACAAGTACAATCAGATAGTGCACTTCAGTGACACAAAATTTAGGAGCCTCTCAAATGAAAAGATCAATGTAATTAATGTGTTTATCAAAATTAGGTCAGGAAATAATATCTATTCCTCTTAAATTAATAACCCTCCTCCAGCCAGGTAATAATTAGGAAAAAACCTTGATATCGTTTGTTTCTTAATGGCTTGTGAGGTTGAAAGATTTGTGGCTGAAAATGATAAACTCAAATACAGGATAAAGGAGATGGATGACAAATTGCTTGATAGAAATAGTTATGAAAAACAAATAGAAGATTTGCAAGCCAGACTTATGTAGATGCAATATTAGGAGAGTATGTACAGGTAAATCAATGTTTAATGATTTAAGATAAGAGGTCGAGATTACTACTTCTTAGTATACAGAGGAAATTGAGAATTGGAAAATCAGATATTTTAATAATGAGGAAAAATATAGAAATGAAAATGAATAATTGAAACAATAACTATTAGTTGGAAATTCAAAATAATAAAAAGAAATAGAGGAACTAAAGAATCAATTATTCACTTAGAAATAGATGAATGTAATATGAGTGATTAAATATCTCTAGGAAAATGAATTATCTAAACTTAGAGAATAATTGTTGAGTAAATAATAGGCAGTAGAGTATTATTAAGTAGAATTGAATTAATATGAGGCTGAATTTTAATAATACAAGCAACAGGAGGAAAAAATAGTGTAATTAGAGAATAAAATTGGTATGTTAGTTTGTGAAACTGAGAGATTAAACAATTTATTGAAATAAAAGTTGGAAGAATTGGAAATGAACAAAGCACGTTATAATAATATGGCTTAAGAAGCTGAAAAGTGGAAATCTGAATTAAGATAATTGTAAAATTAATTTGATAAAAAGTAAAAAGATTATGATTAACTCAATTAAGCATATGTAATGACTTAAAATGAATTAATTAAATATAAGGATTAAGATTAAATCATAGATTAAATGTAAAACAAAATAAGTCTGTTATAAGGTGAAATAGATAGATTGAACTAAGTATTGAGAGAAAAGATAAAGTAAGGAGAAGAATGGAGATAGAAGTATTTTGATTCAGACAATCAATGCAAAGAAATGAAATAGAAATTAAATAAATTAGATTAATTATAATTGTAATTAAAAGATCAAATTGATATGTTTTAACAATTGAGTAATAACCTCGAAGATTAAAAGATGAAAAACTATTAATTGCAATAATCAAATCATAATTTAGAACAAGGAAATCAAGATCTAATTAGTAGAATTGAGTTGTTAACATCTGAAATAGAAAGACTTAATAATATTTTAAGGCAGAAGATTCACGAATTAGAAGAGTGGAAACAAAAATGTTAGCATTATGAATAAGAATCCAAAAATAAATCTATTTAATACAATGATATCAAAAATAAATTAAGTTGTTTGACCTAAGAAATAGATAGAATGTAAGAATAATTGAGATAGAAATAACTAGAGCTATAAAATTTATAATTAAATTAAAATTAATTATAAAAAGAAATTAATAATCAAGAATAAATTAATTAATCTTTATAAAAATAGATTGAAGAATGGAAGAGAAAATATACTAATTTAGAATATGATTTATAAGAATCATTAATGAAGAATAAGAAATTGGTTGAATATGAAAATACTATAGCCATGATTTCATAAGAACTGGAAAGATAGAAGATGCTATTTTCATAGAAATCATAAGAGTTTGATGAATAAAGGAGGTAGATGATGAATGATATCTAAAAACTTAAATAGAGTATGGGATTGAAATCAACAGAAGCCGAAGAGTGGATGTCTAAGTATAGAAAATTAGAATAGGCTTACTCTGAATTGAGTTAGACTAATAGAATAGTTGAGGATAAGTGGAAGTAGTCATTAATAAGAATTATATTGCATTGTTCTGAAATTGATAGATTGACATAAGTTTAGGCTGAGATTTTTGATGAAAATGAATAATTGACTAATCAAATATCTCATTATCAAAGTTAATTGAAGATTAAGGATGATTAATTATATAAAGCATTGGATAGAAATAATCTATTACAAAAATTATAAGATGAAGAAAAGGGTAAAAGACAAGGATTGGAAAACTAGATAGCAAGTTTGAAGATATATTAAGATAATTGTTAAATTCTAGAATAGAAGATTATGAGTTTGACAACTGAGAATTAAAGATTGAATGAACAATTAAGATTGAGAAATGGAGAAATTGATGATTATAGAACTCAAATTTAAAGATATGAGAACAAGATCTAAATTAGCAATCAAGAATTAGAAAGAGTTAATTAACAATTAAGAAAAGCATTTTCTGAATCAGATGAATTAAGAAAGGAGAAAGAGAGATTAGAATCTTAGTATAATTTACTTTAAAGATAATATGATGAGTTAAAACAAAAGTATAATTCTTTAGAGTTATATAAAACTAAATATATTGAATTAGAGAATAGATGTGCTATGTTATCAACAGAAATCGAAAGATTAAATTAATTATTAATGAACAGATAAGATGAGATTGATTAATTGAAGAAGAAATGCTATTAATTAGAATAATAAATCATTTAGTTAAAATAATATGAAGAAAATGTATTTAAAATTATAATATCATTTTAGATTAGAGTTTTGTCTAATGAAATCGATAGATTATAAGGAATAATAGATGCCAATGAAGCTGAACTTAAACAATGGAGACTCTAATATGCAGATGGTGGAGCATAAACCAGAAAAATTTAAGATCTTTTATTCCACTTTGTGGTATTTCTATAAATCTAAATTTAGATGTAATCAGCAGAGATTGAAAGTCTTAGAGCAAGGGTTTAAGAGAAAGAAAAAGAAGTTGAAGAGGTTAGAAGAAGTAGTTTGGCACCATATAGAAGATGAGTAATTAAATATAATATCAATTCAAATTACACTGGTATATTTAGATTTAAATAAGTATATAATCCCAGATCATTGGTCTTAATAAATTGATAATGAATTCTTGATAAATAATCTATATAATAGTATTGCAAATGAAAATACGCCAATCTCTAATTAGTAATATAAAAATATTATTATACGTATAAAATTCTATAATATTAAGTTGATATGTCAATCTTATGACTCCAATTTAAAATTCTTCTTAAGCACAATTATACGAATTTATTTCATTAATATATTATTTGATGCTCGCATTAGTGTGATAAGTCTTTAATAAACATAAATAATAAGAATAATTATAAATTGTTAAAACTAAACAATAATAAAACTTGTTTATTAGATAAATTTAAATATATTTTATGATTTAATATCCTGATCTTGATAAGCGTGCTAGCAATTATAAGTAAGAATGTAAACTACCAAGTTATCCTCCCCCTGATGAAAATGTTTAAGCAATATAGATTGGATAACCAATACAAGCTAATTATTTATAGAATAATTAAGTAAATTGGGCTCAATAAAGCAATATTCCATAATATGTTCCTGCAATTCCAAACACTTAGTATCCAAGTTCATTGTAATAAAAGAACTTTGGTAAGGTTAAAAGTGTATTGATTAGGAGAACTTGATAAAGAGAATCTTCCTCCTTATTCTTTGAGTGTGAGATGTCCTGAGTGTGGCGGCATGATTTAAACAAAGTTAAATTACGTTCCTGGGTGTCTTTCATTTAGTATATGTTTAACGATGTGTGCTTTTGGATTATTTTGTGGGTATTATTTGAATGATTGTTTTCATTAATAGTTGTTGTTTAATTCCTTTCTGTATGAATTGTTGTAAACGATAAGTCCACCAATGTCCATTATGTGAAAAAGTGCTGGGAGAAGTTAAATGACAATTTGTTTTCTTATTATTTATATGATTAAATTCCGTTTTTATTGATTATTAATAAAATAATGAAAGCTGTCCTCATATTAGGATTGATGATTTTTGGAATCACTGCAGTAGAATTGGAATCAGGAGTCCCAATTTTGCTTAAAGAAATTAAAGCAATAAAAACAGAGCATACAGAGTTTACATTCTTACTCGATTTGGAACTCAGTTAAGGAGGAAAGGTTTCTGAAGTGGTTTCATTAGTTGGAGATTTATTAGAGTAAATGAAGAGAGATCAACTTAATGATGATCTTGAATATGCCCATGTAAATTTTAGAGAAATTAATAACATTAGAGAACAACAACTCTCGGATTAGACATTGAATGGTTGATTATTGTATTAAGAAATCTTACAAAGGAGAGACAAGACAAAAATAATTAATTAAGTGAATTAAATCAAATTCTTGTTGGTTTACAATAATAATTGGATGCCACTCACTGAATAATTAAATATTCTTAATGGCAAAGAAGAATAACTAAGATAAACTAGAGCTTAAGAAGCTGCATCATATTAGGCCAGATAAGAGAATAATAGTAAGGTATTGGCTGCCTTGGAATGAAATTATTCCTAAATTATAAGTTGCTGTTTTTGATTAAGAAAGGAAAATCATTATTGCAAACTGAATAATTTGAAATTGTTGAAAAGATCAAAAGAGAATTAGGACATAATCATCCAGTTGCTATTATGGTTGCATTGACAACTAAATTTGATGTATCAACTGTTAAAAGAATTATTGATAAATTGGAACATATTAGAAATGCTGTCATCTCTTTAATGTAATAAGAAGATGAATAAGAAACTCAAAGCCAAGTAATAAGTCTATTTAAATTAAGATTACTTTCTAAACTACTATATAAGAAATTGCTGAATTGAGAGAAAGATTTTCTAAAGATTTCGAAATCACTTCCTAATTGATCAAAAAAAGAACTAATGATAAGGTATTATTCTAATCAATATTAAAGGTGCTCTTGGAAAAAAGATTAACTATCATCAATAGAGATCTTAGTCTCACTGAATAATTACTCATTTAAACCAGAGAATACAAAGAATAATATGATGCTGCTTATGCTGTCAGAAAGGGCAAAAGGTAAGAATTACACTATAAACCCAATTAGAATTTCTGAAATTAAAACTGTCCAATAAGCTTACGATTTAGTAGAGAATCACGCTAAGAAACACAAACAATGATTTAAATAAATATTTTGCAATTATATGGATTATGGATATTTTTTATTTCCTATAAAATAAATATGTATAATATTTATAATTACATATATATTTATCATTTATGTGCTTGCCACTGAAATTCATACAATTATTCATTCGAATCAATTGTTTTTGTTTCATCATATTTGGAATTGTACTTATTACCCAAGTATTCATAACACTAAATGAAGACATCAATAATGGCAAAGATGTAAGATCTATATTTAATAACTTATTAGGGAATCATTTTTACATTTTCAGTAGGTTTAGCTATTATTATAGTTGGTGCATCAGGATTATTAAGTTCATATTGTCCAAACTTTTGCATAATATTTGTCTATTCCTGTTTTATAATCTTAATTGGAGTGTTGACAATCTATGTTACAATAAGTTTAACAATCTTACAAGATTAATTAGTTAGTAAGAATTTTGATGATTGCATCTCTTCCTCTTTGCCTTCTGCTCAAAAAACTAAGGAATAAATTTTATGGGCTGAAACACAGTTTTGTAAATAAAATTGTCTTTGCTACATCGACAAAATTTAGGATTGGGATCCAGATTATCTAGAAAATAATCGAATTTCTTATACTACCAATAAAGAAATTAGTGACATCATCAAATATCCTGATTGCAACAAATCAATCAAAGTAGATGGCTTGTCTTACAAACAAATTGCAAATTTAGAAGAAAAATACAGTTGTTCCGGATGGTGTAAATAGCATCCTGTTTACTTATTCTCAAACATCAACAATGGAATACCGTATATATTTTATTAATATAAGAAAAGATGGATGTTTTACCTACTTTGAATAAGAATACATATATTATGTCAATAGAGCATATATAGACTATCTTATTGTTGATATTCTCTACCTTTTTAACTTAGGATTTGCTATATGTTAGTGTTATTAAACAAGCCGACATAAAAAGTCAAGAATATACCCGTAAATACTCTATGAGCTTGCATCCCAGTGATTAATTATTAACTATACTTCTTTTTTATTGTTTAATCTTTTTAAAATAAATAATACAATTAATATCTAAATTACATTTTCAATTTAATAATATAAATTAATATTAAACTATCTTTTACATAATATTAATTCAGATGAATAGTGATTTTATCTTTTAAGCTTCATCATCTTCTGCATTATTAATAATATCTGTAATTGAACTTAATTCAGGTGACTGTGTCAATTATGTTTTTGTATTTTTCCAAGAGGAGCTACTTGTAAGAGGTCTTTTAACTAGTAAGGAATGAGAAGAGGTTGTGGTATTTTATTATTGGTTTTATCTTTAAGAATTGAGAGGGTCTTTCTATTCGTAGGAGCGAAAACCTTTCTATCTTCTACTTTTCTAAATTCAAGAGGATCATAATTTTATCTCTTTTCGTCTTACTTGTCGAATTTTGATTTCAAGTATTATGTTATGTCCAAAATATTTTTATACTTTGATTTTGAAAGCGATTAGATCTAAATAATCAAGATAGAATACATCTAATTATTTTTAAATTCTAAGCTTTGAAAAAGCATCAGATAAGGTTTTGAAGTTTTTAATGTAATCATTTTCTTCGTTAGCTTTCAAATGATCTTATTCGCTGAAATCGAATTCGGATATAAATATTTAAATATTTAACAAAATGTACTTCCTGTGCCTAGTGATTCTAATTATGTAATTGATAACTAATAGTTAGAAAATCATTGTTTACTTTAAAGGTTTCATTTATCCACCTGATTAATTGATTAATTGATTTTTTGAATTTTTTTAAGTAGTTGTAGTTTACATTTGATTTCAAATAATATATTATATCGTTAATTTAAATTAATCTCAAATTTAATTTATTTCATTTTTAAATAAGATTAAGATTCGTCAAATAAGGTATAATTAATGATTATTTTTAATCTCATGCAAACAATTTTGAGATCATAATGTAACTCAGCAACTTAATTAAAGAATATAATGTGTCAAACTGTGTTAACTTTATTATTTACACAGATAAATATAATTTGATTATGAAAGATTAATAAAGAATTTTTTGTTGATGTTACATTAATTGCAACCCATCAGAATTGCTGAGTAGTCATAATTATAAAAAGTTTCAATATTAGCACTTAGAGGAGAAGGTTACAAATTATGAACATTGTAATAATACTTATAAATTATATTGTTTGTCATTTCAATAGTGGTCCTTCTAAATTTTGTAATTCCATCTGAGTTCCTGCTCTGGAATCATTGTCATGTCTTGGAGGAGGTATTTTGAAAAATGTCAAGGCATAATATGGAACCAATTCACCCATAAACACTTCCTAAATTTGTAATGAAATAAGTAAAATACTATTAGAATCAAATCTATGTTCAATTAAATATAATTGGCAAAGATTAGAAAGAATATAAGCAATCTGAGTGCCAAACTTATTGATATAGTTTAGATCAGTTTGTTGACTTGTGTAAGGAAAGGTACGATCCAATCATCATCTTCTAGCTGCTATAGTTAGGTTTTAGTACATCAGAAAATAACTTATTGCTAAAGTATAAACATCCAATAATAAGTGCGGCATATAGTAAAAATTAAAGAATTAATACTCTTTCCAAGAATCCATCCTTGAGTAAAAAGTAAACATAAGATAAGACTAAGTGTCTATAAACAACTTACCTAAACACACAGGGCTATAGTATATGGAGTACTGGATGATATTAGTATCCTTGTTAGCAAGAACACTCATGCAAATGGCTAGATGTCCTATGAATATGATGTAAGATTGGATCCAAAATAGGATTGGTGCTGTGTATAGAAAGTCTAACCATATGCCTTATGGCTATTCCATTATTAGAAGGAGACTCATACCCCTGAAGGCACTTGATGCACTCACACTCACCAGAAACCAAAACTTCAGATTTTTATTTTTCATACTATGTAATTTGACCATGTTACTAGCAAGGCAAACTAACACAGCTACCATTTCAATAAATGTTAGCCTATATAAATAGAGAAAGTAGACTACCAAATTTAGAAATGACTTGGAGGTTCTGGTTCTTAGTTATTTTCCATATATTTTATAATAAATATAATTATATAATCAGTTTTAGTGTGGTTTCTGATAGAAATGAGTCTGACATTAATGAGCTAAATCTTATTCATCCATCAAATGCTATTTGAATTATTGCAATTTCTTTCGTAATCTAAGAAATAATTAAATAATTTATTAACCTCATAATCTTTTCAATTTTCAAAATCAAGACATGATCAAGACCATCAACATACTCTTCAATGTCTGAATTAGGTTGATCAACAGCTTATAACATTTTCATTTCATCATTAACCAACTCAATCAAATCATCAATATGATCTCGATGTGCTTTTTTAAGGGCTCTCTCTTCATCTAATATTTATTATATGAGTTCATCATGTTTATCCTTAAGATCGCTATTTCTACTGGGTATCATTTTAAACCTCATCTTCATATTAATCTCCATTATCATGATCAAATAATTTAGGAGGTGAATTAGATTTAACAGCCTAAGGACTTTCAAACAAGTAATTATTGGTGATATATTATCTAGGTAACATTAATTCTCTTGTTAATTAGTCAACACCATTTGAACCTTAGGGAGCTTTCAATTCCTTAACCTAAAGAATAGCTAGATATCAAAATACTCTATCTGCATATCTTAGAGTGTTAAGACTATGTTCTGCATCTTTATGGCAAGCTGAGATAGTGCCAATCATGAGAGTTCTACAATTTCCAGTAAATGAATCCTTAAGGACTTAAGTCAATTTGGATCCTCTAAAGGGCGTATGATTTTTATTGAGATCTAATGCTCTGATGCACTCTTTCAAAGCCAATAATGACTTATTAATTTCAGCTCCATCTATTCTAGTTTGTTTATGATATTCGACTACATCAGCACCTCTTTCACTACCTGCTAAATCAATAAATGACAATTTTCCAATGATTTTATTTTGTTATCTCAAGTTTATCTGTAGAATTGCATGAGATCTGGATGAATCTTAATTGACACTATTCTATCCTGTAACTCTGCTCTTGATTCCCATCTCTACAGTTTTTTAAAACTCCTAAACGCTATGTACTTTGGTCTCTGATAAACCTGCAATGTTGACTTAGCCTTTTGCATCCTCTCGAGCTACTAGTTAAACACGATCTTTCAACAAATCGAATAATTTAGAACAATAAATTTCGTAGAATGAAACACTCACCACAATGGAATTTGTTATCAATTAAAATAAATCATATGCGGCTAAGGTATAGATTCCTACCACATTTTAATCACCCAACATTGTGTATGTTTTACCAGATCCAGTTTAACCATATGCAAAACAAGTAATTTTGGTTCCGGTTATTGCTGCTTGTACCATAGGTTTAACGAGTTACTAGTACAAATCCTCATTCGTGTATTATTAATCAAAGGCAGCATCAAAGTTGAAATTGAATTCTTCAATGAATTTAGTTAAATCTACTTTCATTCTAATTAGATTATATTAATCTTACCTTGGTTCTCGAACAATAACTGTATTCCCTTAAACCTCAACTATATCTTTTTACCCCTCCTTACTTTCCTTCTTTGATAATGGACGCTTTCTGACTGCAACTATAATTTTTGGTTGATCCATTAACTTTTATTTATATTTTATTAATATTTTCACAATTTGGCATCTTAGTACATTTTCTCAATTTCACTAAGCCATTTCTATTCAACTACTCTTCTTTTCAATTTCAACGTTGGTGTCAGTTCTCCTCCATCAACACTAAAGTCTCCTGGAATCAAAGACCATTTTCTAATGTACTGAGCTTTAGAGATGACTCTTAAATTATTGTTTAATTCATTACTTAGTATTGGTTTCATCAATCAATTACTGGAGATAGTTAGTAATAGCTTTATCATTTTTGGCTTATTCAATAGTAGTTGCTGAGGAACCAAGACTCTTGAATACAGCAATGACATCCTCATTCAATTTCTCAGTTGGCCTAGATAAAATTAATATGTTATAGTTACTATCCATCAGGTGCTAATTAATGCTTTAATGTTAATAAAATGGATAAATATTTTCTCTTATCTCCAATAACCATACAATTTGAAACTATCTTAATGTTCTTCTTGACTTCATCCTCAATTAAAACTGGAGCTACATTTTCACCTCCTGCTGTAATGATCAACTCCTTAATTCTTCCTGTTATCATCAAGTTACCATTCTTATCAATTTTGCCAACATCTCCTGAATGTAACCATCTATTACTATCAATTGTATTCCTAGTTGAATCTTCATCCTTAAAGTAACCCATAAAGATATGTCTACCTCTATAACAGATTTCTCCATTTCCGTCTTTATCTGGGTTATCTATTCTTAATTCAGTTCCTTCCATTGGCTTACCAGTACTATTAATGAATAAATCATCAAATTTATCAAAGTGAAAAGGATCTGCCATATTTTACACTCCTCCACATTCACTCATACCATACCCATTGATCAAGTACATATTCAAGGTTAAGAAATACTCTCTAATAATAGGGGATAATGGAGCTGCACCGAATATCATATATTGAGCTTGATCTAATCCCAAGGCCTTTTTAACATTTGCGTACACCAATTTATCTGCCAATCCAAAACAAAGAGGAGGTTTCAGACCATGAGTTTATGCAAAGGTTCCTTCTTTACCAATTGACTTGGCCCAATTAGCTATTTTAGTTTTAATAGCCCCATTTGATTTTGCTATTTATTGCATTTGATCATAAATCTTTTCCCATACTCTTGGTACACTAAAGAATAGAGTAGGTCTAACCTCCTTAAGAGTATTAATAAGTGAACCTTATAGAGCATCTGGATTTGCAAAGTATAAATGTGCTCCCCATCTAGCAAAACCAATAATGTCTATCAATTATGCAACGACATGACTTAAAGGCAAATAACTTACCAATCTCATTTCTCCAGTTCCTTACATTACATACTTTCTCTTTTATTAAGTAATTGTAAACACATAATTGTCATGTGATAACATAACTCCCTTTGGATTTCCTGTTGTTCCTGAAGTATAAATTAATGTCACACAATTTCCAGGTCGTAATTTTGATACTCTTTCTAAAACTGAACCCATTAAATCAGCCTTTTTGCCCATTTCAATAAAATCTTTCCATTTGAATACTTATGATCTTCTTTATTCAGGGATCTCAGATGTTGGAATATCATCATTATATAATACAACTCCTTTTAGACGAGGCAATTTATCCCAAATTTTCAAATACTTGCGTAATTATTCTTTAGTATCTGCTACTACTAATTCACATTCAGAATGATCTGAGACATAAAAACATGCATCTGGATTATTTCTAAATTACGTATTAATTTTATCTCTTACGTAGTATAAATTCCAACAGGTAAATTGTGAGCATGAATGCTTCCCATAAAAGATATGTGCCACTCAGGAGCATTAAAACCTATTATGTTTACTGCACTCATTTCTGTTATTCCATAAGCAATTAAAGGCCTTTGCAAATTGCATTGATTCATTATAATATTCTTCATATGTTCTAGTAATCCTATTTAGTTCTACGCTTTCTTTACCATTTATTATTTCTCTTAACACTCAAGGCTGGCTTCTTTGCAAATTAAGTGCAGTCATTTTTAAATTATTCTGGAAGAGTAATTGGTATTTCACTTCCTGGACCCGATTTTTTAACTCTTATAGGCAACTCCATTTTATAATTAGTAGACCATAAGACATTTTTTAATGGGTCTTTGGCATCAAATTCCTACAATAATTGTCTCATTCCTTCTTCTGATATATACACTTTCTCTTCCATTTAAGATTTTATTAAATTAATGATATTACATACAATAATTGTAAGAGGATCACTCATTTTAGCAGAATTCTCTGATTCCGAAGAGGACTATAGTAATATCATTAAGAAAAGAATTCCTGATGTTAAGAACGGGTAAGAAAATCAAAAAATTCTGAAAGATGACATTTATTTATATGCCATAAACGACAAAGACCTAAAGTTTATATGCTTATCTAAAGAGGACGACGAGAGTATATTCGTAAAATTGCAAACACTAATACAAGCAGCATAATAAATAGAAACAGGTATATGAATATCATTAATAATAGATGGCAACTATTCAGCTAAACTCACCCAAATCCTACATAAACACTTGAAGAAAGATTAGGTTGTTGTCATTCAAGATGAGAAGTCAGATTAATAATCTCCTCAATAGACTAGATTAATAAATCAACCCATTTTAGAAAAAAAAGATTAAATCGATTTCTAGAAAAAATTATGTTTCTCTGTGATGTTACTTATATTGAGTGTGTATTTGATATTAAACAATATTATTACAAATGCTTGATATTTAAGTTAAAAACGATATAATTTAATAAATTTAATTACGCATTTTATACTATAAAAATTATTTCGATTTCTGGAATTTTATTAATTATTATTTTTGAAATGAACAACGATTTATGCGAATCAATTATTAATCATGCAAATCGAATATTTCTATCAATAGCCAATATGAATGGATAGTTAAATGAAAATGGCAGCATTGGTATTTTATTTTTAGATTATTCCAATAGCAAATCATAACACTACATCATCCAACACGTCACCAACATAAGGGCTAGCATTCGTAATGTTTCTACTATTTACTACATATGCATTACTATCACTATTCTCTCCACAAAGATAACCAGTCATGCAAAAGGGCATTATATAACACTAACAGAATAATCATCATCATCATGATTGATTGACTATTGAACTCTTTTTTATATGACTTCTTTAGTTATTAATTTTAATCAATTCCAATTATGTTAAAGACGAATTAATAAATAAAACTATTCATCATCCTTCATTTTATAATTAAGCATTTATTATATATATAATAAGATCTTAAAATATATAATAATAAATCGCTAAAATTCTATAGAAGCTAAATAGAATATTTAATATCATCTCAACTGATATCATTTTAGTTTTGCTGTTACTTTATAAATCGATTAAATGAGTATTCATAAATGATCTAAACTATTCATATAAAAAATAGAAATAGCTATCTTAACTAATAATTTGTTTCATTTAATTCATATATCTATACGAGAACATTTTATAATAATTCATAATAATGGTTGATGTTGTTTTATTATATAAATTTCATGATTATTATTGATTGAGATTGGTAGTTGAATCATATTCAGTTATTTCTTTAATCTCAGACATATTTAACCAAGGATTATACTATTTACTACTTTCTTTAAGCTAGTCTTTATAGAGTTGTAATAATTCTTGTAATTCTTCTTTGCCTTTAGTCATCAATAAATCTTGATTTAAGATGGATTCACTAGCGACAGCATCTTAGGAGTTATTCCTTTATCTTACAGGTCTTGGAGGTATTTAATTTTTAATTGGCTATTGTTTAATCTGTTATTGTTCAGGTTTCTTTTTGTGCTATTAATTGGTTTAAGGTCTATCCTTTGAATTCTTCCTTTAAACAGGAGACTATTACGATATTTTTTATCTATTTTAATTTGCAGAAGTGGATGCTCTCACAACTCTTTTATTGTTGGTTTGTTCTTTAATTAATTTTTCTTAATTCAATTAAGCTTAAGCTTCTAGATCTTATTGTTTGCAAAAATCAAACATTGCTTTGAGTAAATAAGGATGATTAATCATTTACTAAACACTTGGTGGATTTGGTTACATTAGTGATTTAAGGATTTAAGATAATTCATGTGATTTTTATGATTCCCAGTCCAAATTAGTTTTTTTTAAGACTTGCTATAGATATTTGACTTCTTCTTTCCAATTTTTGTGGGATAATAAATCGAATTATATTCTGAGTGATCCAAATGAATTCAAAAAGATTGTGTCTAAATCTAATGAGACATTAATCTGTTGCATTTCTAAGTAATTTAATGCGAATAACAACTAAAGTAAATATTAGCATACTAAATTAACAGAAACTTACTTGTTTAGTCTTTCATTTAAAATTTATTCTAAATTATTAAGATTCACTACCTCCACAATATTCTAAGACTTAGACAAGATATTAAGATTCAATGAAGTATTCCTTAATTTTAGTTAAACTTGGGTGTTTGATATTAATCAATAGTTTGAGATGATTTTCGATTTCCTTTAATCTTTCCCCATTAATTTTGCTAATATCTGTTCTTTTTAAGACATAACATTGTTTATCTAGCAACGATCTAACAAGGAGATGTTCTTCCACTATTACACCTTTATTCACTTTTTTGAATAAGACTTTTTATAATTTATAATTATTCATATAAATGTATTATCATAATCCTGACCCATATTAACAGCCATACACTCACGGCTAGTATAATGAAAAAACTTACAGAAACAGTGGATTTCTGACAGAAACTCAAGATGATTACCCAGACTACTAATATTATGATCCTTATCAAAGTCAACTACATAATCGGACATATTTGAATGATGTACGACCTCTGAATTATAGTATCCTTATTAATTAAATAATAGCATATTACGAATAGTCTCCCTATCCAGTCAAAACGGGGTAACCACAAACATATTTTGATCCTAACGATCCCAGCAATATTCCATTCATGCCTCATGAAAGTATGTTTTAACTCAAATATTCAAGGGTATGATGATGGATATGAGGAATATGTACTATAGTTCATTAGAAATTTGCCAAGATCTACTTAAAATTTTGAAGAAGTGGCTTTTGCAAAATATTTGGCTGAATGCTCTATTATTGATAAGAAAGTGTGGAAATTGCAGAGGATGTTGAAATAAGATTAGAGATTCAATGTCAAATTGCTTTTTGATTTCTTTGATTCGAAAAAGAATGGAACAATTGACTATAATGAGTTTCAGTTAGGGTTGTAAAAATTGGACATCATTCTAAATTCTATTGAATTGAGTTAGATGTTCCTACGTTATGGAGGGAATGATGACAATCAAATCTCTTCAGTTGAATTCAAGTATATGCTCTTAGGTCCAGATGATTCATAACAATTTATGCAATTCGGAGCCATGCATTATATGCATCATCCATTAAAATAGAACATTCCTTAGTTTCTTTCAGTGGCTCAAAGAGAATTGATTTCTGAAATCATGCATCTACAATTGCAATTAGAGAGAAACCTCAATTTCATAAAAGAAGTTATTGGAACCAAAGACATCCTACTAGCCCTATTCAAATAGTTAGATATTGGAATGAAGGGATATATTACTATCCAAGATTTAGTAATTTACATGAATGAATTAGGAGGTCAATTTGAACAATATGATTTAAAAGGGTGTTTAGATAGAATGTCAAAGTAATAATTGAAATATTTTTAGAGTTCATTGCAGTCGAATAAATTTCAATGAGTTTAAGAAAGAATTCTTTTTAGATGAAAAGAAGAAATCTGAGCAAGATTAAAATATTGATATTATGAGTGACAGAAATAAAACAAGATAAAAAGATTACATTCAAGAATTGCATTAGAGAACAAAAGACTTGTAAAATCAATAATTATAAGCTCAAAAACTCTCTACTGATCGTAAATCGTAACCGTTATTAACTACTACTACTTAAGTTAAATAACCTCAACCTTATGTAGTACAGCCACCTGTTGCATAAAAAAGAAAATAGGAATAACCAATTAATTAATTAGATGATGATTTAGATGATTTATTGTTTCCTGGTTTCTAGAAATATGAATTATAACCACCAGATTAAGAATATTGATAATATGTAACACTACCAATAATATCATATTAAATGTTATAATAGAATATACTTTTATTCTTTAATTTGTTTAAAAGTTACAATAAATTTTTGATAGAAATATTATCAAATATTGATCAAAGTTCTTAGTGTTCTTTCAAATGTATCATCTGTGAATAATGTTTGCGAAGGTATTATATACACAAAATGAATTATGATCTTGCTGTTTTCATATATTTTATTTTTCACTTCAGTTATAATTATCAATAAGACCAGAAAAAGTAAAACTAAGTAACAAATATTAAAAACCTAATTTAATAGAATTACTTACTTCTTATTGATCCACCAATGTGGCTGTTACATCAATTAGATCGTTGTAAAAATAAGAATTCATTACATTAATCACTTCAGATATCATAAATGCTCCTTCTAATTCATTCGAAGTGGGTACAGCTCTGTAAGTAAAGTTATTTATGGCTACATCAGTTTCAATCAAGTTTTGGATATATATCAACATTGCTTTTAAGCCATGTCTCATATTCTAATTCATTATGGTAGGACATAATTCAGCTCCTCTAACTTTGATATCACCTGGTAAATATTGGCACAAATCACTTAACTAGATTTCAGCATAAAAATCATTGAAGTTACTTGTGACGAGCATCCTTAAATATATTATATCAAATACTTATCAAAATCTGGATCTTAGGAAGTGAATAATTTAGTATTATTAAGTGACTCCATAATATAGTACCACATTCTATCGAAATAAGCATCATCCAAATACATGTAATTCTTTCTTCCATATAGAACTTCCCTCTAAGCAAACATCAATGGTATATCTCCACCAAGATCAGCCAATTATTTCTTATAATAAGCAGTTTCAGGATACTTTTTCAAATATTTTTAAAATTCCAAATAATTTATTATACTATTAAGAGTAATTATTGAATAAAACACAATCAGAACTAATATAAATCTATAAGGGGGAATTCTTTTCTTTCTTAAATTTTTTGTATTTCTAGTTTCCTTCTCTACTTTTTACTCAAAAAATTAAAACTCCTTTTCTGCTATCTTTAGAGAGTAATTGAACTTATAGGAATTATCAGATTGTATTTTATCAAGCAATTATTTAAACTTTTAAATCTCCTACTATATTGCATCATTATCAGAATATTAACTCAGATGTAAGAAAAGAATAAGCTTTTTATTTATGTAGATTTTCGCATAAATAATTAATATTACCATCAGAATCAAAAAGATCTACTGAAATAAGAACAGAGTTTCCATTTCATTTTCAAAATTTTTACCTCTTGAAATAGTCTATACCATGATGTCTGAATTCAATTATGTCATTATATCTCTCATTATAGGATAATTTTTAAAACTATAAAATATTTAAGGACTATCAGCTTTAACCGTTTTTTCATATATGTAATTCATTTTTAAAATGTATTAGAAATTCAACAAAACAGATATTGCTGTTCTGAGTGTCATATTATATTATTCTGATTTATAAGTATCAAGATAAGAAAAAGCTTCAATATATTTAGTTTGTAATAAACCTTGAAGTTCTTAACGATTGAGTACTAATTTTAAGTTTGAATTCAGAGAATCGAATCCAAGACCTAAATTGGAAGTAGCAAATTTTGATACTGAATTATACTCTTCTTGACTTATGATACCATTAGTTCTTTAAAAATTGTACGTCCATAAATTCCATCTTGTCACTAAAAACATATCCAAAGGTTAAAAGAATAGATTTTTGATTTCTAATAAATTAATATCAACAGCAAAGGCTACTAGATTCAAACTGGTTAATTGCTAAAAATAACAAAAAATATTACAATGACAATGAATAATCCCTAAATAACTATACATAATACAAAGAGAATGACAAGCATTTGATGTTATCGTTTCAAAGGCATGTGCTTATTAAATTTATTGTATAAGTCATATTTTCTATAAAATTTAGAATTTCTCAGCATTCTAATAGAAGATACTTAAGATTAATCTTCTCTGTCAAATAGTTCTTCCTTTTTAACCTCCTATTAGTCAACTAATTGGACTTTTCCTTCTCCACCTTAGGTTAAAGATTTAATTGATTGTTTTTTGCTTTCAGTCTTTATTTTTTCTACTAAAAGATGTTGCTCTGGATCTCCTCTGGATGTAAAGACTTATGGTTATAACATGTCAATATTTAGAGCACTTTTAATTGCCTCCTCGTTTAGACTTTTTATTTCATTTACAGTTTTTTTTTTATTTTGACTTTTCACTTCTTTTAAACTTTTAACATCATTTAGACCTCTTATCTCTTAATTTTAATTTTGTGTGTGAGTATCTTCTCTAGAGGTTTATTTGATTAGATTAAGTCTTTCTTCAGCTACACTCAATCCATTTACAGAGGAAGATTGATTTGTTTATGTTTCTTTTTTAGTAGAGTTACCATTGTTTGAATATATTATCTGTATGTTTTCTAGTTTTACAATCATGTAGATCATTGAATTTTAATATTGTTTAACAATTATTTCTAAGTTACAATAATAATGAACTTCATCTGATTCATCATTTTGATATATAAGTTTTTGTGTATTAATGAGAATATTTTCTAGGAAGCAACTTTGAGTTACTCCTTAAAGTTCAGGAAATATATTAAGAATTGATGATCCTCTTGGAAACAGGGCTTTATAGTATTTAATGTCTTTTATTTGATTTGTATAACAGGCAATATTATATTTCTCATCGACTATCAAAGTAGCATTTTTAACTAACGTTGGAGAGATCAGACAAATGAAATTAACTTAATCAGAATATGCTAAATCAATGGCAAAATCAACTGTTTCAATTGTTGATCCATGAGTCACATAATTTTGATTTAATGATCTCACGAATTTAGATTTGCCAGTTATTATGAATTCATCTACTAGTTTATTATGCCATTCACGAACTCCTATAGGAATTAAATCCTATAATTTTTTATTACAAATAAATGAAGGAGCATTACTAGATATCTTATTCATTTGCAATTATCCATTCTCATATTTTGTAGTAAGGTAGAACATGTTTTTATTGGTTGTATAATCTGATAAATATAAGTCTGCTGACTTTTTAGCATGAATAATCATTTCATTTGCTTCTAACAAATCGTTTAAAATCTCTGCATAGAAAAAACAAACTAATGCTTATATCATAGCATTAGGTTCTGCTTAATAATAATCATCTATTTATCGTTTAATTTTTAACATTCTATTAACAAATTTGTAAATCTCATTAAATTCATTAGTTTTCCAATTTTATAATAATTTAATTTTCCATTGGATAATTTTAACTAAATTATTAGAAATTTTTATATTCTTAATATCATTTTAGATTAATCTCGAGGCTACTCCCAACAATTATTGAGTTTTCACTTTTTATTGGAAGTCCTAATTTATTTAATGAATGCATTTTTTCAAGAGTTGGTTTCTTTTAATTTATCTGATAAAATTTTGATCTTTTAGTTTATTTAGTATTAAGAAACTTTCGTAAAACTTCTTCTCTTACATCAAAATTGAGGCATTAATTATAGGATCCTTGGTGTAGATTAAATCTGGCAATTTTATAAATGATATGATTTTAAAAAAGAAAGGAACCACAACAAGAGTAAATGAATTTTAAAATTGGATAAATTGCATTATTCCAACATACATTGTCACCAATTAAATTGAAATCATCATTATTCGAATTAATGGACTTCTTTAGTTTTTTAGTAGGATTAAATCCAAAGCTTGTATTGCTGAATTTACAATTGCAATAATTTGTATGTGTTTAAGCTGGAAATTTAATTTATAAAATATCATTAGCATTATATTAATCACCAAAGTGAGTATGGTGAAAAATGTAATCTAAGTTCGCTAGAAATTCTTTGTATTTATATCTAATGTTCCTTATATAAACAAGATCTCAAACATTTATATCACTAATATAAGGCCTCCTATTATATACCCTAAAATGTCTGAATATTATTCAATCACAAAATTCAGTAATCCTACCTTCATCAAACAATTTATTAGACTCACTATATTCTTACCCGGTAGTTTAGTCTTTATGATACATAATAGTTGTAACAGCAAGTAGCATATTCCAAAAATATAAAAATATGAAAATTATATGCTAACTGACGGTCTAGCAAATAGCACCAAAGTATAAAGCCATGAAGATGAATTCTCATAGTAAATGTAAGAAATATTCAATAGGGAAGCATGAATAAGTAGTAAGTTAACTAAGTTTTCAGGTAATGCTAGGGCAGAATCATCATATTCCATGTACTTTGCCAATATTTTGGACATTAAATGACTAATATTAGGCATTGAGGAACTAAATAAATGAAAGAAAAATTATGATAATTATTTTTAAAATTATCTCCTATACAAATATCAATTAATTTCTGCTTTTATTGCATATATTTCCTTAATTATTTTAAAATAAGATCATATATACTAATATACTGTTGAGTTTTTAAATTGCATACAATAACTTAATTTATTAATCTTATTCAACTGCTTCCAAAACTCGTTAACGTGATTGACGAATGGAATCTTACAAATTACCAACAGATCTAAAATGAAAAATATTTAACTCTGAATCATTAAATTACTCCCTCATTCTACTGAAGTAAGATGTTTTGTCAAAGTTTTATTTGTTATTAAGTTAAACTTAATTTTTGTTAAGCCTGCAAAGTACTAATCATCGAGGTTAGTTTTATGTTTAATAATAACAGTCAACTTCATTTCAAACGATTAATATTAAAAATCACAATTATGTTAAGCTACTTTGGTTTATAAAAAAAGCAAAAAATAAATTTAGTCGAAAATTATATATTTTATTTAGCAACTGTATTGTAAGATGCAAATGTTGGAACATTGTACTTATCCATTCAGACATTTAAAAATTATGTCATGATGAAATTTCCTAAAATTCAATTTCAGTATTTTTATAATACAGAAATAATTTCCTATTATTTGATTTCTTAAATAGTTAGCTTTCATTAGGTCGTTTAATGGCACATGTTATAATTTATTATATTTAGAAGTTATTACTACAAGAAATCTGCTTTTGGATTGGGTAATGAAAAATTAAAAGAACTGAAACTTTTGAACGAAAAATAAACTTATAATGATTTCATTCATTATCAATTAGTATCTAAAACAGAATTAGGAAATATCATAAGAATTTATTCTTCTTTTTTAAACAATTAATTTAATATAATATTATTAAAATAATTAGGTTTTTAAAAATAAAATATGGTGTTATAGTTTTAGTAGTAATAAATAATTATGTATCATTTTATTAGTAAATATTAAACATTTAAATATTTGTCATCTTGATGATCTTATTTATTTAAATATATTATTTATTTATTTATGCATAAATTTCTGCTTGAAAATCAAAGGATCAATTATTCCAGTTTCAATCCTTTTGGTTCCTCGAAAAACCTGAAGCCAGGGATCATAACTAAGTTAAAAAATAAAATTTCAGCTTTGTTCTAACCAACCATCAACTCTCAAAGCTTGTTGTAAAGGATATAACCCTTTGAGGATTAAAAATTAGAATAAGAACTATCTAATTAATTTAAAAAGAATCTTGTTCTAGTTGATCGAATTGTTCCAAATAAAGATTACAGTATGGCTCTAAAGCGTAAGTCCTTTATTTCCTTCGAATAATACCTTAAAGAGGAATTAAATATACCAAAAAAAATGCCTAAAGAAACTTAAACTGTTCTAGACAGAAAAACAAATGATTCAGACCTCAAATCATAAAATGTTAAAAAATAAAGAAAGTTGTACAAAGATCATGCAAAAATTTAATAGGATAGAAAAATGGAAGGTAATATTTGTAAATTATGTCAATAGAAAACTAGATATAGCCAGAGTTCAACCAAAATATAATAAATTCTATGTAAGTTAGTTTAAATGAAAAAAAAGGATGTCCTACAGAACATTTATCAAATACTTCAAATAAGAAGGTTAAATAATTAGATATCTTCGCAGAGAGTAGCATCCCAAATAAATTATTGAAAGGTGAAATAAGTGATAATTAATCATCAATGAAAATTCTAGAGACTTTAGAAATTGGTTAAAATGACGATAATAAATGCTAAAAATCTGAATAATTACTGGAGAAATTAAAAGCATCCTCATTTTTAGCACTTTATCCATCAAATAATGAATGTATTAAAGATGATATAAACGTTGATAAAAACTAATCAAGTTCAACGGGTATGAACTCAAAGGTTGAAGCAAATGATACCCTAGTCAGTTTTAAAAATGCAGATTTCTAATCAGAATCTTAGTTTAATCTACAAAATATAGATAACAATCAAAAACTTTTGAATTTTAACTAAGATTAAGGATAAGAGTTTCAAAATTATTAAAAATCAAATGAATATGATTTTCATCAAGTAATTAATTTAATATTAATTTAGAAATAACTAGAGTTCAATTAAGTGAATTAAATCCTGATACAAAAAGACGTTTGTATTAGTCAAAATAATATAGAATAATAAAGAAAAAAAAGCGAGAATTAATCAATTTAATAGTCTGAACAATCAAAATTAATTTTTACTTAGGTGGAAGGGAATAAGGGTAACATGCAATAGGTAAAATAAAATTTGGAATAGAGGAAGAGAAGTAATTTGACATAAATAGATTAATAAGATGGAGAACAATTCGAAAATGTGAATCTCTCTAATATCTAAGTTGTTACTTCAAAATAAACGCAATTGTAATAAAAATTAGAAAACTAAAAAGAGAAAATTCATACTTAGGTTTTGTTGTAAGGAGATTAACTATTGAAAAAAAAAATATAGTCTTAATATGATAAATAGGACCAGATAGCAGAGAAAGAATAAAAATTGCAAAATCCTTAAAATTAACAATGCAAAGAAATTCAAAAAAATATACTTCAAAGCAGTTTTCTAAATAATCAGAACAAATAAGTTATAGAGAAAAATGAGAAATTAAATAAGGAATATAATCCATTTTTAGTAATAAGTCCAAATATCAGTTCTGATTAAATAAGTCAGTATTTCCAAGGGGGCTTAACAGCAAATCAAAATAATGGATGTTAACCATAAAATTAAAATCAACCAATTGATGATTTGTTCAAAATAACAATATCATAATCTTAATCAATAATTAATAATACATAAGATAAATAAAACCCTTAAAATTTACAGTCAATGCTGAACGTTAATAATTTTGGCAATGCAAGACTGCAAACGTACCCTTAAAACAAATCATTGGATATCTTTTAATTGGCTCCTTAAATTACTCCGATTATTTAACAGTAGACATATAGTTTTGAGTCTGCAAAACTGAATTATCAGCAATAGTAAACTTAATAAAATAATCTATTTTAATAGTAATAATAATAGTAATAATAGCATTATTATTCAGAATAATTGATGCAATAGTCAAATTACTAACTATAAAACCTGTTTTCTTAATAGCACTAAACATCGAATTCAGTTTCAAGTTTAAACTTATTCTAATCTAACCCATATTAACAATAATAAAATGACTCAAAAAATCAGTAGTTGTATTTTAAGAATGATGTCCTATCTCTTTTTTAGGAGACTAAAAAGTAAGATAGAAGTGATAATTTAATTAATTCTTTAGATATATTCTAGACTTAACAGTATCAGTAGGCATGTTAGAGTTTAAATAATAGCTTAAATAAGGGTCGAAAGAAGTAGAGAATTAATAATTTTTGATGTTTTCCAACATATAATTTATTTTATATATAAACAATATAAATCACTTAAATGAATTCTTAATATTAAATAATTAGAGTAAGAAGATCTTTAATTATGTAATTCTTGTTCTGATGCATTAGACATTCAAAATACTTAAGTATGACATATTCTTTAATCAATATATAAAACAGTTCGAATTCTTTTATTAGGTTTGCTAATAAAAAGGATAGTTTTATTATATTGAATGAATAATGCAATTCTGTAAAGCTTTAGTTAGCGCTATATAAACAATATAAATATATGATAGAGTTAATAAAAATTAATCAAAATTTCAATTTATTTGTAAGGAATAATAATAAATTGAAAATATGATATTTGATTGGTTAATATATGTACTTGAGATATTTTAGTTTAACAAATGTTATATTAATAAATATGGCAGAAAAAATTATCAATTAAATAAAGAAGTAAGCCGAAGACTAGGGCGAATTGGAAGAACTAGATATCTAAGAGATTAGAATAGAGTAGCTTACACAAGAAATTACGGAAAGTTTGAAAAAACATTAAAAATTAAAAACTCTGGCTATTACATGTTGTGGACTCAAGCAATTAAATGGATTGCCAGCCATGGATTAATTAGAAGTGTTGATGTTGGAAGGTAATTGTTTAGATGGAAGTGCATTAAAGTACATTAGTGAAAATTTCAAAAATATAATTTGCCTATCTTTAGCGGAAAACTAAATCAAATCATTAGAAGTATAAATTAAGATTTATAATAGGAATTGCAAGTACTAAAAAATTTATCATCTTTATAACAATTGGATTTATCTGATAATGAAGTGGAATAGCAAGCTGGATATCATCAAAAAATCTTTGAAATGCTACCAAATTTGTAGGTATTAGACAATAAAAATAAGGATGGGAAGGGTATTGAATACTCTGATGTAAATTAATTATTAATCATAGGAAGATAATGATTTTGAAGAAGGTATAGGAAGTGATTCTGAATTTAATGATGATGAGGACGAAGATGAAGATGAAGAAGAAAGTGAAGATGAATCTCCTAAACCATAAAAGAAAACAAAGAAATGATTTTAATCTATAGATATTCAATAATTCATTTGAATCATTTATAATAATAATATATGAAGTTGTTATAAATTCATAAAACATTATGGAAATCATGATTTATATTGGCAACATTTTTAGCAATTAAATTTGTGTTTATTAATAAAGAGTGATAATTAATTTATTAGAAATTAGTAGTATAATTTTTAATTAACAGATTATATTTAAAAATGAAAGGTTTTTGCTATTAGGTGACTTTGCAAATAAGCAAAGTAGAACTATCAATAAAGTTTCCTTGTACATTGCAAGTAATGTGGAAGCGAGGTCAAAATAAATGTGTAACAAAAGCTAAAGAGAAATCCAAAAATATCTTTATTGTGAATGAAAGTCTTACATAAGAATTTACTATAGGGGACAATGCTCCAAAAAAGAGTTTCTTAGTTGTTTTACTTAATGTCTAAGGTCAATCTAAATTGGCTGGAGTGGTTAACTTTGATATTAATGGAACAATGGCAAGTGAAGGATAATGTGTATTGAATTTAGATAGAAGTCCTGATTCAAATGCTAAAATACACTTTGCTTATCAAATACTCAATTTAGGCGAAACTGATTATACTGAAAGTAGAATAAATGAATCATTTAATCAGAGATCTTTGGGGGAATCTTTTGGTTTAGATAAGGAGAATTAGAATTCGAAAGTCAACTCACTAAAAATATCTAATTATGATAACTAATTGAATAAAGAATTATATGAAAAAAGTCTAAAGGATCTTGATTAATCTAAATAGAAGATTTCTAATCTTTAGGAGTAGATCAAAAAATTCGAGGAGGAGAAATCAGTATTAATTGAGGAAATTAAGTCTCTTAAGAAAAATAATATAGAGTTGAGAAATGAGAATGAATATTTAGAAAAGTAAAATGAAAATTAAAAGTAAGAATTGCAATAATCAAAAGAGAATGAGTATTTAGTTAATTAATAAAAAGTAAAATTGGAATAATAGAATCATGAAGTTCAAAATTAAAAGCTTCAATATCAAATTCTTTAAAATAAATATTAATAGAGTATGTAAAAACTTAAATCTCTGGAAGAATCAAATGAATTTAATAAATTCAATAAAGTGGAAAGATCAACGAATACTAAGGTTTTAGAGATTCCAGAATTTATTGAACAAAATTAAACTATCAAATAATTAGATGAATAATTAACAGACTATAAGAGAAAACATGAGAAATTGATATTTGAGCAAGAATTTACTTAAAATAAACTCAACACTGTAGAATAAGATTTATCTTCATTACAAGTTTAATTCCTAAGTTTGTAAAAGCAATTAGAGAAACAGAAAGACTAATGTAATCATTTAGAGATTGAGAATTCACAATTAAGAATGCAGATTAAGGAATATGAGGAAGATAAAGTATCAAAAGAACGAAACAATAAAAAGATTTAGAGCGATCATGAAAAATAGATTGATAATCTTAAGGAATAGTTACAATAAAATCAAGATTAAGTACGATTATTGGTATATTTAATAGTTTGAGTAAATGAAAGAGAAGTATTTGTTATAGAAAGAGAAAATAGAGAAATTAAATGATGTAATTAATCAACAAAATGATGAACTTACGATATAAAGTGTGAATTTTCTGAGGGAGATATAAATGATAGCAAAGAAATAAGAGTAATTTGGAATAGTTTGATTTTTTATATTTAGCTTTTTTATATATTAATTATCCGTTAAACATGCTAAAAATCTCGAATAAGTCAAGGAAAAATGAATAATTGGAAACGATATAAGTGATCGAGAAATGTACAAGTAAGAATAATTGTTGATTATTGTAGAAATTATGAAGGAAGATCGTTTGTAATTGAGGCAAATGGTTAAGGATGAAAATGTGAAACTCATTGAATTGGTTGCGAAATATAAAAAAAGGAGTGATCTCAATGATCTACAATAAGAATTAAGAAAGTTCCTTAAAGATAAAAAAGGATCACCTGAAAAAGTGCAAGGGGCTCCCCTTATTTTGAGAAAAGTCAAATCAAAAGAGAGATGTGAATGGAATACATCAATGAGTTCGAATCCTTCCATTAAATCACCTAGTCGATCCAATCTAGATTTCAGGAAGAAACAAAAGGAAGATTAATCACATAAAAAAATGGAATCGTTCAAGAAGTAAGAAAAATTGGACAGTCAGATTGAGCATAAAGAAAATGAGGAATTTAAGATACTTGATGAAATATAAGAAGTTAAGCCATAAGAACAGCAAATTGTCTTCAATACAGCAAATTCAGTTATTGATCCATTTTTTGAGGATCTCACTCCAGTCAAAATGGAATTCCAAACCATTGTTTCTTAAGCACCTCTCAATCAAAGTGATTAAAGAAGCGAATGCATATTGTAATATAATGCAGCTGAAATATAGCAATATATTTAATAGGATAAACATTATGTATATAAGGAAACCTATATAATTCCACAATTAATCAGTCTAAACTATAAATAAATGGTGAATGCAGAATACTAAAATTTATTTACAGATTGGAAAAGCATACTCACTCCTTAAGAACCTTCTTATCACATAAAGTAAGAAAATGTGTATGAATCCCAATTATAAATTGAGTCAGAACAATCAAAGTAAAATCAAACGACTCTCAAAACTGAACCTTCTCAACTTGTAAAGAGTTTAGAAATCAGAGGTGTCACTGCTGAAGAATTATTCACTTATTTGGTTCATCATAGATTCACCAAAAGGTTGAATCTATATTAACTTATGGAAAATGCAAAGATAGCCATCCCAAATGCATAGTTGGATTTAGATTCTTTGTTTAAATTGGCAGATACTGATGAAGATGGATGGATTAATTTAGAAGATTTAGGAAAGACCTTGAGGGAAACCTGTGTAGAAAAGGAGAGTCATGTAAATCCAATTAAGGAATTGTATAATCTACTTAATGGAAATGTGAACATGGACAATTTTATCAATTAGCTGAATGATAGAATTTAAGCTGAAATGTAAATAAATATGATTTTCATTTAGTCTCTACCATGAAATTGATCTATTTGGAAAAGGATTCATAACGTATTGGGAAATGTACAATCATTATGAAGAAATCGAAAAACTATTGATTAAATGATATTAATATTTCATATTGTTACTTATCACATTTCTTAAACATTTTTAATTCTGTGTTTCAATACAGATTTTTCCTTATTAAAATGACTAAGTATTGATATTTAATTTAAGTTTATGGTATTTATTGATTAATTAAAATGCTTTTTCAAAAATATGTGAATCCATAATATTATGAAAATTTGAGAAGGTTTAAATACAGTGGTCAGAATCTTTCAATTTTATACAATTGGATTCTAGGGGATCTTGCATAATGGGTGGTATACATACTATTAAAACCTTTCAGGTTGATTAATTGCCTAAATCAGTAGCACCAAACCTTATCACTATTACAGGATTCTGCAATTTATTAACATCCTTTGTCCTGATTTTCATATTGAATCCAATGTTCGATTTGGATTTACCTTAATGGGCGAGTCTATATATAGCTTGGACAATATTTGTGTATCAGACATTAGACAATGCAGATGGAAAATAAGCCAGAAGAACAAAATAATCGACTGCTTTGGGAATGCTCATGGATCATGGCAGTGATTGCACAGCTACTTGGATATCTGGATTATTGTACATGAATGCTTTCAAAATTGTGTTTACTCCATTTAACATGTTAACAGCAATAGGTGTAAGTTTCTTAGGGTTTTATTTTGGTGTTTATTGTTAATAACACACAGGAGTATTTTAATTGGGAGTCATTAATGGAGTTGATGAAGGACTACCTATCCTATAATTATTTTTCTTGATAACTGCATTCAAGTCCTCATAATTTTGGCTGAATGAAATTTAACTCACTAATACTATTTCAATTCAATACAATACAGTGTTGCTAGTGATCACTATTACTGCATCTATTGTTACGATCATTTAATTTTGTTACCCTGTATTCAAGAAAATGAATTGGAACATTCTAAAAATTCTATAAAGTCTCTCCTTACCTATTACTTTAATGATAACCTTCGTTAGTTTGACCTATCTATCACCAACTAATGTACTATCAAAATGGTTCCATATTTATGTTGTGACTATTGGATTGCAGTGGTCAAAAATGATTAACTTATGGTAGTTGGCAATCATTACTAAAGAAGTAAAATAACAAATAAATTATATATAGACTTTCAGTTAGTATTCAATCACATGGGCTTTGACATTGGGTTCGATTATGTTGAATTTGATATCATAGTTTTTAACAGCAGACGGTCTTTGCTATTTTGATGAAGTCAAATTGATCTTCGTCCTATTAGCATTCTCACTTTTATCCTATCTACATTGTGTAACAAGTATAGTTCGTGAATTATGTGAAATCCTTGATATCTATGCTTTTAGCATAAAATACCCATAATGAGTAATAAATTATTTTATAATAAATTTCATATTTTTAAATGGTTATCTAAATTTTCTATCTATCTTAACATCCTCATTATTAAATTATTAGTATCAACAGGTCATTGAATTATTGTAGTCACATTGAATAAATGATAAGACCATTTATTAGGATAGATTTAAACATGTGATGTTAAAATAAATTGAATTAATCGTGTGAATCCGAGAGAAAAAGTGTAATTGGAATAATTCCAGAGCAGTAATATGAATATTGAATAATATCTAATCCAAGTATTTGCATAGCACTAAATTGAGAAATGAGTATTATTATTTTTAATTTGAATTTATATCTATTATCTATGAACAATTCAGTATGAGACCATTATTCATGTGTCTAGGTTGTTTTGATTGATGAATATGATGTATAAAGTATAATAAAGGTTATTATTGTTTAAAAGGCATTAAAATATAGAATTTATATATAATATTGACTCATGATCCTTTAGGGTACAAATCTTATTGCGACTGTTGGTATTTTAATGTATTTTGAGACTTCTTTCCGAATATAACTTTGGAATCGTAATTGCTCTTAAACTAAATTTGAGTAACTGGTTTCTCCTTTTAAAATTGAATACTGCTTTTGTAAGCACTCGAATTAAATTAAGCCCATTGATTTTAGGTTTTATCTTATGAAACTCTCTGAGAGTCGAGATTGAGAAATCCTGTAGGGTTTTCTGCCTTAAGTCTTTCATTATCCTCATTGAGTTGCATGATTTGAATTTTAAATTAATCGATTTGTTTGTCCTTTCTGTCAATTTCAAACTTGTGTTGCTTCTATAAATTGTTATACTTCTATTGGACAATCTCTAATTGCTGTTTCATTTACATATTCTATTCATACAACTCCCCTAATTCAATAACAGCCTTCTACTCTCTGTTGTTGGCTTCTTGAATCTACAGTCTCAGATTCTAAAGTGTTGCTGTTCATTTATTAATAAAGGATACATTCTCTTCTTTGATTCTGTTCCAATAAAATCTCATGTTCTCTTTTCATATGCTCCAATTCGCTGCACTTTTGTTTGAGTTCCCTCATTAATCTATTGATATCTTCCTTATATTTCTCCTCCATATCTTTGCGTCTATCGTACTCTTGCTATAAGCTCTGATACTCCTCCCTGGTTACTATAACGCTTAAGCTAAATAATTCTTACTCATCATCATGCTCTCACTCTAATTAGTTGGTCTGTTCTCTTCGCATTCAACACTTTCAGACTTCAAAGTCTTAACTAACATAAAAAGTCATACTTCATTTTTTTTGAAATCGTTCTAAAATGAATTAATTCTATCATCTCTCATCTCGAAAGTCGAATCCCTCTAGAATAATGCGTTGATTTGCTCAGCAGACATATAAACAGGCTAATTATTCATATATTATAATTATATATATATATTAATTATTCGCTGCTCTTATAAAAATTCATAAATTTTATTTCATACCATTAAAAATTAAATATATATGCAAATTACATTTTTATTTATATATCAATAATATTTTTTATAATAAATGTCTTAGATTGAATGCATTGATTGCCATCTTAAGTATTATTATATCACTAAATGTTTGTTATTTAGTTGAAGACTCACGTACCTACGCATGTCAATGTGGATCACTATTTGGAATCGTGAAATGCTAATTTTGTCAATTCACATAACCAACCTTTTTTGATTTAATGACGGGTACAAACAAACATTGGACTTGCAACACTTGTCAAACAGAATCCATACTGTCTCCATGTGGAGAATGTACATACCTCAATTTAAGAGGACTTGTATCTTTATAAAATATATTTCTAGAAAGATAACTCATGCAAATGTTCTTCTTGCAAAATCACTAACTATTATTTAGATTGTAAATAGTGTTAAACATGGTACACAGTGAATGAATCTAAGAATAGTTTAGATGGCAAGTTATTAACATGTGTTCTAAATTGCGAATAAGTTTAAGCGCTTAAGTATCTTTCATATCTTACTATTTAGATGCACTAACTGTTAAACCTTAATTACAATTGATAATTTCAACAATGAGATCAAAAATTACTGCAATTCGTGCAACAAACCCTTTTTTAAGCAAATTTGCTCATTTTGCAAAGAAGTTTCAACTTTCACCCAAAATTAAAGTCAATTTAAATAAAAATGTTTGAATAGGAAATGTGGCAAAGGTAATTTTTTAAAGTCTGGCAAATTAATGAATCAGTAAGTAATAGTAGGGCAATTCATTAAATCAAATGAAATCTAATAAGTTCAAATTAAAAAATAATAATCAACATCTAAGTTTTTATAAAATGCAGATCTATTGAACTTTGATGAACCAGAGAACGATAATACTAAATTGAATTAAAATTGGAATAATGCTAATCTTTTAGAAATAGATCAACATTTAAATTAACCATCTCAAGATGAGGGTTCAATTACTAAATGCTAAAAGTGCTTTGTATTATTTATTTATGATTTAAGAACTCTACAGAAGTTATTATAACAACTCCTTGTGGACACAAAGTTACATGTTACCAGTGTTTAGAAACTTAGTTGAATTGTATTTCTTGTGGTGAACCTATTGCTAATAGAATCATGAATACTTTCAATAGAGACTTTTAAAAAGAAATCAAAGATAGGATATTGATTTACAGAAAAGAGTGAAGGTTTAATTTAATAATTAAATAATAAATCAATATTATAGATTAATATCGCTAAAAGGCAATATCTTGCTAAATTAAAATTCCAAATCATAACCTAATGGATTTAATAGCAAATAAGGAGCAGTTTATTCAATAAAATAATTTTTTGAGTAGAGCGGAAAAAAAGAGAACTAATCTGTTATCGTTATTTTAATTTGGAGATGTGTTTCTAAATTCTTTATATTAATTTCCTCTAAGTAGTTTTTTTGATATTCTAATTCTCTTAAAATGCTAAACACTTAGATTAAGTATATTTTCATTAAGTACCCATAAGTTTTTAATTTTATAGTGCGATTTCCATTCAAATTTAATTTTGCTTTTTTAGGATATAAGTAGATAGAGATTAAATGTTGTATCAATTTCCTTATATTTATAGTTTAGATCTTAAATTGTCTCAACATTAAAACTGATAGAGTTCCGAACTTGAATTGCTAACTTAAGGGCGTCTTTTTAATGGTTTTAAATTATTTGAAAAGTGATTATTATAAATTCTGTGAAATTTTATTATATTGAACTGGATCTTATTAAACATTTTCTTAAATTAAAATAATACTATTATCAATGTTATACTAGCATAATCGAAGTTTGATTCGTTTTCTGAATTATTTAACCTCAAATATCTCATCAAATTTAGCTTGGCCCATAATTAAAGCCTGTTCTAAAGACATATTGTTGAAGACACAAATGCGAAGAAAACTTCTGATATTACATCCATAACAAATATCACTTCTGAAATTCCAGAATTGTTCTTAAATTGCAGTTGTCTAAACATCCATATACAGTTTCTTCTCATTATACTAAATCTTTGTGAATGGCTTATTTATTAATTTATGCAACTAATTATTAATAGTATCTTGTTGATAGCTCATCAAAAATTGCATTCTTTAGGCTCTATTACAAATGTATAAAACACTTGTGGCTAATATAGCAGCAACAACTGACAATGACAAACACTAGATGTCTATTTTATTAGTTAATAAAATCGTTGCTGTTTATCTGAAAATAATATGAAATATGAGAGAAGGACAACTTAAATTAAAGTCAGTTGCAAAGTATATTACTGCCTAAATCAGTGAGAAATTACAACCATATAAAAAATATTCTTAATTTTCTGTATTTTCAGGAGTAAAATTGAATTGTAAAGACAACGAATAAGCATTAGTAATAGTCAAAATCTTTGCTGTCAATCCTTCCTTTTTGTACATGATATATAACCCAATGAGACAAGTTACAATAAAACCCATATTAATATACCCTTAGGCTAAATTATCCTTCCTTGCAATAATTACAAGTTAAAGAGTGTTCAATGACAATGTAATGACCAATAAACCATAAAACAATGGCTTTAGATGCTTTTAAAACGACTAGGCCTAATACATGTCTTCAATTTCTTTTGCTTTAAATTTAAGAGTGTACTTGCTCATTTATTCCATTTTAATATTGATAATATATCTTTTACATATCCCAGATGGTATTTAAACCTGTAAAAAATAATCAAATAAATAGAAAGAAAATTTACTCCATTACTGATCTAGTTTGGTAAGAAAATATTTATAAACTACACACTTTGATTACATATTTTTATAGTTTAAAATATTTAGACAAACAAAAAATAAACCTCTTTTAACTTTCATTTTATAGGATTGTGAGAAACTTCTCAATTTACAAAATATTATGTTATTGATTAATGTGTTGGCTTCTGAAAAGATACATCTTAAAAATAAATATTTGTTTGTATTTTACAATTGATATCAAGTAGGTGTATTAATTTATTTATTTATTAATTTGTGTTTAATTAATTTTTCGTTAAATGATAGTATGAAATCATTAATATATTATTATCTCATGACTTAATTCAGCATTATTTACTAATTTCACGTTCCCTGCAAAATCCTCTACATTTATAATTATAATGAAATACTTGGCCAAAATTAACACGATGAAATATCATTTTCCATAATTCCTAAATTTTTATAACAAGCAGCTACTAATTCGGAGCAAAAGTAATTTTCCTTTTCAACTCCAGTAATGGATCTTTTCTTGCACAACTTCATGATGTTGGCAGAATACTTTTTGCCGTGATTTTTATATATAAAGTCTTATAATTTTAAAAGCAAGGTCATATCCCTTTTGATATATAATTATCTATAACTAATTTGTGTTATGTATTCTTGAAAATTGCTCTTCATTAGAGTATCCCATGTGTATATACAAACTCCATTATCACTGTTAGCTTCAAAAATATGGAGCACATTTTTGTTGTTTCTTAAAACAAGAGCAACATGATCTACATAATTTTATGACTTTTACCATATTCACTATTTGTTATTAGTCTTTAGAGCTAACAAGCTATAGATTTGCTTTTAAACAATAGTAAATCTAAGGACTCTGCTCTCTTCTCAAAAATATCAAAAGGAATTTTATGTTAAAGGTAAAAGTTGGGCAAGGGAGGCTGAAAACAATAGGGTTTTGATGTATTGATGTAGTAATTAAGCGATAGGATCCATTGTTTACTATTGGTGAGAGATTAGAACTAAAACTGATAACTAAACACTTATAATTAAAAGAGATCATTGGACAAAATGGATAGTTCTAAAATTGTAATTAAGGAATACTAAGTGGGTATTGATTAAAGTCTAGTATGAATTCATTTTTATCCTTTCGTTATAAGACAAAAGTGTAATTACGAATTATTCCTCTATAAACTATGTTGTCTTTAAGTAACAATCCTTCATGATCATAGGACTTGTAACCTCATTAGTATTAAATGTAGATACAAATTTGAGTAGGATTGGTCTGTTTAAACTTTGATTTTAATATGGTTATCAGATTAACATCTTCATTAATATCATCCCATTATTATTTCATTTAAATATATATGGATTCTAATTATGTATTAAAAGGTGATGAATTTATGATGAAGGGAGATAAAGCTCTCAAAGGTACCTATTTATGTAAAATAAAGGTTCGACTTTTGGCAATATTTTTGGATCAAAGGGAGAAAGAGCAGAAAAAGCACTTGAATTGTATAAGTCAGCAGCAACACAATATAAATTGGGCAAAAAATGGGAAAAAGCATCTGAAGCATACTAACGTTGTATTACTTGTGATTAAACTCTTAAATCTGGGGAAACTGGAGATTTCTATGTTGAGGCTGCCAAAGCAATTAGTAATGTTAATAAAGCAGGTATACTAATATGATTTTGAGTATAGAATCAATCTAATTGTACGAAAAAGCAATTGAACATTATGCTAATGAGAATAGATTAGACAATGCTTCTAGATATAAGAAGGAAATTGCTTAAATTTATGAATCCGAGCTTGAATTCCATCTAGCAGTCAAAGCATATTAAGAAGCTGCTGATCTATTTTAAGCAGATGGCAAAAGAATATCTGATTATAATCAAATGAGATTAAAAGTTGCAGAATTGTCAACCTAGAATGCTTCAGGTGACTTAATAGCAGCCATTAAGGTTTTCTTAACTTTAATTATTTAGATTTTCGAAGATATCGGTGATAAATACATGGAAAATAAATTAACTGCCCCCAGTGCCAAAGAACTATATTTTAAATCTTGTTTACTTTATTTATGCAACAATGTATAATATCGAATACCAATTTTAATAGGATTCAGTAGGATGTGGAATTGCCCTTGAGAGATACTTGGACAAAGATCCTAGTTTTGCTTCAGCCAGATAATACAAATTTGTTGTTAATCTAATTAAGGCTGTTGACAATAATAATGCATAAATGTTTTCAGATGAATGGTACAATATTTTACATAATTTATAGTTTTGAATTTAATAAAATCATACCTCTAGACAAATGGAAATTAAATGTTTTAAACAAAATCAAAGAAGGAATGCAACCACTTCAATAAGTAGAAGATGGAGGTTTTAGGTGATAAATAAATAATAATAATATATTGTTTTAATTATATTCATATTATTAATAAATAATTTTGATAATCTTTCAATATCATTAATTATGTATTCTTAGATAATTAATTTATTTCATTAATTCACTAAGAATAAAATTGAGTAGTAAACATGTATATTAGTAATTTAAATCTTTCTTAGAAATTAACTAACTGTTAATCTTGTACTCATTTTATAATTAAAATGAGTTCAGTTACTTAATTTATTATCTAAGGAAATCGACAACATTCAGATTGAAACAATGGTGACAAAAAAATGACTATCTTTTATTTTAAGAACCTGAGAGTTTAAGAATTCAATTAATTTTATGATTTGGAGAATGGATTTATTTATACAAAAGGTCATCAATTAACAAATATATAAACATTTTCAGAAGCTTTTTAGGGATTAAGTGATTTTTCTAAATATATTTCTTATAATTTTTATCAATTCTATAGCTAAAGTGTCAATTTTCAATTCAAGAGAACAATATTTTGTAAAAAGCTATCATTACTTGAATAATTAATAAGCTCGTTTTATTTATAACAATAGTTATCACTTTTTTGAAATCAAATACATACTCAATATATTTACTCTCATATAGGATTTGTTGTAAATTTCAAATATTATCCATCTTTAAATAATTTATTTCCATTAAATTGGAGAAATTTAAAGTCTGAATAATCCAAATGTATTTATTACAGCTTTAAACAAATAATTTAATTGTCATTTATAATTAACAATTAACAATTGTCAATCCAAAAAAGTTATATTGAAATCGGAAATAATATTCTCTGAATGGATGTAAAAATTAATGGGCCCAATTCCATTAGAATAAAATTTCTGATTTCAATATAAATTTATAATAAAATAAAAATGAATAATTATAACTTGAGTTTCTGTGTTTTCTGAAATGGATATGATATGGTGTAATTTAAATCAATATAAACATTTCAATTGAAAGATTAGAGTGTTTTGAGAGTAAATTGCACTTCAATAATAATACAATGAACAAAATAAATACAATCGCTTAATTATGACGATAAAAGAATTAATAATAAATTATATGAAACAATCAGTTTAAAGATACTCTGTAAAAATCTTATCTCACGAAATAATTGATAAAAAGGTGTATTACATAATCAATGTGTATAACATGGAAGGCGGTGAACCCAAAGAGACCAGAAAAAGGTATTCTGAATTAGAATCAATTCATCAAAAAATATTGGATTGGATTAATATTTTTAAAATAAGAATTCAAAATCTCAATTTTCCAAAAAAAAAATTACTCTTTCACACAAATTAAAGTGAGGAAAGTATAATTAAGCGAGTAAGTTTTTTTATTATCAAAGAGAGGAGAACTATAATAATATTTCAATTAAGTATTGACCTATTCTGAATTATAATGTTTGGATGTAATTGAAGAAATGTTACCCAAAGATATTGTCAATAAGAAAGTATTTGGATAGCAAATTGATAGAAAATGGTAAGAGATTTAATAACTGAAAGAATCATACCTAGCTAAGCATGGCGATTCTATATTTTCGTTGCCTTAAAAAAAGAATGGGAATTCTAATAAGTATTAATTAGATGTATATATAGATAACAATACATTTTTAAGTTTGAAGATCATATTATTGTTGATGATTGTATTCTTTATACAATTGAAGTAAATGATACAATTACTCAAAAGAGATGGAAGTTTAACTAGCGTTATCAGGATCTAAGAGATTATCATAAATAGCTTAAGAATCTTAGATTTGATTTTCCTCTTCCACATCTACCTGAAAAGAAATCTTTAAGTCCAAAAGAGATACTTGATTTAAGGGAAAGAAAATCTTAGTTTGAGTATTATTTAAACAGATTGTTTGGGTATTTAATTAATTCAAGTTTAGTTATTAATTAATAGTTGAAAATGATATTATGGTGTTTTTCATAGCCAAAAGCCAGCTTGATGGAAATGAGATTGGCTGTAGGTCTAAAGGAAGTACTCAAAATACATTGGATGTAATATTAGTTTTTTATTAAAAGAATTCAAGCATCTAATCTAAAACTCAAACTACAATCGAATAAGTTGATGATGAAAAAAGAATAAATCGTAAGATAACTTGCTGAAATAGTCCTATGTCTATGCAAATACTATTTATTAGATTGAATTATATTATTATTTAAAATAAAATTTACATTCTTATTTTATGACTTCATAATAATTATAAAAATATTGATGAAATTAAGATTAACTCAATTTAACAGAATATACAAATATTTTGATTGCTGGAAGGTATTCTGAAATAAAAAAATAACTAATTAATTCTATGTAAAAAATGTAAATAAAATAAATTATGTAAATTTAATCAATAAAATTAGACATAAACTATATTATTTTTCATCTTTATAATTACTCAAGTAATTATTAGTTTGAAGAATTCGTGATGTTATCCTCATATTTGAAGAAATCCACCTCTTGAAATTTTACAATCTCATGTATTTTACAGCAATCTTTTAAACGAACAGCAAATTCTAAATAGCCTCTATCATTCTGCTCTTTAGGTAATTAGGCCAAGACTATTTTATAATAGTATTCTAAGCCAATTAAGAAAATGGTATCAAATTATTTTTTATCTGTTAATTCCATAGTTGCTATGGAGTTAATTAGTTTCATTTCTTATATTGCTGTATCTTAGAGGGCTATTTTTGTTCTTTTAACTAATTCTATTAGAAATTCTCTTATCAGTTCACAATTTTCCTTGATAATTTTGATTGAATCATAATAATCTTTACTTTAGCAAAATATGGTCCATTCTTTTTCTGTAAATCTTTTAGTAGTACTAAAAGCATTTAAGTATAATTTACTTGTTTAAACTCTTCTTTTATAATCTTGTAAAAATCTTAGATAAAATAAGAAATTAGTATTTTGTCAACAAATAGCAAATTCCTAAATAGATACTCTAATTTAATTGGAATTTTTCTATAAAGAATAACAATATTTATACATGCTGACCATTATTCAAATAATGATTGTGAAAGTCTATTGAGAAATTCTGATTTATTCTTTTTATGTGTAATCCATTCTGCAATCTTCTTTATTATATAGTTATTGACAATCTGTTCCTATTATTCTTTTCCTAAAACATTTTAATTTTGATTTTAATTCAAATTCACAAGAGTTCTAATTGGTGATGTTGATTATTTTTAAGAAAATATTTTTTCTTTTCTTGCTGGGCTAATTGAATTTTAATTGCGAGACTAAAATGATTCAGTTGATTTAGTTTTATTAGAATCTTTATTTATTTGTTAATAAGCTTTTTCTAGTTTTTCTTGTTGTTATCTCCCATGTTGTATATTTTAAATCATACCTCTATTTAAATTTTTTTCAAGATTCTTTTTTTTCAAGAGATCCTGTTCCTGATTAATTTATATAATACTTCTGTTTATAATAGTCATCGATTCCTGATCCTCTTAGATTTATAATTGAAATAATTCTTCCCAACTCATTCTATCCTTCTCTTCAACTTAGAGCATTTTGAAAATAATTTATTTCATTTATTCAGAAACTCGAGGTATGGCTGGAAATCTTAAGGGCACAGAAGAAATTTTCAGAATTAATTCTGAGAATGAACTAGCCCTCCAAGGAGTCGTACCATAGAGGACTTCAAAGAAAATAATCCCTAAAGACCATATGTCAGTTTTAGTAGAATATTGTCTTTGTGCTTGAGGATTGAGAATTTATGGAGACATATACAATGGAGTACCAGCAAAAGTCTATAGAATTTAATTGTCAAAATCCTGTAATATCTTACTGAATCCAAAATCTGAAATTTTGGCAATCCCTTTGTTAATTAGAATATTGCTTGGTTTTAAATCACGATGAACTATATTCTATTTATACATTTCTTTATATCCATCAACTATTTAACTTAAAATAATCCTGGCCTCAGTTTCTGCCAAATATTTCAACTAATTTTTGTGAGGGCATTTCCTGGCGATATATTAATCTAAACTGCCTCCTTCACAATATTCCATCATGAAATAAACATTGTTCAAAGTTCTTTAGAATGAATAAAATTTGACAAGATTGGGATGTTGAAAACGCTGCATAATTTAACATTCATTTTCACATAGTTTCTTCATTTGATCGAAATTCTTATCATTCGCTTTGATGTTGATGATTTTAACTGCTACTACTTCTTATGTTTTTGTATCCCTGCCCAAACAAACTTCTCCAAATGTACCCTTTCCTACCTTTTCAGACAGATCTATTTGAAAGTGGGCTACACATTTACTTGTTTAGACATTTTACATCTATAATATTTATTTATTACAATATAAACCAAATTTATATTATATTTTAGATACCATCTTTATGGTTAAAAGTTAAGTGTCTTAAATATTAAATAGAATATAGCTAGTGTTTATTAAATAAAATATTCTAAATTGATCATTGTGTATAGATCTTAAAAAAATATTATCACATAGTCGTTAGTGACAATAACATCAATGCAGCATTAGGAATACATGCTAATGAATCTAGAGTTTTGCTCATTCACTCTATAACATTATTTCTTATTGTTCATTTAAATTGAATTTGTTATCGTATTTTTCAACTGAAATAACTTAGACATCTATTTAATGCAAATAGATAACCATATGCAGTAGATAACCTTTTTGATTTATTGATATAATTTATCTAAATAAAAACGGATTTACATTAGTTATTAATTAAATTACCATGAAGATGGTCATCTTGATTCTGATTCTAACAATACTCAGCACATAAGCTTAAACATCATTAAGAGGCAAGAGTAAAATTGGTATGAGTGGTCTTTATTAAGACTAGAATAGAACGAAGAATTATCATATTTGCCAAATGATTATGCATCAGAACTATAAGAATACTCATTGTTTGTACAATTAACAAAGCCCTTTTATGAAACAGCACCAATGGATGTTATGCTTCTTAATCATGAAATGGAGATAGCTAGAATGATGGGTAACCCGGGAGTAACAATGATGAATTATGTGCTTGAAGAGTCACCTTTCAGTCCTGCTTGGTGAAAGAATTAACTGGCTTTAAGTGATGATTCCTATTTCATTATGGAATAAACAACCTAAAATTACCACATTTATTTAGCATGCATCAAATTTAGTCTGGCAATTAATATCTCGGTTGAACATACAATACATTAAAGAAATTATGTTCAACCTCATGGAAATCTGTTTTACATTTTATTCCCTTTCTTTCTTATATTAAAACAGTATAAATATTAAATAGTTGAATACAATCATCATTTTTACGATTATTATTATTTCAACACTACAATAACAATACTTAAACTTTTACATTGTTAAGTAACACTAGAATAATGGGTTCAATTATTGAATTTTAAATTAAATTTGAAAAGAATGTCTTATTCCAATTTTGCTTGGTTACATTCTATTGATTATATTGATTTCGACTTAATTATTATCAACAATATTGATTAACTGGCTATTTCTATATGAATATTTCCATTTCTAGTTAATTATAAAAAATGAATTAAAATTATATTGACCAAGCCTATTTCTCCAAGGTTTGAAATTCAATTTATTTAACTAGCAATTCTATAGAGCATTTGGAAATTATATTGGACCCCATACTTCGACACCCAGTATGGCATCAGAATATTTATCCTCCACGAGGACTCAAACAGCCAATATGCATAAATAAAACAGTTTAGCGAAACCAATTAAATCTCCTCAAAGTGTAAATAAACCAATACTTTAAAATTCTGCACGAGTTAAGACATAGACTCAACATATTTCGAAATAGCAACCAATAGTTCATCATATTAAAAGTTTATCGTCAGACTTAAAGAATTAACCTCAATAGAAAAGATTTAAATAAGAGAAAATAATATCACTCACAGAATCAGAGTAGCATCCATTTTTAATAATCTAAAAAAAAGCAAGGGAATTAAGAAAAATTGAATCTCGAAAAAGTATTTTGCCTTCAATTTACACTGATTCCTAACACAGTGCCAGATTGCCAGATATTCCTCCATTAATACATATTCCAACAATACAAATAACAGAGCCATTAGAATTACATTCATCGAAAGGCTAGGAATACGAATCAGATAAAGATGAAGATTCTGAAGGAGAAGAGGATTTCCCTCAAGTACCCTAAAAGATGAAGAAACTATCTGTTCGACTCAAATTCAAAAATGCTGTTTAATCTCAAGTTTCTACTCTTTTTATCAACAAACAAGTACATTATTAATATTATTTAAGCCAAAGTCCCTTTTTAATGTCATAATCTCACCTGAATTCACAATAAAGCATGAAGAAGAACGTCAAAAAATAAGTGATGCCTTTGAGGCTGGAAATTTTATTTTATATAAGGCTAAGTAATTTCAACATAAGGAAGTAGCCAATAAGAAAAAACTATTTGAGAGTGTATTCAATTTGAAACATCCACATAAGATGAATAACATTGTCAATTCACAAATAGCTAAATTAAATACTACCAATAAAGCATTTTAAAGAAAAATTAAAATGATTTTAACAACAACTGAAAACAGCAAAGAAGTTGAGTAACCCTAAAAATTTTCATTTTTATCTAAATATAAAAAGAATCAATTTTCTCAACAAGGAACTAATGAACATTATGCATAAGGTATCAATTTAAATAAAGATTTATTTACAATTACAATTACTAACGATAAATTAGAAAATGAAATTAAAATTTTTAAGAGACCAAAATTTATAATTCAATAAGATTAAATTATTGAAGAAGTGCATTTAGCATTATCTCCACCTAAAATATCTAAGTCTCCTAGTAGAAGAAACCTAACACATTCTGGATCTCTCCACTAATCCTTAAGACAAATACATCTAAGACACTCAGTCTCACAACAAATCATTAAAGATGAACTATCTAATATTACCATTCCTCCTCCTAATGTTGAAGAAAATAACAATCTAGATTTTAATCAAGAATTCTCAAAAGTAAATAAATATCTTATTTATTCAAGTCTAATTTATATGTCAGGCTTTATTATCAAAGTAAATTGCATAAATTACCCAGAAAAACTACTTTTGTTGGAATGAATATATAAGAAATAGAAGATTACTATATTTCCTAACAACAATTAATTAAGTTAACATTTATGTATTTATTTTTCTAAAACTAATCAGAAAGTTTTAAGTCACCGAAGTACCTGGATTCGAATTGATTGGATCGACATTGCAATAAAACATAGAACTCCCAAAATATATTATTGACTAGCCAAAACTATCCTTAAGTTCCAACCTTTTTTTTTTTGATTAGAGCGAAACATTTTCTTCTAGTGAATCAGATTAAAGCAGATCTTTAGATTTACTTTTAGAAGAGCCAATTTAAAGTTTAATTTTGAATAAATTTAGGCTAGGATTATAATAACAAGAAAATGGAAGTTAAATTGGAAGCAAAGTAAAATCCCTTAATCATTTAGATTAAGGGGAAGAGGAGGACATATTTATTGAAGATGATTTCAAGAATTTGAAATGTAATTATTCATGCATAACATCAGCTCTTTCTACTGGTTAATTGACTTTAATTAAATAAGCAAAAACTAATTTCTTATAATCATATCAATATAGGTGCATTATAAGCACTTTAGATCAAAATACTAAAAATTAATTATTAACTTTCCCTTAACAAGCCAGACCTTTAAATGAGACTCTAGATTCCCTCTACTCTGATACTGATAGTGAGGCATTTAGGTAACTAGAATAATTCAATAATGGGGAAATTTTAAAAAAGAGAATAGCTAATTAATTAGAAGTGCGATACCAAACAATATTGATTGGAAGATATTAGGATTTTTAGAAGGTTATTGACATAGAACACTAAGATTTAATAGAGACATTAGAAAATCTACCAGAAATACCAAAATTAAAGGAATTAGAGAAGTAATCAAAAAGTTAAAACTAATAATTGCAATAACAGCAATCATAATTAAATTTATAAAAATAATAACCATAATAAATAATAAATTAACAGTTTATAAAAACAGACTAACATATTCGATAAATTGCTAAAATAAAAACTAATTTGCATAATAAAAAGTAGTTACTACAAAATCAATCATAAACGATTGCTTAACCAAATCTAAGAAAAAAGTAAACTGCCAATTCGCCAGATCAAAACATCTCAAAATTAACAATGCAGTATTCTAACTAATTAACTAATTAATAAACTTAAAATAATAATATTATCACCCAATCTACTACTTAATATTTAACTAAACCAACTAACTAATCTTAACAATCATTTAATGGATCAGGATCAAAGACAATTCAAAAAAGTAATTCCAATGGAGAATTAAGTGAAACTTCATCCATCAAATCATCAAATAGTAGATTGGATATTAGTTCATAAAAAATAATTGATGGAGACAATTAAAAACATCAGCCAAAAATCTAATAGTTTCAAGAATCTCAGAATGAAAAAAAACTAAAACATCATCCGACAAAATCAGATAAATTACTCAATAAGATCTTTGAACAGAAAGTATACATATTTTTATTTATAAATCATCCTTTAGATATCAAGTATGTAATAAAATGCATTGAGGATGAGAAGTCATGCAGAGGAATAAACAAAAAGGTAGAAATATGATCAAAAATATTAAGTAAAGTTTGCAATCTAGGACAACAATTTTTAGGAGGTAAATAATTTAAGTAGAATTTTACATAGTTTATGGAAAATTTTATTTAATTGCCAGAAATGTACATTGATTATAGATTCTAAAACAATGAAACCTTTTTAACTTTAGCTACACAAAGTGGAAATAAGGAGATTGTGAAAGAGCTAATAAGAAGAGGAGCAGATATTAATATACAGAATGTATTTTTTTACTAAAAAAGGATGATGGAAATACGCCCTTGCATTTGGCAATAGCATATTCTCATTATGTAATAGCTGATATGCTAATGTTTTCTGGAGCCTTCTCTCACATTTTAAATAAGCAGGGTAGGAATGCGTGGAACGTAATATGATAAATATATTTATCTACTAATCATTTTTAACATATCAAAGATTAATATGTTTTATCTACTTCATTTACAATGTAAAGTGAGATTTATATTAAAAATAATATTGTTAACTTAATGAATAAAAGAGCTGAAAAGAAGAGAACCTCTTCATTCAATAAACAAACAATAAATTAGATAAGTGATCTATATGATACTTAGCAAAAGCAATTTTATTGTCCAAAGTATAAAAAAGATGTCAAAAATCTAATAAACAATCTAAAATTAAAATCTTCATGTGAAAGTACTTTAGTTATAATTCCATAAAATGATTCTTTAAAGAATGTTTTAGCTGGGCTCACTAACAAATCTCCTAAGAAATTAACGAAAAAACATATAAAAAAGACTCCTAGTACATCTTTACATACACCAGCCGACTTTTCTATTAGAAATACTGAATAGTAATCTGAGTTAGCCAAGCAACGGCAATCTGCATTAAATCAATAATCGTAATTAATTTCTTACCGATCTTTACTATAACACAACAAACGTAATTAGTGGATAGAATAAATTAATCAAAAGAGTTCTAATTATATTCAATAAGATCAAATAGCAATAACTGAATATTAGTATATATATTGTACTAACTTAGAGCCTAATTAGATATATAAATGACAAATAATTGCGATTGGAAATATCCCTACACTTGTTATAAGGAATAGAGACAGCATAGTGAAATGTAAATTATTGAGAATCTTGAATTCGATAGTTGGAGAGAATTGATGATGACTCGAGTGATATTACGTAGATATTAATAATGAGAATTTTATAGTTATATTTTGAAGAAAAAGTTTACTATTTATAAACTTATAAAGAATTTATTTTCTGATAATTGTAATATATAATATTTCACAAATCCCCAAATTTAAAATAAATTTAAATATAATTAAATGTCTGACGACGAAAATCAATTCGAGTAAGGAAATGCAGGTTCATCCCACACCTACACAGAAAGTGCTGGTTCATTAAAAAAAGGAGGCTATGTTATGCTTAAGGGACATCCATGCAAGATTACCGATGTGTCAACATCAAAGGCAGGAAAGCATGGTCATGCTAAAGTATTCACTTTATCAAATCAATTAGGCTTCTATTGTTGGAAAGGATATTTTCACAAACAAAACTTATGAAGATTCAGCCCCCACATCTCACAACATTGACGTTCCTTTTGTTACTAAAAAGGAATATACATTGATGGACATCTAAGGTGATGGATTCGTCATTCTTATGAATGAAGATGGATCAACTAAAGAAGATCTCAAACTACCAGAAACTGAAGATGACTTCAATTTGGTGAAGGAAATCAGAGATTAATTTGATGCCGGCAAGTAAATTACTTCCATTAATATTTTAGGGATTTGTTGATATCAGTTCTTTCAGCCATGGGAGAAGAAAAAATCGTTGGAAGCAGAGAAGCCTAAGATAAATGATTCACATTAAATATATATAGTAAATATTTATTGTAAATATATTGTCATTAATTTGCTACATCTTTAAAAAATGGATGCTTCAAAGCATCGCTTGCACTAATTCTTTTCTCTGGATTATATTGCAGCATTAAGCTAAATACATTTGGTTTTTTACTTAAGTAAATCTAAAAAATTATCCAAGTCCTTCATTTAACTGAATTTCTCTTTTAAATTCTATCTCTTATACTTCTATAATTCTTTGAAAAATATTTTATGATCGAAGGGCACTTTGTTTGAAAAATATTCCATCTCACTTTGACTAAAACTTCCCATGACTTTGAAAATAGCGAACAATTAATCTCCTTCGCTTTTTCCTTTAAAAAGAGCTTCCTTCACAACTAATTCCCCCATTATACAACCAAGAGCCCAAATATCAATAGACACATCATATTTTGTTACGCATAAAATTAATTCAGGAGCACGATAGTATCGAGACACTATGTAAGGTGTATTTTAACCATGAGAATTTATCATTTTAGAACTACCAAAGTCACACAATTTAACTACTTCCTTATCATTTATAAGGATATTTTCTCTAAAAAATTATCAATCATTTTTACGGCTTTAAATCTCTATGAGCTATTCCTTTATTATGAATAAACTATAATCCTTTTAAAATCTGATATATGTAGGACTTTATTGTCAGCTCTGAAAAGAATTTATTTTGTTTAATAAATGTTTATATCCTATTTTCAAGGTTATCCTCCATATATTCAAACACAATATTTTGAATTAATTTACCCGCATCAGTTCTAGAATAAAAGAAATCCTATTCATGCTATAATATTTTACGAGGATTTTAACAATATGATCACATTCCTTAACTTCAAATAGTATTTCATATTCTCTACTTAAAAGATTTCCAACCTTTTCAATTCTCTTGAGAGCAACTTTCTGTTTTGTATTATGATCATATGCTTCGAAGACATATCCTGGCAATATTTTCAATAATTACCAAAAGTACCAGAACCAGCTACTTTAATAATTTCTATTGACGGAAATTTTTACAATGCCATACTCATTAATTAAATTTATACAATTCTATTTTATAATATAAAAACAAAATAATAGTAAATAATTATTACAATAAATATTAATTATTGTATTTGGTGAAAATAAATAGAATAATTTGTTTAATGGAATTGTTTGAATTTATAATCTAAAATATACGATTATTCACAAGAAATGATTTAGGTTAAGGCTTATTGAAAATTCTAATGTTAATACAAGAATCAAAAATATAATCATGCTAATTCTAACATTAGCTAACATTCTTAAACAGCATTATCTTCTCCACTGCCGATAATCTTGTTTGCTTAATTGATTATAGCTTTTAAGACTCTTCACTTATGAGCAGCTATAATTATCAAACCATATTTATATTATCATGTATGACTTGAGCTGTAATTGTAGATTATTGAAATACAAAGTTCATTTTTCCGATCCACTTTCAAAGCTGATAGGATAAAAATAGTAATTATTCTATTTTACAGAGGATGAACATAAATAGGTTAAGCAATAATTTCTCTTTCTATGAAAACTATTTATTTGGTTTATTCCATTTTCTATATGTTTTAGCAATTTGCTCTTTATACATTTAAAGTTAGCAGTCTAATAAATTAGGTTTATTTCTTTATAACATTAATTTTCAAATTTAGCTAATGGATAATTATATAATATTTAAATTCTGTAGAATATATAGATGAATAATATCAAGGCTAATTTATAAACTTTAGAAATTAATCCATATATTGGTATCTAATTTACAATTTCGATTACCTTCACTTAAATTTGTAAAAGCAATCATTCCTAATGGGTAATTAAAAATAGATTTGAAATTTGTTTAATTTATGAGTGTTTAAGTTTTTAGAGAATACAATAAAAATAACCTATAATTAAAAATATGAGTTTAGAGAATGCTATTGTTCAGTGGCTTAATAAATATTAATAATTGAATATTTAGTCGTTTGAGAGTTTGGCTGATGGTAAAGATATATTTTAAAAATTAAAGGATGTGCATTTAGTTAATTGTTGAATTTAGTTGATCCTACATTCTTTTCTTTGGCGAGTGCTAAAAACTTAAAGATTGAAATTGATGCTTAGAAGGTTCAAGGTCATTTGATCGATATGCTTTAAAAAGTTTAATAATATCGAACGAATATTCAATGCAAGCCACCTGATTATATAGAAATAGATGTTTTCGAGATTGCAGTAAATTAAAATAGGCAATAAATTTTGGCCTTATTTGAACTGATAATGAAAGTTATTCTATCTTCGAACTTAAGAGGAAAATTTATTGAGCCTATTTTAATGTTAGAGGAGAAAGATTAAGAAACTTTAATGCATTTTCTTAAAAATCAACTAGATGAAGTATAATAAATAATATAAAATAAAGTCAGAGAATCAAGTAAATGAATGGCAAGAGGAAAACTATATTCAAAGTCTGGTATAAAAAATGGATGAAATTGAAACTTAAAATACAGAACTTAAATAATTATTAAATGAATCTGAAGAGAAATAAAAAACATTAAAAAGTGCCCTGGATGATGCCTTGGTCTAAATGGAGAACAAAGAAATGGAAATCAAGGCACTCACAGAATCTAAATGTCATTTAGAAAAATGTAAGCAATTTTATAAACAATTTAAGGTTTGGAGGAGAAGATGGACTTTTAGCTTGAGTTTAAGGAAAGCGAGAAAATACATAAAAAATGTTTGGAATAAGAACACAAATTGGCATAATATGAATTAATTATTGAAGATTTGAAAAGGAAAGAAATCTAATTTATTTAATTAAAGGAAGAATACTAGCAAAACAAATATAAATTACAAGAGAATGAAAAATTAGAATAAAAAATTGAAAGCGTAAGAGATTCCAAATATTAATTAGCTACAAGAAAGAAGAGAATTGGACAAAGATGTATACTAAAAAGGTAAAGAAAGATATGAAAAAGAAATGGCTACATTAAAGTAAAATATTAAGGAGTTATTAATTTAATAATCAGAGTTGAAAGAATCCAAATTAAATTTAGAATTAGAGTTATAATAAAATAAAGCTAGATTGGAAAGATCGTAGGAATAGATGAAAACTATGGAAACTGAATATGGATAAAAAATTAGAGAACTTTAAGATTTACTTGAGACTTTGCATTAAACTGAAGAAGAAGATATGCCTAAAATAACAAGTACCAATAATCAATAATTGGCTTAAGAAATGAAGTTATCAACGAATGCCAAAAACGAAAATTTCGAAAGAGACTACTATATAAAAGAAAATCATAAAATGGAAGAAAAAATAAAAGAGTTACAAGCAGAAAACAATGAAGTGAAGATGGAATTGGAAAGTAAGAATTAGAAAAGCAAATTTGAATCATAACTTCAATAATCTTAATAAATTTCATTTTTAACAGATAAAATTAAATAATTTTAAGAACATAACTAATAATTAAAAAAATAGAATGAAGAGTTAAAAAAATAGACTCAAAATAAGAAGGTTTCTCAAATTGACTATGAGATAAGTCTGCTTTCTTTGTTATCAGATGCTTTAGCAAAAAAGGTTAAAGACAGTAAGAGTTAAGAAAAAGAATGATATTTTATATATAGTGATAATTCATAAATTAAGTGATTGTGAATTTTTTTAATTTCAAAGTAATTACTTGAAAACTTATAATCAATTTTTCAATAATAATAATAACTAGAAAAGATGGGGTCAGCTTGTAAAAATTGCCATCAAACTTCTTAAGTGGAATCAGAAATTTAACTAAAACCTGTTTAAAAAGTCCCATCTAAACAAACTATTATTAGCAACGCTGGTGAGTTATGAAATTTAATTTAAGATTCCATTCCTTTGAATTTAGAGGATGAAGAATTAGTCAAAAATGCAACTACCTTAACAAAATTTCATAAGATGTAAATGAAGAATATGGGATATTATGAAGGAGAATGGTTGAATGGAATGAGGCATGGATCAGGAATTTATGTATGAGAATATTTAAACTATAGACTTGGAGTGACAATACAGTATATACAGGCTAGTTTTAAAATGATTAATTGCATGGAAAAGGTTAAATTATCCACCCAAATGGAGATGTTTATGAAGGGGAGTGGTCTAATGATTTAGCAAATGGTTTAGGAATTTTCAAATAGTGCAATCAAAGTACTTATACTGGATAATGGAAAGATGACCTCTAACATGGTGATGGAATAGAAGAATGGCCATAATAAATTAAATATGAAGTTTTTTAATTAAGTATTATTAGATTTATAGGGTTAATATGTAAAAGGTAAAAAACATGGAAGAGGGAAAATCATATTTGAAGATGGCAGTAGATATGAAGGAGAATTTATTAATAATTAGGTTTGTGGCAATGGAGAATTTTATTGGTAATAAGGAAAATATTATAAGGGACAATGGAAAGATAATCAAATGAATGGTATATTTAATTCATTAACTAGTTTATAGGGAAAGGTGAAACGTTTTGGCCTGATGGCAAACATTATGTAGGAGAATATGAAAATGATAAAAAACATGGATAAGGATAATTCACATGGGAAAATGGTAAAGTGTACATAGGAGGTTGGAATCAAGGAAAATAACATGGTAAAGGATTTATTGTTGAGGATGGCGTTAAAAAAGAATGTATATTTGAGAATGGTAGATTAGTGAATAATAATTGATATTATTGCTATCACTCTGACAAATTTTCTATCAATAGATCTAAGTCATTTATTATAATACTTTATGCAGAGATTTATCATTTTTTAAGTTTGAAATCCCAATTTAACTTTGCTTTGCTAAATTTTTTCCAGTCGTTTCTTCAAACAGATAATTCTGTATTCTAATTTGAATAGTAAATCCTCATAGTGAAAATGAAATTTCTTAGAATATAATTGAAAACGTTTTAGTAAATTTAGAAAGAGTTGGTAGTTCTTTAATATTTGAGTTATATTAATTCCATCAATACTTATATCATTTCATTTTGTTTCGCACTAGCTAAGTAAATTTAGTAAAATTCTTCCTTCTACTACATGCTTAGTTATCTCAATCTAATTCATTCCGTAATATCTTATCATTTTTATCAAACCATCTTCATTAACACTCTATGCTACTCTGATGTTATAAGTTTTTATGTTAGATTCAGCTTTTAATCTTACATATTAGCTTATCACTAGATTTATTCATAATAGATACAATAAATATTTGAAAAAATTTAAGCTGATTCTTCTCATTATCAAAATTTATCATTAAATGTTATGAAATTTTATCCTTCAATTAAAAATAATAAAATATATTCTCATATTTAAATATTATTTAGAATTAGTAAATATATTTGATAAGCTAATAGTTATGGTTTTGTCTATCATAAATGTTTCATATTAGTTTCTAATATTTTTTATTTCATCTATAAACATAATGAATAAATAGAATTTTTTAATCCTTAAGTATTTTTTAAACATTTACTTAATCAATTATTATAAAGAAAATGGAAAAATTATTTAGATTTTTGATCAGTTAATTTTTTTATTTTTTAAAATATTAATATTAACGAATACTTAATAATACATATAAATATATATATAAATTCAAATTATTCCTTCATATTATTATTTTTGCTATTCCTCATCCAATATTTTTAAGCTTTTCTCTAAAATTCCATCCAACTACATAATAAGAATGAAATACCTATGTTTTTTAACATTATATTCTCAATTATAAATCCTAATAGTAGCCTTTAGTATTGAAATAAATTTCTTGACTGTTGCTAATATTCAAGATATTATTTGGCAAATTATTTGGTTTGATTTCTTTAGTGAATTAATCTTGTTTTAATTTATTTTCTGGTCTTGGTTTATAAGACATCTTTAATTGTAATAATTATTAATGAAATAATAATATAATATTTGTTATTCATAAACTCATTTTCCGATTGTAAACAAAATATTGATCATTAAAAGACCAATAATTGCGTAAGCCAATTAAGTCAACCTATCTAATTTGATATTCAAGTCTTATTACACTGGTTATTACTACTTTTCTACGAAGACTTCCTTAACTTTATTTTCAATTAATTATTATTAATTTTATTGTTGATTTTAATTACTCTCAAGCAAGATTTAAGATTCTTATTACACTTGTTCAAGAATTACCTATGGAGCTTCTTCTTTTTCCCTGTTTTAGCTTACTTTTTCAACTTAAACTTCTATTTCTTACTTAATCTCAACTTCAGCTTTTGGTTGCTATCTCTCATTTTATACTCTTTTTGATATTATTTTATTTTGCCCTTCTTCATAGGCTTGTTTCAAACACTTCTCCCAAACCTCAGTGTTTTCTTTTTTACTACTACTTTCAATTTTACTTTTGAAAACAGTTGATTTCATAAAATGGATATAATATCCATAATTTACTTGGCATCCATCTTCTATTTAATGAATATGCCAAAATACTCGACAACAAAAACTGTCTGCATAAGGTATTTTAGCAAATTTTACTTCCTTTTCTAACACGCTTTCATCTTGATCGAGATAATATTGGACATCTTCTGCCAAACAATGAACCACATCTGGGGCAAACATTTATTTTTCTTTAACTGGATGAATAAGATTGATTGGTCTTTTTGAGATCTGTCCAATCTATGGTTAAGGTTGATACTTTTAGAAATTAATTTCCTTATCTAAACACAACACAACTTAATAGTAATGAGGGAATGATAAGCAATTTTCATAAGGGTTATCTAATAAGAAGAAATCCAAAAATTCTTTCACGCTCACTTTTAATTAAATTTTGAATTTTTAAATTGTAGGTTAATTCATGTATCTAGTGGATTTATTTTAAACCATAATTTCATTATATAGACTATTAGATTAATTATTTGTTTAATCAACTTCAAATTAAGAGACTTTTGGTAGGGCAGGATTAGATTAGCCTTAATTGTCTGCATTGCTTATTGTGGCTTGCTATTGTTATTGCTCTGTTGTTCCTTATTAATCGATTACTTAACTTTATTTTTATTAGGAAGTTGGTTCTTGAGAAGACCTTTTCTCTTCAGACTATTAATTTTATTCATTAGTTTTAATTTAAGGAATTTACTATTATTGCTGATGTTGTTATTATTATTATTATTATTATTATTATTATTATTGCTATTATTATTATTGTTATTATTATTATTGTTATTATTGTTATTATTATTATTATTGTTATTATTGTTATTGTTGTTACTATGGTTATTATTAGAAATTTAAATTTTTTGGACTTTATTCAATTTATTATAATTTATCGCTTGATTCTATATTTTTCAAATTTATTGATTCAGCTTAAAAATTTTAGGGTTTTGGAGAAGGACTTCGAATGACTTATTACTTTTCTTACGTCTTTGCTATTTATTAGGTTTCCACATAAACCTGTTGTATATTTCTTTCTGGTTCATTTTCAATTCTTTCTTCAATAACTCCTGATTCTAAACCTTTTACCTATTTTAAGCTTCCTAATGTTCCGTCTCGATTCGCTAAACTTGCAAAGACTAATGTTCCTTTTAATGTTTTAAACTCTAGGGCTGCATCAACCATATATGCTTTAACTCTCCTTATACTTTATATATCAATTGATGGAATGCCTAAAGCAGTAGTTCCAAAGAGAGTCTTTATAAATTAAATTAAATACTTTGCCATTAAAATATGAATGGAAGCAAACCTTAGATGAGAAAATGTACATTCTTCCTTGTAATAGAATTTTGTTATCGAATGCACATGCATAACTTGCAATGCATTTATCCCCTTCTAAAATTCTAAACTTTTCAATAAGTTTTTAAGAAACTTTAACCGAACCTTCTTCCAAATTTATATCATCACTTTCACTTTCTTCTTATTGTTGGAGTAATATAGCTGTTTCTATTTTAGACTTGATTTCATCAGTCATTTCAAAGATTTTTTAAAATTTCAAATCTTGCTAATCAAGTTTCGTTATAATCATTGTTCCATATTCAATTTATGATATCTTCTCCTAAATTTAACTAAGAGATTCTTCTTGCTGTTTAGTTTATGTTACAATTTCATCAATGAATGAACTATAATGATTTAATATTTATTCTAAAGTTTAAATGATTTAATTTGATCTTTGAAATTCATTTGCTCTTACTTACTCAACAGAATACTTAATTGCTATGCAATTTTCTTAAATTTACTTCTTTAATGTTTAAAATAAATTATCTTTGATCGCCGGTTTTTACTCATTCTCTACAATTTATTACTTTAGACCTTAAAAATCTTTTAACATCTTCTAATACATATTTAGAAAACTTTTTTCTTAATTTTTTTATTCCTTTATTAATTAATCTAGGCATTAAGCTTTCAATTAAATAAATTGCGATTATTAGTTATACTTTTTGGAATATTACTCATTTTATTTAACCAATAGTTCTTATACTTAAAGTATAGGTTTGATAAAATTGGACTTATCTTTGTCTGATTTATCCTAAATAAATGATAAAGTTAATTACTTAAATGAATTATAATGTTGATTTTATCGATTTTTATAAGTTTTTTGAAAGTGCATCCATTTAATTTGACATTTCGATTAGATAATTTGGCAGAGTCTTTTAATTTTTAATTCTATCATTTATAAAAGACAATTAAGCATCAATATGTTTATGCAAGACATCTGGAAACATCAAATATTCTTAATCTGTTACAGGTTTTTTTTCTATAACTTTATTCATAATGTTGATATATCTGAAAGAATTATCTTATTCATATTTAGATGTTATTATTCGATCCTCCATGTCTTATTCATATTTGGGCATAGTTATAATCTTTTCTTACTTCTCATCCATCTAACCTTTGATCCAACAATTTGCTGATAACTTGTGCTAATCAAGTTTCATTGTGATTTCTACAAACCTTTAATAGGTTAATTAATGTGCTTGAATTAATTACTACCTTGAATCATCAATAGCTTAATTAAATTCTTTAGTTCTAATAATTAAACTATCAAAAGCATCTTTGTATTATTATTCTGCAGGTTCCACTTACTTAACTAATTCCTTCAATTTTTAATCGTTCTTTTGGGATAGATTGAGATCGTAACCAGTTAAAACATCTTCTGAGTTTTTCTTACCAGAATTCAAAGTCATTTCTATTTCTTTACAGAGTTTATCGTATTTATCTTTGGCTTTTTTGCAATTTTATCTTTGTTATGCGAGTTATTGCGATTGTTAAAAATTACCATCTGTTATTATTTTTGTGAAAATATTCATTTTCTCATTATATTATTCGATGCTTTGAGAAAAGAATTACTAAAATTCTGAAAATGATGAAAGTGTAGATTTTGAGATCAATTCAAAAAGTTGTATGAATTCCATCAAATTATGTCCTTAAAATAAATATAGTCATATACCTAAACTAATTGGATCATTTACTGATAGTGAAATTTATGATGTATATTATTTGTTAAATGGTCCATATTTCTTAAAATGTGTGTCAAATTCATTTTATGAATCAGTTGTATACTTTGAGAATTGCTTCATTATTTTTTTAAGATCCTCTAATTTGTCATTTAAATTGGAAGTGGCAGCCTATTCAGAAGCGTTGAGCATTAATAATAATTTTTATTTAATGAAAAACACTTGTAATTTCAATTGAGTTATATAATATTCAACCACTCTACAAGATGTGATAAATTAGGTTTTCGCAATAAATACTCTTAAATTGTCTCTGTAAATTCATCACTCACTAAACCTTCTGCTCTTTCACCAACTGAGATTTCTTTAGCACTTTATTTTCTCTTAGAGTCTTTTTAAATGAATGGTGATATTATTTCATCAAAATATTTGTAAAATTAATATTGAATTTCGAAAGTTCTTAAATTTATTTCAAATCTTAATACTTTCTTTTTTGAGTTAAGTAATAAATTTTTATCATCTATTCTATATCTATGACTGAATAAAATTTAAATGAAGCCCTTTTCTGAATCAAGTCTCCATAAAGTACCCCAAATATTATTACTAACAAGTAATTATTATTCTAATTCATCAACTTTCGATAACAATATTGGCATTTAATGAATTGCTGAAAATATTATCTCATTAGCCATCTTATTAGAATTTTAAAACTAATGTTTCAATGATAATTAAACTATTTCTCCTTTATTTATTTCTGTTTTTTATTTGTAATCAATCTTTAAGCCAGATAATACCAATCTATTTTCTTGCAATTCTCTATAGAACTCATTAAAGATATCTTAAATTTCTAAATTGCCATCAATCTATTTCTAATTCTAAAATGTGTATTGAACATTGGCCTATTTATATGTAAATGTTATTTAATATCGTTTTTTATCATAATAGATGCTACTTACTTGATATCCAAGACATTAGATCAACATAGCTCTTATTTGCTAAGAAGATCCTTTATTTTATTCCTACTGTTTTGGTTCATCTAACTAATTTTCAAATAAATCTTCTCTATCTTGTATTTAATCCACTTTATTATTATTATTCATCTTTGAATCAAGTTACTTTTATTCAATGTCATTTAATTAAATTAATTTCTATTGAAGTTTGCTTATCCTTTGGTACAACACATCTTAAATTTGTAAAATTTCTTATTCTTCTCTGGTAATAACTCTTTTCAATGTAGCATCATTCATTTCAGCTAAAGAATTTAACTATTATAGATCCTTTACTATATCAATTTCAACAGGTTTCACATTTTTTCTATAGGATTATTTTCCAGTGTTTTCCTCCATTCGAATTGCTTTTGGTGTTCTTTATTGTAGTTATTATGACGTTTGAATAAGTTAATTTTAAATCGGTGCCTATTTTTGTATAGAATATTGAATTTAAATTGATTAAGCAACAGGCAACTCATTTTACTGAGGTTCTTGCTTTTTAGAACTTGGCTGCTCTTCAGAAATTGGACTCAATTTTGGCGGTGTTGATTCAGCAACTTTTCCAATAAATGGAATAAAGGAAACTTTTCTAGTTCTATTGCTTTCCAGATCAAATTAAGAAGATGGCATCGGTTATGGAGCTTAAGAAACTACCTACGCTGGTTGAGTGATTTATTACGATGGCATTCTTTAATCCTACTTTGGTTCTTCAACTGTGTTAATTTATAAAGATGATTGATTTTATTCATCTTTTGGTTCCTGTTGACTTTCAAAAAACCAAGAAACTCTCTTTTCTTATTTACATAATAATCTTACTTTTGCTCATATTTATTCAACTTCAAATTTAAATTAATACGCCAATAAAATATTTATAAAATTATATTTATATATAAAAAATGAATAAATTTTGTTTCATAATACTTATCTATAGATAACCCATTAAATAGGCACAAATAATTTGATATTATAAATTTTCTACTATACGACATAGCAGAAAATCAATTTATTTTATCCTTTATTTGTAAACTACCAACAAAATGGTTATTCTCTATTTTTTAAAGGCCTATTTTATAGTAATCATCCATATGACTTTGCATCCAAAAATAAAATGATTAAATATGAGAAAGAGGAATTAGGTGGTTCTATTATTAATGTTGAAATTTTTAAATTGCTTTTAAAAAATGTAATGATGATTATTGCCAGCTAATTTTCCTGTTGTCTATGGAATTATTATAATTTCAATTAGGTCAAAGACAAATTATAAGATTTTGCTTTAAGTTACAAATATTTAGAATAAGTAGAAATATTTTCTATAGAGTTACAAATATATATATATCCAAATTAAAACAAACTTACTTTTATAAAATACAATAAGATTGCATCATAATTTCTATTATTACTTTCAATTAATAACAAATTTTACAGCTTTTTTAGATCTCAAATAGTATAATTTACTTAATATTTTGTATTGCTTAATGGTTTAGAGAGTTTATTTTATTAGTCATTAAATAGATCGAGTTTTATTAGAGAATTGAAATAGATTTTATTTTATTCTATTATTATAACAATCAAAAGTTAGTGATATAAAGTATATCAATTAACCCTTATCTCTTCCTTATTATTATTTCAAAGGTAGTTAGTTATTCATAAAATTATATTAAATGATATTTAATTTATATATCTATAAGCCTATTTTATTATATGTTATACTCAAACACTGGGTCCAAAACTCTTATCCTTAAAGAAATTAGTTAACATATAAATTTATATTAAACACACGCTCATCAAAACTACAATTTTACATAAAGCACACCACTTTACTTAATTTTCAGTGCTTTCCATCACTAAGAATATATTTAATGATATACATTTCTCATGGTAATTCTCTCGGTCAATTTAAAAGTGTTGATTTCTATAAACTTTATGCATCTTCGATAATACTTATTTTAATGATCCTTCAGTCTCATCCATTTAGTCTATAATTTATTCAAATATCAATAATACTTTTATCAGCAAAGTTCTTATCTACTCCACTAATATCCAAATCAAAGCTGAATATTTTATAGTAACTATCATTAGATTAAAAGCATAAATAAATTTCTTTTTTTCCTTTGACAAGATGTTTTAATTATCCTTCTCTTTTCCCTTCTTAAGATTCTAAAGTTTTGTTATATTCAATATTGTTTTCTAAGATTGTTTCAAATAACTAATACAACATTATATATACTTCCACAAAAACATTTTCTTCATTTATTCCTGTTACAACATAGGGCACCTTGACTATTTATCCATCATAACCATCAAAAAAGAAACATTTTACTGACCCTCCTTCAACTCCTATTGAAACACAATTGATGAGCTACAATAGACATCCAATTATAAATAAATTCTTCATTAATTTATGGTTAGATTTCCAATTTAAGTAATTAATGCTCTATAAACTTGAAAATTTTTACACATCAGATATCCATCGTTTTATTGTAATTGTTGAATGAAAATGCAATTATGAATTTGTAGGTGAACGTCAAATTTGTTGTTTATCCTTTTTTGATTATATCTTTCATTTAAAAATTGCAAAGAATAAAGTAGAATAAAGTAAAAAATGGAATCAGCCGACAAAAATTAAAAATTGATTTACTTATCATATTCTAAGGGTGATATTTAAAAATTAGGAATATAATATTATACATAAAGCTGCAAATTTAGATAAGAATATTTCTAAAAATAGTAAATTAGATATACAATTTTGAGAATATATTTAGAAAAGAAGCTTACCGAGTCTTAAGTTATAAACAATATAGATGTCATCAAATAGTTTTTTCTTTTATTTAGCAACTGATTTAAATGATCGAGATTTATTATATTTAGCTTAATTTTGATAATTTCTGCAATATAAAAATTGAATTAAAATATGAAATGGAATTTTTTAGGGGAATTCATAAGTTTGATCATTTAAACCAATCTATCACCATCATTAAATAATTCTTACTTCACAACCTTTTAGATAACAATATACTATTTGCAGTTAACATATTTCTTAATCAGCGAAAATCATGAATACATTTATCGTTTAATTAATGCTTTATCGAAAATTAGTTTGATAACTCCAATATTTATAGAGACTTATGAAATCAACATACTGATTGGAGTACTTATCATTTTAATAAATTTCATTCCATACCTTATTGTGATTTATCGAAGAATTAAGAATGTGAATAAGAAAGTAGGTAATATATCTAAGAGCATATTACAAGTATGAATATTATAACATATTTAGATCTCAACTATGATAATTAACTTTTATTTTTTATATTTCACTTGGTTTCTGTATTTGCCTCAATTATATTATATCGGATGGAATTTGGTCCAATCAGATACCAGACTTGTGATTTTAGCTACAATTGTTCTAATAATAACAATATTGAGTCTGACTATTTCGAATGTATATTTTGTTAATTTCGAATTCAACGAACAACATTTAAGGAAACACTTCTCATACAACAATATCATTGCTTAGACATTAGTAATTCCAATGGCTATATTATATTTGAAAAACGATGAAATAATGTAGATCGTGAGTAGGGCTTTGCATGGATTAATATTGCTAATGTAGATTTACGAAGCATACTTTTAATTACCTTTTGGGTAAGATATTAATCTAATAATTTTAGATTTTCTTAATAAGGCTACATATTAAATAGAGCTCTAATGACTCATTCTGTAGTATTTCTATTCTCTTCAATCAAGGCTTAGAGCACGGCAAGTCCTTACAGCTTGGCAACTATCATGTTAATTATGCAGCCAGTTGTATAATATTTGTTTTAAATTCTTTTTGATAGCAAAAGAGCTAATGCTTACCTTTCAATAAATAAGACAAATAATCAATATTATGAGTTGTTATACATCGAAGATTTCTTTGAGTTGAGTTAATTGGCATAGAAAAATAAAACTAAGGAAATTGAATTAATATAAAAATTCAGTCTTCACATGAATCGATGTAATTCAACTAAATGTTAATGCAAGAAAATAGGATCATCAAAAATATTATTATTTGATTAAACTGTGCTTTTAATATCTTGTTTGTTCAAAGGCAGTTTCGAGAAACACAAATAAAATTCTCAAGATTTAAGAGTTTTTGAAATATTCAGCCTTAAATTCTTAACCTTTATTAATAAATACAAGCACAATGCCCCAAAAACCTATTAAGAATTAAAAATATTTTTTTAAAAAAAGCGAGATTATTCATTTTATTTCATATAGATGTGTTTATTATTGCAGTTCATACTCTAGGCTTAAATGCAGAAAGATGAAGATTACAATATAAATAAAGAGACCAGAGTTTCCAATGTTAAGTTATAGGTGAGCAAGAGTGAAAGAAGTATAGTCTAAAATCTTTATTAAATGGAGTAAGTTAAGCAAAATATGATCCCACTATTAACCGAGATTAGTCAATTTAAATCTTAATTCTGGAAGTCATTTAAAGAGGCCAAATTTTCAGATTATCTTTAAATTGAAGAGCAGATAAAAAAACTATAGAAACTACGAGACGATGTTATGTATTAATTCAACATTTATTATCAAATATTTTATCATAACGGTAGAACCTTTAATGTTCAATTTTTAAAAGTTAATGCTTTAATAAATCTGTTATTGTTTAATAATGTGAGAAAGTATTTTGAAATGGAGAAAGGTAAAGTATAATAATATCATTAGAAAGGAGAGAAATCTTGTAATTTGAGAAAAGCATGAACTCCTTTGAAATAACTAACATAAACTTTTTTAAAGGAGAAGCAATATCAGTTAAAGTATGTATAGCTTTTGGTCCGAATATTGGAAAAGTTTTAAATAAGGTAATATCTCCATTGATTCCAAAATTTTTTGGATTTGGAAAGTTTCCTAATCCAATTAATTCTTTCATTGATTTTACAAAGGGAAATATTAATACTTTGATGCCACCTTGGCTTGAAGCAATTCATGATGAAATAATGTAAAATTATATTCGAAGAGGTGTTACAGCAAGAATTGGCAAGTATTTTTAAACTTTTGCAAAATTGTATGACAAAACATTGATAAGATGTTAAGTTTATTTGGCACATAATTTTAGTTAAGAATTAGAAGATGATTTCACAATGATCGGATGTTTAAAGTCATTGGAAGAGGAATAACCAAAGTTTGTAGGAGACGAAGGCAAGAAATTAAAGAATATTGCATTTAAAGGAGCTCAACACATTCTGTTTGATGTGAATGGAAATATAATGGGTATAACGAAAGGCCTATATAAAATGATTGAAAGATTGTAGAGAGTTGTAACTAATAATAAAGGAGGAACCTATCATGAAGATGAGCTTGCGCATTAAAGTGGATAGAAATCAGGATCAGAGAAATCATCATTCGAATCTGAAAGGTATTATGTTAAATTTAATCAGTTATGATGTGTTTGATTAGAAATGGTCGAATACTCCATTGTAGATCGATGAGTTTTATAATAAGGTGTTGATTTGGATGATCTTACCATTTATATCCAGGGAGATAGAATCAACAGGAATAGAGTTCTTAATGAATGGACAAGCTCCTCCCAAAAATAGATATGGTAATCTAATTGATTTAGAGAATGGGAATCAAGTTGTATAAAATAAAGAGACTTACTTATTTGTTCCTGAAGATTTAAATTTGTTTGTTGAATAGTATGACAAAGTGATTACAAAGATCGTTGATGATGTGAGAGTGTAATCAAACAATTTTTCTTCTGGAAGTGCCTATAGAGGAGGTTTAAGAAGTGATTATCAAGACAGTGATCATTAAAGTATGGTTTAAGTAGTCACCATTTTTGATGAGAAGTTGTGTGTGTTCTTTTATGATGAACATTTGAAGAGACATCAAGCATTACTATTTGGATAGACAAGACAATCAGAAATACAGAAGAGTCAAGGGAGACCTTCTTCAAAATCATCTTTACCAGAGAAATAAACCATTAGCAGTGAGGAAGATAGTGAATAACTAAAAACCAGGGCTGAAAAAATATATTAGGATAGATACTCAAAATACATTGAGAAATTCTCACCGTAGGATTTCAATCCTATTCCAGTAGTTTACTCTGTATTTTATGAAGAATATCGATATAAGAAGAATGATACCGATCATAAGCAATAGATGTTTGTAATAGAATTAATTGTCAATGATTAATAATTATTGAATACAGAAAAAGGGTACAAAAGATAATTAAGAGAGACTATTAAATAGACATATCAGCATTATCAATCGAAAAAGATTCTATTAGAATAAAGAACAGAGGGGGATGACTCCATGAGTGTATAAGGAAATTTCAGTGAATAGAGGAGTATACACGAAGGAGATATAATCAATTACAATTTCCCATCTCACCCTTCACATTACTATGAAGACATCTACTTTGTAGAAAATCAATAAATTCTACAAACAGATTAAATATATAGTCCGAGATAGGATGGTAAGTCAGAAGGTCTGTTGTTAAGTGATCGATCAAGATGGAGTAAACCTCTCATTGAAAAAGATAAAAAGTCTTAAGGAGGCCAAAAGAAGAAGAGCTAAGTTTCTGTAAATTCGGAACATAGTAGAGATGAAATTTAGTTTAAAGGATCCTATTCAAATTTGAAGTTTCCAGAAAAAGAGATTGCTAAGAAAGCACTGTCTAGAATAAATCAAAAAAGGAAACAGCAAGATTTCTTTAATGATAATGAATCTAAAATACCTTTAGAGAGCAAAGGTTCCTAGTAATAAAACATTGAAGAATTTTAAGTTAAATATTCTGAAGGTTTAAAATTATTTGATTCTCATTATAAGATTGTTCAGTAGAAAACTTCTGATATGAGGAATCCAAATTCATTTAAAATTCAAAAGTATTTATTGATAACAACATTTGTTTTAATAGTAAGTTATATCATCCTTATTTCTGTTGCAGTATAAATGCAATACGATCTAAGTGGATGCTATAATTTGCTTGAATTAATGATAGCTACCTAAAAATCCTATTCTCAAATTACTCATAGTTTGTATCGTTTGGAGTTATCAGATTTACTCCATTTGGACAATACGGACATCTTGAAGTAATTTTATGAAAAGTAAATCTTTTCTGAATTGCAATAGTTGATTGATATTTAAAGCAATTAAATCATTGAAATCAATAATGTGGAAGTAGGCTTAGATTATTTCTATGATATTGAAGACAAAGTGCAAGTTAAACCAACACTTTAATAAACTATTTAATTTACTCTTGGTTAATTCTATAAGTTAAAATAGAATGAAACAAGTGATATTTACAAATACAATTCCTCATTAACATTTGCATCCGTAGCCAATCTTTAGGGTATTGGGGAATTACCACAAAAGGCATATGACTTCTGTTTTGATGACAGAGTCTCCAATGAAAATACGTATTAAACTCTTTTAATCATTTATATGGTGGTCATCTTCTTTTTAGTTATGATTTTATAATTTTCCCATATTCCATTAATTGGAAAATTAAGAAAGAGTCATCGGACATTTTACAAGGAGATTATTAAATTGTAATAAAATGAAGTAAATGATGAAATTGAAATATACGAAACAGTTGAAAATATATTAAAAAAGTCAATTTATGAATGGATGTTGATTGATTTTGTTTAAGAATCTTAAATGTTTGAGACTGTTAGAGAACATAGAACAAGTGCCCTAACTCCAGGGAGGGAAATGCATACCGACATAAGTTCAGGGGCAGTCTCTTCATCTAATAAAAAGAATAAATATAAATTGATGGAAAAATTGAAGAAATCTTAAATGAGATAGATTAAATACTTTGTAATATTAATGGTTGGGTTGTTTGTTATTTTAGCATATTTCCTGATAATATTCTTAGTAATTTTTATCTTATCAAAAGATCTATTGTCTAATCTAGAAATTCTATTTAAATTTAAATTAGTTTAATCGTCAGTAATTAATTTAATAAATAATATGGATTTGGTAGCATTTTCAAGTGTAAATAATTCGCTATTCGAAAACATCATGTCAGTGCAAACTTATTAGAATTACGCATCAGTGCTAAGTGGTGATACAACTGACTTTTTTGAACAATACTCAAATGAATTTATTTCTGCACTTACTGATGATAAATTGAAATAGAATCTCGATACTATGAATTAAAACAATATTTGTGAATCTGGAATTGGAATTGATTGTGTGTCAACTGATGCTGTGACCTTGAATCCATGGCTTCTACCATATTATTAATAAGGATTGAAGTCTTTGTTGACCTAAGTCGATAAGATTATTTCTCAATATCCATAGTTTTTTTATGATGAGAATGTATAAAATACTTAAGACATTCTTTTCGAATTTTATTAAAGTCAAGAGCATTTGATTTATATAGATTACGGAAGCGAATTACTAATAAAGGCTCAGAAGCAAATTATCGATACAGCCTATAATGAGTTTGATTAATCTTTGAATTTTTACAAGCAAACTTTGTTGATCTTCACTTTGAGCGTGGGCGTGGCTGGGTTTTGTATTATAGGTTTTTTGGGGAATCTCATACTTAAGATGTAAAAAGATTCAATAGAAACATGTTAGGCAGCCTTACTATTGTTATCACCTAAGCGATACCTAAATAAATCGATGGGTTTATTAACATAAAAAAAGTTATGATTTTTTGTGTATAATTAATATGAATTAAGCTATAAAAGATTAAGCTAATCAATTATAATCTAATTACGAGTAGTCTCGAATTGGAGTGGCTTTTGGAGATGAATTTGAATAAGGTCCAGTTTCCTTTAGGTAATAATTTGAGAATCTAATTGAGAGCTGAAGCCCACTTCAATGAGCAAAAGGCAATAGACCAATATGATACACTCAAGAACATAGTTGGAGATCATATTGATATTGATTGGGCTCTAGTTTGTTTCCTCCGATATCAACCTGGTAAAAAGGATGCATTGATATAATCAATCACAAAAATTAAAGATAGACGTAGAAAGTAATAATCAATCATTAGCTCGTTTTGAGGCCTTTGAATGTAAGATCCATTCGGATGAAACCTATGTTTATTTCTCTATTAAACTCAGAGAAGATGAAGAAAGTAAAATAAAGGGAAGCCTTGAAATAATATTAGAAAATGGTAATTCATATTCGTAACTTAAGGATTAAGAGAAATTGTTAAGAACTAAGACAATTACCTTAACTTTGAATTTGATGCAAACTATGATTTTGAATAATTAGTTGAAGCTGTAAATAAAGGAGAAAGGGTTGGAGCTGCCTTTTTGAAATAAATTAGGTAAAATAATTTTATAAACAAAGAGCTGAAGTGAACTTATTTTTGACAAAAAACTTCTATCAAGGAATTGAAAAATTAGTTGAGGGGATTGATAAAGATGCATTAGAATCTCCTCCTTTGGCGTTCTTAAAACATTTTAAGAATTTAGACATGGATTTGAGATTCAGATCAACCGAGGAATTACCTCAAGTTATTAAGAATTAGATGATCTTTGGAGAAGAATTTTAGACATTAGCATAGGAAGAATTACAATTGCCAATTAATCGTACAAAATAAGTCAATGCTATTATGGATGTAATCAATCATCAGTTATTTAGGCAGCTGCAGATAATGGATTCATTTATTTGACAATCTCAGATTTATTAGCCATCAAAATTGATTCTCATACTCCTAAATTGTCAACATTTTTAACAAAATATGGAAAATACTTGGCTAAATTAGTAGGATTAGGAGAATTTGTTCCAGAAGCATGATATAAAAGATAATTATTAACAATAATTGTGTTATCTTATTCAATAATAGCAATGTGTGATGTCATAGATCTAATCACTTGGTCTATCAATTTCTGATTTAATGCCTGAGTTGCGTCTAGTTCTTCCAGATTCATATTTAAATATAGGTCCGGAAATGTCTTCATCACATTGTAAACATTAATTTAGCTAACCATTCTTCACAAAATCTTCAATTGTAAAAAAAGACCCACTTTAAGTATTAGAATTAATTTATTACATACAAACCCAGAAACATGATTTTTTTGTATTTAAAGTATTGTACAACCAAACTTAAGCACATGTATCTGAAAATCCTAAATCCTTTATGCATTGTAAAAGATAATACTCAGACAATCCATACATTAAACCACACTATCTTACTAGCCTAGTCAAGTCAGTTTTAAGATAAACAACCAAATCTTATAATGTAGAACATGCTCCACATTTTCCTTAATGAGTCACAATGAATTGATTCTCTTCAGCCTCTTCCTTTGAATTAAATTGTTTTAATTGATATCTAAATATTAAGATATTATAACATTTGCTTTTCATCATCATCGTATTTAATTGCACAAACACTCTTGCTATCCTTAAGATTATCTTAAACTTTTTATTAATAGGCCAGATCAACAATTTCATAAGGATTCTTTGCGTATGAAAGTATGGGATCCCTGATTTGTTTGGATTTGAAGGCGTTTACAGCTTCATCAACATCACAGCTAAGCACTGTAACTATTAGAAACAAATGCAATTTTTACATTAATAATATATTAATAATATTATCAATTGGAATTACTATTTTCTTATATCATTCTTGTTTATCTCCTTACTTAATTAAATTATCTAAGAAATCATCACAATCTTCATCACTATCTCCTGTTTTTGTTTAGATCTTTTGTTCAAACTTAGCAACTAATTACTCATCATCATCTTCACTTTCATCAGATCCATTATCTTTTTTGATAATTTACTATTTTTAATTGATGACTTCTATTTATTCCTATTATACTTATATTTGTTATTATTTTGGTGATGCTGACTATTCTTATTACTATTAAGGCGGATTTTTAACTTATTCTGTAATATAATTATTATGGTTAAATGTCGTTTTTGATACTCTTATTATTATTATTATTATTATTTTGTTATTGTTTTTGTTATGTTTATTTTTCATCTGAATCCTCGTAATCTTTTTTTTCTATTTCATTTCCCAAACTGAATACTTCTTCTTTGGACTTTTATTCATGTTGTTATACTTCCAATCCATCGATAACATGCTTTTCTTTTACTACTAATCCTTTACATTCTTATACAATTTATAATAATAATTAATTAGATGACTTGGTTTCATTACTAAAGGTTTATGGTCTATCTGCAGTTTAGAATGATTTTTAATTTCCTCTTTCAAAAATAAAATCAACAAAAAAATCTTTCTCTGTTTTCATTTATGGACTTTTATCTAATTCCCTATCCCATACTCTAAGTACGTTATCAAATAAAAAGGAACAATTAAACATAACTCTGAATAAAGCCACTCTAGTTTTATTATTCTCAAAGTGTTTGCATCTAACTAATATGTCATCTGAAAGCTAATAGATATTGATATGATTTTACTTCAATTCCTTTGAGATCGAATATGCAACTTAAATCTCCTTATTAATAATTTTTTAGTTCTCCATCAGTCAATGAATTGAAGATAGACTTGTCATTCTTGAACAATTGGATGTATGGTCTGAACATAGTGCAATTTTAGACTTTAGGAATTCCAGATATAACAATTGAAATCAATCTTAAACAAGAACTATTTAATTTCAGACCATTTAAGACATTCCCAACATAAGTGATGTATTAATGCTAAGATGGAAATAAGGCTTAGAAATCTTTTGTGTTGGTCTTTTCACATACTCTTAATAAGCATTCGCCTGGCTAAAATGTTATATTAGATTAAATTACGTAACCAGCACCCATAATCGCCAACAATGATGATATTACCATGATACTTCTACCCCTAGTTTCTTGGCAACACACAATTGCAATGTTGTTCCTATCACTACTTAGAAAATAGATTATATTTTTGCAAATCGTCAATAGCTCGATCAATGGTGGACATGGATATCCTGGATGTGAATGATTGGCAACCTACTTACTTTTTCACTCTACTTAATTGCAAAACCATTCAGTTGTAAACTCTCTTTCTCCAACATTCCAAATATAGTAATGATTCTGATGATTAGTGTTTAAATAGCTCGATAATTTTTCTATTTTATCATTGGATGGATATTCCATCCAAAATAATCTATTGCTTATTGCTACTATGTCGCCTTAAATTGCTTATTTGTTTAATTTATCAAGGGTGTTTGAAGCAATTTATTTTGTGTGAGAGGCCAGGTTTTTGTAGGAGTTTGCGATCCCTTTAAATTTCGGAACCAAAGAATTATACAATTTATCCATATTAATATATAAAATCACTTTTTTTTTGTAAAATCAAGAATCGTATAGCCATATTTTTTCATATGCTTTATATATTTGCGTATACTCATTCCAACGATAACAAAGAAATAGCAGAATAAAAAGGGCCAATATACAGGTATATCCCATATTGGTATGTAAGTACAAAAATATGCAAAGATGACAGAAAATACACTTTTTTACCAAACCTTAAACTCTGATGTTGTTCTGAGCAATGGTCTAAATTCTTTATCATTCAACTCATTCTTATTACTTAGCGTTGTTGGCAATTCCGAAACTTTTCATATCAATTTTAAAGCTTTACAATCATTTTGGAATTAATCATCATCTTCCTCCTCATCTTCCAAATTAACTGGTGGCAATCCAAGAGGAGTAAAGTAGTCAATTAATAGTTGCAACTGATAAACACAGTATATATATGTAACAATGTAAAATCCACCGATATTTTAAATCCTATAGGCATACAATAACATCAAAAGTAGATTGAAAAACCATCTAGACTTCTTATACAAAATGTATCTAATCTATTTAGTATGATCTACCTGTCTATTTTCTTTTGATAATTCACCTTAACTCGATGAATGGCTTTATATATCATTTTTTCTTCAATTTATTCCTCAATTATCATTAATTTTAATTGCAAAATTTTAAGAACTTTTAATATATTTAATTCATTTATTCTATAATCTGGGCAGTTTAATGTAAGCAGATTTGTTGTCAAGTTTGTGTTCAAGTTTAGAAATGTTCTAGATGTACCTTTTGGTAGATTCAGTCTTTAATTGAGACTACGATGATCTCTGATCCAATGATGAAATCCTATAAATAATAATCCTTTATGTATACTTCTTCTATGCATTTCCATTGTTTTATCTAGATAAGTCATAACTTTTCAAGTAGTATTTATCATCTTCATCCTCATCTTCTTCTATTAAATCCTCTGGCTTGAATTCCTCATGTAATAGTAGTTTTGGATCTAATTTATCCAATTTCTCCCAATTCACAACCTAATGAGTATTTGCATCTAAACCAATCTTCCTTAACTTTCTTTCCCTATAGTTACTCGTTTTGATGTAAGATGGCTCAAACATAATTGATTTAGATCGTGATTGATCCATTTATGATATCATTTTATCTCTCAATTCTTATTTTTTTACACTCTTCCATTCTTCTACCAAAATTCTCCTAGATTTGAGTTCATCAGTAGAATAATTTGCAAATCTTTGCAATTACAAACCCTCTGGTTTTCTGAATCCTTACTCATCTTTTGATTCAAATGGGATATTCAAAGATTTCAATTTATTCTTATATTAAGTTGAATCTACTTCCATATATCGAAACAACTTAATTTCTGCCTTTGTCTAATCTTCTTAGTACATTAGTTTAGAGAGTTCCCTCAATACAAGGACAAAATTCATAAATGTAATTTCATTTTGATTTTGATTAACTCTCCTAAATAGTAGATTCTAATATATTATGTATATTGTATACTAGTTCTTTAAATGGCAATATTCTCATATTGTCTTATGGATGATTCCTTGTAGAGACAGGATTCCCTTTAATAGATTTGTTTGCAACTGTATCATTTAAAATTCTATTTGTTTCTCCCTGTTTCGATTAAGTTTTAATGTGATGGACTTTCTCGTCTATCAACCCAAATTATCGACAGAAGATCATAAACTTACCCTCTGTTAGGGTTTAGGATTCATGATTGATTCTCGTGAAATCATCTGATGGACCTCTTACATAGAATATTTTAGAATAGAATTTATATACGTCTTTGAGATGGGATTATATCTTAGACTACGAAAAGAAAGACTCTTCAGTCTATTCAAGTTCTTTAATTAAACTGATCCCACCAAAGTTGCTGACATCATTCGTTATTGGTTCTATTATATTAAATTTCAGTTTTTCTAATTGACCCTCAAGAGTAGATATTATGCGTTTAAGCACGCCTTTGTCTTTTTACTAAACACATTAAGCTTCTATTTTTCTATACCTTTCCAGCTATTTCTCTAAATATTCCTAAATATTTAAGTTCTCGTTTTCAATTAATACTGGGATTTATGGTTATTATTATTATTCATTTTCTTCTTGATTTACATTCACTGCTGAATTTTTTATGATTTATTAATCATTTTTCTATTCATTTTCATCTCTCTATTACTCACTTTCCCCTTCCAATTCTTAATCTTTTGGTATAACTTCATTGTCTTCATTTTTTTGTTAAGACTCCTAATTTTATTGATTTTGTGAAATTTCTCGTTCCCCATCGGTCTCTACTGGATTTTCGTTTTAATTTTCCATGTATAGATTCTAAGTGTATTTTTTATTTTTATTTAATCAATTAATAATATATTGGTCCTAATAGTTTTTTTATCAAAAGCACCAATGAAAACTTTGTTAAATTCAAAGCGAAAAGAATTTAGGGTCCATTGAGAACAATAATGTGTTTTATTATTTAACTACTTTTTTTATAAATAATTTGATAAAACTCAACGAATTTTTTATCCTCTTTCTTTAGACAAATTATCTATTTCATTGGATTGAATTCCCTCTTTCTCTTAGATCGGATCATATTCAACCTATCTGTCACCTCCATTCGCATTAATATATCCGTATTTTTAAATTGAAATTTCTGAATTCCGAGAACTAGCAGAAACAGAATCCTTTCCTTCATCAATAATATAGTTTTCTAAATTTTGAGACATTTAAGGAAGCTTAGAATATTGAGATTTTGCTTTTATCAATTTAATATCTTCTCTATCTATAGATTTCAATGAGTATTTCTAAGTTTAACTTAAAACTATTACTTTATGTGATAAGTCTACCATTTGATATAAAATGGTATTGTATTGAATAAAATTGAGCAATTACTCATTCATCTTTTTATTATAGTTTTCTCCTTACTATATTTTCGAATAGGCTTCTAACAATTCTTCCCCGCTTTATGCTTTAATTTAGGCCTTAAAGAAACGAGAAATTTTAGACAATTGCAACTCAATCGGAACTGATAACAATTGATAATGTAAATACTTTTCGATGAGAATGCATCCATTGGTCCAGACACCTGATTTTTAAACTGATATTTTTCTATGAAAGATCCTTTCATTATTTACCTCTGATAGTCTTTATTGATTTTCTTCAATACATCTTTATGGTCTGTAATTTTTTTATAAATCACAGGTTCAGAGAAACTATTGAATAGTTTCAGTTAGGCATCATCAAACAGAAACAATTTCAATGAATCAATTTCATACAACTTCTTCACAATATTGGATAATTCCAGATCTGACATAATCTTAGACTTTGCTATTTAAGCCATAACAGTTTTCTTGTCGTAATGCTTTTTGCAACAATATTTGAATAAACACATATCACCCAAAATCTTACTTAATTCAATTTGAAGATAGGTTAAAAATGAATAATCTAACTAATTTGAATACAATTAATCTAAACCTTTCCTCTTATCTGTTTTTCCACTTGACTCAAAGCCATCGTTGTCCTTTACAACAGCATTATCCCTAAAATCAAATTTAAACACCTAATTCATGACCTTCACATAAGTTTCATGAGCTATATATATCTTATAAAGAATCTTTGCGAATCCTAAGATTGCCACAGTTAATCCTGAAGCCTAAGACACAGCATCAAGGAACACACTAAAAGGTTCCGTTTTTGAGGCAAAGAAATATTAGGAGTCCGAAGAAGTCCTTAGATAGAAGGCACATAATTCATCTGTTGTGTTCAGTGTCATGGGATATTGTCTTCTCTCTTACTTCTCAACCTTAGAAGATCTAAAGATTCGAGTTCTTGCTTCTTCATTATTTATTAAGGAACTAAACACGTTTTTACTATTAATCAAGTCAATTAGGATTGGTTATAGAAATATGTCTTCTCCATTTGCTATTCCTACATTTAATCTCCAAAATACAATATAAGCACTTTCTTCAGAAGGTTGTGTCATATTTAAGGTCTATTTGATTTTAGAATCCTAAATGAAAATATTAACATTAATGCTACGAAAACTTAAAATTATATTGTTACCCCTTGTTTAACAATCTTTCAATCTCATCAATAGATTTGCAATCCGTAGAATTACTGCACTTAAGGACTGAAACTTTTAAATAGTTGTATGTTGGATCAAAGAATGAACCAGATAATTTGTAGCCTCCATTGAAACATACGAACTTATGTTTCCAATCCTCAGATATGGATTGTGTATTGAATTTAAATTCATCAATGACGTCTGAGGAACATTATGAAATGTTAAGCCTATTTATCTCTCTTTTATATAGGGATGTATTTTACGGCCTTACTTGATTAATGTATTCAACTTTAAATTACAAATATCTATGATTTATATCAGTCACATACGTTTGAAATTCTTAATCGTAATTAATGATTTCTCCGCTTTAGGAATAGGATAACTGTAATAGAAAACGAGAAGTGTTCTGATCTAAATATTAAAAATCACTGGATGTTTATGTTCCTGCATAAATTGATCCGGATTTTGAAATTGAAGAGATAAAGATGCTTATTGTATACACAATCATTAGTGCTAAAATTGCAATTGAAAAAAAACCACCTAAATTCAATATTTTGAGTACCTAGTTTTGTTAGTGATTTCTATCTCTTTGTTACATTAAACTCATAAGGAGTAACGAGCATATCGATATGTCTTAAATACTTTTAGAATTTCGGCATAAAATCTAATTAATTAGAAATAAATTGTAATATTTATTTTAATGAGCAAGCAGTAGTAAAATGGAGTTAAAAATGTGAATGGCCAGGAGCTTTAAACCATGAATAATAGCAAACCAGATTAAAATCATTAAGTAAAAATAAATAGAATAGATTAGGGTAATGATGAATTTTTGAAGTAAAAACTGATTAACATGAATTAACTAAGTTTATAACCATCAGCTCAAAAATAAAGTAAGGAAGTAAATGGTATTGAAAAAATATTAATAAAATCTAGGACAAGGTTCTCAGACTAAAAGTGTTTAATAAAATTGTGAAAACCAAGGATCAGATTAAAATGAGAGTACGAATGCAGGGACCAATTCAAATTTCTAGTTTATGAGCGAAAATGATAAAATACAATAGGCTAAGTCTAAATTAGAAGAAGAAAAAGAAAAAAGTGAAAATTATAAGAGTCTTTACCATCCAAGTTCATACTTGCAAGTACCTTAACATGCACATTAAATATCACAAAATCTTAAAGAAGAAGGTTCTGAAAAAGCTATAACTAATGATAAAGATATTAATTAAACCTTTTAAAAAAGCGAAAAAGATTAAATAGATTAAGTATAAATAAATGCAAAAGAATAGTATGGCCAAAAATTTGTGGAGAAAAAGAATGAAAGTGGTGCCTTTAATAGTTTGAATTTTCCTCAATTATCAAATGCGACAAATTTAGTAATTGCTCAAGTAACATAAGAAAAGCAAATTTCAGATTTTAATGAATAGAATTCAGGCAGCACTGAATTGTCCTCTAATTACGAAAATGTTGAGAAGGATAATTAACCGGGAAATGCAGATTAAAAATAAAATCGTCAATAAGATTCTTAAAACAATAATTAACCCAATTAATAAGGGTAAAATTAGGAAATATATTAAGTATAAATAAATACAAAATAATAGAATTAAAATAAATTTTTAGAAAACAATACTAATTATGTGAGTGTTTTACCTTAAAAAAATGGTTTCATGTAAGAAAATCCAAAATAAGATGCTGAGGAAACTACAAAACGGGAGGAGGAGGATACATTAATTTAAGAGAGCAACAATTAAGAACCTAAAATTTCATCGAACAATAATACTTATAGAGATCTGCTAACGTTTTAATAAGCTTTGTGTATTTAGCTTAAAGAAATGATCAAGTAAGCGAAATAAGATCCAACCAAGAAAATATATTATAATAAGAAAGGGTTGAATCATCCTTAATAGTAAGATAAGCTTTACGAAAAGGAACTATTAGAATTTTTTGAAGGATGGATTTCATATACTGAAATGTAATAAATTAGTAATAAGTAAGATCCGAAGATTCTGAAATAAAATACCGTGGATCTATTGATTTTGAGAAGGAATGTTTAAATAGTTTCATAGAATTCGTTAATGATAAGAAAAATAGCGAATTATAGAAATTAAAACTTTTATTTTAAGATGAGGGCACTCTAAATAATTGGAAAAATATTATGGATTAATTATAAATTAACGACATCTAATTTTTTGTTATGTTGTGTGCAATTAAGCAAAATGAACCATAAAATGAGTTTGCAAAATGCTACCTAGAATGGTGGTTTTAATGGAATCCGTCTTCAGTTTTTACCAAAAAGAATTATATATGATTATGATAAATTCTAAAGAATATTAAATAAAATTGATTTTGTGAATAATTAAAAAAATTATATGCATAATCCTGTAGACTATTATTATTCCAACGATTACTATTTATCATAAATTGCAAATGGCAACTTAAATCGGCTTAATACTTCCTATTCTCCTAAGAAGATTATGATGAGTGTCATCAAAAATGATTGCTAACCAATTATCAAGCAAAAAACCTTTAACTTAGAATCAAAAGAAATACATCCTCATATTATGAGACATAAATTAATTTAACAAACTTTCACTAAATTTGCAGAAACTATTCTTAATGTCACTAACTGTTTTGATAGCATTACAAACACAGCCCCAAAAACAGATAAGTTTGCTTAAAAATTGAAACATAAAATAATAACTCCTTCTATTACTTCACCTCAGCCTCATAATCATGAAATACACAGAACTCCAGGCAGACTCCACAAAGGGGTTTTGCTTAAAAATCTTGATAATTCAATAAATTATATTGATAGATCATATATTTTAGATCATAAACAAGAATTTGGAGCCTTGTCGATGAGTCCAAAACCTAGGATTATTGATCGTCGTTCTGAATTATCTAGGTAAAAACATAAGCAAATATCGAATACTTCAAATAACACAAGCTAAAATAAAGATTTATCAAAATAAATGATTGTTAGAAAATCTCGCATAAATAAGGAAATTTTCAACATTTCTCTTAAGTAAACTGCTTCCAACTTGATTAATTATACTATTGAAGCAATGAGTGTTGATTGTTTTTACACAAAGATTAGTCTAAATCATAATAATAATTTAGTTTTTATTTAATTTGAAAATGTTTTGGGATATGATGAATAAAGTTACTTTGGATTGCAACCCGATTTTATTACAAGCAAGCAATACAACGAATATATAGTTTTGAGAGATCATTACTTTTAGAGGGTTTCATCTTCTCAATCCTTCTATATACTAAAAAATTTCAAAGAATTATTGAGCTCTATTTCTCGTGTGTATTAAGTAGGTTTATTTACAGTACAATACCCTTAATTACTAAAAGAATTTCTATAAGAAAGAAAATTAAAAGTTAATTGTGGATTTTAAATTGTAAATTATAAAATTGATACTTTTGTAGTAGATATTACTTAGGTATTAACTAATCTTTAAATACTAACAACCGATTTATTAATATTAATCTAACCATTCCAAATATTAAATAAATAACAATCTCATAGTTGTGCTAATTCAGCAATTCCTTATTATGAATATCACGGTTAAAGGTTCTTTTTACAGATGAAAAAAAGTCCGATTAGAATTTTATTGATTCAATACAAATTTGATTGAAATGAAAGATTGAAGCCTTATTAAACAAATTAAATATTGAAACTGTGCCATTTTCAGAGAAAATTCATCCTAATAACTGCAGATTATTAGCCTTGCCTCAACTATCAATGGAATCTCTACTAAAATTAGACGAATACAGCAAAGGATTCGTCCAAATTAACTATTTTATTGAGCAATTTACGTTAGCATCATAAGGTGAAAGTTACTTTACAAAATTTATTAATAAAAGCTAGAATAGAATGAAATTTCTTGATTTTTTGACATATTTTAGATCATAAAAATAAAAAATATAAAGACAGTTATTTTTTATAGATACCTTAAAGATTTAAGAAAAAAAGTTAGACGCAATTAAAATAAAAAAGAAATAATTAATCTAGAGAATGATAGAGAAATTTAATCATTATCGATAAGCTGAATATTATATAAATGACTTGATGTATAGAAATAAAGAGATTTTTAAGAAAATGAGAAATTATAATTAAGAAAACTTAAACAATTTGCATAATCTATAATAAGAACTTTCTCAATAGCTAATTAGATATAATTATTGCGAAATGTTTGTTGATACAACATACTACTTAGCTTATTGATATATATATGCTTTTTTTGTTAATACTCATTTATTTCATTTCCTAAACAATCCATTTCTGATGTCTGGCAAGAATTCTTGTAATGAAAGTTCCAATCTATCATCCAAAGTGTTAGAACAAACAATTCTACTGTTAGCACAACTCAAAACAACTCCTCCTAAACTATAAAATGTTTATATCCTAATTTTACATTGGTTTACCACCCTTCTCTGTTAGATATTGACTCTAATTAATGCTCAATGTGGTCTTGAAGTCTTTAGTTGTCTCTCTCTTTATGATTACAGTGAATTCTTCTTAGCATTCTACCAAAATGGTTCTGATGAGTTGCACATCCTATTCCAAACATGTCAATTCGATTCTGGGCTCAAGCAATTTAATCATTCCTTAGATAATCAAGTTCTTCAACAATTCTTTGTAGACACTCTAATCTTGGATCAATTTTGTCATCTTCTAACGAACTTCCTCCTTCAGTCTTTAAATTAACTCAAAACGTGCTTGCATTTTGGACAATCTTGATTGATTAATTTTAGATGATCGTTGACTACACCTACTCAATATCTTTACATTCTCTTTTCAATTGTGTATGACTCAATCTTCTTTTTGTATTCTTCGGTAATTCTTTCCTTCTATTAATTGAGTAGCTTGTTCTTTTCGATTCTGAACTATTGAGCAGCCATGTCTTTGATTTATTCAGCCTTCTCATTAGCCTAAACAAATAAGTTGTTATCAAAATTACCTCAGCTTTTATGGCATTGACCATCTTCTTAACTCTCTCTTATGGATTAAAATCTGCCATGTTATTTAATTTATGAATAAAATACCAATCAATTCAGCCATTAAAGATGACTCGATCAAGTACCTCTAAATCATACGAGAGAAGGAGGAGTCAATTCAAGCACTTTAAACTATAAACGATTAATTGAGATAAGATTTAATTCAACTTTAAACCCAACTTGCAGAATCTTAAAACACTAAAAGTTACAAACACTAGAAATTAGAGGAATCCAATTAACAATTAAAAGTGATGTTAACAGAGACTCAGAATCTAGTATTGCAATATCAAAGTGATATCGATATCCATCATTAAATCATAGAACAAATAATCAAATCCACTCAAATCTATAGATTTAATCAAAAAACAACCATCCCTCAAATTCTCAATTTCTTAAATCAAGAAATCTTTAGTCAAGACATTGTCAACCTCTGGAATGAATTAAAATAAATTCTAAAGTAAGCCATAAGTTAGATAAACTGCAAAGTCTCCTCTCCTTAATTAAGAGAAATATTTACAAAGTACTATAAGAATTACGAAAATCAATATCATCCCCTTTCAACAATGTCAATGTTCGAAGAAATCATTTACATGTTAAATGAAAAGGTATCCCAATAAATTGAAACACAAGTAATGAATTATTCCGATCAGTTCACCCATTAAATAAATAAGATCAATCTATTCGAAACTTCAATCGTCCTAATCAATTTTGAGGAAGATCAACTTAAAAAGAAATTGAAAAATTAACAGATCTAAATTATTCAACTAAAAGAAGAATTAGAATAGTAGTCTAAAATTAACAAAAATTTTGAGGAGTAAATCTAAACTTTCACCATGAAGAGTTCTGAAAGGAAACCTTTTGTTGAAATATTAAGTGTAAAGGATGTTAGTTCCTCTTCAGAAGACGACAATATTGAAATTCTAAGATTAAATAGTGAATTAGAATAAAAAGATACACTTATCTAAAAGCTAAAATAAACGATTTCAAATTAACAATTAACAATGGATAGAGTAAATATAGAGAATTAATATTGGGATTTAGTTATTAATTGTGATGAGGATAGTCTATTCCCATTAATAAATTAAGGGTGGACATTAAATTTTAAATAAGATTACGGGCTCTCCAATTTTTAAGTATTTTACTCTTTTCTTGGCTTTGATAGTTCATATTTATAATTTATTTTAGAGAATCTGTTCGTTAATGACTTTTATTTTTAAAAATTAGCAGATCAGACATACTTATAATTAGCAAATGATTAACTAACCTATTTAAAATCTATATTTTGTAATGATTATAATACTCTTGTTTAAACAAAGGTGTTACATTAATTAGTGAATAATTTTTATGAAACAAGTGAATTGGTGGAAGGATAACAAATGTTAAATGAATTTTGGATTAAATTTTCTTTAAGTAATGGAATATTATTTTTGTGTTTAAAGAATTGTAATCAATAAAACTTAACTTTGTTATAGTTGGCAATTAATATTCAAAATTAAATTGAATAGACTTCAGTGTTAATGGTAATTTTTGAAGAGGAATACACAGAGTCCGATGTTGTTATGAAAATGATTTAATAGTATGAATTTGTGGGAGTGGATGATGAAATAGATGAATAAAAGCAGAATATTCGTATTGCCATGACAAGTGGAGATAATTATGATTTTAAAGATTTAAATAAGAAAATGGCAAAACAAAAATTAGATTACGTATAATAATTGAATGACTTTATCAAACATAATTTAGATGTCTATTTTAAGAAATCAGAGCAATCTAAGTTGGAATTCAACAAATCATTGTTATCTGAGAATGTATTTGAAATGAAATTGGTGTAAAGTCAAGAATCAGATTAAATAAAAATGTAGACCCATAGTTAAGTATAAGTGATACAGAATGATGAAATCATGATCCACAAAATATCAGATAGCCAATATGATATATTTTTCTCTGAAAAGTTGTAAGAGGTCAGATTAAAAAGCTATTCAGTCAATAATTAAGGTTTGATTATAAAATTGAAATGCAATTTTGACAATGACAATCTGACAACTCGGTAATTCATATTAAAATCCATGTATATCAAAGAAGATTAAGGAGAGATATCACACACAATCTTTGACAATAAGTTGATTTTGTAATTATGATTATGTTATTAATTTTGACTTTTTAAGTGTGTCACAACAAGGTGATCATTATATTGGAATGTAAGTATCAGAATGAATTGAAAAAAGCAATCTTCTCCATCTTCATAACTGGAGGGCAATGTTTGATTATTTTTAATATATTTGCTAAATGCAAACAAATCTTCAAGAAAATAAATCTTGAGACATCTAATTCATTGCTATTGTAAGAGAACAATCTGTTTTAAGAGTTTGCAAAGTTTTGAAGCAGTATGATATGATACTTGGAAAAATAATAAATAAAACTCATTTTTGTGATTTAGGTATACTAGTCCCAATCAACATAGGTAGTTTTCTATGAGCAATTCATTTTGAGGTTATTTGAGAAAACTTTCACTATCTTCAAAAGTTTCTGATTCACTTTTGATCAAATTAACATAAATTAAAGACTGCGATTAAGATATGTTTTCTTTCCATTAGGTGATGCATTTATTCTTTGAATATACTATTGGGATATTTCTAAAAGTATTACTTTAAGATCGCTTATCTATTAATGCTAGAATGGTTTGTTCTTGCTCAGCAGCAGCAATCTACATTTGATTCAAGGAGTCATAATGCTTCTGAATTCTAAGAATGTTGCCTCTCTTCTTTTTGATCTTTTTAGAAGGTTTGAGCTAAAAGAAGCACTCAGATTCATCGTCTTCAATCATTTATTATTTTAATGATTAATATCTCTAAGTATATCTAAAGGTATTTAAGTCGATATGATTTGGGAATATAAGCAAATAATGCATATTATGATTGCATATGACTTCAGGAATCCTCCTGATTATTTGATTTGATTCTTTGATCATGGGTTTGGCAAGAGACGAAAGATATCAAACAAATATGATGAAATATTTATATATATTTATGCAAATACTAATATTTTCATATGATTGCAATCATTTGAAGAAATATAATTTATCCTAAAATGAATATAAATGATTTGATATACAAATTTAGCAAACAATTCCTTACTCTAACCTGAATGAGTGGTAGAGTTGTAGATAAGATGCAAATAATATCCAATTTCCTCTTTGACTCTCTCTTGCCACAATGGATATTCCTTCAATTGATCCAAAAGATTGATGTACTTGTTTATGGCTTCCTCCAAGTGATGTTCATAAGTTAAGGTTGTATGCTCACTTCTGAACCAAGTATTGTGAGTGGCGATTTCTTTGGTTAATTCCAAATAGAGTGATCTGTATTCCCATGTTGCTCTGTGTAAAGTCAAGATGAAGGAGTAGAGGTCTTCAAATTGAACAAACTTATTTCTTGCCAATTCGTATTATTCCTTTTCACTTTATTCACATTGAATAAATAAATAGTTACAATGATTCAAGTCTGGGAGTCCAGTTTCTAGCTATGTGAGAGTAGAATCTGCATTCATAATAACTCATTGGGTCTCTTTCCAGGAATCCTTCCTCTGGGTCTTGGAACCCAGCCTTGCACATCTCAGTCATTATTCTATCCACCTACACTAAAAATCAATAGACACAAGCCTTACATGAGTAGTTGATGACTCTGCTCTTAATGAAATATGAAGCAAATCTTGTTACGATGGACATCCTTTATTATAATTAATAATAAATTAATATATTTACAAGACGAGAAAGCTCTATGTTTCAAAATTATTTCTGATATTGTTTTTATTAATTTAAGGATATTTTTATAATGGGTTCAGTCTGCTCAGCATAAAAGAATCAATCGAAATTGCACACTTAAAAAAGAGAATTAAAAACTAATAGTTAACCTTATTTAGAGCCTCAATCCATTGTTGGTCAACCCCCGCCTTTCGAAAACAAACTAGACTATGTCCTTGATCAATAAGTCAAGGATTTATTATAGCTATTTAAAAGGTTCTGTATGTTTTTGGATCTTGTTGGTAATTTAGATCAACTCCCATAACATACTAGAGAAAAAGTCAACAGTTGCATCATTGTTAAATAAAATGTCTCTATTATTATACAAAATACAATAAAAAGAGTTATGAGGGAATAATAAATCATAAAACGGATCGATGAATCAGATTATTATCTTATATATAATGATCATAAATTTGCAAGTGCCCTCAATCAAATGATGTAAAAACTGTCTAATATTATACTTGCCGATCTTAAACCTGATGAGGATTTTCAATCAGCGTTCCCTATTTTGGCAGTATCTTTTGAGGAGGAAGCCCATAAAATTATTTCAACTGTGGAGAAAATAAAGAACATTTAAAATATTGCTATGCGAAAGGGTAGTTCTTAACATTCACTCTCTATTAATTAATTATAACAAAAACAAAAATCTTCCTAATAATGAAATAAAGTTATTTATTTCACCATTCAAACTTTACATTGATATTATTAATAACTTTCTCTATCATTGGGTCGATTCATTGGAGATTTGTGGTCAATCTGTGAATTGTTATCAAATTAGTAGTTTGAGATTGTTTTGGGATTTATAAATATTATAATTTAATTTGAAATCTGTAATTGCATTTAATAATTATACATTTCTTAATTATATGTTTAAGTATCTTTTCATTCTTGCTTTGCTTAAGAAATTTTCGAAAATTTATTGTATTAATATAAAAATATTAAATTAACTGTTAATGGATAACATGGATAATTGTAGTGTGGCAAGCTTTAATGAGAAGGAAATAGAAAACAATTTGAAAGACTTATTGGAGCGGGTCTTATTAAAAATAGAGAATTTCATTGAAACCAAAGAGGAATTGAATTAAGTGGAAGCTGAATTAAAAGACTATGAAAGTTTGTCTCATTTGATCGGTATAATCAAGGCAGTTTTTACAAACCTTATGATGAAAGTGGATAAGAAAATATCGTAAGTAGTTAATTAAAATATTAACAAAGCAAATTCGAGAAGTAACTTGATCCAAACCGTTCAATGACCAAAAGTTTGAGGTCGGATGAGGAATACGAGAAGTTAGAGCAAACATTAATCAAGTATGAGAGCGAAATCAGAAATCACATCAGAGTATCTTGTTCATCATATCTAGATTGAATAATAACTCAAGTTATATGCAGAGTCTATTCAAAATAAGTTAGACGAGAGTGAATCAAATAGAGTTGAGCTTCTTGAAACCACGAAGAAGTTGATTAGTGTATTGATTTCATTACAATTATAGAATTTAAAAAGAGAAAATTAAACTTATCATGAAACTTAGCACAAATTAAACATGGAGATTGTTAGCTTAAAATAAATTATTAATAATTTAGAAAAAGAGAATAGGAGGAAATCCTAAGACTTCAGTTATAGAGATAATTTAAAGCCTTATTCAAAGAAAAACCAATAACCAGTTATTCAACAATTACAATTTTAAAGTAGATTTTTCTATTATATTTTCAGATTAAAGAAATTAAAAATCTTGTTCTGAACACAAATTGAATTCTTAAATCAATCATACCTCCTTCACTCTTGAAAACAATGAAATACCAATCAAATCCTAACCCTCTCTAAAACAAAACTATTACAACATAATCAATTATGGAAATTAAGCCAACAAAGTAGATGTTCTTAAGGTTATTCAATAAAAAGATTTGAACAAAATTTATGGATAAAAATTAAAAAGCAAAAACAATTCACTCTCTACAATTCAAGATATAATCCAAAGTATTTCAGTACAAGACAGAAAAAAAGGAATCATTAGCCAACCAGTTTCTAAAAATAGTTCTCAAGACAATAGTTAAATCCAGAAATATAAAGGTAACCCATTTACTCATAAAATATAGAAACATGTGATTAGAGTAGAAGTAAGAGTTCAAGAAGAGCTAACATAGGCACTAAGCAAATTTAAATTGAATCTCAGATAAAATTAACTAGTTGATTATAAAATCTTTAAATTATTTTGCATTATTCATTCAAGTTCTATATCCGATATATTAAGTAAACTCTTATTTTCTGATTACATTGGTCTTCATCGAATAATTTACTTAATAATCTCACATATCTTATATAAAAGTCTATCAAATTAGGGATGTTTTCATATGTCCTATTTTGGTAATAGTAATAACATTTAAAATAGATAATAATTATTGGAGATATATTAAACATTCTTTTCTCATAATTTTAAGTATATAATTTGTGTGTATTTATATAATAATATTAATGGCTCAATAATAAGTGTAAAGGTATGATGCTGATGAAAATTTGTCCAAATTTCTTAACAAGGAATTAGGCAAATCAATCAAGTTCTAGAAGAAACACGTAATAATAAAATTTAATGGAGTAGGAGAAAGAACTCAACAATTTATTAGCTTACCAACAAATAATATAGGACGAGAAATTAAAGAATGAGAATAAATTACATCATATGTTTTATAAGGAGAAACTGATCGATCATTAAAAAAAACAAAAAGAAGACTATGTAATAATTCATCTTATTTCAGCTTAAAGAGCAGAAGGTCAACAAGGATCACTAATTTCTATATAAATAAAAAGAAAATGACTATATCAATTCTTTAGATGCAAGTTGGTGCTTTTATTAAGATTATTCTCCATCAAAAGATATGAAACCATTGAAAGTAGATGCTGAAAGAGAGAAGGTTCTTCGATTCTTATTCAAACAACTCTAAACAACCACTGATAATGTAGAGAGAGCACTGATAAAAAAGAAGATTAACAAGTTTCGTGATTCTGAAGTATAATCTGTCATAATTTTATAGATTTCTAAAAAGAAATTAGAGTACATAGATCATAAAATAGAATACGCAAAATAGGTCAGAAGCGAATCTCTCGATCGTTCTATTGATAAGATCAGAATGCATGATATGCATATTATTGATGTTTAAGAGAAAAATAATCTTATAAATTAGGAGAAATAATCATATTACAGTGACAAAATAAATTAGATTGAATAGAAGATATAGATGATAGAGAAACAATAACAACGTAATAGATAAAACAGATTGAATGTTGAATAATAAAAGGATGAGTATCGTCAGGCAGTAAGATCCAACTCCCAAACTCTAATACATCAAAAGGAATTACTAAATCAAAATCATTTTAGTGAGAAAGTTTATAAATTAAACTTCCTTGTGGATCAGAAATAAAAATTATTGAAATAAAGATAAGACTTATTGGATGCATTGAATCAAAAAAGAGTAATGGCTCGATAATCTTTGGATGATGTTAAATATCCTCAGATAAACTCGAATAATTATAAAGCAATCAATTTTTGAATTTACATATCTCAAGTAAATCAAAATTAAATATCATCATTATTATATTATTTTCTAATTGCAAAAATATCATTAAATTAATAAGCAATTTATTATTATTATTATAACCCAATATTTTAGTAATTATGTAAGGATGATCTTGTGGATAAAATTGAAATCATAGTAGTTATCCACCATGTATAAATCAACTAAATTGTTAATTAATAAAACAAATAGACCTATTTATAATAATAAAAGACTAAGACATTTCGAAAAAATAATTAATAGTACTCCATTCTACATTTTTTATATATTTTAAACATCAAACTTAATATAAATAGTAATTCAATAAATTTATCAATGCTTTACTCAAAGAGCGCTAGTGTTATCTAAAGCTTTGACCTTCTTTCCATCTTTCCAGATTCCTTCCTTAACGAGACCATCGGGGAATATATATTTACCTTTTCCATGTTATTTTCCATCATACCATTATCCTTCATACTTCTTTCCATCAGCCCATGTGTATGTGCCATAACCATCCTTACGATCTTACTTATATTCACCTTCATATTTTCTACCGTCTTTCCATGTATAGACTCCTTTACCATGCATACAATTATTAACCCATTAACCAGTGTATCCTCTTCCATCAGCCCAAAAATAGGTGCCAAATCCAGTTATCTTATTATCATACCAATCTCCATCATAAAATGAACCATCTGGCCATTCATATTTTCCTTTCCCTTATTTCTTACCTTCAAAATACACACCTGTATATTTGGAACCATCAAACCAGGCTTCCACACCATAGCCATGTTATAAATCACTCTTCCATTCTCCTTCGTACTTTGATCCGTTTGCATGTGTATAAACACCATATCCATTTGCTTTATCGTTTTCCCATTAACCATCAAAGGTGTCTCCATCGACATGATAAAATTTCCCTTTGCCATTTGCATGACTTTATTTCCATTCTCCGATATATTTGGCCCCATCAGCCCAAGTTTGAGTGCCCATTCCTTCTCTTTATGTCCCTCTCCATTAACCTTCATATACTGCCCCACTTTTAAATTTATAAGCAGGACGTGTTTCTAATTCAAAAGAGGAAGAATTTTTTGGGAGCGTGATTGGTTCAACTTATTCTCCTAGATAATTTTTTTTATTGTCTCTTTTGACAGAGCTTTTCAATGATTTCTTTTTTCTAACCAAATAACCTCTCCAAACTTTTTGTATTTAGATTGCTGCTTTATTTTGCTTTGATACTTTATTTTATAGCTCTTATGTTTCAGTATCTTTTTTAGTTTCTTTTTATTAAATTTTAGCATATGTTTGTTTAATGCTTTATTTAGAACCTGATCTTTTGCTTTTCAAACTATTTGGATCTGATTTTGCGATCTAAAATTAAAAGGAGTCATACAATAATTTCAGTAGCTACTTATTCTTTTAATTATTGTTGGCATTAACACTGAGAAGCACATTAATTTCCCATAGAAAATATAAATTGATAATTTTTAATATATAAAAATAATATGGTTAGATTATTCATTTATCATGACAAGTAAACTTTCTTCATCTTAGTAATCTTTTCTCGATCGATAGGACAGTGATTAATTTATTTCGAACAATCCTCACAAACGCAAATGTGTCCACATGGGCTCATGATCATGGAGTACTCTTTTTGCATGCAAATCACACAAATTTTTTATATCATTGAATCTTTGTATAACGAAATTTATTTAAGAGTTTTAACTAGTTGATTTTCTATCTTTTTTATGTCTTCAAAATTTTACTGCTTCAGAATTTCTAGATCTCCTTCATATATTTTTAATTGCAATTTCATCATCTCATTCTCCAATTGCAACTGATTGACCCTGTTCTGCTCAATCTATAATTGATATTGCATTATGCAATTTTGCTATTGGAATGCTAAGGCCTTTTGGGAGCTCGCCCTTTGATCGTATGGCAGGAGTGGCTTTGAACTTAGGTTTTCTTTAAATAGTCTAATCACTCGAAACAACTATTTATGAGATAAGGTTATTTGATCCTATATGGAATTCCCAATGATGTCTAAGCACTGGGAGTCAACCAGGTGCTATATATCTTCGTTGGTTTGACAACTTGCGATCTCCTACAACAGAATATCATCATCATTTTCAAGCATGAATGTTGGGTTCTTAATTAAAATGCGAGAAACTAAATTATTTTATGACTAAATCTAAATCAATTCTTGAAATTAAGAGATAATAAATAAGTTGGTTTTTGGGGTTGTTTTCATCATCGTCGTTATATCCATTAGCTGTATAACATATATAATTTATAAACTGTATGATTTCGTCACTATATTTATATAATTAATGAGCAAAAGTTTAGGAACTCCGATAAAATTAGTTGTTATAGGGGATGGCACAGTGGGCAAGACTTGTGCCCTTTTGACGTACTCTAAGAATTTTAATTAAGTTACACTACTGGTAAATTCCCTGAAGACTACATCCCCACCATCTTCGAGAATTATAGTGCATCCATCACCATTGATGGCAAGAAGGTCAATTTAGGTTTATGGGACACTGCTGGTTAGGAGGATTTTAAATAAATTCGACCTTTGAGTTATCCCAATACAGATGTATTTCTATTGTTTTTTGCTGTCAATGAATAATCATCATATATTAATGCCTAATAGAAAGTAAATTTAGTTTTATATGCACTTCAAGTGGTATCCTGAATTGAGAACAGCCTTAAATAATGTGCCTATTATTATAGTTGGCAGTAAAATTGATTTGAGACAGAACGATAACAAATGCGTGCAAAGAGACTCAGTATACATATTCTTATTATACAATCAAAGGCCAAAAGAATGGCAGACTAATTGGGGTGTCCCTATTTGGAATGCTCAGCTAAGGATAAAATTGGGCTGAACGAATTATTTGAGGAGGCTGTCAGAACTGCATTGAGATCGAAGAAGCCAAATCGAGCTTAGGAAGAGAGTAAATAAAATAAGGACAAGAGCTGCCAATTAATCTGAATTATTAATTTTATTATCAAGAAAATTTAATATTATTAGTAGTAAAATCGAATATGACAGAGGAGCATTGCGATTATATGTTCAAGTTCATAATCATTTGCAATGGCAACAGTGGTAAAACAAGTCTCCTATATCATTACATTCATGGAACATGTAATTTATAGGATCAAATAAGAAATATCTAATGTAAAATAGACATTGGGTGTTGAGTTTTCATCCAAAATAATGCAAATCAATCAAAAAAAGATTAGAATGTAAATGTGGGATACAGCAGGTTAAGAGAGAATATAGAGCATTGACATAAGGGTATTATCGAGGAGCATTAGGATCTCTTTTAAGTCCTCGACATCACTGAGTATGCATATAGAAAGTAATTTAGTACAGCATCCTTTGAAGCCTTGCCAGAATGGATTAAATATGCAAGAGATTACTCAAAACCTTCAGTTTAAATTATTATTATTGGAAATAAAGCTGATTTGGATAAGGAGAGGTAAAGGTATTGTTTAAATTGAGAACCATTTCTCAATAATCTGCAAAATAGTTTTGTCTAGAAAATGAAGTTCAATACATTGAAACTAGTGCAATAGAATTTTGGATTTGCTCCAATAAGGATTCAATGATTCCAATTTGATTAAACCTAAATTTTTACCCACTATTAAGAGTAATGAATAGCAAAATACATAATGCAATTGTTGACTTCTTTTTGTTATTAATATCTAAAATTCGTCTATGAATAAAAATACGTAATATGTTTAAATATTTTCAAATTTTTCTATTTAAAAAGAATAAGATTGGCTGTCTCTTTTTTATATATAATTATATATATATATATCATAACTGATATCCTACTCAGAGGTTTTCAACGTTACCACCTTCATCTTCAAGTTCTGAGGTCCACAATGTTAAGTTGTCTCTGATGAGTTACATGATGGTTGTGGCATCCTTGTATTAATCTTCTTAGATTTATTCAATGTCGGCGATGGCATCATCGAAAGCCTAGAGAGGATTAATTAAAACTATTACTGATTTAGCTAATTAGCAAGCCTTGGCGGCATCATTCAAAACTTCATAATAGAAAACGGAGAAATTCAAAGCAAGTCCTAATCTGATTGGGTTTGTTGTCTTTAATTCAGAGTTAGCAACTTAAGAAGCAGCTTAGTAAGCAGCAAGTGCTCCATCAGCGGCCTTCTTGTGTTGATCACCAGTGGCGTATTCAGAAATGTATCTGTGATAATCTCCTTTCATCTTGTGGAAGAACACCTTGGCTTCTGGGGTTGAGGCTGTTTTGATTAAATGGCTATCGATCAAATTAAGGATATCATTGCAATATTGATTAAGCTCCTCTTCAATCTTCTTCTTGTAGCTTCTGATCAAAACAAGATTCTTTTAGGAAGCTGGTTAAGATTAAGCCTATGAAACTAATTAATTTATATACCTTTCCTTCTTCTTTGTTTTCGATGCTTGACAAAACTCTCCAAGCTGTTCTTCTTCCACCAATGCTATTTTTGTAAGCAACAGAGAGAAGGTTTCTTTCTTCAACTGACAATTCTTATCCATTCTCAACAACTTATTTGATGTAATTGACCATATCTTCAAATCTCTCGGTTTATTCTGTCAATTTTGTCATGTAGATGAGTTCCTCCCTTGTGCTCATTTTGGATATTTAAAATTTAAATTTTTTAATTATTTCCAGAAATTTAGAAGTCCCTTAAATACCATAAAATTCGCACTAAATCCAAAAATTATTTAAATATATAAAATAAAACAGTAGTATTCTATCTCTTTGTTTAACCATCTAATGTTTGTTTCCTTACAACTCGTTTGTATAGAATCCTGATCATTCTGACAGATCCTGGAGTATATGATATTCATTATCTTTATTCGGTCTTTAAAAATAAAGGAGATATTGGGATCGATAGTAAATCACATGCTATAGAACAGGTTGATGGTATGTTTCAATGTGAATTGACATTTATTTTAATAAATTGATTTATCATGACTTAAAGATATTGGATGAATGTTCACATTAATGAAGTTTATCTTATGTTTTATTTATTCGTAAAGTGAGAAATGTATAACTGTTGATTATGATAAATAATTTATATAAATGGAATAATTTAATGGAAAACCTTCGGTAATTTATATGTCAAAATAAAGGATAACATTTTAATCACATAACCATTAACCAAACAAAAGTATCCAGCACTATTTCATGATGAGAGGTTTGGAAAAGACTTTGAGTCGAATTACTCAAAGCTTTAGGAAATTATGGATGTATATTTATGTTATGACTTTAGAACTTGTAAGGGAAAGTTGAATAAATTGTCAAGAGCTAAGAAGATGATTTCATGAAAGCATATAAAGATCAAATGAATGAATTGCAAGTTGATTTGAAGGCAATGAAAAGAAAAATTGATGAAGAGTCATTAAAATAAAAAGCTGATGAGAAAAAACGAATTTTAGAAGAAGAAAGAGATTACTTTAGATAAGAAGCCCTCAGATTAGATAATTTGAACAAAGAATAGCTGAGAACAATTGAAGAATTAAAGTTCAAGTTAAAAATCACAATCGAAGAAAAAAATTATTATGAAGGCTTTGTAATAGGTACAGCTATACATTTACTATCATTAAGATTCAAAGAAAGAGAACAAAGCATTGAAATTCGAACTCTTATAATTATATAAATAGAAAATGGAAGATTAAAAAGCCTTAAATAGAATACAATAACAATAATAAACACAGTAAATTACCAAATTAAATTCTAAAAAACAATCTGATAATAGACCATTAACTTAAGAAGGAATCAGATCAGAAGCCAATTTATTCATTAAGGATGATTTTAATTCTGAATTTCTAAAAAGAGAACAATCTTCAAAAGGAGGATTCAGATCATAACTATCTACTAAAAACAATGATTAAGCATCAACATAATTTGACTTTTTTAGAAGAGAAATCTCTACCCAATAATAAAGCAGATTCCATCCAGAAAATTAAATGGTATTCTTTTTATATTACTCTTAGTTAGAAGAAAGAAATAATTAAATTGCAGAATTAAAGTAATTGTTACAAAAAGAAAAGTTCTTATGTTAGCAATTAAAGTGTGAGTTGTAAAAACAGAATTCTTAAAGAGGAGAACTTGAAGTTGTGTTACTGGATTGTGTGAATTAACTTAAGAAAGATATTGCATCTAGGTAGACAGTTTAAAAATAACCATTTTTGGGTAACAGTAATAAAACCCCCAAAGTTGCTGAGTAGATTGCCTTTGAAGACATTGACTATCGATAATTTACTCATTAAGATAAAAAGTAATAATTTTTATTCTTAACAAAGAGCACTTCTCAAGAAATTCTTAAGCTCCGAATAATTTTTAGATTAAATATATTAACTTACCTTCAATAGTCAAATGGCTAGCACATCTTAATTAAAGCTTAATGAGAAGTGGAAACAAGATGCAAATGATGCTACCAAGAAATTCAATAATTTTAAAATATATAAATTTAGAAACATCACGAGCTAACGTATTATTTAATTCTAAACTAGCTATTGTAAAATAAGTGATATCGAAATAAGAATAAAACATTTTGTCAGAATTATAGGAAAAAGTCGATTAAGGATAAGAACTAGTGGATCAAATTGTATAAAATTGATTCTTTTTATCATTGATTTTGATATTGATATTTTCAAATATTAAAGGCCCATTGGGAATTATTTATTCATTATTCTTAAAATCATAAAACGATTTAAATCTCACTAAAACACTATTAATTTTAATTATTTTGTATTTCCAGCACCCCTACTCTACCAAAAATGAGAAGATTATAAAACGCTTTCGGCTTACTGCAATCATATTTTTCTGAAATTTGAAAGAACTAACTAAAATAATATTATACTTCATTTGAACTTAATCTACCATGTTTTCCATAAGTACTTTGAATATCTTCTATCAAAATTTAATAAAGCCTATTTTCTTGCTCCTATTCACAATTTTTTGAAGGAGTTTACGAAAAGCACTCAAAATTACTAAATTCTGATATATTTTATATGCTCAAGGAACTCTATCCTTAATTCTGTAATTTAGGTTTCTTATGATCTGTTTCTGTTGTCAGGTTATCGAAAATTAAAAAATTATGTTCTTCTTAAATTTTTCTACTTAAAATTAATTGTACTTCTGATTAGAATCTTAGCAAAATGAAATCTTATTAATTAAACCAATTAATTCATCTTCATGTTTCCAAAATTCTGGTTCAAGTTATAAAAAATTAACCTACAAACTTAAGTCATGAATTTTTTCTTTATGCCTCATAAAGGTCTATAGATTATTTTTAAATAACTCATCAGTATCTTCTTTTATTTTTATATCTAATTCAGGAGTTTTTTTTAATTAAGCCATTTTTGAATTTCTATTTCTATTTTTGATTAATTTATCTTCCTTATTTGTATTCTTCTTACTTACTTTCTTTGTTTCTCTACTAATTTCTTATTTTTATTCAGCTTCCTAATACTCTATATCTAGATTCTCGGCATAATCTACTTCTTCTACAAATTCATCATCATCTTTATTATTCTCTGATTGTTAACCATTAAAATTATAAACAAGTTACTGTTTAGATTGCTATAAAGTATTTGATTTTTTCTTGATTTTCAATTCTTAATTTTTTTTATTCAAAATATCAGAGAGTGAACATTTCTGAATTTAAGATAAATCCATAACAACATTATCAATTTCATATTCTGTTTATTACTAATTATTTCTTTTCAGTAATGCATACATATTGATTGGGGTCCTTTATTTCTCAACTAATTATAATTTTTCTGCTGCTATGAGGTTTCTTGGATTGTCTTTTATAGTAAATTAAGGTTAATCATCATCATAGCTTTCTAAACACTTTTCCTTAAGTTTACTTTGTTTTCTCTTTTTTTTAATTTCTTTATTTTCTTATTAATCCTCACACTGATCAATTAATGAGCTTTAAAGTGTTTCAATATTTTTCTTCAAAAATTAATGTTATTTGAGATAAATTATTGCTAATTCTGATAGATATTAGCTGCATTCTCTAAAGTTTGATGCAATTTAAAATTAAATTTCACATTATTTAACAAGTTTCATTAGATTTAATTGAGAAGCTTATTATTTTGATATTTTTGTATTTGTATGTATTATTTAAAAGGGTTTTTTCAAATCGCTTTCTTGAAGCTCTTCTTCGATCATATTAATAGTATTAATATTTGGAGAATTAAAGAATCAATTTGTGAATAAAATTAATAATAATAAGAAATGAGTGATCTATATTTGTCTTCCATAATCTTTGTATTAGAAGTCTCCTGAAATGAGGTAGTTGTATTTGTGACGACGTCATTTGAAATAGTTGAGATCAACAAAGATGTGATGAGTTAATTTTCTATAATATTGATATCTCTTAGTGTTTAAAAACTTATAATACCTTGGAATGAAAAAGAAAAATAATAAAAATTGAGTATATTTAAGGAATAATATTTATTCTATTTTCATCTGAATATCTATGATAAATATCAAATTATTAAATAAAATTTTTTAAGAGAACAATAGCTTCATTAAATCATAACAATTTAGTGAATATTCATCCATTTTGCCTTAAATTTAAAAAAAGGATGATAATTTATAGAAGTAGAATAAATTATAATTATTATTAATGTAATCTAGAAATCAATTTGTTATAAAATTATAAATTCTAAAACGATCTTAAATAAAAATGCTATTTTCAATTCCTCTTTCCTTCTGAATAATGTAAATATTAGAAAAGAAATGTTACTTTTAATCTTAGCTTTCTATATAATTATTTCATTTATATGTTTAATATTTTTATAATAATTAAATTCTTCACTCTTTAGGTTAATTAAGATTCTCTTCCTCTATTAACTTTTTTGGTTCTTGTTCTTGTTCTTCTGGTAATTATTATTTTTAATCTTATTAGATTTCAATTTCTCCTTTTTAATCATTATTTGGTTTATTTGTTTCTTCCTGATTTTCTGTTTAGACTTCCTTTTCGGTTACTTCTTATTACTAAAGGGTTTCTGTTTCAATTTAAACAGATTATTCCTATTAATCTTTTTATGCAAGGGCCTCCTATTATAAACTTTAATTTCTATATTGCTCAATAGTTTAAACTAAAATATCCATTTTAGTATGTATATCAATAAAGATCTTAGTGACTGTTTTGTTTCTTCTAATAACAATATCTGGATCAGGATTTTCAGTAGGTGTTAAATTGGTCAAAGCACGTAAGAATTATTAAGCCTAAGGATAATTGTTTTAGTGGTACTTCATTTATATCTGAGTTAAGATGTTCTAAGGATTACTCGTCTTCTCCATCGTCCTAATAAGTTTTAAGCAATAGTTTTTTGTATGCACCTTCCAAAAAGTTTTAGTTATAACTTTATCTTTTACCGAGTATTTCTTGTTCTCTAAAACATTTATTACAATAAATACATCTTCCATTTATCCAACTAAAAACTATCAATAATAAATGTTTAATGTATCAAACCATGATAATACAACTATTAAAGTAAGATGGTGAGATACAATGGCAACTTATCTTCTTTTGATGCTAAAAATTCAACGCTGAATTCAGGAGCAGATAGTAGATTTTCATTAATCCTTCTCATTTGATTAAAACTCAAAGGTAAGAAGTTAGTTTAAATATATTGAATAACCTAGTTTTTCATATCCTTTGCTAATTCTTTAATATCAAAGGTTCCATCGATTTGATGAGGATATTCAATTTCATGCTATTTATTGAACAATGACAACAAGGCAATCAAAGGTCGATAGATATTAATATCCATTTGTTCTTGTTATAGTGCTTCTTCTACTTTCTCCCATTAGATGGCTTGGATTATTGCCTCGATTAAATTTTATACTTTAAAATAGAGGGTTCCTTTCAAAGTTTACAAACTCAAAACTGTGTAAATATTTTTGGCTAAATCTCTAGCCAATAATTATTCAAACATTTCTCTCTTGAATACAATTGGCCATGCTTTCTTCACTCTAAATATATTGATATTAATATTTACTATTCTTTGAACCATCCGCAAACTTCTCTGATTTTGAATAATTCAAAAGCACTCAAAAATGGAAAGATGTGTCTAGTAAGTAATAAGGAAGGAAGCATCTTCAAAATTGAATTTTCATTCAAAACTCTTATGTAATCTGCGTCGTCACTTTTGATTTCAACTGTATAGTTCTTACTCAACTTAAAAATTAAGCTATTTGTTTGATCATTATAATTTTGTAATTGATTTAGATTTAAAGTATTAAGTGTCATAATACCGAATATGTCTTAACATGAAATCTAATAGATTAAATAATTATAAATACAGGTTTGTTTTCCTCCTCTTCTTCCTCATTTTATTTTAATTACCTTAATATTTATTGCTGTTGAATTTTCAATTCTTATTGTTTCTAGGCTAATTCTCTGCTCTTTTCAAGGAGAATGTCTCTTTACTCTGTCAGCTTTTCAATTTATTCTCTACTCCTTTATATTGAATGCTTTAATTATTCAACATTCTATTCTAATTATTCTTAAGTCAACTATTATTGTTCATCTTGTTTTTCAACTTATTAAATTTATTAATCAATTTCCTCTTCTTAAGTTTATAGTGCAGTTTTATTTTCTTCTATTTATTGTTAGAAATCTTCAAATTATTACTTCTGCTTTTAAATTAAATCTCCCAGCTTTTATTCATCTTAGTCAACTTGCTATTCACTTTCTTCTATTTAATCTGTTTATATTTCTACTTCATTTTTCTCTTGTTATACTTTAATCTCTTCATTTTACTCAATGGCATTCTACTATTCTTATTATTATTCTTCTTATTGTTATTATTATTCTACTTATTGTTATTACTCTTCTTGTTATTATTATTATTCTTCTTGTTATTATTCTTATTATGTATTCTACTCTATATTTTCTTCTTGTTATTCTTATTAATGATTTTGATGATGATGACACAAACATTAAAGTGCCTATTCTGTAAACCCATCTTTTGTTATGTAAATGCTTTTATTTTTACTTTTTAGAATTCTCATGATTTTCTCCAATTGATTTAGGTTTACTTTTTGATTCAATTCGTCATATCCTTTCATGACGTGATAGATTAGCATTTCCAAATCAGATCTTTTCCTTAAATATTACTATTCAATAAGTTCCTTCATTCCTGCAGGATCTGACACATCATCAAATTCACCTGGTTGGGCAATCTACAGCAAATTGCAAAGACTTTCCAAAGGGGCTTTTTATAATAGCACTTGATTATCGATATTGTTGATGATTGCTGCTAAAGTATGAATGCTATCTTAAAAGTTTGATGTTTAGGAGCCTGCTTAAGCAGCCGTTTAATTTATAGGATTTGTATTATTTGGGATACTAGGAACATTTGGATTTTATTTTAGCACCTTTTCAGCTGAGTTTTATAAATTCTCATTTTGATTTTAAATTTATTCGCATTCAAATTCTTATTCCTCATTCTTATTTTCTGTCTATTCAGTTTATGTAATTTAAGATTCATCAATTTGTTATTCTTCTTAATCTTAATTCCCCTCCTTCTTATTGTCTTCTTGATCCATTCTGAAAAATAATTTATTAAAAAATATATGAATGATTATTCGATTTCTATTATTTAAATTTGCAAAAAATTTATATTATAATTCTAAAAGATTTATAAACGATGAACTTCAATATATGTTCTAAAATATACGTATTTTATAGTTTAATGAACATTCTGATCAGTTTCTCAAAAAATACTCTCATTTTATCTAAGAATTGTCATTTTCAATTGTCATAGATTTATAATTTGTTAATCTCTATCAATAGCTAATAGAATTAAATAATTAATACCATATTGGGATCAAAATAATAAATTTAGGAAGTTAATTAATTTTTGAATAAATTCTTTATTTCTCCATTATATTTGTGAATTAAGTTATATAATACTCAAAGAAACACCTCTTTATATTATCATTTTATTTGATATTCATAATAATTCAACATTATTAAAACAAAAAATAATTTAAATTCATGAGAACTAAAAGTTCGTTTTCTAATAAAATTGTTTAATATAATATTTATAAACATAATACATTTAAAAATAATATATGAGGATTCAATATCAATGATTTGTATATTAACTAGAATAGAAAGAAATTTAATCTTTCCACAGGGCCTTAACATTTGTGAATAAATGAATTTAAGCTATTGAATATTAATTTAATAAATTATTTTGATGTTAAAAGATTATTAATACAATTTAAGATTTTTATTATAATACAAGTTTATATATAATTTAATTAGATATTTACGATACTTATTTATCTTAAACATTTCTTTCCATCAAAATGATAACTTATTTGAAATAGATATTAGGTAAAAAAATACTATGAGTTTTAATAAATAAAAGTGGTTAATTGTAAAGAGAGGAATTCAATAGCATTCTATGAAAACAAACACAACTTCATAAATTACTATATTAAGAAATATAAATGTAATTAAATTATTGACAACACACTAATATTATGAATTAATCATAAGAGTAATCCTTGCAATTTTGAAAATAAAGCAGACCATTTATTATTGTCTAAAAATATTTATGTTAAGTTGTAATAATTAAAACCATTTTAATAAATAGTTGATATATCTTTGCTATGCCTTTCTGAAATAACTACAACATTAATTCTTCGATTATGGACTGAACTGACGATCTTATTAATATTTATTTTTTATTTGGCACCTTATACTTATTGAGAAATGGTTTAATCGTTGATATCAACTTCCTACTCCTAAGTAGAATTACTGTTCCACTTATAATTGATATAGTACAAGATGTTGTATAATTTTGAATCCTCTAATCTAATGCTTTCTTCTAATTGCACTTCATGCGTTTACATGAGTATGAGAGTAATTTTAATATCTTGATTCGAGTTCTAGGTTCTGAATAAATATAGTAAGATACTTACATAAGTGTGGTTAATTTATGAGCAAAAAAGAGCATTTCACCTAAGGCGACAATATTTATGGACTTAGTTTGATTTTAGAAATAGGGCTAAACAAATTCATAAATTCTATTTATGTAAATGAACTAATCTTCTGATTAGTCTTTGTTTTCTATAATTTACATGACTTCAGTGTAGGGTGTTGAAAATACAAAGATAGTGCTTTCAAGTTTGTTAGCCAATTCAGGCAATTATAAGGATTGGTAAAAATAATTGAAGGAATTACCCAAAGGTGGGAATATAATATACATATTTTTGGAAGAGTAAGTGTGAATTTCAACTTAGAATAGTGAATCAATTTTGAGGAGAGTACCTAAATCGATTACAGTATAATTAATTTAATCAATTTTGGTATTATTAGTGTTAATGCAAATATTATTAATTGAAACGCAATCTTTTGCACATATGTTTTGTTTTAATTTGAAAGGAGTTGAACATTGAAGACATCTTGATTAATATTCATGATAACAAGAGATGCAATTCTAAGGGCATTTCAAACATGAGAATGTTGTGGAATCAAAAGATGTATTATAGGGACATTGTAATTTGTTTTGGTCTTAGGGATTTTGAAATGGTAATAGTTATGTCTCTTAAAATTCTTGAGATTGGTTTTCCATCCAATTAAAGAATATTAAGATCGAAATTGCTAGAAATAACACCAGAATAAAAATGTGTACGAATTGTCCATAGTTATTCTTGCTCACCTTTTATTTGCTTCTAATTTTTGGCTTAATCGGATAGTATTCATTATGATCATTGATTTCGTCTTCTTCATCACCTTCGATCATCTAGTGATATTAATAATTTAATGAAATTATTAAAAGCTATAGATTTATATGGTAAGGTTCCGAAAGGATTGGCTGAGCCTACAAGTTCTGGAGCTGTTGTTTCCGTTCTTACTTTGATTTTCCTAGGATTAATGGTCATGAGTGAAGTGATTGTAATGAATAAGGTCTATCATTCGTATAGGAGTATATTACCATAGATGTGCAATCAGAAATCATCGTGGATCAACAATTATCAAAGGATAGAGTTCAAGTGAGTTTCGACATCAAGTTCGTAAGGGCACCATGCGACTTTTTAGAAATTGATCAATAGGATGCAATGGGATAGAGTTTATCATAATAATTCATGGAATTTAAATACTATAGAATGGATTCAAGTGAAAGGAGAATTGGAGAATATGTAAATATCAAAATTGAATAAATAGATCAGAAATTAGAATAATTGGATTGTGATTGAGGATGCTAGAACAGCAGTGGCTGAAAAGTAAGGCTGTGAAGTGGTTGGAAGTCTCAAGATTAACAGAGTTAAAGGAAAAATATCATTTGGACCTCATCGATCTCATACTTATATAGGTGCAGTGGGCAATCTACATCTTCCATTAGACTATTCTCACAAATTTGTATCATTTACTTTTGGAGATGAAAATGCTCTCAAGAAAGTCAAGAGCATGTTCAAGCAAGGCTAATTGGAGAGTTTGGCTGGCAGTCAAAGAATTAAGAAATATGAATTGGCTAGTTAATCAGTATTCATAAATTAAACATTTTTAGATGTAACATGAGCACTTCATCCATATCATTCCAACTCATTATACCTTGTTGAATAAATAAACTTATTCAGTTTACTAGTATACAGCCAATCATAATGAAGTGAGATCCCACAATTACGCCAATGTTCAATTAAGGTATTAATCATTATTAATATTCAGATATGACTTTGCACCTACAACTGTCACATATTGGTAAACCAAAGAAGACATTCTGCATTTCTTAGTCTAGATATGTGCAGTTATTGGAGGCATATTCACAGTATCAAGCATGATTGAGGCTAGTGTATATAAAGTAATGAGAAGTGTGTTAAAAGTTGAATGAAATTTTTTATAGATTCAATTCAATAGCATTAATATAAATTGTTATTCAGAAATTACTACATTAGCCATATATATATATATAAAGACTCTTTTTAACCTTCTTTGAGATTTAACTTAAAATTTTACAATGAAGAAAAACTGTTTTCTATATATATGTCAAATAACTCCTCTCTGCCTGCTGAGTTATAATTCTAAATATATAAAGATATCCTCAATTATGGTGAAGTACTTTTTGTGTTTTATAATTATATATCACTATTTTCTATATAATTTTATCAAAAAAAGTATTTGATATGTTATCATTTGTAATTTGAATAACAACGCTTTCGTAGGTTATGTTTATGATAGACCAAATATCTATAATTTATTTAATATTATATATGAAATCAACTTTCAACTTTTGGTTCCACCTTTTCTTTTTTATTCTATTATCTTTCAGTTGTTTATACCTAATTATCTTTCTAGGCTTGCATTTCTTTCTCAATTTACAGTTTATTTGTATCTAAATAATATTTAATATCTTCGACGATGGATTTGAATTTAAGGAATTGTGGAGTTTGGTATTTCTCAATAGTGTCAATTTATGTCATTTATTATTCCAAAAAAGTAAACTTGGTACAATTAAAGATTGGATATAATCTAAGTCGATGCATTTCCTTCTATTCATACACTTAGACAATCATTTCATAAACAACTTTAGCTTCAGATACTTCATGAGGTTGGAGATTTAAGTTGAAACATTGATAGAAGTCTTCCAAATTAACTTGTTCTGCATTCAATTTGACAGGATTATACCCTTTCTTAACCAATTCTTCATTTAATAGGTTGTGAATGTAGGTGTCATTTTCGATATAGGTTTTGAACCTGTTGTTTAAGGTGAATTGAATCTTGTCTGCACATTTCTTTTCAAACTTAACAGTCAAACAATAGAAAATTTCAGGGTAAGATTCCTGCCTTGATAGGAGTAATTGAAATATCCTTTTAATGAATCTCCTGGAGTGTACTTGTGTACAGAATTTTTCGTTTTGAGTTTTGGGTCTTCTTTTTTTAATGATTTTCCTAACAATGCGTATCATTTGATTTTTCTTACGATTCATTTTACCAGTTGCATAGGTTTCTTCTTCCTTTTTTTCATCTAGAAATTTCTTAATTTTATTTAAGTTGATGAATGTTTATGCAATAGGCAGTTGTTATTCTTCGTAATCCTTCTTGTTATTCTTCCAGGATTCAAGTGGGGCTTTCTTCAATTGTTCTTTTCCCTTTTTCATAAAGTCCTGTAAATTTTAGTCTTGGAATATTTTTTCAAGTTTTTCCTGGATTTTTTCTCTTTGATTGTAGATAATCTTGGTCATCTGACAGATGTTGGATGGTTGTGACTTTTGGAGGTAATGTTTGTATTTGTTTTCAAAGTTTTAGGCGATGGAGTTGAGTTGATTTAGTGAGTAGGTTTGATTGAGGATATCGTTGAGATGGGTGTCTCTGGTGATCATTTCGAGTTCTTTGATATTCAATAGTTATTTAATGAGTGGTTTAGTGGCTTCGATTGAAATGGTATCTTCAGAATTCAAGACTCTTATAAACTAGAAGTATTGCAGGAAGGGGATGATGGGCAAATCAAAGTCTATGGCATAGCATAGGATGATTTTGGTGGCTATGTCTCTGATTTGTTTGTACTTGATTTCAGTTTGAATGGAAATCTAATGGGTTTGATCTAATGAATCATCATCTGAGTTGTCCTCTAAACAGAAGGCTTCTAATTTTTTCATGTTTAATTAATGATTAAAATGTGGCATCGATGTTGAGAGGGTAGAAATTCATTGTAATATTTGGAAGCGAATATTATTGTTAATTTATAATAAATATTATAAAATTATATACGTGTAATAAATATGTTTGTCAAATTAGAGAAACGTTCAGATCGGGTAAAAAGCGTATCTTTCCACCCTCATCGTCCTTGGTTGTTGAGTGCACTTCACTCAGGTGTGATAGAACTAATTGATTACAGGATAAAAAAACGAATAGCAACATATGAGGATCACAAAGGGGCAGTCCGATCAGTTGAATTCCACCCACAATTGAATCTGTTCTGTTCTGGAGGAGATGATTTCACAGTGAGAGTGTGGAATTTTAAATAATGTCAATTTATATTGAAGGGACATCTAGATTATGTTCGATGTGTAACATTCCATCCAACCAATCCTTGGGTGCTCTCTGGATCTGATGATCAAACAGCCAGAGTCTGGAACTATCAAAGCAGATAAACCATAGCCATACTCACAGGACATACTCATTACATAATGTCTTGTCAATTCCACCCCACTCAGGATTACATAGTGACATGTTCATTAGATCAAACTGCCAGATTGTGGAATTACGGAGTGCTTAAACAGAGATATGCATAAAAGAAGAATCAGGAGTACGTACTCTCTGGAGCAGAAGTATAGGTGATTGCAATTATGGATGGACATAAAGATTAACTCAATTGGTGTTCATTTCACAAATCAGAGCCATTCATCATCACAAGTGGCGATGACAAAAATATCAAATTGTGGAAATACAATGAAAACAAAGCCTGGGAAGTCGATTCGCTTTCAGGACACACCAATAATGTTTGTTGTGCTGAGTTTCATTCAAAAGGAGATGTCATTATCTCAGATTCTGAAGATCACACCATTAGAGTTTGGGATTGTAATAAAAAGTAAATTGCACTTTATGAAAACGTACATTTCGATCGTTATTGGACTGTAGCCTGTCATCCTAACAATTACTATTTTGCTTGTGGTTCTGATACTACGCTTCAAGTATTCACATTACATAAAGATCGAGTGCCTGTACTCTTAGTTAATGAAAGGTATTTGTGCATGGCAGAACAGAAAATACTTAAAGTCATCGAATTGAACTCAGGACAATAATAAACTATAAGAGATATTTCTACTGTCATTACTCCAACTCCAACTGTCCTTGAGGATAGCATTGAATCCATTGAATACAACACTTATGACACTTAAAAAACACAATTAATGGTTAGATGCATTCGATCTCTCAACAAGAATTAATCTAGAATAAAGAGGCATTTGCTTATTGCATTTCAACCTCAGAAAGGGGACTAAGGAGTTAAGTAATTTAATTCAAAGTCAGCTTGCTTCATTGGCAAAAGCAAAATTGCTCGAATCAATTAGGAATTATAAATTGAGTTATATAATTATGAAACAGAGGCAGTCTCTATAATTGATGAAAAACCCGCCTCGAAGCTATTCACAGCCCCTGGAGGCAAATTATTAATATATAGAGATAGTAGGGAAGAGCTCAAAACATTTCAGGACTATTTAGTATATAATCTCAACTACTGGAGCAATAAGAACCATTTAGAGTTATTTGATCCACTTGCTAAACAGGGTTTACATTAAGTAGAATACACAGATGCCAAGTATGCCCAATATCATGATTCCTATTTAATAGTATAAGGGAAATTAACCTTGACTATCTTCACTAAACAACTTTAAAAATTAATTGAAATTCAAGAAAAAGTTAATATTAAGTCATTTATTTGGGTTAATAACTTCATAATATACACTACAAAAAGTTAAATTAAATATTTGTTATTGAATGGCGACACTGGAGTGTTAAAGTCTACTGAAAATATTCTCTATTTGGTCAAAGGAGAAGAATAATAGTAAAATAAATTAAAATTAATAGCAGTTGATAACACTGCATAATACATCAATTAAATTTTGGATATTCAGGAACCATTATTTAAAATTGCCATATTAAATAAGGACCTGAGTGCAATTCATAAATTTGTTGAGAACAATTAAAATGAAGCTGTACTCTCCTACTTGTATTAAAAAAGATTAGCATCTGTTGCTCTGAAATTAGTCAAAGATAAATAAGGTATCACTATTATATTATATAATAGCTAAATTTTCACTTTCTTTGGATTCTGGTAATTTAGAGTAGGCATACAAAGCAGCAATAGAAATCAAGGATACAAATTTGTTTGAATAATTGAGGTCAGAAGCTCTAAGACAAGGCAATAACCTATTGGTTGATGTTTGTGACTAATAACTCAATCAATTTGATAGATTGGCCTTTTTATATCTGTGTACAGGTAACACTGAAAAGCAAGAGAAATTACAAAACATATAACCAAATTACATTTACTAATCCTAAACTTCAAAATTAAAATCTATCAGGTAGAATCTACCAAAATTAGCTCAAATTGTAGATCATCTGAATGGCAATAATCAGAAATTGGATTAAAATTAATCAGAAACAATTGAGTGGATAAAATCACTCGGTGGAAGTCAAGCTTTAATACCACCAAATCCTATCATGAAGTTTAAAAATGATCCATGGCCTCTCTATTAAATGAATGAGTAAGATATAATCAATCTTGAAGTTACTGAAGAATCAGTTGTACCTTAGGATATATTCACAATCTAAAAATAAGTAGTAGAAGAAGCACAAGTAGAAGAATAAATTAATAATGATGGTTAATGGGGACTAGAGGATGAACCAGAAGAAGAGTTCTTTGAACCAAAAGTGATATAGGAAAAGGATAAGAGCATAGATGAACAAGCATTAAGGGGAGTGTTCTTGGAATAAAAGGGAGATGTGGCTGTTAAGTATTTTGCTGCAGGAGATTACGAAGGAGGTATAAGATTGTTAAAGCAACAAATAAATTTGAGTAATCACTAATAGCTTTTGAAGTTATTAACAGGGGGAACTTCATTTTAAGTTGTATCTTCAATTCCTTATTTAAGTAATTCCACTCTCCCAGTTAAATTAAATCGATTGAATGAAGTTAAGACACTTATCAAATAAGGTATGTAATATTAATTTATTCTAGGATACAAATTTACGACTGATGCCAAATTTGAAGAAGTCAGCAATTGTTTCTAATAGGTGTTACAAAAACTATTACTAACAGATTTTGAAGCAAACCAAATAGAAGAAGTCAAAAAGTACATTAATATTAGCAGAAATTATATGATTGCAATGAGATGTGACTCATTCAAAAAGGAGAGTAATGCTTTAGAAATGGCTTGTAAGATGGCAACAATAGAATTACTACCTACTCATAGAATCTTAACTTTGAGATAAGCTCTTAGTATTAGCTACAAATAGAAGAACTTTATCACATGCTAATAGATAGCGAAGAAGCTAATTGAATTACTGAAAAATGATACAACTCAAAAACCAGAAGTTCTACAAAATGCATAAAAAGTAAGGTTTAGTATCTATTTTTTAGTATGAGAAAGCATCATAATAATAAAATACAAATGCAATATAAATCGATTTCAATCAAAGTTGGCTCAATGAATAGCCTATTTACTCTGTAAATACACTCAAAAATCTTTAAAATTATAAGGCATGTCCATATGATGGAAGTACATATGAAAATGATTATTCATAACTTTGCTTGGTTTGCGGATTATGTTTAGTTGGTAAAGCTCCTGGACTGAAGAACCTTCAATAACCTTGAGTCGTTATAAAAAGAGATCTGTAAATTATTATGCTTCATTTTTATAAGATAATTTCATTTTATTTTATATAATTATATTTTAAAATAGGTTTCTCTACATTTTCATAGTGAGAAACTACTTCTGAAATGTCTATAACTCTTAAAAATCCATTTTTGTTGATAGATATATTTATGATCTACTTTATTTTACATCGAAATTGGAAATTTTTATTTAAAAAGACATCTCAGATAATTATTAATCATTTATTAAATTAAAGGATTAATTAATTTTGTTTTTGGAGGATTAAAAAATGGTAGCATCTTATTCAAAACAACTACCTTAATATATAGAAAGTCTTAAATAAATCACATTTTTATTAAATTTTTTAAAATGCATTTTTTAGATGACTTATAGGTTATAATATGTAATTTTTCTAACAAGGATAGAATGGTGTGGGTATTTTAAATGAACAACCGCCATAGTTTTATTCTAATGCTAAAATAGTATAAGAATTCCAAATCAAGATTTGAGATATATATAATTATTTAATATATAATGATTAGTTCAATTGTGTTTATAAATCATAAGGGAGAAATCCTTATTTATAGGGTCTATAAGGATGACATCACAAGAAGTGAGACTACACAATTTTGTGCTAAAATAGTGGCCACAAAAGAAAATAAGGAATGTCCAATAATCAATATTGATGGTAAAAAATGATATTTAAAATTCAAGGAACATCATTTATCCATATTACAATAAAAGACATTGTAGTATTAGCCACAACAAAAGTAAATGTAAATGTAGCAATGACCTTACAATTTCTTTATTAATTAGTACGATTACGATAATAAATCCTAGGTTAAAGTGTGCAGAGCTTACTTTGGAGGAGAGTTTGATGAAAATTGTATAAAAAAGCACTTTGTGCTAATTTATGAAATTCTGGATGAAGTAATGGATTATGGTGTACCATAAATAGCAGATGCAGATCTTTTGAAAAAAGTATCATGCTTAATACTAATGTTTATTAGTACATTTAAGAAGGAGGACTGAAGCCAGAATTAATGAATGACGTAGAAAAGTTGAAACAATTGACTTCTTAGGCAACTGGAGCTACATCTTGGAGGCCACCAAATCTTGTGTATAGAAAGAACGAAGTGTACTTGGATGTCATAGAGAGTGTGAATGTGTTGATGTCAGTGAAGGGGACAATCTTGAAGGCTGACGTGGCAGGATCAATTTAGGTGAAATGCTTATTGTCTGGAATGCCAGAATGTAAATTTGGAATGAATGATAAATTGCTAATGTAGAGAGAACCTCGTAAGCCCGGTTAAACGACCACAGACAAAGGTATTACAATTGACGATCTGAAATTCCATCAATGTGTCAAATTACCTAAGTTTGATAAGGAAAGAGCAATCACATTTATTCCACCTGATGGTTAATTTGAGTTGATGACTTATAGGATTACTGAGAATATTAATTTACCCTTCAAAATCATGCCTGTATATAATGAGTTAGGTAAAAACAAATTGGAAATTCGAGTCAAAGTATTAAGATATTTAAATATTTAAGATTAAATCTATTTTTGAGAAGAATCTCTTTGCTACAAATTTAGCCATAAAGATTCCAGTGCCCAAGAATACTGCAAATGTTAATACAAATTCAGCAATCGGGAAAGCCAAGCATGAACCAGATTAGCAAGGAGTGATTTGGAGAATAAAGAAGTATCCTGGAGACTTTGAAGCCCTATTACGTTGTGAAATCGACTTAGGTTAAACAACTAATTAATAGCCTTGGATTAAGCCACCCATTTCAATGGAGTTTTAGGTGCCCATGTTTACAGCAAGTGGATTGAGAGTAAGATTCTTGAGAATCTATGAAAAAGCAGGATATAAACCAACGAAATGGATTAGATATATCACCAAAGCTGGTGAGTATTTGCATAGATTGTGAAATTACAATAATCCAAAATATATTTATCAATTATCATTATGTGTCTTGTACCTTATGTTGCGAGCTTTGCTTTAGTATTTCAGAGTTTGATAAGATTGATAGATTTTGTGTGCTTGTTTGATATTGGGAGTATGAGGCCTTTACTTAATCTGTAACTGTTTTTTGGGTTCTGCCAATCTATCTTGTTATTTGGATGGACAAGCACTGCTAATCCTCAGAGGACCTGTCTTTTGGTAATTTCTGAGTTGCCTTTGAAATTGGATTTCGACATTATCCCACCAATTACATGGATTGCATTGTCCACCATCATTTACTATTACAAAATAATCTCTCCCACTTCCATCCCCCCAATACTTCGTAGTTTTGATGGGTATTTGAGGGAGGTAGATTGCCAGATCGTCCCAAATTGCGTATTTGATTTTGTGAGGTAATGCATTTTCTCGAAGTCGATGATTTGCGTTGAGGAGCTATTTGAGATTGCAGAGTCTGATTCATTTGTCCCCCATTAAACTTGCTTATGTAAGAATCCCTGTGATCAACTATGTTAAATACCTGCCTGTGCCGTCGTTATGATAATTGTTCACTTTGGGCTACAATCTACAAAATACTTAGCGAGCTGCCATTATAATAATTAATTAATCATTTCTACAATTCTCTTAATAAATGTGCTAAATAGATCAATGGATTAAATTCAAGAGCCTCTCTTTGCTACTTCATTTGCTATTTCAAATGCTGCAATTCTTGTTTATCTGGGGCTTCCTCGTCATCTTGATCCTCTTGAATCTGATTCAATGCCAGATTTATTTCCTTCTTCATATCCTGAGGACTCATGTCATCTATTGAAATTCCTGCCGGAGCCTGTATTTGGTGATTTATCGGAAATATGGATTCATCGTTTTTAATCAGTTATGAGCTCATTCCCATTAAATCATCATTCTCTGCAGAGCCCTGAGACGAGGATTCATAAGCCGATCCCAACTCATTTTTCAATCTCTGCTTCTCTACTTTCTTTTGTTCAATCCTGTCAAATATTTTAATTTTCTTCAATCTTTCTTAATGTTTTCTCACTTCCTCAGTCTTTACAATATGATCTATCAGCTGCACTAAAGCAGTGTGTAATTTCGGATACACTTGATTCTCTAAGAATTCTATTTCCTCCATTGTTCTAATTGAATTTTATAACTACATTAATTAATATCATTATTCTGATAATCATTTTTCTAATTACCAACATGCATAAATTGAATTTTTCATTGGATATTAACTATCCTGTATTTTGAAATAAATTGACTATCTTTATGTTAGTTATAAACAAAATCCTTTTTCTTTTATTAAAAATAGAAAATCCTCTTTGATATAATGTCTATTATTTTATGTTTAAGTATTAAATTACACTTAATGATATCATAACTACATAAGCATTAGAAAAATTGAAGGAATCTTTGTTTATTGTTGAATTCGCCACTGGAGTCTAAAGTTGAGTTATCTGCAGGAAGAGTCTTGTTTTAGAAAATTGAGACAATTATTCAACTTTTCAGTCAATTGGAAAGGAACTAAAAGATATCTGTAATACATAGAATAAGGAATTTAGGATGCTGCTAAAACTAACCGTAAAGTAGATAACATAAAATATAGATATCTTTACTGGATAAGATTTCGCTGATAATGTTCTCATCCTATAAAAGAAAAGGTTCCAATCATCGTTGGTTTGATTGAAGATCAATATGTAATTTAGTTATTATCATAATTTATCCTTCTGTTGCTGAAACAGATTTGTATGCCAGAATTATAAATGAATTTAATTAAGAAATTGAAATTAGTAAGCAAGTATATAACATACTTAATTAACTAAGTTCGAATCTTGTGTAAGATAAACTATTATATTTTGATTATAAAATATAAATATATATATATTTTAATTCAAAGAAGATATTTCATCAAATCTTTTGCAGCCATAGCAATAGATTTGTCTTCCTTTTGATATTTTTCCAAAACTTATACTAAGATTTCTTTCTTTTCTATCTTAAATGGTTTTTGTTCATTCAATACAACCATCCAATGTAACAATTTGATGATTCTCTTATTCAATTAAGGACATAGTAATGGAATTAATTAATTAAATAATTACTACCTTATTTAGGATAGTTTTCCTGGATAAAAATATGCCAAATGCAACATATAAGTGAACAGAGTTAATTGACAGCCTGGAGTAGAAATACCAATTAATTGTTAAGCATATTGAAGGGTGAAATAGAATTGGTCCTAAAAAAATAAGAATTCTTATGGGAAGGGTTAAGGAATCAAAGTATTATCTGGACTCACTATTATTTTGTTGTTCCCTCTTTGTAATTCATTGATGATTTTGCTTGTGATTGCTACCATAATAGAAGACAGATCCTCAAAAGCCCATTCTTACTTCTGTTTTGTAAATTATACAAATATTTGAACTGACTTATCTATAGTTTAATACTTATTTAATACCAATAATTTAGAATTGCTTGAGATCTTCAATTGAACTGCCTTCAACAATCTTCTAAATGATATTCAAAGTATGGCCTGTGATATTATTACTATCTGGCTTGTACATATCTAATATGGCCTAGAGGACTTCATATCTTTTGAAATGAGGGAGAAAGAGTGAATTGTAAGTTAGGAGAATTGATGCTAATTTGAGTGCATAAAATGGTAAGGGAGGTTATTCTTGGAATAATTCCTTCAACAAAGGGAGTATGAGAGTAATAATGATGTTATTCAATTCATTAGAGTACGGCTTCAAGAAATTGGGATAATCATAGATCCCCTCTTCCTACAATAGAGCACTAAGTAGATCTATGATCAACTTCAAAAACATAAATTTAGTTTCAGTGCTCTATTACTTAACCATATAATCAATGCAATTTTTGAGCACTTGTTAAATAATTACTTATTGTTGCTTTATTAAAATCTTTGAGTTCGTACACATCTTGGACATAATATTCAATAGAGTAGTTTGAATTTGAGTTTTATTCTTTGATAATGACAATAATTCTGTTAGGATTGGTAAATACTGAGAGGAAAATAGGGATTGCTATAAGACTGGAGTTTGTGAGTATTAGAATAACACATTTAAATAGTTGCCATTAGTTTTCTTCGGAGAGTATTCCATCAATTATGAATCAGTCAATGATTGATTAATCTAGGTGATCATAATAGGAGTGCAATCACATAGTTATTGTACTAAATGTTACAAGCACTATTTCAAATAATCATTATTGTCTCTGAGTCCTTTATCTAGAATTTGGTAGAATCTTAATTGTTCTTCTGATAGATTGATAAGAGTGACTATATTGAATTTAATCATCAGCATCAGTGCAATAGCTGCCTTCCCTCTGCTGACAGCATTACCATGATCCAATAAATAAACTAACCCTTTTATTAATTATGCTAATTTTTAATAAGAAATCGTATCATACATTCTTCCATCAATAATTTATTGACAGCATTTGAGGCCAATTAAGATACATTATTGCTTGATGAATCTTGTGTGCTAACACTCTGTAGAAGATGAATGTTGAATATTGTAATCATAGCCTATTATACTCTCTGTAAGTTATCTAAAAATATCTAGACTAAATGAGAGAAAACAAATACCGAAACTAAACTCTTCAAGCCAAGATTCTACATAAACACATCAACTTATTGATTGTCCAACATCAATAGATTAGCTAAGGTAATGGCACAACTGATTCTTAAACTATCATTTTTGGTAGACAAAAAGCATTGGAGAATCATCAAAACTATTTCTGATTTGGCAAATCTCTATCCTATAGATATGGATTAAGATGAAATGTTTTCAATGGTTTTAATGCAATAGAATTTCACTAATTAAATGATATAGATTTGTACCGATTTCATCTTCATTCTGTGATTTAATAACCTTTATCAATTAATTGAAGCTGATATTGCTCATCTTCCAATAAGGATTCTAAGGATCTTCTTCCATTTGAGTTGCCCCATAAAATAAGTATTCTCCCAAAGCTGCTGCTGCCTTTCTTCGAACATTATTCTATTCCTTTGAATTTAATATTTCCACCATGGCTTCTGGTATTCCATGTTATGATACTTCAGGTTCAATAACTGTAGCATGTCGAAGCAATAAGCCTAAAACACAACAAATTCGGTATTTCAATTATGTTAATTTACTGACTGTGAGTAATTTTAATAATAATTAAACATATGCGGAATTGATTAAACGATTGGCTGCATTAGAAGTCTAAATAATTTATTCAAAGTAATTTAGAATGTTTAATTATTCCTATTATTTGGCTACCTGTAACGAATTGTAAATTTATTCAAAGTGATATTCAATTTAATCAGTTTCAATATTTCGATTAACATCATCTGCATTAATATATTAAAAAGGTAATGATTCCTTTGCAAATGTAGCATCTATTGATTTTTCAATCTCTCTATTACCAATGATGGGTTTGACTGAATTATCAGAACTATGAGTGAACAATTAATCAATCGGAATTAATTGATCATTTTCATTTGCCTTCTTTTATTAAGGTGTAATTCCTCCAGGAATAGGGGATTAATTAAGAAGACTTTGAGTAGATGGATGCACCGAGTCTTTTTTGATAGTGAATGGTTTCTGTTGCAAATGCGGTGAATTAATTGAATTTAAATCTGACTAAACATTAGTTTAGAATTCATCTGGTTATTTATCAATTTCATCATCATCTTATTATTATTCTGATCCTATCAATATTTCTTGGTCTTTGTTTGTTAACTTGAAATCCTTCTCGTTACTACTAATCTATTTATGATATTATTGTTATTGAGAACTGCTGGGCACATCTTCCCTTAACATATTCTTATGGACATTCAAGGACAACCTTACAATGTCCACCTATTTGTTATTCTATTGAACAGGAGTCACTCTAACAAGATTGTTTTTTTTGCACCAAGTTTCAAAATGCGGTTGAGATGGCACATTCAAATATTAAATATTAAGGAATTTACAAATTTTCTCCCATCCCCATCTTTTGAGAGGATCCTTCTCCAGCAATCTAGGATTAAGTCACAAGAATTACCCTTTAATGAAATCCCAACATTAGACCTCTAATGGTTTGACTTCTGCATTCAAAATCAATTCAACTAATTCTGTAAAGCTACTGCATTAGAATGGAGGTTATCCAATACATAATTCATATGCAATACATCCCAGAGCCCACAAATCACTTTGAAAACTGTATACTCCACCCTCGTGAAACAATTCTGGTGCCATATAATAGGGTGATCCTCTTTTGGACATCTCGACATCTGGACCTATGGTGGCTGAGATCATGTCCACCAAGCGCTTTGCATTTCCCAAATCACTGAGTTTGGCTACTCCATATTCATTGAATAACACATTCGATGGTCTCAAATCGCAATAGACTATGTTTAATTTCAAATGACTCACTTATGCCCTTGGAATGCAAATAGTTTAATCCTGCAGCCATGTCCCTCACGAAACGTAACACTATGTTTTCTTGTAAGCCTTATTGATCTGCTTCAATCAGTGCCATCAGATCACCTCCTGGACAATACTCCAAAATGACCCAGAGATGATTACGCGTCTCATACCAATGGTAAAACTTCAAGATGTTGGGGTGTTTGAGACCAGAGAACATTTTGACCTGATTCATTCAAATTAATTGATACTTCATTCAAAAGTTTTGTGCGTCTGCTTTTCTCCAATGATTTCACTGCCATATATTCAATAGTCTTCTTCTTTCTTCCCTTGTACACAACTGAATACTTGCCTTTTCCTATCTCATCGTAAATATGATAGTTATTCATAATTTTTAAATTTTGTTTTATTTTATTTTATGGGCAAGAAGAAATTCATCAACAAATAGAATGCAGCCACACTCAAAATGGTTCATCAACCAGGTGAAAATAATCAAGGAGCCACAGACATGATTTGTTTCCAAAAAGTTAATCAACCTGGTACTCAAAATGAATTGTACTCCCATTTAAATATCGTAGATCTGACCTCATCGAAAAAGAACTCAACAGAGGCAAGTACGATCCCAATCTTAAACCTCGAATGCCTGAAATTGACCCTACATAGGATGCCTTACATTTGGTTGCTGGAAGAGAAGACCTCTGGATTCATCAATTGGCCAAATAAAAGGCCGTACAAGCATTAAAACAGAAATAAGAGCAATTCCAGGATGTGGTCATGAAACATTATGATGAAAATGGATTGCCTTTGGATGGGTATGATTATTCCTAGCATCTTGCTCCAGAGAGACGTAATAATTTCATTTAAATGATCTCTTAGCCTAAGGTGAAGTGGAATGTGTCTTTGTGGTTCCTGAAGAAGAGAGGTCCAAGGTTGTCTACGATATAGATTTCAAAAGAGAAGAATTAACAAAAGAATAATAAGAGGTGTATGATCTATTGATGAAAGAAGATAAAGATGATGATGATGATGAAAATGTTTAAGAAAATTAAGAAGAGTTAGAAGATGATTTTGTTGCTAATTTAATACAATAAAATAAATAACAACCCTTTTAAGAGGAGAAGGTAGAATAGGTATAAAAAGTAGCTGAATCACCTAAAAAATAAGTTAGATTTTAAGATTAAGAGGAATCTGATAATGATGAGGATTATGAGGATGAAGAGGAAATGGAAATTACTTATGATAAAAATAAAATGAATTAAAAATCATAACAAAAGTAATAACAACAATAGAAATAATAAAAATAAACTAAAAAATAATAAAGTGATTCTGATTCAGAATTAGAAATTGATTCTGATATGGAAAGAGAATTTGAAAGAGAAATGAATGCTTATGAAGCACCAGATGATGAAGATGATGAAGACCAATCAAATAAAGAGTTTGTTAATGATTAAATGCTTAATAAGGTTATAGATGATCATCTTAATACAATGACCAAAAAGTAATAGAAAAAATCAAAAAGTTAACAAAAACCACAAGATCAACCTGAAGAAACTGAATGTATGATATATTACCATAACTAATTTTAGAATAGAAAGAAAAGAGACTTGAGTATTTAAGAAATACAGATTACAATGAGTACTTGAAATAAAAATTCCCTAATGCAGATTTTTCATAATTCCATCTTAAGAAGGAGGTACCACCTCTCACTCCCGAAGAAGATATCGCGTTGTAGAACTATCTAAATAGGGAGTCCACTGACGAAGAATGTCCTGACATGGAACCTGCTGAAAAGTATTAAGAAACAATTGTTACTAAATCTCTGCATAACACTACAATGTCTAAAATGAATCCAGATCAATTAAACATAATCAAATATAAAACTAAAGGGTAAGTTTAATCTACCAAAGAGGATAGGATGAAATAAAAGGAAGAAGATAAGATTAAAATTAAAGAATTAAAATAAGAGAAGGAAAAGGTCAAAGAAGCTGTTTGTGGTATGTATACAAATTATATTTATTAGAAACCTTGAAGTAAGTAGTTATCAAAAAAGAGGAAACTCCTGAAGAAAAGAAACATAGGAAAGAATTAGTGAAATAATTGAAATAAGCATAAAAAGAGAAAAAAAAGGCATTCAAAGAATAATTATAGACCATGTCAAAAAAACTATAAAAATAAAAATTGGCTAATATCCAAAGTAATTAAGCCGAAGGTGTCTCAATTGTTAAAATAGCATGATTATTTAATTTTTGTTTAATAGAATTTTTATTAATATTTAATTTTATTAGTTATAAAAATACTGCTATTTAATAAACCAAATTATAGAACCTAGTCACATATATAAATACAGTGGAGAATAAAAATTTAAAGGAATTTAAGATCGAATTAATTTTGAAGAAAATTAAATTCAATTAGAGATCATCAGCAAATTATAGCAATTCTATTTAGAGAACAAAATCATTTGAAGAAACCTCACTGAAGCTTCAAAAGGATTATCCTCATTTATTCAAGAAAAATAACATGAACCTGTAAATCTCCAAAAAGATTTAGCACTGCCTTTTGCGATGAAAAAAGTACATTTATCTAAAAAATTAGGCTTCTTTATAAGAATCGATATTTAGATTAAACATCTATAGCAACAACAAATTGTTGAGTTGAGAAGAGAGAAACAAGACATGAGAAGAAAAAACTTAGGGAAATACGAAAAATAAACAGCTTTGCCCAGTGACTTATAAATGTTCGATAAGGCTTTACAGAGCAGAGAAAAGCCTCCTGTTGAATATAAAATCTATAGTTCTCCAGGTGAATTAAGACCTATTTATCAACCATATTAATAATAATAGCAATATTTGTTTTATTGATATATTTGATCGATTACTTAAGTTTATTTAATAATATTTGTCTGATAACTTAATGCAATAAGATCCATATAATTGGCCTTTTCCTCATCGTTAAGATCTCATGAGTCTCTCAACAATCAGTATTTAAAATGTAGAATATCATTAGAAAACTAAAAAAGAGATTTCGTCTACGAAAATAGATCTTAATCAACAATGACAATATAAGGCATTGACGGAGCAGCTCCGAAGTTAAAGCCATATCAATACTTAAATAAAGAATAATTTTGTAATCGAGATGATGATATTCCAGGAACTAAATCTCGACCACTTATCAGAGTCAGCAATAGATCTGATAATCAGTTAATGATAGATGATATTAAAGGAACGAGACCTAAAGTGAATAAATTTTCAACAAATAGAGAGCCTATAAATCCACTTGAACCTGTTTATAAAGTAGCATCATATGAACAAGTTGAACCAATATAACCTAAATTCATAAGAGATAGCCACAATGTGTAGGATATTGAAGGGACACAGCCTTCGTCTATGAATCCTAAATTGAAAAAGCAGCCTGTCTCGATGGAAGAGGTGGAAGGTTCGCATCCCAAATAGCGTTTCTTGCCTAAAGGTATTGATTTATTAAAGGGAAGATTATGTTGACTCGTTGCAAGTTAAGGATATCAATAATGATTTATTACACAAGTACGTCCGAAATACAAATCCTATTGATCCTGTTTATCCGCATAGAGATGAAGATGGGTATGAAAGAAATATGATAAAATTAGAAAACTAGTGTAAATAGGTTTTATAGACGGAAGCAAAACTAAATAACTACATCCCGTAACAATTAATAAGTTCGCCTCTTCAATTCTAACAACTAAAGATATCATAGGTGCTTAAGCTGGGTCTCACTCGTAGCACTTTTTGAGGACAAATGAAAGGAAAGATTATAGACAAATAAATAGTGTATCCGATATAGAAGGGGTGAAGCCAGGTTCACTTAAGAAAGGAATTGAAAGTAAGAGATATACAAATCCATTGATGCCTGCATATCAAATGCCAGGAAGCAGCGAAATTTAGTAATTTTAATAAGTTTATGAGTAGCTCGATGAAACCCACAAGCGTGTTCTAAAAGAATGCCAGTACATAAATGTTGTCAAATGCATAAAAGATGGATCTATTCTTACCTTAAAGTTGATGAATAATTGCTATATATTTTAAATATGATTATTAACTACGATATTCTGATTCTATTAGGAATACAATATTGCTTTAAATTGTTTAAATTTTGTATTTCTATTAAATCAATAATTTATTTATCAAATGAATGCTCTCCTTGGGAATTTAGGTGGATCAGATTAGGCTGTTATTTAAGCCGCATACCCTGGAGAGTACGTAAAATTAACAGGCATCGGAAGAGGTTCTTATGCATAGGTGTACAAAGCAGAAACTGCTGATGGACAAGTAGTGGCTATAAAAGTAGGATTTCTTCATAATTAGCTTAGGTGATCGACTTAAAAAATATGCAAAAGGAGATCATACCTTACATGTAAAACGAGATGAAATTGTTATCAGAGAGTGACAACAAAAATGTGATTAAATTATTTAAAAGTCAATAAACTCACGATAAATTGATATTAGTTCTGGAGGTACCATTAAACTTTAAATTATTAGTTTTGTTAATTAGATGTTGAATATTTGGTGAAAAGGTATTACAAAGGCAAATTGCCAGACGACTTGGCGATAATTATTTTGAGATAGCTTGTAAATGGATTGTGTTATTTGCATGCGAATAAGATCATTCACCGAGACTTGAAGTTAGAAAACTTTGCTATTCACATGTCAAACGACGATTAGGTTGCCTTGTAGACTAGAAATGATCTCTCAGTATTCGAAAGAGCAACCTATAAATTGATTGATTTAGGATTAGCCAAGAAGTTGGAAGACCTTTAGTCGTAAACAAGTACTTGGGCAGGAACTGAATTAAACATGGGTATCAAATTTCATAATAGAATTAAGCTCCTGAGATTTTAAACGAATAAAAGTACTCATTCCAAGCTGACATGTACAGTCTCGGAGTCTGCTTGTACTACATGTTGTCTGGTAAATATCCTTATTTTGATCCAACAAATCGAACTCCACTTTAAGATTTAATTAAGAAGGAGAATGCTGATTTTAATCACATTGCTAATCTTTAATTGAGGAGTCTCATAATAAGAATGCTTAAATACGATCCAAAACAAAGAATTACATTTTAGGAATTATATTAACATGAATTTTTTAAGTTCAAAGAAGGAGATCTATCTAATCCAATCGATTTAGAATTAAAAGAGAATTAAATCATTTATTCATAAAAATTTGATGAGTCAATTTTGGATTATGGTCAACAAAAATAATAAATTGAAGATAATCAAGTTAAATTTGATAGCAAAAGTGATGTTAAGAAAGTCCTTAAAGAAGATAAATAAGAATAAATGGACAATTACATCAAAGATTTAAATTCTGAAGTCTTTCCACAAATTCCTATTCAACCCAAAAATAATATTCCTACCAAAATATATGATAACTCAAAAAAAGAGGACGATTAAATTATGCAACTTTATAATACAAGAAATTAATACCTAGCAATTTTGAAATTAGCTGATTATATCGAATAATTGATACCTCTAGTTAAATAAAGCAAGCTTAGTTACATGTCAATGGAATCGACGTTTAACATGTACGTTGAATATCTAAGGATGGTCTCTAAACAAATATTCATAAAGTTATAACACAGATTCTCTTTCTATTAACCTACTTTAGGGTCTTATGATAGGTATTCACTATTGGAAAAATAAGTGAAAGGAGAAGATAAAAAAAGACTTGATAATATTACTGTTAGGGAAGGAGCCAGCACTGGATTAATTTCATGGTTCAGGAAGAGTGTCATGAAATAAATACAATGCGAACCCAACGACTCCCTGGACTTTAATAAGCAATACGAATAAACCAACATTGAATTGTACAAAGAATTATTGAAGATGTTGCAAGATTCATTTTACAAATATAAAGATGATAATGATTCTGAACTGAAAAAAATCAAATGTCTAATTTACTTATCAATGATAGATACAGCTAGATCGAGAGTACTATTCTAAGTAGATCAAAAAAATATTGATTATAAAATTGAAGAACTACTATTAAACAAGGCTAAAGAAGAACCAGACATACTTTCAGAAAAGGTAACCACTATTTTGGGTTAATATAATTTAAAATATGTCTGATCTATTTTATTCCTATAAAATTGCAAGTTATATTTTGTTTATTTTCTTTCTCAGAATAATTCAAACAATCACTTTATAAATGTTAATTTTATAATTAAAATTATCGTTAGAAGACAATGAAATTTTAAGAAATTTAAAGGGAAATCTACACAAATGATGAATTGTGTTTGTTCCTGAAGTTTCATCTGAGAATATCAAGCGCTGCCTGCCTAACTTTATCAATTATCCAGCTATACCTTTCAAGTCAATACAATCTGTAATTCCACCCATTCTTCGATATGCTACATCTGATGACGGAAATGATATCCATCTTATTTGCAATATTAGGGCTAGTTTATTCATTTTCATATATCACAAAGTTGCAACAAGCAAATTGCTAATATTATGAAAATTAAAATGATAACATATCTAGACTCTTATTTGTTGCTATCTGCTTTACTTTAACAATAGTGATAACCTTGGGAGTAATGAATCCCATATTTTATGAGATCGGAATGCAATCTAAAGTTGCGCAAATGGAACCTTCATCATACGAAGATTTATAGTTAATATACTAATCAGTGAGATTCCAAGGCAACTTATTGATAGAAGTGTTTGTATCAGCAGCTTAAACCATAAGTCTCATATTTATGGGATATGTTTTCCTCCTATTTAGTAAGAATGCTATTACCTACAATTATTTCATTTACTTTTTTGCCCTGATAACAAATCTCGTGGCTATCATTGTCTATTCCAATTAAGATGATATGAAGTCTGTAAGCATAATTAATCATGTACTAAATCCCAATGATAAATACTTAATCACCTATATTTCAGGAGCTTCCTTGTTTATTGCTTTAATAATATTCTTCATATTTTTGATTGATACCTTGGGTCAATATTACAGAATATTCAAGAATCCTATCTACAAATTTATTTTAGGGTAGTATTATTTGATATATTTTAATTAGGAATATCTTAATTGGTTTTGTTTTTGCTCTGATTGGTAGCAATGGACAATTAATAAGGAATCTGTAATAATATTCAGAAGTTTATTTGGGTAAAGATGAATGCAGAAATTAAATGAATTTAATCCCATCTCAAATGCTTGAGGATTTGGGATGTTCAAATAAGTATTTTGGAGCCCAAGATTCCTTTTAATTGGATTGTCCAAATGAATAATAAACACAGATTTGGGAACACAGAGAAAGTGAATAGTTTGGTTGTATCAATTGGAACTGTTGCAGTCTAATTAGTCAGATATTATTAAAAAAATATATCTCATACTGCTTATTAACAAGTTGGGAGGCTATCCTCTTAATTATGTTATCATTTATGATATTTTAAATTAGATTAGTACAAGAAAATGGTAATCTATATTATTTATTTGACAGCTATTTCCTAAACACTAAAATAAATTGCTCTTTTATTTTCATTTTGTCTAATATTCGCAGGAATATTTGCAGCTAACTCTTTACCAGATATTGAAATCTACAGAAAAACTTATGTATCTCCTCTAAATTACATTCCAGTAAACAATTTAAATACATTGCCAACTCATCAAATGTTCTAAGCGATTGATTGGCTCCCTCAATAATGCTCTCAAAAAGTGCCTGTAGACATTGTGTAAAGTATTAAAGATTATTGCTCAAATGGCTGTGCAGTATTATTTGAACTCATACTTTCAATCGAAAATGGATAATTCTTAGTTAATACAATTAATCAAAAAGATGTTATCATCTCTCAAGAAGATGCTGTTGACTCAGAATTCTTATATCTTAAAGGCCATTTCAAAGACATCTTGCAAAATATTTAAGACAACATTTAAGTGTGTCTCTTTTCACCATCCGCAGCCATTAAATGGAATTTTGAGTCTTCTGAACGAAAACATAAAAATAAACATTCTAAATAAGTAGACTATCCAATGTAGCATGAATAGATCATACAAATACCTTCAAAGGTTTAATAAGATGCATTAACCTAATTAATAAAATACTACAATATTTAATTGATATTCTAGGAGAATAATGTTTTACCTATTGGAACACAAATTACCATTCATAATTCATTATTGTATAACTGTTAAAGTATTAATATTAATGCTGAGAAAAGCATTATAATTTATGAATCCAATATGGAACATAATTAATTAACATTCTACAATTATCCCTAAGGTTAATATGCTACAGTCGTATTCAACACTGACAGCTATCAAAGTTGTATTTACATTTAGAGTAATCAAAATATTTATATTCATCCAATTATTCCAATTCAGTCAGATTTGACTATCACTTTATCTTGGTTTGGAGTCTATGATTTGGATTTGATTGTTGAAAATAAAATTTGTAAAGTAGGTAAAAAATATCAGAATGAATGTGGAACTATTAAGACTCACTTTGATTCACTTGTGGGCAATTAATAAACTTCTACTGACTTATCGAATGGAGAATAAATTACTATAGATTATTTATCTACTTACGATTATAAAATTTATGTGTAGATTACATTAAATAAGGAGGAATTAACCAAATTAAAAAAGACCGAATAAGACAACATTAATCTTTACTAATAATCTAATGCTTAAGTGTAGATCTTTGCTAAAAATAGCAGGTATCCTTAAGCCAATATATTTGTTAAATAAATAGTTTAAGCTGCCCAAACAATCAAAGAAAGTGATAAATTTAAATATAAATGGTTTGTTGGCTGTATAAAAAATGGAGAAGGGTTAGACATTATTAACCAAATCAAAATTAATTATGAGTGTTGATATTTACTTTTAAATTTATATTAGTCATTTATTTTCTCTGAGAGGTCTTCCTATTGAAGTCTAACTTCCCTTTATATCAATGTTCTCCTTATACAGAGACGACTTTCTAACTTCAAAATAGGTAGATTCCTTAAAATTAGATATTTAATTAATACTTTAATATTTTTGATATCGAAACCTCTTTTCTTATATGCATCAAACTCTGCTTGAAGCATCATCAAGTCTTCTTGAACTCTATGATAATCTTTATTTAAAATAGAAAACTTTTGTCTCCAAGTCTCCACTTCATTTTATAAGTAACTAATTCTTTCCTCTAAATTTGAAAGATCAATGTTGTTATTTTATTCTATCTATCTCATTTAAGAATCCATCTCCACTAATTACATTTGTTTTATTCTAAGTTCCTCTAATAATTTCTCCAACTTGAATCTTAATGAACTTTCAGATTCAATTTTGCTTTCGAATTCTTTCTACAAATGTTTTGTCTATAAATTAGTTTGTTCATTCAAATATTTCAACTATTACTCAACACCTTGTAGGTGAGATATCTAATCCTATTGGAAATGGTTTTTCTTATTTAATTCTTCTTCCAAAGAAAGTTAATATTTTAAATCATTTTTTAAACCATCAATTTACTTAAGATTTTCATCTATTTATTATTACAACTCTTTTATTTTAGTTTCTTAATTCTAACTATTTTTAAGACTACTTTCTTTGAATTTTTAGAATTCTTCTTCATATAACTATTTATTTTTCTCCAGTTGAGACAATTTTTCATTCTATGAATTGAATTATTCTTATTAATGATTGTTTTAAAGTTGTAATCTCTCTATTTCAAAGCAATTAAGTAATATTTATTGTATTAACTATATCTTTTCTTCTTTTAGAGCATCCTCACTTAAAATATGATTCTCATTTTATTATTACAAGTTATTAATTTACTCTGATGAGACCTATTAAAAATTTAAAAGAGATGATTGAAGATCTTATATTTAAAGTAATAAACTATCTTACTTTGTAATTAATTAGCTTATTTAATCATTTAACTAAGACTATTAATATACTGCTTCCTATATTTTTTCATCATTCTATCTTTGTTACTCTTCTGATTAAACCTATTATTATTTAAGTGCATTCTCCTATGTATTATATTTATCTTCAAGTTCAGTATTTTGTTATTTTAATCCGCAAATCAGATTTTATAATGATTTATTAATCTCTATTTATGATTCTAGTTATCTCTCCAATTATAATAGGCTTTCCTACTTTAAATTTAGGTCATCTTTCAATTCACTATTAATAGCTTCCTTCTCGATCAATATTAATTATTAAGTTCTAATCTATTCATCAGAATTTTCTAATTTAGTTTTTGCTATCTATAATTCTTCAGTTATTTAATTTAGTTCACTAGTTTTTTCCTTTAATTAAGATGTCAAGCATTTTTCCATCTCCTTCAAATCATCTAGTTCTTATGTTTTATCTTCTAATTCTTATTTAATTTGTAATAATTGATTTACCAATGTTTCCCTTTCTTACTTTGTTAATTCATGTTCAGTGTCTTTATTTGACAATTAATTTTAATGATGTTAAGTCTATTGAATCAATTAAGTCTATAGAACTTCGTTGGTTTGATCATTAATAATTACTTGTTAATTTAATTAATAGTTTTATTCTCTATATTCATTTAATTCTGTTTCAAGTTATTGAACCTTATTGTTTATATCTTCTCTTTCCTTTTCAGTCTTATCTATTTGATCTTACAATAATTATTCATTTTATTGAGATTATGCTAATTTCTTTTCTAACAATTCCAGATTCTCTCTATATGTTTACATTAATGAATCTTTTTAAGCTAGCATTTATTATGTTTATGAGTCTTTTTGTGTAATTTCAAATTTTAGCTCATGGATTATGTTATTTGAAAATAGGAGTTCTTGTTCGCAATGATTATATTTCTATTACAATTCTTAGATTAAATGGTTCCTATCCTCAATCACATTTTACCCCACTTACAATTGCTTTTCATAATCTTGAACTCTAAATTTCAATAGTGAAATGCCTTCATTTTTATCTTCAATCACGTATTGAAGTCTTTCAATCTCAGAACTCAATAGAGCAATTTTGTTTTCAAGTACTTCTTGCTATTTTAACTATGAGGATAAGAATCTGATTTAATCATCCTAATATTAGAACTATGATTTAAAAGTATTAAGCTCTGAATTTAGATAAGAAACTTCTTGCTTGTGATTTTTTTAGGTTTCTTCTAGTAGTTTTATCTTGCTCTCAGTTTCCAAGCTTGTGTTAACCCAAACTTATTATTCGCCTTCATATTTCTCCACCTACTGATCTAATTCATTTTAAAGTTCATTTACTCTTTAATTTAATTTATTATTTTCTTATGTCAATTAATCAATTAAGGTTTCCTAGCATAAATAGATTGTTTACATGTCCTTAACACTTTTTTTCTGTACACAACTTTACAGTCCTAGTCTCTATAACAGGTCTATACGTAGTAGTGGTGAGAGTGGTTTTAGGCCTTGATTAATAGGTTGTAACCTTTGCTAATCTACCACAAGAATCATGACGCTTGTCTTTGGGTGGGGAATTGACAACTCTAGTTGTTGCAATAGTCTGAGTTTGAAAAAATTTGGGAGACTGTGGTCTCATTATAAGAGAATTCGTTAAATTTATTAATATTTTTAATACAGTTAAATGAATTAAGATTAAATAATTGAATATGCGGCTCATAAGATTTATAAATTATCTATAACCTCACAATTGCAATTTAGCCTATCCATTTATCGATTTCCATTAATAAAGATTACAATAGTAGAGTTTTAAATAAAGTTAGAAGTAATTGTCAAAATTGATACTGGATGAATTACAATTTAGATCCTTTGAGCAATTTTGATAGAAGCACTGAAATAGTGGAAAAGTATAGTAGAATATCATAAACTATCTAAGTAGAAAAATCGATAATGGCATGTGTTTTTTTAAAAGTAATTCAGTTCTTATAAAGTATATTTTACTTTTGGATTTTTGATATTATTAGAAATGCTAAAAACGTAGAAAGTATGCAAAATCTGATCTAATACTTATTAGAAGTTTTATATATCACATTGGATTTCTTAAAATGCATAAGAGTTTTAAGTTTATTTGAAGGTTTTATATATAAAAAAATACTAAAACAGAATGAGATTCTAATTAAAATAATAATTTTATCGAAAATTCTTAAAGAGAATAATTATACAGTCATGTATAATTTGAATTTATTAATAGGATAGATAAGCTTAAATATCAATACATCATATGATACTTAATGTTAATTTGATTTCATTTTGCCAGCCTATCTAAATAGAATTCTATTTTTGATATTTTTTTATCATTATATTAATTAGATCATTTATTAGTCATAGTAAACACTATTTCTTTTAAACATTTAATATATTTACATCAACTAAGTTCATAATCATAAACACCTTGATTAACTTTCCTACTTTTTCATGAATAAACACAAATGTTCTAGATTATAGACTTATAGAATATTATCAATTATTATTGTAACATTTCTAAGAGCTCTAAAATAGAGTTGTTTAATTCTTTATATCCACACGTAAATAGAGGTTTTCGATTTCTAAGACATCACTAAATATGAACAAACAAATCTATTGAAAATTATAAAAAATCTATTATTTAAATATTTTACATATTCCTAAGAATAGCAAATAAATATTTAGATATCCTAAAGTCAATAATCTAAAAACGTATTTAATTTATGCTTGGATATGGATTAAAAATACTCTTTTTTATGGTTGAGCAATTGATATTTAAGAAATATAGCGCTGTTTTTTTTTAAATTTTAAATTTTATTAATGCAAAATTTAGAAACTCACAGAAATATCAGTTTATAGGTGTGTTAGATAGTGTTGGAAGGGTGTAAATAAGCACTCATTATGAGATTATTGAGTGTTTATTGCAAGGATAGCTCTATATAAAAAATTGATTAAGAAATAATCGAGATTTGTTAAATATTTAAAAAAATAGATATTTATATTTGATTGTATGAGCAGAAAAGAATAAGACATCAAAAGATTGATTGCTTCATAAGTAAAAATGTTATTTAGATTTCTCTTTAGTGCCACGTTGGAACAAAACAACTTCATTTTGACATGAAGAGATATGTATCTCATAGAAGTGATAATGGTTCATACATTCTCAATTTAGAGGAAACCTGGTAACACATTAAGTTGGCTGCCAGAGTTATTGCTGCAATCGAATAACCACAAGATGTTATGGTATGATAAACTTGAATAATTCAGGTTGTTTCATCAAGACCAATTGGTTAAAGAGCAGTCATTAAGTTTGCTCACTACACATTGGCCAGTTCAACAAGATCAGCAAGATGGACACCAGGTACATTGACAAATCAATCCAACAGTGCCAGTGGTAAATTATAAGAACCATAATTGTTGATTGTAACAGATCCTCATTTGGTAAGAATATTTGAATTAATATATTTTATAGGATAGATAAGCTATTGTTGAAGCCTCATACGTTAACATTCCAGTCATTGCCTTAACCAACTCTGACACTCCATTATAATATGTTGACATTCCCATCCCAGTTGGAAACAGGGAAACCAAATCCATTTCAATGATTTATTGGTTGTTGGCTAGAGAAGTCAAAATCTTAAGAGGAGAATTGAGATAAGGTATCTATTGATAATATTCAATTATTTTAGATGAAGAATGGGATGTTTTGGTTGATTTGTTCTATCACAAGGAAATTACCAATGATTAATTGGGCATCACAGACAATTAAGTCAAATAAGAAGCTGAAGATCATGAACAATAAGCTGAAGGCGAAAAGGCAGAGAAAGACTGGTGATAAAATATATTAATATTATGTAAAGTACATGTACAAGGAATGCGTTTAAATTAATTAAATTATATTATTATTTCTTTATGAGTAATACTTTTAAGTCTGCAGGCAATACTCTCGCCAAAGGTAACGATTTAGGTTAAACTAACCAAAGTTTCGGTGGCTCTCAAAATCCTGCCTCATTAAAGGGGAAATTGATGGGTTTGGAAGTATTAAATATATCCATCTTAGGAAACAATCAAAGGTATTCAAGATGAGATGAATTTTCACAAAAAAGAAGTTTAAATACTCAAATCCGAAAAAGATACCTTAGAATCAGTTTTGAGTATGAAAACTCAAGATGTCAAGAAGACTCTTACCAATGAGCTTATGAGAATAGAAGAGGAAATGAAAAGGTATAGAAAATCTATGTAATTAGACACTTTGCACATCAAAAGGCTGAAAATTCAAGATTGTAATAATAAATCACAGGATTAAAAGGAGAAAAGACTGCTCTCTAATAATAATTGTTGGGATTGCAGAGAAGAATAGCCGAGTTGGAATTATAGGTTGGTTAGGAACAAGCCTGAATAATAATAAAACCTAAAATTTATAATAATTTAATTTTGTTATCTTATATTCATTAGCAATTCACATTCACATTCCTTTTTAATAAGTAAACCCTTCAAATTAAACATTCTATTAAGAATCTGGAGTTTCAATTAAGGGCTATTGTAAGAATGCTGGAGCAAAGTTAGACAAATCTTCTAAATTTTAAATTCGAGGAACTATTGGAGGCTATAGTTTCCTCTGTTCAACTAATTCCCAATCTATTCCACTAAAGAAATTGTGTTTTTTGATTTCTTGAATCCCATTTGAGCCCAATCTGAATCCAGGCTAGGTTATAAAATCATATGTACATCTTTCGTTAAGAGGCCCTTTAGTAAAGATTAAGCCTAAAGAGAAAAGGTAGGTTTCATCTCCAAAGGTTTTTCGCATCTATTTTTTAACATTTCTCTTTTATTTTTTGAATAAAATGGAGGAGCTCCACTCAGCATTTCATATATCAAGGCTCCGTAACTATAGAAATCAACAGCGAAACTATGTCCTTTTTCTAATGAATACTTAAGATAATAAGATTACAGTATAGTATTTCTGGAGCAACATATTCTGGAGTACCACAAAACGAATAAGTAATTTCGTTTCTTTCATATCCTAATTTAGAGAGTCCAAAATCTGTAAGAACTACATGTCCATCTTTATCCAGGAGGATGTTTTCTGGTTTTAAATCTCTGTAAATAATTTTTTACTGATGCAATATGTCAAGAGCAATCAAAAGTTCAGCTGCATAGAATTAAGTCCATTCCTCATTAAATTTTTATCTCTTTCTGAGATGGAGAAACAACTCACCGCCTATCATAAAATCCATAACCATGTAGAGTCTCGATGGACTTTAAAAGGCGAAGTGCAATTTTACAGAAAAAGGACTACTAATCAAAGACATTATTTTTCTTTCTTAAAGTGCTTATTCCTATTGTTTCTTTTTTTACAACAACTTCTTCCTTAAAATCTTAACAGCATACAATTATTGATCTGCTATTCTTTTGACAAGCAGTACTTTACCAAACGATCCTCTGCCTATAACTTTTAAAAGTTCAAAATCAGAAAGGCTAAGTTTGGTTTTGGGATTTCCGTTTTCTCCTTCAATTGGGATATAGGTGGTTTCTCCAATTTAGTCATCGACGTCATCCTCATCTAAAAATTCACTTTCAATGTTGGGTATTTTGGAATTGTATTCTGCTGGCTTGTTTTAGCACATACCCATTTTAATAAATATATTTATATTTTATGATGATCTTATTCTTGAAATAACTTCTGATTTCTATTATATAAAATACGAAAATTATGGAGATGATGTAATTAGGTATTATTAATAATTACAATTTTTAGGTATTATTATTTAATCTATTGAGAATAGAGCGAAATGCATCTTAAATAATTATATTCATTCCCCAATTATTATTATTTTTATACAATTCTAATGTTTTAGGATCCAGAAGAGAAAGATATGATAGGCGATCTTCTTAATGGTATTTCAAATCCTCATGCTCTTTTAGATAGTTTTGAAGCAGAGAAAACAAAAAAATCATATTCTAACAATAGACCCCCTGCATTGGAAATTAAATAATACCAAAAGGCCTCACCTGTTTATCAACCCAAGGTCTATTCACCTTAGGTTTAACATAAAGCAAAGTTGTTAATTTGTTAATTAAAGTTCTTACGATTTGGATTTACGACTAACAAAAATACCTGTTTAGCAAAGTGCTCCTAATTCAGCCTTAAAAGCCAAATCATATGAGTGCATGACATAATTTATTCCAGAAGAAGAAACAAGTCTAGAAGGAGATTTAGTAATCAAAAATTCATAATTTAAAAGATATCTAAATGCAAGGATTAAAATGGTGCCAGAAGCATTCAAAAGCAATTCTAAGAAGGATCTGTTGCAATCAAAGATTTGATATTCAGTAGACTTGAAAAGGGCTTCGTATCCTTGTCAAAGGATGTATTTGGTAATTATGTCATTTAAAATCTTCTCGAAAATGGTATGAATTTTAGCTAAAGGTAGGAACTCAATTACAACAACAAAAAATGCTTATAATTTTATAGCCCCACACTTAACAACTTGCATTTCATTAATATGGATGTAGAGTCTTATAAAGGCTGTTATAAAATTCCCATAAAACTCCAGAGTTCAAAGTGTTATTTGATTCAATAAAGGGCAAAGTCAGAGATTTAGTGATAGATCAGCATGGAAATCACGTTGTGCAAAAACTTATCTAACTAATGGAAGGCGATGTCAGCCTCTGGGTTTTAGATGGAGTTGAAGGACAAATAAGCAAGTTGGTTACAAATTCTTTTGGATGCAGGATCATCTAAAAAGCTATTTCAATCTCAAACAATCATGCCGAACGTTAGATGAGTGTTTTACAAGAAATCATGAAGATATCTCAAGAATTATGCACTTCATAATATGGCAATTATATCATTCAGTAATTATTGAAAGATGGCCCAGAAGTTATCTAAATTGAAATTTAGCAAATTATAATGGATAAAATAGAAGAATACAGCTTGAATAAGTTTGGGAGGTATTTTCATCTTTTAAATTAAGTAATGTTGTTGATTGTGCAATCAAATGTTCAAATAATAAATTCAAATTAAAAATTATGGAGTTACTATTGAGTCAAAAGAATCATCCAGTTTTATTTGTAAGTCTCTCAAAAAATGCATATGGCAATTATGTTGTCTAAAACTTTCTTAAATTTTCCGATAGTGAAATATAAAAAGAGTTTTATCTGAAAATTACAAACAATTAATAACTATTGTAAGAAATTTAATAATCACAATTTGGTATTTAACTTAATTAATTGTAGGTTAATACGTCTATTAGATGTTAACTTAGAAATTAGAACTTGAAGCTTTTAAATTATGATTCCTGTGTATGATTTGTTAATATATATATTGTAATTAAAAAATACTAGATTTACTTATTACATACATTGCTTAATAATTCTATTGAATTCTGAATTTTTGTTAATAATATAATTTTCTAAAGAGTATCATCCTTTTTTCCTTGTTTTTCAAAAGAAAACAACAAGAAATGGAATCAAAGATCATATTCATAAATCCATAATTTAAATTATATACTCTTGAAATTGAATCATAATAAAGAAGTTACTTTATCTTTCTACTTTAGAATAATTTATTTTGATGGAAATAGCTGAGTAGATAAATACGTTAATTGTTTATCTATTATAATATAAATTCATTTGATATTGAGGATAAAATTCTGTTAAGAAAGATAATACGATTTCCCATTAAATATTCCAAAGAATTTGGATCCCAAATAAAAATGCACAATGTGTTTACCATCATTTGTGGAATGAATGGGATATTTAATAAAAATTTACTCAATATATGTTGATAAAAGTGATTTTTTATTAGTTATTATTAATTATATGACTGACATCTTAAAGAATCCTAAGGTGAGATAAATCATTCAAGATGTTGTAGGAGGATGTGCGAATTAGACTGCAACAGTGCTTGAAATGACATTTGTGTAAATATACACTGCGGATGAAGGTAAGCACAAATTTCATGGATCCAACATTGCAGGAATTCTGTGCTTTCTAATAGACAGAAGAGAAGGAAAAGTAAGAAAATAATTTATAGAAGTGCTTTTACTTGAGAGTTTATGATCCTGCAACTCTGTAAGTTCTATTTTCAATGGAACTTTGTTATGGAATCAAAGACTTTTGGTAACCTGTCCATGGAATCGCCAATTTCTATAGCATACCCATTTCTAAAGGTTTTATTGGTTTCTTGTTTCCAAATGTCGATGAAGCTACAAAGATAACGTAAAAGATTTGTTCAAATGGTCCAACGAAACAATAATTAGAAGAAATTAATGCCTAAATTGAAAAAGAGGAAAAGGAGAGAAAGAAACTTGACAAACTAGAAAAAGAAAAGGGAACAGTTAAAGGTGCATTTAAAGACTTTTTTGGATTGAATAAACAAGTCGAGAAGGTATAAATTTATTAGATATCAACTAGTAAGTATAAGTGAGTGGTCCAACCGGATTCAAAAGGAATTAATTAACATTTAATCTTGACACCGGAGAAATTAACTTAGATGAATTGCCTCCAGAGCTGATCAATGCTTTCAAAAAGGCAGGAATTACTAAAAAGGATTTACAAGATAAAAATCAAGCCAAAGAAATCTTCAAGGCTGTTGCTAATTTCAATGAAAATCCTACTGCTCCTCCTCCCCCTCCTCCACCTCCTCCTTCAAAGTAGCAACAATAATAACAAGTATATTTTATCTCTTAATTAAGGTCGTTCCACCACCTCCTGCGCCTTCAGCTAAAGGTGGTGCTCCACCTCCACCTCCTCCACCCCCTCCTCCTCCTCCTCCACCTCCTCCCCCTCCCAAAGGTGTTCCACCTCCTCCTAGAGGTCCTCCACCTCCCCCACCTCCTAAGGCACCTATTAGTGGATAACCCCAAGTGACTTAGCCTAATACATAACAGTAATAGCAAGCTCCAAAACAACAACCTAAAAGTTAATCCAATAAAAATGATCTATTGGCTGAAATTTAGTAAGGTGTGAAGTTAAAACATGTTGAAAAGAATGAGTGTAAAGTAGACATAAAAGAAATGGATAAAAAACAATAAGATGATTTATCAAGTTATTTAGCTTAAATGATGGCTCAAAGAAGAGAACAACTAACTAAAAATAGAAAGGATAGCTCTGATAGTCATAATTCTGGTTGGTCTGATGATTGAGGAGATCATAAGGATGATATTATGAAAATTAAATAAAAATATAACCAATTAAATATTGAATGCTGAAATCTATGTCATTCACTATTGAATCTATCTAAAATTCTTTGAAATCGTTGTTTAATTACTAAAGCAGAATTTTTATGTAGACTTTTGATCATTTTTCTTGATATAACTTAAATTTCAATTCTGAAAATTAAATCTTCTATATTAAATATATCTATTTCTTTTTCAGATTAACTATCATCTCTTTCAGTTTGGTTATTCAATTTGGAAGCGGAAAGTTTATGATTAATTTTGAATTAGGACATTGAGAGTTATGATGAAGTTATTAAAAGAATGATTTACTATTGACCTTTTGTGGAATAATAAAATGAATCTTGCTCTTAAAAGCAAATCTATCAATGTCCTTTTTATAAACTTTAAATTAATATTTTATTATGTATGTTTAGAAAGAATGGTATCAATTTGAATTCAATATCTTTTTAGTAACCAAATTGTTTTAAGTTTTAGAATGTTATTTATAAAATAATGATTATTTTTATAATAAAAGTAAAAATAAATTTTGGAATATTATTTTAATATCGATTAAATAAATAGTAATAAAATACAATTATAGTTTCATCTAATCATCTAAGGTAGTAAAACAGTATTGATTGGTTAAGCTTATTCTTTTCTTGGGAAAGCATTCCAAAATCTCAAAGTCTCATCTCCAGCTCCAGTCACTATAGTTTCTCCATCTGGTGACATTGCCAAAAATAGGACTCTAGAAGTATGGCCCATTAAAGTAGTAACCTAGAATATGAATATCAAAAATACTTTTTATAAGGCTGGATATTTCCAACATACAATTTAATTCATACTGTAACCATGAGTTGAAACGAATTCATTTACATTTTTACTGAACATCAAATTGCACACTTAGGAACCAGTGTCGATCCAATCTAATTATTCAGTGGTTAGTGTATTGAAAAATCTAATGGTTCTATCTGCAGTTCCTCCGCCTGAAGATAATAAACCATGTCTATGGGGTGACCAGGCAATAGCCTTTACGGCAGCCTAATGTTAATTAAATTTAGCTAATGGAATTTATGATCCCATTCTCCAAACAAACAATTTATTATCATTTCCACCTGATGCCAATTGATATTCATCAGGTGACCATTTCAATCCACAAACCTCTTATTTATGACCTTCAAATTTTCCAGTCTGTCTTTTTTATCTTGGATCATGTAGAATTATTGATCTATCTTTAGAACCAGAACATAGAGTCTAATTTATGAATAAAAATCTTACATTTCCACTCCATGCCAAAGATCCAACTCTAGCAGAATGTCCTTCCAATATTTATATTCTTTTCATTTTCTCTTAATCATAAATATGCACTTCTCCTGAGCCTGTTCCTATTGCTAATTAATTTCCTTATGGATTCCATATCAATGAACAAACCATATCATTATTACCGAAATCACAGAATTTAGTTACTCTGTTGTTATAAGCCGACCACAAATATACACATGAGGATAGTGCCACTGATAGTACGTTTTAAGAACTCCAATCTATTAGATTTAAATAGAAATCATCTTATAATTGAGGAGCGTCCAACACTTTAAATGGTACTTTGCTAATCTTTCTTTGGCTGAATTGATAATCTTAACTAGTTTAATATTGTTCTCTGTAGTCCATTAGGTTTTAGTAAGTTTCCAAGACAGCTGGATTTATGTCTGACAATATTTTTCGTTTTGAAGGAGTATTGTCAGCAAAGCGCAACAAATTCTTTGATTCCCACTATAGCTATTCAGTTTGTAATGGTTATCCAAGGACATGCATCTTATAGATGTCTTTCAGTGTAACATTTCCTTACTCTTTGTAATCGCTACCTTTTTATGGTTCTTGATTCTCCTCCTCAATCTCTCTATATTGAAATTCCTCGTTTAGAGTCTACTTTTGACCACTTCTCAAGGGAATATACCTGCAGGTTTTTCCTTATTGTATTTATTTTTTAGGTGTACTGTCTTATTCCTATTCCATTTGGTCTATTGATTTAATATTTATACTACCTCCATGATTAGCACTCTGAATGTCCACCTTATGTAGCAATCTAACAAGATCGCTGATATCACAAGTTTTAGATTTAGATAGATGTGAATTTTCTTTATTTTATTTTGATGGTGAGATTTGTAATTTATCTTCAAAACAGGATACTTCTATATCAATATTACGCTATTAGAGCATTTTTACAGTATTCGTTGACATTTTTTATAAAGGGTATTTGCAAACAGATATTAATTTAATTTACGTTAAACTTTATTTTTAATCACACTTAAAAAGGCAAAATAAATATTATTTATAAGTTCTTGTTTAATCAATCAACATATCTAGTATTAATTATTTATCACTAAGAATTGCACTAAAAATTTCCTTATTTTTTATTAATTATAAATCGTTAATTATATGAGTCATTTTTATTCTAATTTTCATTCTAACAGACATTAAAATATGCTTTTACATTATCACTCTTCCATTTAATTTTTATTTTCCCTATTTCTCCAAACCATAGGTAGATAGTTAACGAGTTGGAATTTGACATTTGGTAATTATGATTAATAATATTCTCGTTTAATTTTGATGAAAATTGCATACTTCCTTTATCTCTCAACAGAATTAATCATTTTATAAAGGAGAGTGTAAAGATATTGGTAAATTATTATGTTGAAAGTAAATTATTAAATCTAAAAATTATTAAATATTCCAATTTACAGGATCTTTGTTCTTTGCAAATCTGCTTGTCACATATCTTGAATCACCATTTATTAAATAGCTTTTCTTTTATTGATTCAATAATAGAATCCTTTGATGGATAAATAAAAGGGATTTTATTTGATTTCATAATCCTTATAATGATCCTATTTTTGATAACAACTTTAGAAATAATTATTACTCACCTATATTTAAAAGGTTTCATTTATTGTTAAGTTCCATCCTCATTTAATATTTGAGTTTTCCTAACAAGGTTAAATATTATTATAATCCATATTTATTTATAAAATATGGAATAATAAAACATTCTTAATTAAGAGGATCATTACCTAATATAAAATTAGAGATATTATTAATAATAGTAAATTAAATATTATCTTTTTAATTAATAATTAGATTTTTGCATCCTTATTAGATTATGAAACAGCTTTATTCACATCTTTCGTTTAACCTTTTTTCAATTTAAATCTTATTTGGCCTATTTTATTATAACAATTAAGCCATATTCAACAAATTTAACTAATTTTTAAATAAACAAACATTTGAATTTTCTCTTAATTTGTAGAAGGATTATAGATTTAGTATTCAATACAGTTTTTAAATGTGCAAAATTCCTTAATAACAATTGATAGATTTATTTAATTTGACTTTTGATCAGAATACATTCAAATATATTTTGGGGTAGGTGAGATATGTATTATAGCATTAATATATTTTTTCTAATAAAGTGATAATTAAATTAATTATGCATCAGAGGATGAAAAGCGACATCAGATTCGATTAACTTAAGCTTGATTACTTATAAGCAAATAGTTCCAAAATACTAAAATCAGAACAAGACTCAACCTAACCTTCATAAACATTAATTGTTTAAGGAAACTTTCTTGAAAATAAAACAGACAGACAACTATCCCCCATCATCAACAGCTTTAGACCAAGACACAGGTTGAAGTAATGCCAGTCTCTTGCTTTGGATAATGACCCCGATCTTGAAGAGTTTTCTATTTGGGGTGATTTGGAAGAGTTGCCTGTCGGAAATGATTAAAACAACCATATAATTTCCTTTTTGGAATTATACAAGTATCGATATGAAAAAACAACTAAGAAACCAGTATCTTGTTACAACGTTATTCTGATGACCAAAAAGTAAAATTCATGTTTATAAAGATCAGATTGATAAACAGACATTCAATAGCTAGGTTAAAATACTATGGAATAAACAAAATATAATGGATAGATTTTAGGGACTGGAGTAGATCAGGCAATCTTAATTCTTTGTGATATTTTAATTTGTTTTAGATTTTGCTCTTAAATTTGATAATTAATATAAATTTAATGGGTAACATGTGTGAATATCATGCAAGAAATGTATTAAGCATTGATAATTAAAAAGATAAATAATGAATAAAATCTATAGCCTAAGTTGTTAGCATAACACAGATTCCAAAACATAGGAATTTACTTAGATGCAGGAGACATCAAAAATGAAGAAGTTGATGTGATTGTGGCTTAAACAGACTTAAACCTAAAGGTAATAGTGACCTCTAATGTAGCTACCATACTACTTGGTAAATAACGTTTCACCTTAAACAAAATAGCAGTTGTTAAAATACATTTAATAAATTCGAGATAAATAAGCAGTATCTCATGGTGATGTCGTACATTCTCATGCTGCAGAAGTATCAGAACTAATTCTTATTATTAGCTGGAATTTGATTTTGTTTTTTATTGCGTATTGCCAAATGAAGATGATGAACCAATGAAATTAGCTAGAAATCACAATCCTAAAAATCTAAACTTGAAATTACCAAAAAATGCTCATTAAAAATATTAGAAATAATTTATTTATGATTGCATGATGACTTGTCTTAAAGTAGCAGAAGAAATGGAAATTACGTCAATATGTTTTCCTGTAATGAAATCAACCAAGTTCACAATATCGACAATTGCAACTATGCAAATGATTGCTGTTAAGAATTTTTTAGAAGAAAATGTCACAAAAATTAAATTCTTGAGTTAAGTCAGATTTTGTATACAAGATGATAAAGATTAAGAATTATTCAAATGGGCGTTTGACAAGGTTTTTATGGATACAGATGATAGTAGTGAAGCCAGCGATGAAGATTCACTTAATAATAATAGTGGTAATAGTGGAAGTGGTAGTGCAGGGAATTCTTTAAGTAAAAATGTAATTATAAAATTTATAAATGTAAGACTTTGTATGAATTATAACCGACTGTAAAAAAGCCATAGCAAAAGAATTTTGAAGAGGATGAATTTGTTAAGAGTTTTGGAGCTAATTATTATGATAAATTTGAGAGTCCTTAGAGTGTGGGTAGAAAAATATCAATTTGATAATATATTAATACTTCTATTTATAAATTATTGTTATACATGGAATTGAATTTTTATCAGAAAAGTGATATCTAAAATTAAGAGAATTTCAAAGATATTGATGTCTCTAATTGGTATGAATTTGTTGGTATTAGAAATTCTTATGAATATAATAGTTATGTTCTTATTAAGTGTTGGAGGAAACTTAATATTGATTAAAATTTTTCAGAAAATTCAAAATTTATTTAAGTGGCAAATAGAGGATACGAAAAATAATCCTTCTAAAATGTTAACTGTAAATTGCTTATTAGTAATCACAATAATATGTAAGAACAAAAATTATCTAAGTTAAGATCTTTTTATGTTATTACTCAATAGCGGGTTTTTTGTTTAGTTAAATTTGGTAATGGGATTGTAAGACTTAAATATCATCTTTAACACTCTCACCATAATTATATATCATTATTTAAATTTGCTAGGCATAAACTTTGAACCTTACATATTGTTTTTGCAGTAATTTGTGGCTCAGACTCTGGAGAATGAAGTTGAGAATTGAACAGAACTAGTCTCTTTTAGGATTAACTAATGTTTTAAAAGTTTTTCTTTCCTTATTAATCGTATTAATTCCGATTCTTACTATAGTTTCATTGATCTTAGAATCATATATTAATAACATTAGAGAATATTGTTTGGGTGCTTTAACTATGTTAAGTACTATCTCTTTTGCTGCTATTTGCATTATTCTATATACAAAACTGAAAGATTAATTCAGCATTGGCGATCATTACAGTGCTGTATAAATTTAAAGAAATATATTTAGAATTTAAAATTCTTATCAATAGCAGTAATAATATGCTCTCTGATTCGACCATCGTTTAATTTTTTTTTTTCTTAGGAATTCTTTTGGAAATTGAAACCTGGACTAGAATGTGATGAAGATGATGTACTCATAAATAAATTACCTGATTAAGGGATTTCATGGTATATAATAAATAGATTTCTAAATAGGGCTGCTTTCTAATTAATTTATTCTTGTATCACTGATTTCATTCCTATTTATATACTATCATTGTTGTTCTCTCCTAACACATCAAAGAGAAAGACATTAGTAGATGCGAACAATGATTCCGATTATATTTAAGAATGATTTATTTATTTAACAAATTTTTATTAGTTAATGTCCTATCATCATAAACTTATAAAATTTAATAAACCAAAAATATATATCGTTAATTCATTTTTGATTTGTGGATAATAATTACATTTAGAAATTCTTATTAGAAAAATTATCTATGTAGAAAATATTGTTGAAATATCCATATATTAATGATTCTACATGAATATTTAAGGTGGATTTAGGTAAGACTCTTAATTTAGTATTATATTATGTTCTTAGCGTTTCATATTTGTTATTTTAGTTTTCAAAAAATAGTTCAACATACTCTCCTAATTATTTCGAAAGATTAATTGCAAAACATAAGTATTTAGGGTAACTTTAATAAAATTATTCATATTAATTCAATCATCAGGATTGAGTAAGATTTTTATTTAACATTAAATACTACTTTAATTTACTTTTATTCTCTAAAACCAGGATAAATTATTAGGAACTAATTAAGATTTTAATTAATAACTTTCTATTCTATCCACAAATATAGTTTATTCCTTTCAAAATTTTAACATTAATTTTAAAATGAATTTTATACTTCAAATAGGATAAGTAAAAATTGTAAAAAAACAATTAAAGATTTAATACAAAGAGAACAATTAGATATAATAATATCATTTTATTATTTCTTGATTATTTAAATGATTTAGTTTAGATTATAATTTATTCTTTAAAATATTATTTTTATTAATTCCATCTAATTACATGCAACATAGAACCGAAGACTACGATTTACTTTACAAGCTAGTTTTAATTGGTACTTTTCAATTTTATTCGAAGGGGATTCTGGCGTTGGAAAAACCAACATTCTCAATTAATTTACAAGAGGCGAATTCCTATAAGATTCCAAAACCACAATAGGAGTAAAATATAAAGTTTATCGTTTAATTTAGGTTGAGTTTGCTTCAAAGAATGTCATACTTGATGATAAAACCATAAAAGCATAAATTTGGGACACAGCTGGCCAGGAGAGATACAGGGCTATAACATCAGCTTATTATCGAGGAGCAGTTGGTGCGATGATTATTTATGATATCACTAAATCATTAACTTTCGAAAATGTTGACAAATGGATGAAAGTAATTATTTTAGCAAAAAATAAGGAATTGAAAGAAAATGCAGACCCTTCCTTATAAATTATGATTGTTGGAAATAAAACTGATTAAAAACATATCCGATAGGTTGCTACTGATTGTGCTATTGCTTACGCATAACGAAATGGAGTGGCATTTATAGAAACAAGTGCAAAAGACGGAACAAATGTAGAAGATGCCTTCAAAAACATTTTATAATGTATTAATTAAATCTAATACCAAAGAAATATATAAATCGGCTAAGGTTGTGAAACCAACTCCATAACCTACTAAGTTTGTTGTTGCAGATACAGATGTGGTGAAACCAGAAAAGTCTTCAGGTTGCTGTTGATTTTGGAAATTATTTGTTATTTGTTATATACAATCAAAATTTCATTTAATGTTATCTTAGAGAGTCAATAACTTCATGATTTCTTTTTAAAACTCATTCGTCAGAATCATTCAGTTTTTATTTATATTCTGTCACTGTGGTCTCAACCCTTGGAAATTTTACAGAATTATTGTAATTATCTGATTGTAATTCACAAGAATTTAACTAAATATTTCAAAATACAACCCATTTAACTTTATTTGAAAGGATTATAATAAATTTATTATACAATTTGCACCTTTTGACTTTTTGGATAATATAATTAAAATATTGCAAAATTTAAAATTATTATGGTATTACCTAATTATCTTTTATGTTAATAGTATTGAGTTTAGAGTTCTGTTAATAATGGAATTTAACAGCAGTCTAAAAATCTTTTGAATCCTGATATTCTTTCCTATAGTCTTTACAATAATTATGTTTTCCAAGATCTCTTTGTTCATTATACTCAATTGTGTTAAGTAGCAAATAAAATTGAAATATTCAATCTTACACATAATTTTGAGCTGAAGTTTAAGTTGAATTTTTGCAGAATCAGAAAATTTAACAACGCTATTGGTTCTATTATAAAATTATAGATTAAGAATTAATGTCGATCAAAAATGTTTTAACATTAGTACAATAAATTTTATGTTAAATTAAAAGAAACATGTAGAATTTGATTCATTTTCAGTATTTCTGAATTTACCGTTAACATCTATATAATTAATTCGATAGCATAGAGAAAACTGCCATGTTTAAACACAAATTGCTTTAAACATTAAGCAAATTTCTTGATAATTTTCTATGAGCTTAACAAATTGAATAAGGAGTTTCTATATTTAAAAATTAAGTACATAAGAAGGAGTTAGAAAACGATTTTATGTAGTTTTAGATATTAAATTAATTCTTAAATATGCTCTTATGAAAAGTAATATACATTTCAAAAAAATATATAATAATATTTTATATATTTATTCCATGTTCTTAAACGAATAAAGAAATAAATTAATAAAATATTGATATGTATAAATTAAATAGAATTATACATTATTCACTAAGATTATTATAATATCCTTATGATTTAATATCATAATTGTTAAAAAAGGTGATTAAAAGAAATTCATATGTTAGCTAACCTTTTTTCATCAGTAATCAACTTCCTTTTGTAAATAAAATAATAGTTTATATTATATTGCAATATAAAAGATGTTCTATTATTGAAATTTAGTAAAATGCGCCATAATTAGATTAAAGTTAAGAATAATTCTAAATTTAATAGAATATAAACCAAGAAAATAATTAACATTGTAGGTTATCCAATATTTATTTATGTTATGATAATCAAATCAATTTCTGCTGGCGATGAATTGAGCAGTGGTGGATAACTTCTCACTAATGTGCTCTTAGAGTCTGTCAACAATTTCTTATTAGGCAGTTCTAGTGGATTAGATTAGTTAGTATACCTTTCAGCAGTTTAGGTTTCATAGATTTCTGATTAGACTGCATACCAAGCTTATTATCCAGCAAGTCTTTCTTCGCTGTTTTCTAATTCAAGAGTGTGGAATTCGATCCATGATTAAGCATCTTCAATGGTGTCCTTTTATTCTTAGATTTAGACTTCCAATTAAGCTTTTCTTTCAACCAATCTGGTGTGTTCGTTACTCAAGTGAACGCTGAATTCAGCCCAATGAGCAGCTTATCTATCCTCGACGTCCTTGAATATTAAATTTGAATGAATACTGTCTTGGCAGCCTTCTCTGAGACTAATTATTATCTGATTTCGCTCAATAATTAAGCAATCTTGGTCAAAGCTTTTTGGTTGACTCCGTGGGTGGCTAATTCGGTAAGAGCAGTGATAACTGGCTAAGAGAGTAGATATAGAAGGATACTTGTAACAAGGCAGTGTGGGAAGTGTTATCTGAGAGCTTCTTGTGGAGGACATCATATTTGGACTTGAGTTAGGCAAATGATGCTCCGAGACTGAGGTGTTAGATGAGTTTAGCAAGCTTCATCGAAATAGCGTCAATAACATCATCAATGGCAGCAACCTTGGCAACGAAGGTTTCGTGTTATTGATTTCTGGTGGCTTCCTCTCTAGCATAGGTAGCTTCGTTGTTAGCAATATCTGAGATTGTGACTCTGATATCTTCTTCAGAGACGGCAAGTGCTTCGATAGTGTCATCTCTCAATTGAGTATTTGAGGAGATTTAGTTTTAGTGATACAAGATTTCCTTCTCCAAATCTTCAACGATCTACTATATTTTAAGATTCTTACTCTGTTGTTGGTTGTGGTGTCAAGTTCAAATGCGTGGTCGTGGTCATTTTAGTCTTAAACGAGTCCAGCACCAACACCATTCAATAACATATTAACTTCATTGGCAGGTGTAGAGGCTTAGAGGTGAGCCTTGATGGCACTCAAGACAACGTGTCCGAATGGGTCAGCGTTGATTTAAGCTAATGTGGTATGGGTATCTATGAACTTTGCAGCAGTCACAGCAAGAACCAAAGCTAAGAGAGCTATTTTTTACATTTTTAATATTAATTTAAAAACGGATCGAGCTCCTCATTTATACTCATTTTCCAATATAATTTTATATTATAAATAATCCTTCTGCCTCAATACCCTATGTCCCACTCTTTCTAAGACTCTTTCTCACATTCTCATTTCAAATATACAATTAAATCTATCAATTAGACTAACTTTAAAATTATAACATTAATTTTATTTTTATTCCAATAATTACTCATTATCTACCCATTAAGAATTAACTAAAAAGTGAAAAATAAATATTTATTAATATTCAAACCTATTTGATCCTCTGATTTAATCCATTAGCTCTTTCTTCATGTGGAGAGTAAACTTGACCCAAATTGTAATTTGGTCTCCCCTCCCTAAACATCTACTAGTCCATTCTCCCATATGAAGAAGGATACACTCTATCCTAATAAGGTAAACCTCTACCGTAGGGTTATCTCTCATTGAACTCCCTTTACATTCCAAAAGGAGGAAGCCCTCGATATTCTGGTACATAATAATCCGGAGCAGGCACAACCTGAGAGTCAAAATAGGCTCTATATTCAAAAGGAGGTTCAAATCTCTATCTATCAGAATCCAAGTAAGGGTATCCTCTTAAGTTTAATGCTAAAGCATCCCTATCATTCAAAATTGGAGGATGTCCATGAAAATCAACAGTTTGTCCTTTTCTAAAATCAGTTACTGGAATAACTCTGTATGATAAATCTTTTTTAAAATCTCTCCCATAATTTCTTTTACTTAATATTGGCTCTGGAATTCCTCTTCTGTAATCATTTAATATTCCAGGATGACCAGTTCTTCTATATCCTGGAAACGGTTCTCCTGAATGAATATCTCTAACAGTTTTAGGAAAAAAACTAAAACCAGGTTCTTAAAAATCTTCAGGAAAATCTCTCAAGTTGTGCAAATATCCTCTGTTAGGTCCTCTTAAATTAGAAGGAGATAGTCTACGCTCCAAAGGTTGCACTATGCTTTCTGCAAAATTTTAAGGAGATCCAACAGGCTTATAAATATTACCATCAGTGAATATAGTGTTAAAAGGAGCACTCTAAAATCGCTCTGGAGATATCATCCTTTAAGGGTTAATATTAGATCCAAAGTCTTGGTTTTAGTTTCCCTTTAATTTATTCTCTTATTTTTTTTCTTTTGGAAATTATTCAGATTATTCAGAAGATCCTTATGTATAGACTCTATTATATGGTCTCTCTTATTGATTAGGCAAATCCTAAACTTTTCCATAATAATCTTAAATTCTACGATTATCTACTGGAGGTCGTTAGAGAAATTCTAGGTTTTATCCAGTTGGTTTTATATAGCCTTTTGGAAACTTTTCTATCTCTATCGGTCTGGCTGGAGCATAATACATTGAATAAATTAAAATATTATAATCAGTTAATTTGTTAATGAGTTTTAATAAAGTATATAATAAATGTTAATATTTTTGGAAAACGATTAAAATTACAATTCTGCAAATCAATTAGAATAGTAAATCTGACTGGAATAATTGCTTAACAACGGATTATTTATATGCAATGAATATAATTAAAAGTGTTGAAAATGATTATTTAATATATGTTCTAATTTCTTTCCATATTTTATATAAATTTGAGACCAATTCTAAATTAAGACATTAAATTTAACTCTTCCAACAATACATTATTGAGAAAAAATTATAATTAATTAAGTAGGAGTTTCTTCGATTATTTATATTAATCAAACTATTTTACGAGGTTTGGTTTGCAGCTTTATAAATAATTATGAAATAATAACCTAATTATTAAAGCTTTACAAGTATTTTCGATCTTGAGCAATCAGTAACATTTTGGGAACCATTACAACAACCCCTTCATGCGGATAGATTGCTTTATAAGGGGAAATTCTTTGAATTCACTGGAAATGTTTGGGTCGAGGAACATTATGATCTCTACCCTGAAGTGTTATGTAAAGGCTAATTTTACATGCAACTTCCTGGAGTGTAAATAAGACGACTGAAACCAACTGAGACTTATGGTCCCCACAAGTATGGATTAGGGTTCTTAAAAGGGCCATATAGGTTGTTATTATATACCGAATCGGTTGAATAACTTAATTAATGGTACTAACTCCATAGAGTTTAGGCATGACTACTTGAAAAGACTTTGTCTATTGCCCAATTTTAACAAACGCCATAAATTAATGGGTAAGATTAAGAATTCGCTTAACTTTTATGATTGCTATAAATGTATAAATGGATAGCAATATTAGGTCAAAATCCTAGAAAAACCTTAAATAACGCAAACAAAATAAGTAATAAGGGAAATTTAAATTTTGCGTCGTTTAAATCACCCTTAAATCTAAAAATTATTAGAAGTTTATGAAGACAGCAATACTGTTTATATTTTATTTGATAAATTCCTAGGTCATTCATTAAAAACAAAACTGCCAGAATATTGGAAGTAATAAAGATATATTATCAATAGTTTAACTGAAAAACAATAGGCAGAGGTGTGTTTTAAGTTATTAAATGCATTGGCACATATACACTCAAAAAATATCATTCACAAAGACATAAGACCAGAGAATATCATACAACTCAACTCTCAATTAACTAATCTTATAATTGCTAATTTTGCGAGTGCAGATTCTAAAGAAAAATGTAAAAAGAGGAAAGTTTTCAATCCTGGTTTTATGGCTCCGGAGCTATTCCAAAATAGAAACTTTGATGACAAAATTGATATCTTTTCTTTAGGAGTTATCTTCTATGGCATTTTCTATTGCAAATACCCATTTGAAGGAAAAGATTTTAGAGAGACTGCAATTTTAAATGAAAAATGTGAAATCAATTTTGAGTATTCAAAGAAGTTATCATCCTCAGCAATTGAATTATTGTAGGGTATGTTAAAGAAAGATCCCACTTAAAGGTTTAATGCCCAAACTGCCTTAAAGCATCATTGGTTTATTAATGCAAGAAGCAAAGAATAAATGAAAGGAAATATGCTTGGAGCACCTTCATTGTCAACAATCTAAGAGAAATCAGAAATTGATATTTCGATGTAAGATCGTTTATTTAACAAATAATAATCAAAATTAAGAGCTAAATCTGTAGATACTTTATTCATTACAGATGCAAACGAGATAGAATCAATTCCATTGCATCAAAAAATATAAAACATGACAAATATTTAGTTTAATCCATCCAAGTCTAACCATTGAATTACATAATAGTATTTGATTGTTAAATAGAATATATTATTATTATAAATTAAATAATTTTTGGTTCAATAGAAAATATATTAGCTTTACAAAAATATAAAGAATTAAGCTTAAAATTATAATAATTTCTAATTATTTTTAATTTATAAATCACAGTTAAGATGGGAGCTTAATGTTTTCCAAATTTTGCTGATCTTGTTGTTGATTATCTTTAAAAACAGACTAAAAAAGTATCCATTAAATTTGTTTAAATATAATTTCAAATCATTTTATTGGATTCTATTATAATTTACAATTAAAGTTTGCAACTTTCTAATCATCAGTTAAGTTTCTTATCACTATAGAAAAACATTACAATCAACATTTAATTAGGGTTGATTGTTTATGTATTAATTAATAATATTAATGAATTAAAATTATTCAATACTTCTGGAATTAACTAAAGAATAAGAACTAACTTTAGCGATAGAAATAGCGACTATTTGTGTTCCTTCTGTATTTTTATTAATTTTTACTCTTTATTGTTATCTCAAGTTTGAGCACTTAAATAATGCATAGTTTAAGTTAGTAACGAGAATATTATATTCAGATCTAATATATGAATCTATAATGAGTGCGATTAGTTTGAGTTACATAATAACTGAAAATCGGAGTAATGAGGAAACATCCTTTAGAGATTCATATCCAACCTTTTGTTACATATAAGCTTATTTATCGAATTTTTCAATTTTAACTAGCACAGCTTGGACATCAATTATGTGCCACACATTATATATGTAAGTGTACCGGAATACCTCTAAGATGTATTACTATCAGTACATATTTGTTGGATACGTGATTCCAACAATGATCAGTTTTATGTAAACTTATGTTTAATATTGTATGTAGACCATTTTATGTTGATGGGTATGGGGTGACATATCCGATGGAATCAACAAATTGCTTTTATAATATGAGGTTGGAGAGGAGATCTTATGATTTGTACATAACTTTGTGTTATTATTTGCCGATTTGGGTAGCATTTTTATATAACTTGACAATAATTACATTAGTTGTAAGAAGAATATTAAAGCATATAACAGATTTTACAAATAAAACATAAGTTTTTGCCTTGTTTCTGTATCCGACGATATTATTCATTTGCTGGGTGATTGTAATGTTACTTTAGTTATCCTGTAGCCTGGTTTGGTTCAACAATTAAACTCTTCGTAATCAATTATATGGTAATACTTATCGTATTTTTTCTGCAACATACTTGGTCTACTGGATGCTCTGTGTTATTGCTTTACTGAGATATTTACTAAGATCAGAATCAATGGATGCAATTTAGAATATTAGGAAGATCTATCAGAAAGCAACTTTGGGACCCAAACCAGCCAACAATTAACCTAAGTAGTTGATTCATAATAATTGTGAATACTATTTAATAAATAATATTAAATTATTAAGCGTCATTTAATTTTTTAGTGCGTTTGCAATTTAATATTATAAAATGAAGAACAAAAATATAGTAATATAATATAATTGAAATGTCATCATCCTAAGACTTAGTGAAGTGCTCGTTTAACACAGACGACATGGGATAACTGTTGTATAAAGAGAATTATCATAAGTAAACATTGGTTATTAAAGATAGGTGGATAAAAGTATAAGAGCTGATTGCTAAAGATCCGATATTGTAAAATAATGTAGCAGATTACGGATAAAGCAGAGATAAATTATATGAAATCTATTGCAAGAAGGCCTATAAACTACATAAATTACTAAATTATAGCGATGAGATGATTCCAGGTATGGTGAACAGTCAATTCCCAGAGACTGTGGTGACTGTGTTACATTAAACCATGTTTATACCCACAATCAAGTATTTGGGAACCGAAAAGTAAATAGAGAAATGGATTCCTCCTTCATAAAATTATGAAATTGTGGGATGCTATGCTCAAACTGAATTGGGTCATGGATCAGATGTCTAGAGTTTGGAAACTACTGCTGTTTATGATAAAGGCACAGAAGAATTCATCCTCAACTCACCAACTATTTCATCAACCAAATGGTGGATTGGAGACTTGGGATTGACAGCCACACATGCTGTAACTCATGCTTAATTATTCATTAATGGAAAACATTATGGAGTCTAAACATTTATTGTCTAAGTCAGAGACACACATACTCATCTACCACTCAAAGGAATTGAAGTTGGAGACGTAGGACCAAAATATGGTTATAACACGAAAGATAATGGCTATCTTAGAATGAACAATGTCAGAATTCCTAGAGAATAAATGCTTATGAGGTATTCCAAAGTTAGCAAAGCTGGTGAATTCATTAAGGCATAAAATGAAAAGATTGGATATGCCACCATGATGTAAGTAAGAACCTCAATCATTTATAACACCTATGTCTCATTAGCATAAGGATTAGCTATTGGAGTCAAGTATTCTCACTTTAGAAGACAATTTAAGGATAAAAATGGCATTGAAAGACCTATCATTGATTATTAAACTCAATAAGATAAATTGATTCCATTGGTAGCAGATTGCTATGCCTAAGGCTTTGGATGTTTAAGAATTAGAGACATTTTGACAGAAAATCTCAAAAGGATAACTGAGAAAAATGACTTTTCTTTAATGGGAGACTTGCATGCATTATTATGTTGTTGTAAGGCTGTTTATACTTGGAATACTCACTTTGGCTTAGATAAAATTAGACAATCTTTAGGAGGACATGGATTTTTATAATCTTCAGGTGTTGTTAGCATTTAAACTGAATTTGCTCCAAGTTGTACTTATGAAGGTGAAAATACAGTTCTACTATTACAAACTGGTAGATATTTATTAAAAGCTTGTAATAAAGCACAAAAACACTAAACAATCAATGAGAATGTTGAGTACCTCTATAACATTTAATAAACTTTATCATAAAAAGCTACTTTCACAAGAGCTGAATAATTGTTGTGTCCTGAAATCATCAGAAAATTGATGAGATTACATGCTGCCTTTTATGTAAATAAAATGATGCTTAAAATGATGGAAAAAGGTATCAATATAAAATTATCACATTAGCTGGGGAACATGGACCAAAAGAAGCATGGAACAAACACGTCGGTGTTTCAATTACTGAAGCTTCTATCGCTCATACTTATTATTGGACATTTAAAACGTTCTTAGATACATTAATAAAGTAAAAGTGTTGATTCATTTTTAGAGTTTAGGATGAGAACATTAGATCAGTCTTATCCAATCTATGTTGTTTGTATGGTTTACAAAGAATTATTGATTGGCCAATTGGTTATTTTGAAGGTGGATTTTTGAATGGGGAATAGTTAGAAATCATTTTGAATGCAAAAGAACATATTTTCACACTTATAAAACCAGATTTACTTGGACTTGTTGAAGTAAGATTCATAATTTATAGATAGTCTTTCAAATTCAATGACAATGCTTTAAGATCAGATTTAGTAGATGCCAAGCCTTATGAAAAGTTATTGCAAAGTGCCAAATTAAGTTCTGTAAACAATGAAGAGTACTAAAATAAATTAAGATCATTAACAAGATAACTTAGAGAGATGCCAAAGCTGTGATTTATAAATAATAAATTAATAAATAAAAATAATGTAGTAGGTGACAACAGAATATGTTAGAAGTTTAAATGGAATAACACAAGAGTATTTGAGTATGTAAATGATAGTTTCTTGTGTCCTGTGAATGCAAACATTTACAATATCCAATTTCTTAAATTTAGAATCAGAGATATGGATTCAGGTTAAACTCTATTTGAGGTTGAACGTGATTAGGATGAGGAGCCCATAGGTAAAATAATAATTAAACATAATAAGAAAACCTCCCACCTGAATATTAAGATGAAGCTAGAAGGATTAAATACCATTTTGGACCATAATTTTTTGAATTGAAAACAGTGGGAGCACAATTGACCTTCTCAGTCGGTAATCAGCCAGTCAAGAATTTCACAATTATTGAAAGACATTATTTCAAGGATCATTTATTGAGAAGCTACGAATTTTCATTCCCTTTTTGCATTCCAAATTCAACAAATACATGGGAACACATTTACACCATTCCAGAGATTGATGAAGCAATGGTATATGAATTAATCATTCTATTAATTAGAGATAAGAAATGATCGACAATCCATTTCAAACTAAATCAGACAGTTTTTATTTTGTAGGTGAACAGTTAGTTATGCATAACAAGGCTGAGTATGATTACTCTCCTTTTGATTGAAATATTAGAATATTTCTTATAAATTAATATATATTCCATATCATAACCTCTGCTGGACAATGCTTACTAGATATGGATTCTCAACATAGTATAGTTCCCTTTAATATCCATTTGATTCTTTTAAATCTCTATTATTTTTAATTTTGATTTACCAAAATTCACATTAGGAATAATTTTAATTGCTTAATAATGTCAGCCATTCTACCTTATGGTGAGTATTTTGTGGAAGATATTCAAATTTTAATTGAATTTTGTAATCTAGTAATTTAGGATTTCGTCTGAATTTACCATTTTTATTTATTTATCTACTAAAATTATGAAAATTATTGTCTGTTTAACATCAGCAGAATTAAACTAAACATACAAAAAATTATATTCTTTCACTTAATAGATTTTTGGATGACTAGAAAGTATTATTATTTTATTCATCTTGATTACAGTAACTTTAAACAGCAAGGCACCATTTAAGAAAGATAAGCTTCAACCCTAATTATTTAAGGAAGATTTAGTTAACATAATCTACTGAGAAGGTTAATTAACGACTTTTTTCCTTATTAATTTTCTGAAGACCTCTTTTCTCATCTAATCATTATGAAACTAAATTGATTAATATACTACTAAATACAGAATCTGTTTTAAAAAATAAACTTAAGTTTATAAACTAGTACAAAGTCCAGTCTATTGATTTGGATCTTTCAAAAGAAGTTGTTAGTAAAAGAATCCGAATAATAAGATTAATTAATATATTTAGTCCTTTAGAATAATCTAAATTCTAATATCGGAATATTACTATTCATCTAAACGATGTTGATATTTTTACACAAAACAAGATTATTGGAGATACTATATATAAAAAATAACACTTAGATTATCAAATGAGAACTAGAAAATAATAAAACTCTTATAAAACAAATCCCAAAAATTATAAAAATTTAAGAAGTTATAATATTGTATAAAACCTTAAGTTTTCTTTCATTATAAAATTATAATAGTAAAGTTCTCTATCATTAGTTACATTAAGGAATGCCAGATTTGAGATGAGGAAGTTAATTCATCCCAAATTGATTCAATATGAAATCAAACCATACATATTAGTTGAATTTTATAGAATCAAATTTAATTAAATTCTTAAGTTATATATATAAATGGGAGTATATAATTTTAGAATGAATTAAGGTAAATTCTTATATGAATAATCCATCAATGTCTTTTTAGGGATGTTTATGAAGCCAATGATCTAACTTAATCCTTGAAAAGTTGGATAACGACATCGATGATTGCATTTTCCTCTATGAATATAAGATTGTATTATTACCTTGTCTTCTGACTGTTTCAGCAGCATAGAATTCTCTCTTTTCTTCAAGATCAGCTGTGGCACCAGCAACTGCATTCAAGGAATCTTTCCATAATTTAAGAGCTTTAGCTTATTAGGCCAAAACAGCTGGGAGTTACTTGATTTATAAGAGGGAATTGATACTGTTTCTAATTTTTCAACAAGGCCGGTTCTTCTTTCGTGTTCAGAGTTCAACCAAGCAACCTCGGCATTTGTATCTGAAACGTATTTGGCAAGAGCGAAAGCTGCATGAATTTCTTATTCTTATAATGTGGCAAGGGTTGATTCTAATTCAGCTTGTAAATCTTATAAGATTGAAAGGACTTATTCTCCTGTGGTTCCGTCTCTCTTAACTTCGGCAAGGGATTGGAATTTCTAGAGGGCGTCTTATTGGAAGAGGTGGCTGTATGCAGACAATTTGTCAGCGATTGTTTGGGCTTTCTCAACGAGTTCGACTCCAGCATTATTAGTAAGGAATCCAGCAACATCTTGTTGTAAGAGTGTGACTACTCCTACGGCATCAGCGTGATCAGCAAGTGATTTAACAAAGAGTCCATTGGCCCAACATCTTTAATCTTAGAGTTATGCATTTCTTCTTTCAATTTCAGCAAGTCTGGATTCAGCCCAAGCCAACCATTAATATCCATCCTTTAGAATTTATTAAATAATCATACTCTGATTTAGGCTTCAACATCTCCTCTGACTGCACCAAGAGATTCCCATTATTATTTGTTAAGGGAAGCAACATTTGTCAAATCACCAATGACTTAAGAAAAGATTTCTAAGAAGACATAATGTTATTTTATTACCTTCATCTGTGTTATTCTTTTTGTCTGCAGCAGCTTAGACATTAACATTCTCTGTCTTGAGGTCTCTTAAGAGATTGTAAACAGATTCGACTGCATCATTTCCTCTGGTACCAGCTTGAAGAAGCACAGCAAATTTATTTGTGTCGATAGCAAATACAGCTGACAATAAGCAAATTGCGATGATTGCTCTCATAATTTAATTTAATTATCTAAAAAACGGGTTTCATAATTTGGTTTATAATCCTTCATTTTATACTCAAAATTCATATTGTTAAATATTCCTCTTCAAAATTACTTCAAATCCTCATCTCTTCATAATTCTAATATCTGCCATAGTGATATCACAAATTACCAATTAGATGGTTCTATTTATTGTATTGTGAATCAAAAAATGGTCATTATCATTTATCTTTCTATATTTAGATTAAATTTTAACTTTTCGTTGATTTCTAAGTTATTATCTTCAAAATTCATTTCCCTAATTATCTCTAATTAATATCTAAATTGTTAGATTTGATAAGTAGCAAATCATTCTTTGAAATTTTCTATTTTCATTATAAATTTGATTTTATGAATTGATTTGTTTAATCCATAGAGAAGAGGGAAAATAATTAGCATTATATATAGGTATTTATACTTAAGTGATGAGATTTTGTTATTCTGAATATACTACTAAATATAGGAATAATGAGAGGATAATAATTTATTGATTAAATGAAATTGATTATGAATTAGTATAGAAATTATTGTTTAAATATTCCAAATTCTTAAAATTACAAATTGATTAATAGTCTAATTTAAAAATCTATTTTTTCATTAGAATCAAAGTATAGTATTTTAGAGAGTTTTGGGTCGCAATCCATATAAATAATATTGTTAAATAATTAATTTATTATTATGGAATAAATACAGAAGACAGAATCCAAGATGACCAATGGCATTTTGATTACTTATTAACACAATCAAATTCGTTATATAGATAGTAGGGATGTAATTTAATTTAATTTCAATTGAAATAATTTAAATAAAGTATTATATGAATTAAGAGGACTTAAACTATTTGACTTATGGATCAATTATTTCGATATCTCATGTTTTAGATGATCATTCTTTCATAACAGCAGATGGTTTTGTGAAGCGGGCTGTTTGTTTAAAGAACTTTGTACAAATTTAGCATTTATTTACAAGCATCACGTAGATGTGGTTGATGCAAAATAAGCAGGTAATATGAAGAGTAGACCTTATTACCACACTCTATTCTAAATATTTCCAAAATTCACAAATAATACAAAACAAGAAATTTTAAAGGAACTTATTGGAGAAGAGCAAGAAGAAGAAGTTTAACCAGCAGTTCAGAATATTTTAGAAAGCATTTAAAAACATCAAAAAGTGGATGAAAAGACGATTTTGTCAAAGGATCAAGTCTAATAATTTTCTCAGAAATTATTATAGGAGTTCAAATATAATCTCGACACATTTGAAAAAGTAAAACATTTGTTGTATTACAATAGTCTAAAGCACACAAAGTGTCATATAAGTCTCATATTTAATTATTGCATTTGGCATCGTCAAAGTTTTTGGCTTGTCATCAGAAGGAGGCTAGAGTAGAAACCTCAAATTATAAAATTACACTAGATGAATTACCTAGTGATTCCTCATTATTTAAGATCTTGCCAGCTTATAAATATTAGAAAGAAGGTGAGTAAGTTATTTATGCAAGTGATATTGTATATATCGTAAGAGCAACATCCTTTATGAATAAATTGACATTTCTGCATGCATCTTAAGAAATGGGAAATTATGGTAAGAGTAGAAAATAGAAAAAGAGTGATGAAGAATTATTAATATACAAAAATGAGAAAGATATAATTAAGAGAGAAGTAAATGCAGCATTAGATGAAGAGAATCAAACTCAGTGGAGAATTTCAGTCTATTCAGATTATGTTCCTGAAACATCTGGATATTTGAAATGTGGTGATGTGATTTGGTTACATCATTCTGAAACTAATACAACAATTGCAGCGACAAGAAAGGGTAAACCTGTAGACCAGAAGAACTTTCAATAATTTAATTTGGTTGACTGGTTAAAAGTAGAAAATGTGGAATTAAATGTGCTAAGTGGCTCAACTAAAGAAAGTTATGATGAATATACAGGAGATACACATTCGATGTGGATTATTGAATCAGAAATATATAAAGAAGGAGGCATTGTAGTATTTGATAAGAAATATAGATTTAAACATTTTACATCAGGATTGTATCTATCTGGATTTAAAGATAAATTCACACTCGATAAATAGAGAGTTCCAACAACCTTATTTTATTTTAGTCAACTAAAGAATTCTCAAGTAAGAGAAAAGTCTGTCATGAGAGGTAGTTATGTTTATATTTGTCATGATAAACCAATTCCTACAGGTAAAAATAATAATTAGAATGATGAAAACAGTTTTTGGGTTGATATTCAATATGGAAAAAATCAACGATACATTCCAATACTGCATTAAGAATAACATAAAACTGATTAAAGTGTTTTTAAATTGTATGCTAGTAGTAGCAATGATGTTTGGGAAATTTCATTTGTTTTAAGTTGCGCTAAAACTCTAACAAATTATCTTGACGATTTGTAAAAATTAAAATGGGAAAATGATGCCTAAGATAAGGAAGTTCTTAAAGATCATTTACTTAAGATATAAACCACTAAATAATGCATTGATGATATCAATGATTTTTGTAATAATAGATTGTATAATTCAACACCTGAGTAGAAATACGGAACTATCAATCCATTTAGATAAAAGTTATTGAAGGAACAATATTACATAGATTTATTGGTTAAAATATTAGTTTAATAGTTAAAAACTGAAGATCTTGTTATTTGGAGTAGGAGATATATGATTATTCAAATGCAAGACATACAATAATAATAAGAAAAAATGAGCAGCACAGAGTAGTAAACTAATAAAAAACAAGGATTAAAAGATCATGAAATATTGGCTTATATTGCATTTAAAATCACATTGAATCAAACTATTTATACATTATTGACATCGATTTGCAAATAAAACCCTGAGAATGAGCTGTATACTTTTGATTTAATTGGGCATTTCTTAGAACATTGTAGGTACATCCCAGAAGCAATCAAATGTATGATTTCAATTATTGGTAACAATCAGGAATTACTAAATTAATTATCATTGAATATGAAACTTGATTATAATCCAAAGGAATAAGAATTTTTTGAGCCAGAAGAAGAGAAAATGTAACTTCATCATAATAAAATTTAAAATAATTTCCTTATTTTCTTCTTAAATCTATTAGAAACTGATGAATAAGCACATAAGGCAGATTTTTTAACTTTCCTTAGAGAAATGTGTATTTATAATAATCAAGGGATTAATTCGAATTAAGAGGCCATTTATAAATTGTTAAAGAAGCATAATCACAAAAGGATTTAGCTAATTAAAGATCGTGAAGATCCAGATAAGATATCTTTGAAAGATGGGAAACTCATTATCCCATTCAAATTATAGAATGACCCTAAAGAGATGTACTTTATAAATGAGCAGTTGTAATTTTATGCTGATGTATCTTATGGGAGAAATTATCTGTGGAAACATGAGTTGGAATAATATTTTAGTAAAGACTTTTTATTTCAAAATATTTGGTAAGAGGATGCTAATCGAAATTACGCTGTTCTTTAGGCTGCTTTGTGTAAAATTGCTATGAGTCTTTATATTGATCATGATCCACTCAATAAAGTGTAATTACCCAAATATTGTAATCTTTATAAAAGTATTGATAAGGCAAATGAAGCTCAACATATGGGGCTATTCACTTCTTTAATTGAGGATCTATTCAAATATTTATAAGATAATAAACATTAAATAGTGCTGGCATTAGATACTAAAGACGGTGGTGATAATAAAGATTATGATGTATTAGATGCAAATGATGAAAAGAGTTTGTTGATTAATGAATTGCTTTATAATTCTTGTTAGATGATGTTATTAGTATTAGAATTGAATGTATTCTAATTTTTAGATAAGGAACCAAATTAATACTACAAATAAATAATTGATATTGTTATCCATTATTTTTTTTATGATTTTACCTAGTTGCCTTTGATGAAGAGTGTATATAAAGTATAAAAATCAGAAATCACTTAAAGAAAACAAAGAAAAGAAACTTTAGGTATTGGTTTGAATTTAGGAGCTAATCTCATTAGCATGGCTAATCCTATGAACTTGGGTTTGAATCTAAATCTATTTGGATCAGATGAAGAATAAAAATCAGATGATGATGATGATGAATAAATTGATGAGGGTATTGTTGATGATGTCTAAATGTACACTAATCCCTTAATGAGAGGATTTATCAAGTTAGAAAACGAACTCCAGAGTTCCTTATCAACAAGAGAGGAAACTGGGTCAAGTTAATTAGAGATAAAAATCAAATTGACATTGTGTGATGTCATGGATAGATTCTTAGATATGAGATAAAATTATCTTATGTTGAATTGTTTGTCCTTTTTCAAGAAACAAATTATTGAAAAAATGTAGGAAGGGATCCAATAAATTAAATTTTCTAAAGATGATGTAAATTAAGAATAAGAGGACACTAAAATATTAATTTTTGTTCAGAGGAAAACAGAATCAAATTTATTGGGGTTGTTACCAAATATAGCTAAAACTGGTTTAAAAGAAGTAGATGAAAAAGAAGAGAAACAAGATGCCTTTGGTATTGGAGCATTAAACTTTTTAAATAAATTAGCTGAAACAAAACCAGAATCTGAAGAATTCAAAGCTTTTACTTAGAATGAAATGCTAATATATGATTTGGATTAATACTTCTCTTTAAATTTACCTCAAGAAGATATTAACAAGATAAATAATCCAATTGGAGTTGTTTTGCCATATTTATTTACAAACTTCTCTTAGATTCATGAGGAGGAATTAGAAAAGAGGTGTTTGGCTATTATTATGAGGTTGTTTAATTAGAGAGAAGAACTTTGTAATAATCTATTAAAATTGTAACTTGTAAGTGATCCAATTAAAAGTAAGCTCTATGAATTCCTAAGTGAAAATTTATAAAGATTAAATTAGTTGGTTGATAGATCCGAAGTATGGCTTGCAGAGTATATTAAAAGCTAAAAATAAGATGACCTACAGGAAACTTTGGATATAATCGATAATTTTAGATAGGGATTCTTTAAGGACACTCAAATATCATAAAGGATTATTTCAAGAACTTCAGAAATTGATGGGGAAAAATAAAACTTAATGAATGCCTTAAAGATTCATGTGCCTATCCTAAATTTAATAAGAGATCAAATGCCAGCATTAGATTTCCATCTTGAAAACATCAAAAATACACAAAGAAAGTAAAGGTTGGCTTAATTGTTCATATATGCATTTTAATTTTTAACATATTTTTGCAGAAATAATCATGAGAATTAGATTGTGTTATCATAATATATATCCTCATTTGAAAACATGCATTTGGAAGTAGGATAGATCCCATTAATTTGCGAAATTTATAAAGATAATCAGAAACTTTTAACTTCTATAAACAGAAATGATAGAGTTTTTCATAGATTTGTAGAATTAATTTATCAAAGTGGGAGAAAAGCTCAATTTTTGGACTTTTTCCTTACAATAATAAAATAAGGGAATAAATATATTTTTGATAATTAATTACTAGTATTGAATACCTTTCTAGAAAAAGAAGAACTATTATTTATAGAAAAGAATGAATTCGTATTTGAAGGCGATATATAATTGCACTAATCAGACTTTCTAACAGATTTAGCAACTAATCCTCCAATGAATTAGCCATTTCTGTATCATGCTAAGTTATTGGACTTATTGCTATAATGTACACAAATTCAAGTACTTGAAGGTGATTAGAAAGATAATTTTACAATTAATGTAGCAAAATTAAAAAAGAAATTTACTGCTCAATACCTGATATAATTGTTGTGCAAATCAGATTCTTTAATGAGTCAAAATCCCTCTCTTTAAGAATAAGGATTTGGATTAATTAAAAAATAATTATGGATATTTTTTATGAATATACACATTACTAGTGAAAAGAGTCATAATGTTGGTAAGGAAATTAAGAATGATCTTATAAAGATGATAGAATTCGAGACAAATAGGTTGGATAATATTTAATTTGAGCACTAATAAATGAAATACTTTGATTTCTTAATTGAAGCTGTCTTACCATTGTTTACAACTTATTTGATTAGAAAAAACATATAAATCCATCAGGATGAAGATGAGGATGGGAATGATTAAGAACAAAAGGATATTGCAGCATTATAGCAATTTGCAAAGTCTTTATCATAAAGAATATTGCAACTTGGAAAGTATTTTAATAGAAAAAAGTATGTGACCATCTTAATTGCATTTTATTCTTATTTTCCATTGACAACAATGGGCAAGGTTTGTTAATCTGTCTTAGGTTAATCAAAACTGATGGAAGATCTTGGAGAATATAATAATTTCAGAGATGTGTTATCGAATATTCAGGCGGGGGTTAATGATAATTATTAGGTAGATCTAAATGAATAAGTTAATCATTTCTAGAATGGACCTTCATAACATCACTTGGATCATCCTACTCCTAAAACCATTTTCCAAAGCAACAACCTTAAATCGAGAATAGGTCTTATGTCAGCACTTTCATCAAATAAAAAATAGAAAGAAGAACCTCTTATTGAATTTGAGATGGCAGATGCCGAAAAAGCAGAAATTGAAAAAATCTCAGTTGCTTGGGAAGAATTTGTTAATCAATTATGCTTAAGTGATAAAAGTAAAACACATGTATAAGATGAACTGCAAAAATTATCAGAGGCTATTGTTAAGTTTGAATAGTATTTTGGAAATCCAAGTGACAAAAATGAAAAAAATGAAAAAATATTGAAAGTTGAATAAGTGATACTTATAAAAAAGTTCATTAATTTTTTGAGTTATGCAATAAATAGTAGTTAGAATAATAAAACTATTATAACTTTGTTAGGAGTTTTAAGAAAAGTGATTGAAGGAAGGCCTGAATAGGAATAATAAAAAGAAGTTGAAGTTGAAGGAGAAAAAAATGAAATGGAAGAAATGCAAAATTTATTCAATAAATTAGGAGCCACTAGGATGGTGTTAACAGTTTTAAGTGAATCAATTATCCTTGATGGAGAAATGCTAAGAAATTTCTTAATGTTTATCAACACTCTGCTATCAGGTGGTAATAACAAGGTATAAAAAACAATTTTTGAGTTCATGAAGACTTATCCAAAAAGTGAAGTCATCTTTAGTAGATTAAATAATGTCATTCAGGCATAGATCAAATAAATCACAATCAAAGAAAAAGACAAAAAGACTGAAGAATAATAATTAGGTAATTTCCCTCAATAATAACAACAATAAGAGGATAACGTGTAAGAAATAAAATAATAGTAAGATTTAGAATTATTATTAACTCAAGTCTTGAGATTCTTATAAAATTGTTGCGAGGGACATTATCTTGATTTACAAAACTATATCCGATAACAAACAAATTCTAGAAATTCGTATAACATGATTAATTAAGTGGCTGAATTATTACTAACTTATTATTATAAAGATAGAGCCTAGTATGAAAATATGGTTCTATGTTTGGACACTTTAAATGAATTAGTCTAAGGCCCATGTCCTGAAAATTAAATAGCAGTTGCTGATTCTAAATTCTTTGAAATAGCTTCAGATTTGTTTGGGTAAAAAAAGGAGAAAGACAATACAAGTAAAACTTAAATTATGACATCAAATATAAAAACTTCGAAAACTTAAAATAACAAAATGATGACTACTAAGACTAGTAGATATCAAAAATAACAGAAAGGATCTGATTTAAAAAATTGGTAAATTGAAAGAATGCAAACCAAATGTTTGATTTTGATTCTTTCTTTAATTGAAATGAGAGAAATATCAGATTCAAATCCAATCATCAAAAGAATAATGAGACATTTAACACCACCTTTATTAGAAAAACACATGGTAAGTTGTTTTCATAAGTATGAAAAGTAATGTAAAGAAGGCTATTAGATTGAAGTCCTAGATAGAATTAAAGAAGATCCCGAAACTGCAAAATAAGAAGATAAAGTAAAAGAAGAGCAATACTATGAATTAATATTGTAGAAAGGCTTTTATATTTATTTTTTAATGTGTTATTATATGGAATCTGAGAAGAATGTTGAGAATTCATTTGTTTAAATGTATAGGGCGAATACAAGAAAGAAACTTAAGTAAGACAAAGGCACATTAGAAGATTTGTTATTCGGAGATAATATAATTGGGTAACTTGTAAGTTTTGTGATGTCATTCGCAAATAGTTGGATTGATTTAATGAATCAAATCAAGAAAGAAGCTTAAAAACAGATGGCTACTTAAGTGTAGTCAAGCGAATAATAAGAAAAACAAGACAGAGAAAGAAGAGCTGAAAAGGAAAAGATGAAGAGAAGAGCATTTGATTTTTTCTATAAAAATAGTGCTTCAATAGAAGTTGTTAGAAACAATGAAATAGAAATTGTGTATTTTATACTCTTGCCATATACTCATAATTTACCTAAAGAACAGAAGATAGAATTTCATGAAAATGTCGATAGATCATCTACTAAATCGAAGGTGTAATTTTTGGTTTAGGAATCAGAAAGATTAATTGAAATATGTGAACATGAGGAACAATTAAGACGTATCTTCTAAAGATAGAAGTTTCTAGCTTTATTTGCAAATTATGTGAAATTATGGAAGGATTTAGCATTTTTATTCACCTTATTATTAAATTTATTCATTATAGGATCATTTGCTTAAAATGAATCAGGAAATAGGATTACAGATTTCCGATTGTTTAGAGATGAGTAGTATTCACCATAGCAGACTAGGAATATATTTTTGATTTGTGGTACTATTATGGCTTGTTGTTCAATTTTTGTGGTTTCATTCTTTTTGTTTAAGAATGCTCCGTTAATTATTAAGAAGGCCTGGAAAACTAAATTACCATTTGAAGATAAGTTTACTTATTGGCCAATACAATTGATTTATAAGATATTTAAATTGCTAGCAGTTTTGTTTTATATTCTCAAAGAGATAGAAGTCGTTTATTATTTAGCATATGGTGCCTTGGCTGTAATAGGAACAGTATTGCACCCTTTCTTCTTTAGTTTTCATTTAACAGAGATATTGATCCGTTATCCAACTTTAAAGAATGTTATTAGATCTGTTTGGGAACCTAAATAACAATTAGCACTTACACTGGTACTTTTCATAATTCTTGTTTATGTTTATGGACTGATAGCCTATACATTCTTTTTTGAAGATTACAAAGGAAAATGCTAGTCGACATTGTTTTGTTTTCTATTTACATTTGATTGGACATTTAAAGCCAATGGTGGAGTTGGAGGATATTTATCAGATTTGGAAGATGAAAATGTAGTTGAAAAATATCATGTGGGTAGATACGTATTTGATAACACATCAAATATTTTCTTAGTTATAATCATGGTTAATATTGTGGCAGGTATTATTATTGACACATTTGGTTCATTAAGAGAAGAAGAAACTGAAAAGGTTAGGGACATTGAAGATAAATGTTTTATTTGTGGAAATCTTAAGACCATCTTTGATAGATTAACAGACACATCATCGATGGGTGGAGGTTTTGATCATCACATCAAAGTTAATCATTATATGTGGAATTACGTTTTCTTCATGGCATATCTCAAATACAAAGATCCAACAGATTATACTGGAATTGAGTAGTTCGTTTCGGATAAAATATAGAAGAAAGATCTGACATGGTTCCCATTCAATAAAGCTAGAGAACTATAAAATCTCAATCAGGATGAAGAAGAAGAATCCAAAAAGATCGAACGCATATCCAAAGATGTAATATTTCATTATTATATTCAGATTGTCAATATTGTAGATACTATGAGATAAGCTAGTTAAATGCTTAACTCAATAAAAAATAGAAAAAAATTAAAGAATGCTGCAAAATAACCTGCTGACTTGCTGTGAAAATAATCAAATTAATTATGATTCAAAATACAAAACTAAATTACTCTCTAATTTCAATTCCTATTTCAAACTATTAATAAATTCCATCGATGAACAATCCAATATCAATCTTTCTATTGAATCCATTTATTTAAATATTTTTACTGCTTGATCAATGTCTTCTTTTTCTATATTAATTCCCTTCAAATCCAAAGATAGACGTTTGATTTACTTTAATTTCTATAAACCAACGCAGAGGTTTCCAAAATTTAAATTTTATGTTCTAATCATTTTAAATCTATTCTTACTTATTTAAAATCATCTGAAAATACTTTACTTCAGCGAAATTACCCAGTAATTATAATAATTTATCAAATTCTTATTAATCTATTTCTTATTTATATAGATTGATTTTAACTGATAAAATTGGAGATTTTTAAATTAGTTATTAGAGACTTTCTAATTGTTCTTGTGTTATGGTATTAATTTTTAAGTATGTAATTTAAGTTCTCTCTTACTGATTCAAAACAGTTGAATGAAATTTGATTATTGCTGTCTAATTGGCCAAGAAATACAATTCTCTAATATCAGCTCTTTCATGTGGCTATTATTTTAGACTCAACATAATTATTTCTGCTATTACATCACTTATCTATATTAAATTTATTAAAAATACCCATATAACAACTATACTTGATTTGCAAACTTATCAACTTGATAACATGAATGAATTCCATCCAATTCTTTATTTGTATATAGCAAAGCTGCCATTAGTATACACACTCCAAAGTGCCAACTATCTATCAACCTTCCATTTAATTATTAAAACTATTAACTCATTTTCTCAGGAGGGTAATAAACAACATCAAACTCTTATTCAGTTCTAATAGCATATCCTTCTAACAAATATTTCTCCTTATATTTTGCATTTGGCTCTTAGATGCTGGCTAATTTAACACTCTCATTATTGATAATAATGGAAGTGGGTAAAATTCTATTTGGAAATATATTGCGCTTATGCAATTAAATTATTGCCTATAGGATTTTCTGTATGATATTTAAGAGCTCATCTAAAGTAAAAGGTTTATTTTTATTCTTTCGATCTTTAATCACTTCATTTAGATTTTATCCCTCATATTCTTCAAGTGAGAATATCTTCACTGCTTCTACTCTAATATGTTTGGGATAAAAATGAGTAAAAATATTGGTTTTCTTACTAACCTTTGGCTATTTCACTTAGCCAAGCATAGAGTCGACAAAATTAGCCTTAGGTCGTATATAGAATATAGAAATCACTTGAGTGAATAAGCTAAAATCAAAAATATTTAAATGAGCCTTAATATAGGCTTGGAAAAATTAATCACTTTAATGCTACATAACGTAAAACTTATGCAAAATTATTTTTTTTCCGTTTACGCTATATAAAGTGGTTTTCCCAAACTGTCCCTTTTCTAACACCCTTTCACTATTAAAAAATTTAAGTATTTCCTATTTCGAGCTAACTTCTTTTAATAATTCTTATTATCTAATTGTGTCAACTCCTTCTCTAATAAAATCAAGTAATAATTTATGATTAGGAGGAGGACATTTAAGAAGTTATTGAAAATACTCCCCTATTTTTTATTCGCGCTTTTTGATCACTTTATTTTCTCCAAACAATGTCTTCAAGTATTCCTTCTTGGGAAATTAAGGAAGCTAAATTTAGTTAATAAATACTTGATAATTTATATTGGAATCTTGCATGGCATTATGAAGATCAAGCAAAAGACTATATCTAACTCTAATGTCTCTCTAATCAAGTGTAAAAAGATCGATAATGCGAATTTTATATAAAACATTGTCCGTTGTGTTCTCATAACCCATTATCTTGATTTCATACTACATCCTTTATATATTTTAACAAATTAATTATATGGTATATATATTTAAAAAGCTAACTTTTTTGAATTAATTCTATAAAATACCGTTCTGTTATTGTATTTTTCCCCAAATTTTGTTCTGTTAATTATACACCTCAATAACAACACTAAATAAGAATTAATAAAAATTGGTGATCAAAAGTAAATAAACAATTTTATATAAAATATTCTCATTATTAATACAGATATGGGAAATATCCTTTAGACATAGAAATTCTGATATAAGACTTGCGAATTATGTCTAAGTTTAGTAATTTGATGTTATTAAAATATTTGATTTTAATATGAGTTTTATTATTAATGAGTGATATTATAGTTAAAAGAAGAGAATAATTTAGAACAGAAATTCGTAAATAAAATCTCGAGAAAGAATTTAGCAAGAAGAGATTTGAAAAGAGCAATTTAATTCAGGATCTAAATGAATGCAACAATTTAATCGATTTTGAACTTAAATTCAAAGATCAAATTGAGAATCAGATTTAACTTATACTTCAAAATCCAGACAACTAAAATTTAGAAAAACTCATATAATTGGTATAGCAATTAAGTGCAAAATACAGTGTCTATATTATAGATCATAATATATACAAAACACTGAAACACAATGGTTTAGACCTTAATTTGTGTTTGAACTTAATGTGTAATTTATGTGTTGAACCAACAGTAGTCAAACACATCTTCTCTGATCAGATTTAGAAAGAGAGATTAACTTAATATTTAAACTTAATTAGTGGCAACTTATTTGAAGAACATAGAAAACTTTATTGGGAATTTATGCTCATTCTTTCAAATTCAGCGCATACTCCTTTTCCATTTCTGAAATAAGTGTTTTTGATATGTTGTGAAGAACTGATTTAATGCAGAAACAGCACTACGTAAATGCAAATTCGCATTCTCCCACATTTAATTCAAAAATATCCATAAGCTAATTAATTTTATTGGGAAGCTTTGAATTCTGCTAATTCTGAGGATAGGAAACCTTGGAAATGCTTATTGCATTTTCTTAAGCAACCCAACTCAGATGTTTTCTGTTGTGATTAGTTGTTATTAGCAATTCATTATTTAGTTTAACATGCAATTTCAAAAATTTACTATGAATACATTGTCACTTCAGAATTAATGTTTGTTCTTCAAAGTAATTTGTACAGACACGAAAGAACTATGGTTAGGTCTACAAAATTATTGTTTATGATTTTTGAAGAAAATGACACTTATTTTAAATTTATAAATGACGATTTAGTCAAACTGCTTAAAATTACATTTATAGATGGATAAATTGAAATACTAAAACTTTTAGAAATAGTACTTCGCAAAAGATAACACTTTTTGCAGCTTATGGAATAATACCATATACTTGATATGCTATTTGATATTCTGCGATAGGATATATCGACGACCATGAACTACGCCACCCTAAATTGCATTGCTTTATCCCTGTTTTAATGTACTGAGATCGATAAATATTAAAAATATATCCAAATGCAGAGTTCCACTTTTAAAGATATTTTAGAAAGATTTGTTTACGACACAAATAAATCTGTCTAATAAACTACTGAATATCTCTTAAGAGCATACTTTGAAAAATGAATATATATATATAATTCGATATTATTTTAAGTACTGATTTTAATGTGAATGAGATTTAGATATTTAATAATGACAATAATAAATTATATACAAAACTTATTCATTAATCTTGTGGTTTTATATTTTAGAAGAGGGAATTCAAATTCTAACTTAATTATTAATTTATTTGTTATGGATTATAAGGGAGATTTAATTGAGGATTTGGCTATAATTATTACGGTTATGGATAAATTTGTTATATGTATTAAGGTTATTGCATTTATTATTATGGAAAAGACTATTAATTTTACATCATTTATTAATATTATTATTATTATTACATTTACAATTACATTTGTTATTAAAGGAACATTTATTAATAATATTGTTATTATTATTACATAGAATGTTACATTTACATCATTTACTATTACTATTATTGTTATTATTAATTATTGCCCTAAACTTTATTATTTTATTAAGGATATGGTTATTATTTATCATGCTTTTATTGGTTATGATGTTTTTCTTTTTTTTTATTATTTTTCTTCACTTCTCCTTCTTCCTTGTTTCCTCTCTTTTTAGAGAAGGCTTCAATCTCATCATCTGAATATTCAATATCGCCTTCATTAACCACTTCTTCATCAAATTAATTAGAAGCATCGCACCCTTTTTTACTTTTGATAACATTATAAATTACTTAAGTAATTGCTTAAATAGCGTCAGGATTAAGAACAGAAGTGCTGTCAACATTAATAAAGACATCATCTCCAATTTTTAGTTAATTAGTCTAAATTAGGTTGTTCACATATCCATCCAACAAAATTGAATAGTGAGGTCTTTCAACTTTACCAAAGACATCATCAACTTTTCCCAAGATCTCTTATTAGCTATTCACTATTAATTAATCTAAATTGATGACAAATTCTAAAAGATTAGAATAAATGGTAATGTTTTCTTTGGTAATGGATTCAATTTTGCCAATCAATTGAATTCGATCTGAATGTTTATAATTGAAATTGATTTCTCTCTGTTCTTTGGATTCTGGTGGAGCAAATGAAACTTTAGGTAATACTTCATTTCTGCTTACAATTCTTGAACTCTTTTCCTCGTCATCCATGATATTTAACTTAGTTTAGAATTGTTAAGTACTTAAGCTTTAATTTTCTCATAAAATTCATCACTGCTAGAATCACTACTTTCACGATCGTTCATTAAAATATAATTTATATATATATATCACATTTCAATTTCTAATTAAGTTGGTGGGTTGTTTTACTGATGTTCTCTTTGTTAATCCACAAAGTAATTATATCTCTGTCTCCCGAGATCAAAGAAGTTGGTAACAGTCAACATCAATATCATTGCCATATAGTAATTAAAGCACTCATACAATCTTTGAAAGAGATCAAAGCTTTCAAAAAAGGGGTATTGAGAGAAAAGTAAGAAAAATAATATAAAGCAGGTGGTTGATCCAATGTTAATATAGACTATGATTGGATAATTCTATAAATTATTAATATCATTATATTTACAGTATTGTGTAGCAGGAGAACTTTAAAATTTACAATAATTACAACTGCACTCATTATTGTCATTCCAGCTTCTAAGTATGTAGAATTCTATCCATGAAAATGAGGTGAAATAGGTTCAAATGCATAAAATGAAATTATCATTAACAATATTGCTTAAAACAATCCCCATAAGAATTATTGCCAAAAGGACACTAAGTTAAAGATAGGCTTAGTCAAATACTCCCTATAAATATCAGGCCTGGATTCTAAGAAATTTGCCTTATCTTAAACCAATTGCATATAATTTGAGTTTGGATACTTCTCATCAAATAAAGCAAATAGAATAATAGGTAAACTTGTAAAGAATACATTAAAAATTTAAGAAAGCCATTAATCATACAGATTTTATCCACTAAATCCATTTGAAAAACCGAAAAAGAAAAATGCTCCGATGTATAATTGATTCTTGTAAAAGTTAAATAGAATTAAATTGCTGTTCTTCCTATAGGATTCGTGTCCAGAATAAAACAACAACCTTCTTAAATGTTTAAATTCTCCAATAGCATAATCACTTGCCTTTGCTGCTTACTACCCTTCTAAACCTCTAATTCCAATACCAACATGAGCCTAAGTAATCATAGCCACATCATTTGCACCATCACCAATGGCTAATGTTATTTTGCCAGTCAATTTTCTAACCAAATTCACAATTTCTTATTTTTATTTTGGAGAAACTCTACAAGCCATCACAGCATTAGCCTTCAAGGCTACTTTAAAAAACGCTCCTTTAAAATTGTGTATGATTATAACAAGAGCCACTCCTGACACTATCAATGATAACGGTTCTTCAGGTTGTTCATTAATACTATTGGTAACTTTGGCTAATTATCTTTCAACCTATCCTTCTGAATCTCCGTCTATTATAAATCTTTTCACCTAATCTGTAAGTAATTTACATGAGAATCCAATATTAATGGCTGTTTCAATCTTATCTCCAGTCAAAACCCACACATTGATTCCAGCAGATTTTAAATCAGCAATTACTTCTCCAACTTTATCTTATAATTTATCTTCGATAGCTGTTGCACATAATAACTATAAATTATTTTCAATCATTTCCTCTAACTGATTCATCAGTGATTCTCTCAATTAATCATCATCTAAAATAGATTACGCTCTATTATATTCAGATAAAAACTTTTCATATTCTTTTTACTCCAATTCCTTGTATCCCAACACTAGAGTTCTTAGTCCAATAGTGGCATATTCTTGTAATTGTTTTTTTATTTCAAATAAGATATTTTTCTAAATAGTATCATTCTCCTCAAAATCTTATAACATAGATAAAATAACATTATCTGCTCCTTTACAAAATAAAGTTAATCTTCCATTTTAATCTTTTAACACTATTGACATTCTTTTTCTAGTACTATTAAATTCAATAACCTACTAAATTTAAAACTTTAAAATTTCCTTTGTATGCTTTATGTAAACCTTCATCACATTATCTTCCTTCCCAATATATTTAAATCCCATCTCAGCTGCAAAACTAACTAATGCCAACTCATCTGGAGAACTAGCATTATATTAAATCTCAGATTCAATATTCTCGACTAATTCTGTTTAAATTGTGTGACACAAGGATAAACAAAGAAGACTTAGGAACACATGGTCGTTACTTGTGAAATTTCGAGCTGATTTTTTATTCATAAATTCAGAGATCAATTCAGAATATAGGGCATCATCTGTAAAATCAACATTTTAAGATACAATTCTATGCTTTTCTTAAAAGGGTTTTTCATCTATTACATCTTATTAATTTTAGCTTTTTTCCTCGATATCGCCATAAACAACTTCATCAATAATAAGAGATTTAAATTTCATAATGTTCTATGTCAATGTTCCCGTTTTATCACTAAATATATATTCAATAACTCCCAATTCTTCACTTAGATTTGAGGAATGAACTGCAGCAGGTCGATCAAGTGTTAGATAATTCTTATCCCATTAAATCATTTAAGCTTAAAAGAACTTGACAGTCTCTAAAGTAACCAATAACGATATTGGGACACTATTACCTAATAATAAGAACCACATTGCAAATCTTAAGACAAAATTGTAAAAGGAACTGTTTTCTGGAGCATTTTTATCAATATTCAAATATGATTGTACTTCATTCATGTTTCTTTGGTACCATATATTATAATATGTTGATGCAAAAATACATTCAAACAACAAAAACAAGAATACCCATAAGATCTACTTACTCATCAATTTCTCAACCGTGCTATATTTCATCTTTCCTATAATCGAGTTCATCATAATCTTGGTGTCATGTCCTGTATATACAGTAACTGCCAAAATCCAGTCAGTATTTTAGAGAGAACACCCTCTTTCTAAGAAATTTTCATAATTCAATGCTTCCTTTGGTAATTCCTTATTTTCATTAACAATATTGAAGCTACCCTTAAATTTATACATTAGAGGATTTTATCGTTCAAAATCCATGGTTACAAATCTAAGATATTTTATTTCAAAGTTACAAATTATAAGGTAACTCTTTTTCATTTAGCTATTTGTATAAGGTTTGCAATTATGGATGTGCATATTTGGGTTTGAGATTAGTTTCACCGTCTAAATTCTTAGTTTCTACAAAGCATTCTCCTCCCTTAGAAGTAGCTAAGATAATAATATCAGCAGGAATTCTCTACTCTTAAGTTAAAATCAAACCTATTTATTTGCAATTCTGATGATGTCTCCAACATACACATTTTACCATTTATCATACTCAAAGACTCCTGTTCGAAGTGAATATTTTTATACTGTTCGATTGTTTTCTTCATCATCTGCTCGGTGTCTAATGGTGATGATTGAGGTACCTTTTAAAGTCTTCAAAAAAGTCTTTGATCATGCTGACCATAATGATGAATGACAGAGGTAAATACACAGTGGGTTGTCCATCAGTAGTGGTGACTGATGGTAGGATTTGACTAAATTGAATTCAAACTGATTACAAGATGCCCAAAAGCAAAAAGTACAAATTGGAAGCTTTCCTAAATTATTCCAATGAGTTTTTGGGTAAGAATGTGAGCATATTATACTTTGAAGTCTCGACTCTATTATTGGGAATATTTTTATCTGCGGTACCAATCAGAATCTAAGAATTTAAATGCTTGTAATACTTTTCTGTCTGGTTGTAATTCCCAAGGGGCTCTTCTTTTGCAGCAGCAAGTTCTGATTTAGTTTTCATTCCGATGCTTTCGGTACTCAACTATGTTCATATATATATAATATTAATTGAATATTCTTTGTATACAATACACGCCCATTTCATTATAATAAAAAGTTAATCAAGAAGGCACTAGTCACTCCAATTCCAAATCCAAGATGGCAATCACTGAAGTAGTGACAACAGAAATATACTCTGCCCAACATCACATTGAGAGTCATGAGAATTGCGATCAAAATGACAACGATGTCTCCTAAAATAAATTGATATATCTAAAGTACCGCTTCCATAGGCATTCAGAAAATAGAAGAGAAAGGCTGCAGCTTAAGCACAATCTCCACTTGGCAAGGAATAATTAGTTTCCTTATTTCTAAAATACATAGGTTTGAGTGATAATTGTGGACGAGGCTTGGGTCTTGGTCTTTTAAAATGTTTCTTAAAGAAAGTCGTCAAGGCTAATGACAGCACTATTGAAATCACGTATCTGATTGAATAAGCATAGCCATATTAATAAGTGATGAAGAATATTGGTGCGGCAATCGTTTTGGGCGAAAAAATCAAGGATGGCAAAAATAGCATCACTGTCAGCATTAAACTTTCATGGCCATGTATAACTGCTGATAAGTAGACATCCCAATATATTAATTTCTCAAAAACTCTTTAAAGAGACATTTCCTCTGTATACTTATTTAATTAAATTAATTTAAGAGTATGTTTTAACTTTCCATTAGTAATATATCTCAATAATTAAATATAAATGAATTAATAGATATCATAAGAATATTTCATTCATAAGTTTGCATCTATCTCATTGAGCGAAAGTACTAGACTTTTTATCTATGATTAGCTGATGATGACAACTCCAAACATGGCAGTCCAGCTTTAGATTCTCGATTATTGGAGTTTGTGAGTGCTCTTCCACAACACATTAAACAAAAATTAGAAAATTTCAAACCTCACCCAGACTTTCAGGTTTCAAAATAAAGTGATGAAAGTGTATACTTTGGTACATTGGAGTCAGGACTCAAACATGGGAATGGTATTTAAGTGTGGCCACAAGCTGGCAATTTATTAATTGGGTAACAAACTATTTTATATTATTATAGGACATGGTAAAACGATTTGCTCCAAGGATTTTGTACAATGCATTATAGGAATGGCGATATGTATTAAATATCAAAATAATAAAGTTTCGAAGCTCAATTCTAAAATGGCTGCACAAATGGTTTTGGTATGTTTATATCGGAAAAAAAAATAGTTAAAGGTAAATTAAATTCTTACTTTTAGGAATATGGATCAATAACCAGTTAGAAGGAGAAGCCCAGGAAATTAAGAGTGATGGAACAAGATTTTATGGGCAATTTCATAACGGCAAGAAAAATGGTAGAGGCATTCAAGTGTTCCAGGATGGATGCAAGTTTTATATTTCTTATCTCTAATTGTAGGTATGAAGGATCGTTTGAAAATAACTAATTCTAAGGCGATGGAACATTTCATTGGAGTGATGGAAGTTATTATTAAGGGTAATTTCAGAAGGGTCTAATCATGGGGTTTGGGAATTATGTAAACAATAATGGACTTCTATTGATTGGACAGGTAATGCTGATTGATTATAAGTTGTATAGTTCTCTGAAGTCAAAAAAACATAATCGAAGGAGGTTGGTCTCAATAAAAATCTACAGAGCATTATGTACATCAACCAGTACAATTAAAGTCTTTTAATTGAAAAGATACATCTTCTCTGACTTTATTTATATATATATTTTTAATTATATTAATATTATTATTATGAGCTGGCTTGCTAGTATGATATTAATATAAATATATAAAAAAATAAAATTCGTTTTTGGAATTTTTAACACTTAATTATCTGGTGTTGGCTTCATTATTAATTACAATATATGTACAAATTAGCAGTCTGCACATTGCTTATCCTTAGCGTAACAGCAATTGATGTCACAAACTCAGTTTGGACAAGCCATGACCAAAAAGCTTTTGCTCAAATTAAACAATCTGGTTGGGGTAATTTCATTTTGAACTTTGGTGAACTCCATTTAAGTACAGGAGGTATCCTTTCAGAATTAAACACTGAAATTGCTAAACTTGTAATTACTTTTTTCATTAATTCGTTTAGATTGACGAATTGGATGAGGAATTAGCAGAAGTCCATCATTAATATGCAAGAAGAACAGACATTCACAACAGAGAAGTTTCAAGACTTGAATAAGAAATCTAAGATAAAGAAAGAGGTATTTTATTAGATTTAAACCTTTCCTTTAGAGGTCTTCAATGCCCACGATTTCTATGATAACGTATTGATCCCATAAAGAGATAGATTTGCTGCTCAACTTGAATAATTATAAGAAAACATTGCTCAAAACAGAAAGACCCTTAACGAATCAACAGTTCAAAGAGCTAAGGACCATGCCGAATTTGAAGCTTAGGTTGCTGAACACAATGAAGCCATTGGAGCTATTGATGAATCATTATAATTACTCAGCCAATTGGAATCACCATCCCTTGTCTAAATCTAAAAGGTCTAAAAGAATTTGACCAAAATCTAATAATCACTCAAAAGACACAGCACATTCTAAACCTTCATCAAGACTCTTTTGGAAATTGCTGTTGAAGCTAATTTCGCTGATCAAGGTGCCCTTAGAGAAGTATGTATCCCTTGTTAACCCTTTCATAGATTTTGACTGCCTTCAACAACTTGAGAGTTCAATTAGTTGACTCACTCAACCAACTCACTGCTGATGAAGCTGAAGCCTAAAAGGACTTTGAAGCCAGAGTCATTCAATTAAACTAAGAACATGCTGAATTCTAAAGAGCTGTTATAGTTAAGACAGCTGAAATTGAAGCCAATGCAAGTAAATTGTTAATAGTAATAATTAATAGACAAGATTGAATAAACCCTTGATTTAATTGATACCTTACATGCTGATTTAGACACATTGAATGGATAATTGTAAGCAGAAAATGATGACTATGCTTTCGCAACTGATGTCTACAATGCTACCGTTGCTGAATACAACAAGGAATTAAATGCTGCCCACTAAGCCTTGGATTTATTGAATCAACCAAGATTTACCGACTATGTTAAATCTTAACTCAAGGGAGCATTTTGATATTATTCATTCAATAAAAGTAAATGAATTCATTATTAAATTACATTAAAATATTCCTTTCTACTTCCAATAATTAAATAAATATTTTGAGTGATGTCAGAAATAGATCCTATTACAATTAAACTTGTCGTTGTAGGCGACGGAAACGTAGGCAAAACTTGTATACTCCTCAGGTATTTCCACTAACAATCCATAGCTATACAACTGATAAATTTCCATCGGACTATGTTCCTACAGTTTTTGAAAATTATACCACTCAGACAGCTGTTGATGGCAAAATGATTAACTTAAGTTTATGGGATACTGCAGGATAAGAAACCTATAATAGATTAAGAACACTATCATATAATTCAGCTGATGTCTTTTTGGTTGTTTTCTCAGTTATTGAGGAATCTAGTTTTGAAAATGCAACCAACAAATGGTATCCAGAATTAGAGGTTCCGGAATTAAAGAGTGTACCAAAAATATTCGTTGGAAATAAAATAGATATGAGAAACGAAGCCAATCCAAAACATGTTTAATTGGTAGCTGTAACTATCCATTTAATTCACCCTTTAGGCAAAATCAAAAGTTGATAAAATGAATTGCCAATATCTGGAATGTTCTGCATTAACACAAGATGGTTTGAAGGAAATCTTTGACCAAGCCATAAAAAGGGCCATCAAAATGAAAGTCTTAAAGTCTTAATCTTAAACCTTGCAAAACGTTACAAGTACCATATAAAAAGACTAAAAACTTTCAAACGAAGAAAAATGCTGTTGCTCAACCTTTTGATAACATATACATTAATATGCTTTAATTATATATTAATACAACTTGCTATTCCATATATGTATATTCGATATTTTAATTCATTTCAAGAATTAAGAACCTGGGTTTTATTTTTTGATAATCTTAAAAGCGACATGATGTGCTTGATAAAGTTCTGGAATATTTATCACCTTATGAAGCCATGCATTTGTAATTGGATATTTTTTGAAATCAAATTTAATCATATCTAATTACATCATTTCGCTACATGCACTTATATCAGCTAAAGTGACTTAATCTCCACAAATATAGTTCTTACCTTTCAGCCAATCTACATATGTTTTATAATAATTACTGTTCTCAAAATATTAAAACACTTTTTCCACATCATATTTTTCCTTTTCCAGTACTTCAGGGATAACCTTTTATCCCTTCCTTGGGGCTATAAGCACTGAATAGTAAAAGTGAAAACATCTTCTAGTATTTGTATGATGATAGTCAAGATATTGATCAATTCTAGTTTATTATCTGATGTCTGTAAGTGGGTATCTTAGTATTTTTTAGAAACTTACAAATTAGTTGAAATATTTTTCTATTTGATAATGTATCTCATAATATTATGGCTTTCAGCAACAGTAAAATCTCCATCTTGTAATAAAGGCACTATCAACTTTATTAACTTCCTTACATTATTATAATGGATGAATTGCTGTGAATTCAGGGGATTTATGTTAATTATATTAAATCATTAAAGGCTTGACCTCATGAGGTACTTTGAGGATATCTAAGACTGCCTTTACAGCTCTGGATGGCTGTGAAATCCAATCTAAATATAATTTAATCATGTAAATCGTTATTAATAATATAAGCTCAAAGAGCTATCATTTCATTTATGCATTATTATACTTATAAATAAATTAATATTATAAAAATTGATCAACTTTATTCTTTTGGACATCTATTATTAATATCAAACCCTATAAAATCAAAAAATTCACTTGAAAAGTATTCATGATTTCCTAATAATTCTTTAAAAAATTCATCCACAAATGTTAATTTTTCATTCGTTGTCAGATTTAAAATTTATTTTGTTATTTTTAAATTAGGCGGCAATGCTCGACCACTTTATAATTCAAGTTACTCACTAAATTATCTTATACAAGACAGTGTTTTCAAGATCCTATATACATGTTCTGTGTTCCTAACATTGATTACGGATATTTTTACTTTTCTTTGTATTTGATATTGATAACAAATTCTATTGAATTGGATCCATACATGCCATATTCATATTAGACACAATTAGATGAGAATTGAAGTTCAGAATAATCTAAAGCAACCAAATTTTCTTCAGAATTTACTCTGAGAGCTTATAATTCATATTCTTAAGATTTTTAATAACTCTTTGGTCGTATCTAAGATCTAGTCTTTGAAATCAATTATTAATATATTAAAAACGGCTGCTGCATTTCTTCATCCACTCCCAAGAAATCAAGTAAATTTTTTGTTACATAAGTTGGGTTAGCTAATTATTCTTAAAGCCATCGTTCTAAATATTCCCTCCTTCTTAGAACATAGGAAAATTCATCCTCTCCCAATTATAGATCTATTCTCTAAATTTTAAAGGAACTTGCGTTGTATTTATTAAAATGATCAATTTGTACTCTCTCAATATTCAAAAATTCAGGGTAACGCTTTTCTGATTAAAATGTATGACCATCAATTACGGTAATAATCAAATATGAATATAGTATTTCATTGTCGTTAACAAAGCGTTTAATTATTTTTTTACTTATACTAACACTCCTTTCTGGCATTTTATCCCTTAAAAACTGTTCTTATTCGTTTTAATTCTTGCTTTGAATAAGGTCAGAAAATGCTGATGATAATTACTTTGTTATAGTTGTGTTTTCTTTTTTAGTTTTGGTTCTATTTAGTGTAGATTCTCTGATTGATTTATTTTCTGATTAAAATATTTTAAATTCTTCTAATGATTTCATCAATTATTTTGCAAATTTTGGTGTGTCATCTGGTATTCTTGTTCTATCATTTGGTCGATACAATGCATATATCAATAAAATGAGCGATGGGAACAATTACAAAATTATTAATGCACTACTCAAAAGAGTTTGATATTCTTATGATGTTCTAACAACTAAAAATGCAGTCTATAAAGGCCAAAATATCTAGTTGATAGTTGATAAACTATTACTCTATGGGTCCAAGTTGCCTATTATTCTTAAAATTTAAACTCTTATTTTAACAAAATAACAGAAACAATATGAGCAACAATTGGGATCAACCAAATGAAGTATAGTTTTGGTGATATAGTCATAATTAGACCAAAAAATCCCAGTGTCATTGATAAAGTACAGACAAAGCAAAGCCAATATGAAATGATAATTTTGATATTCAAGGATGGAGGATTTGTTTTAGGGCTAATTAATATATGTTTAATAATTACACATCCTCATCGCTTAATTAAGATCTTATGGATTATCTTTGTAGTGTAACATCTTGCAATTTCTAAAGCTAATAAATCCTATAAAGAGCAGCAAATATAAAATATAAATAGGGAAGGCTAAATAAAATAAACTCTTTTGCCAAAATTGAATAAGTGTAAAATGGATTTGGTTTAGAAGGATCATTTGATTCTTATGTTTAATTATCCTAATTTGAAGGTTGATCTGCATTTTAATCCATTAATGGATCGATCATTGGAATGGTCTCAGTTTTTTCAGGGTTTCCAGCAATAGATTATTCTGTTGGCTGATTTTGAGTTGAAGTCTTATCAAGTTATTCTTTCAATCCTTATTATTAATCCTAAGTTACGACATCATTTTATTATTCCATTTAATTAATAGTATATCTATAACATTATAAAAACTATAATTAAATTATTCCATTTACTAATAAATAAATGATAGAAACACAGTAAAACATACAATTAAAATAGACTTCTTAATGTAATAATAAATATTAATTAGGAAACTATTATTTCACAACTTTAGTGAAGAGATAATAAAAATATTTTAATTGGAATAAAAATATTATCATGCAGAGGATCTTTCTAATAAATAAACTTTGACGTTTTTGAGTTTAGTTGCCAATATTTCTTCAATTTATCTAATAATTGAAATTTCTTGTTATCTATGTTCAGTATCAGAAGCATATTAAGTTCTCCATCCCTCACATTCACCTTCTTTTTATTCCTTTCCAGCAGTTGCAGCATTTAATTCATCAGTAGCATCTTCCTTTCTTTTCTTTTAAAGGTCCAAAGCTTATTCATTATCTTTCAATTATCTTTCAGAATCTTCTCTAGCTGATGACAATGATTCTCTTTGACTTTCTATTTCAACCATTAATCTTTCATAATCTAATTAGGCTTAAATTTCAGATTATCTGGCATCATGTAGACTCTATTCCAAAGAGGCGCTCACTTCACTCAATTTATTTAACACATTATTCAATTGATCCTTTGAGAATGTTGATGCTACTTACATTAATGCTAAAATTGGATTTGATGAACCAATTTAATTTAATTATGTTAAAATTTAAACTACTTCTTAGTCAGGTTAAATTGAAGATAATTTAGTAAAAATAACTTCAATTGCCTCTATCACGTTTTCAGTTTCGTGCTCAAATTTTATAAAATCGTCAGCATCATTAGCTCTTTATTCGGTTAATTGAGTTTCTTATTCATTTAAAATATCAAGTTATATTTTTTTATTCTCAACATCTTAAGCTAATTATTCAACTTTTGAAGTCAATGTTGCTATTTCTGTTGTAGAGTCAGTTATTTCAGCAGAAGCATAATCTATTCTTCTATTGTATTAGTAAATTTCTGTTTCACAATCAACTTCATCTTGAGCATGCTTTTAATCTGCTTCTTATTAATTAAGAATCAGATTTTCTCTCAATTGTTAAAGCATCTTTGCAATGTCTGATAATGGGGCTTTGTTATTTAATTGCAGAGCTATGGTGTCTAAGAGTTTTTTTCCTAATTCATGTTCTTCCATAGCTTCAAGTTAAGTAAAAACAGCCTTTGTAGGATCGTTTGATCTTTTAACAAAAACTGATTGTGCTATACTTAAAACAACCAAAAGCAATAAGACTTTATTCATTTACTATTGATTTATAGCATATTCGTTTTTTGCTTTCAATCCATTCATCTGTTAATTCACTTTTATTTTACTAAAATGTTTTATAGAATGATTTCTTTCTTAACTTTATTAATTCTGCCAATAAATTATTATTTAATTAAATTATTTAGAGCAAAATAATTTATATTCTTTTATATCTTCTTAATTATTTTAGTATTTTAATAATAAAATTCTCATCCATTTCTTAATTTTTAATGTAAACTAACATTCCTATAACCTGCTCTATAAAATATTCTCATTATTCAGGAATTCTTTTGAATATTCTTCCTTCCCTTTATTTTCTTGGAAAATATAAGGAATTTATAATTCTTGATTTCAAAGCATTATCATACTCTTTTTTCTGAATTTCAAATTCAAATAGGTTATTTAACAAATTTATTTGTTTCCATCAGTCTTATAATTAATATTTGAAATTAATTCTGTAGGTTTGGGTAGCTATATAATTAAGTCAACTCGATGATTATATTATTTTTTGTTATTATATTACTATTTATAACTAATCTTGTTATCATTATAATTAATTATTATTATGAGAAAAAAACCTAGTTCACCCTACGCTGAATTAATCGAAGCAAATAAAAAAATATCATAAGAGGATGGCAAATATTTAGATTACTCCAACTTACCTAAACCTTATAGTTAATCATTTTAACAACTTACTTAATTTCGTATTCCATAATATTTTGAGCTATTACATCGTAAGAATTAAAAGAAAACTGAAATTCATCAAGAATTCAATTAACCTAATGTCAACCAAAACAATAATTCAACTCAGCGTAATTTTATTTAAAAGTTTAGCATATCTAAAAAGACAACAATAGAAAATAATAAAAAGAAAGCCCTTTTCAATGAGTAGGTTTTAAACTGCATAATTAGAGAGGTATATTGTATAAAGAAATAAGTAATTAGATCTCTTCAGGTTCTTTTAATAGAGCAAATTATACTCTCAATAAAATCTTAAGTAGTCTCCCTATGAGCCAATTACATTAAATTCATGAGGCAAAGCAGGAAAACATCCAGGCATTGATTTAAAAAAAAAGTAATAAACAAAGGAGAATGGTTACACCAAAATATAATCTTAGAACAGACTCTTAAATGGCAAAATTTTTTGGATCATCAAGTATTACTCTAATATTATTTAGATATTTTCCCGACTTTGTCTACCTTTAGATTAAAAACCCTTTAATGATTTTAAGATGACATTTAATTAAAAACCTTATAAAATTTCTTTTAAATGACTTCTCTTTGTATTTTAAATAAGAATTGAAAATATGAAAACCATGAATAAGAAATAGATTTAGTAAATCACGCTATTGTGTTAGAATATTTTCAACTATAAAAATAATTTAGCTAATAAATTCATTTGTGTTTTTTATGCTATGGTTTGCTTTCGCTACTACTGCTACTGCTTTAGCTGCTACTAACGCTTTCACTTCTGCTCCTGCTTCTGCTTCTACTATCACTTAAACTTTCACTTTGGCTGGGGGTTGGACTTTTTTATTTTTTTTTTTGATCCCTTTTTTCTTTTTCTTTCTATTTTTTTTCTTTCTCTCTTTCTCTTTCTCTCTCCTTTTCTCTTTTTTTTTCCTTTTCCTTTTACCTTTCTCTATCCCTTTGTTTTTCTCTTTCTCTTTCCTTTTCTCTCTCTCTTTCTCTTTCTTTTTCTCTTTCTCTTTCCCTTTCCCTTTCTCTTTCTTTTTCTCTTTCCTTCTCTCTTTCTCTTTCTCTTTCTTTTTCTTTTTCTCTTTCTCTATCCTTCTCTTTTTCTCTTTCTTTCTCTCTTTCTCTATCCTTTTCTTTTTGCTTCTCCTTCTCTTTTTATTTTCCTCTTTCTTTTTCTTTTGGTTTTTCTTTAACAGGAACTTCATCCTCTTTTCTTTTTTTATCTTATTGATTCTTTTTTTACTTATCCTTTGAAGAATCACTATCACTACTATCATCTGAGGATGAATCCTCACTACTGTCACTTTCATCACTGCCACTATCTTCTTCAGCAGAGGTACCGAATTGTTTTAAAGCCTAAAAATTAGAATATAATAGTTACTTCCTGTGCGTGCTAAAATTCTATTTTGTTTTATTATTCATATATCTATCTTAATTCTTCAGTTAATAACCCTTATCCAATACTAGTGAAAAAGTTAATTGAAAATCTTGTATTTTTAGGATGATCAACTGGAAATAGACCAGCTAGGTAATCTTTGAGTTCTGGATCCATCAATTTTGACTTTAATACAGGTAAACTCATATTTTCAGCCAATTCCAAGAATAAACATTTAATCATAATTCTACCTGAAGAGGTAGTACTTTCTTATGTTAATGAAATACATTTTAAGATTCTCCAATCAATGGCATTTGTAAAAAAGAGATGAGCGAAGAATTTAGAAATGTTTCTGATTTTTGCAGTTTCGTAACGATGCATTGTTGCATATTTCTCTACAAAACATTTCATAAAATTATCTCTAAAGATTTCAGCAATTTCACATAATCTCTATCCCAAAAGTCCAAAAAACCTTAAATATGTTCTCTCTTGCATACAACAATCAATAATCATATTGCAAACTTCATCTTCATGACCAATTCCTGTTTACATTTTAATTATTTTATGCAAGCATTCCTCATAATCAACACTGCTTTAGATTGTTAAATAAATAACTCTCTTTAAACTTAAAAGATCTCTTTCTGTAAAATCTTTAGCCTACTCTTATTCCTCTTCTATCTCAGGCATGAAATCAACCTATTACTTAGTTTTTAACATAATAATATTCTCTTCTCCCAAAATTTCTTTTTTGATTTCTTCCCATTCATTCTCAGTTTTTTCAAAAAATGAATCATACTAAAATAAATTTAGATTATCCTCAGCATCTAATTCATCAACTATGTCTATTTAATGTGTAATCTAATCATCTTCCTCAACTAAATCTAACTCAGGAATAACTCCTGGGTGATCAACAAACTTAGTTTTACGAGTTGCAAATAGTTACTCAATTCTATACTAAACTTTTCTACTTATGGTTCCTTCATGCAATATTCCTTTAAATCTTTCGAATATTGTGGAAACATTTTAGGGAGCAATATCACTCATAACTTACCCACATTCTATAGTAAAATCGCAAGCTAATTCTACAGAATCTTCAGTAGGACTCTCTAGGAGAATGTAAAGTAATTCTAATCCAACTAAGTCGCTTAAAACTTTTTAATTTATGAGATGAGCAATCATTTTTGTAATTGCCATACACACTATTTTATTATTCCTTTTGTACGCTCTTTAAAATTAAACAATCACTCTTCTTATTATCAAATTCACAATTTCTGGCAATTTAGTATTGATAACAGAGATCAAAGCAGCATAAACCATAGTAAAATTTGGTGATGCCATTTAGGCTTTTATAATTGCTCTTGCTAATAATCCCCTCCCTCTTAATATATTTTCATTAAATAATTCAACGATGATATTTTATATGTTTGTAATATTTACTTTATTGATAATACCATTTATTGATTTTCTTAATAATTCCCACATCAATCTTTAGTATTCAACGCTATTTTTATTACTCATTTTTATTTCGTTTTCCATTTCCCTTAGTTTATGAGGAGGCACATAAACACCTCCTGCTCTTGTAGGTCGATCGAACTTTTTTTGAGTAAGTGGATCAATTGGGACAAATTTTTTTGCGGCTTCCTCCATTTGCATCTTTTCGTTCTCCCTCTTTTCATTATATTTTATCATGAGGAAAAGTTTTTCTTTCCTCTCTTAAATGATTGGAATGTTAATCTATTTTAAGTTCCATCTTGGTTAAGGTCTACGTCAAACATTAAACAAAAATCACAAAATAATAGTATTTAAAATTTTCGTTGCAATAAATTCCTTTTTTATTTTAAAATTTCTGTCCTTTTTCAAAAAATCTTTAAAAATATATCAATTTATTATTCATTTATAAGATATTAAAATTACTCATATAGGTAATGCATAAAATGTCTTGATAATAATTCAAAAATGTAAAACAATAATTTAACTTAATCATAAATTTTACTACTATTAATTAAGATGATTCATTATTTTATTTCTATGAACTCAGCTATTAGAATTAATATTTCAATTTATTTATTTTTTAAAATAACAACATGGATTTCTCTTACTAATCAATTTAGATTGATGAAAATAGTAAATAAACTACAAAATACTAGGCTAGTTTCATTAAAAACAAATAAATATGTTAGATCCTGAATCTCAAATAATATTAATCTATATCAATGTTAATTTATTTAGTTTTCTTTACTCTGATTTTAATTTAATCTTCTATGTTTTATTATAATAATAAATGAATTACTATTTATTATAATGCCTAAATTTCAGCCACTTATTCTAAAAAGAAACAAGATTACTATAACTTGAAAGTGCGGGCTACATGAAGAAACTTAATTAAAGGAAAAATTTAGGATTTGAATAGTTTGTATTAGACAATTTTATGGTTCCCAGGATAGAGTATGTTCAACCAGAACAATTGTAAAGAGTTTTAATTGCAAGAATGTTTTTAGATCTTAATGAAATTACAAATACTCTTATGAATGGAAAAAGCATTGATAAAATGAAAAAGTATAAGCTATTTTATTAAAAATATCAAATTTCGAATTCAGTTATGGAATTGTGGTTAAAATGGGCTATCTTAAAAAATAAATAGCTTAAGTAAAAATCGATGAAGAATCAGTTATATTATTTTGAATAAATAATCTTCCCTGAGCTTTAACATTTTAAAAATACTTTAATAAGACTGAAATTTTTAATATTTTAGGCTTACTAAACATATTTAATGGGAGAAGAATAATAATCTATCCATTTATTAATGAATGTTAAACACGAATATTATACCATGTATAATCTTAAATCATTTGTAACTGAGATGCATTTGTTAAAAAGTTAAGAAAATATTGTATTTTTGTCTCCAAAATTGATAGATTCTGTTAAAGCATGTGCAAATATGCCTAAAGAAGATTTCTTTTAATTTCTTTATTTTGAGATCAAATTATTATACCCAATCAGTAGAGGAATAGCTCCGAGTTTAGCTGAGAACTTATTCAATGAGATTTAGATATTACTTTAAATTTCTTAACAATTCTATAAAAAACCTTAATAATCAATTGATTAGCAATTAGCTAAAAAATACGATTAAGTTTTAGAGATGCTGGATAAATATTATGATAAATTAGGGAAGGCATTATTCAAAAGAAAAACCTTTAGATTTGATTAAAAGCCTAGTCATAAGATAACAAGATCATTGATTAGTTTTTTATCTTCGGAAGAAAATCTGAAACAATCATCAACATTCAAAAGGGACACCCATTATGAATCAATATCCAGTTTATACAACGCTTAATAAATATAACAAATTTAATTAGATTTAACTAAGTAATCGGAGAGGGCAGCTAAATCAACTTTTCACAGCAGATAAGCTTCGTTAAGTAGACCACCTAGTTAGTTTTAGCCTGAATCCATATTTAGTAACGAGATGTGGTAGGAAGTTGATAATTATAAGATCAAATCCTTCTAAAAGCGAAAGCCACTACATTAAAAACCTTCAGTCGGAAGGATTTATAAGAATATTATTACATCTGTTCCACTTACAAAGAGGCACAGCAGATAAGAGGAGTTTTCACCTCTTAAGAAATAAGAAATTATCCAGGAAGTATTGGATAGCAAATTAACATCCAAAGAACCAACAAAATTTATGTCCTAAGCTTTGATTACTCCTAAACCAAAAATTAGCATTATGAGCTTAGTTGTTCTATTTAATTTAAGATATTTTCATTTGGAATCACCAGGAGGTAAAAAATTACCTAAATTAATTACAAAACACTTTCTAAAAATATTAACTTATGTTGATGATCCACCTTATTTAATTGTGAGTGATAGATAATTATAAATGAAAGATCTAATTAAGAAAACAAAAAGAAGATCTAAATTTACAAGACAAAACTCATTTGCTATTAAACCAAGATTAGGGTTAAAATCCTAGTTTATTTAACTTAAAGCAAATTTTAGTGACAAAGTTAGAATTAATATCAATAAAATTAAATCTTTGATACGAATGGGAGTATTTAGAAAAAAGAGATAATAAGAGAAATAGTAAACTATTCTTGGACCAGTATAATCAAAACCTTAATCTATTACAAATTTCTTAGATTTCAATAGATTTAAAACAGCACCTGATGTGGTTGGCAACCCTTTTGAAAAGTAAGCCAATGCACAAAGTTAACCAACTCCTAGAGAAGATTTTGACGAAAAAAAAGAATCGATGAAAGATGTAATTAAAGGAAAAGGATTTGGTTTTTTTAAAGCTATTTGCTTGGCTAAAAGATTGAGTCTTATAAATTATAATACAGATGATATCACTTATCTCTAAGAGAAATATGGAACATTATAATAAGTTAAATAATAGCATTTGTATTATCCAACTTTAAAATATAAAATTCTTTTTTAGAATAAAATATAAATTTGGAAAATAAAATACAAGGATTTAACAGCAGATAAAAATTTTATTGTTTTGTATGCATCATAAGAAGGAAATTCGTATAATTTTTACCGTTTTGACCTTCCTGTTGTTTCAAAAGGAAGAGAAAAAAATGGAGTCACTATCTGGCCTACAGTTGCTGAGGCATTAAGAGAGTTAGACAAATTTAAATAATATTCTTAAATATTTAATTTTGACCTTTCAAACAATATAAAAAAGGATAAACATTCATTTATTTCAGGTCTAACTCAAAGAGCAAAAGTTAAAATTACTACTGAGGATATAAATAGTTGTGCTTATGTTCAAAGTTACCTTTGTTAATTTCATTAATCTTAGATAAGCAAGATAAAGAAGATTTGTGGTTATGCTTATGAAATTTTACCAAATATCAATTACACAACAGTCAAATACATTAACATGAATTTGATTAACAAGATTATCTCATATGAGTATCATATTAAAAGAATTGAAAAAATTCATTTTCATAATAAATAATTAAATATTATTGATGATATCACAGATAAGGAATTACAGGAGTACTTAGTAAATAAATAGAGAATAAAAAATAGCATTCTATTGTTTAGGTTTATTTGTACATCTAGATAATTTATGATAGATGGAGGACCATCAGTTAATCTTAAAGGTTTTTCTTAAAAGATTTTTTCAACAGTAATTAGATTGTCAAAAGACATGTATAAATCCGATTTTAAGAAATGTTTTTAGAAATTTGTATTGCTAACATTAGAAATAGAAATATCGAGGGATTTAAAATATCATTTAAATGATATACTTAGTCCAGAGGGAAAAAAAAACAACTCACTCAATATTCCTCAAATATTTGGATAGCAAATAAATAAATAATATTTTGAGCTAAAAGTTTCTTCTACTTTGTTTAATAAAGAAAAAGCTGTTGATAATGTTAAAAGCAACTTACTCATTGAACCTTATTCACTTTAAGTTTCAGTATATCATTAATTATTAGAATATCTTGAGAAAGATCCAAAATAATTATAGAATATTAGATTTGAATCATTAATCTATAATTTAGTCTTTTAATCAGATTATTCAAATACTTAAAAAGAATTATTGAGTCTATTTTTGTTTACTTACTTTGACATTGACTTAATTTAAAATAAAATTATTTTGAAAAATGATAATCAGTTGAAAACTAAAAAAATGTCTTTAAAATTAATGTAAAAAGAAGAAAAAAGCATTTAATTATATGCTATTTCCCCAATTGAATAATAGTTTGTTAAGCACACCAAAATTATTAATGAGAAAGAATAAAACTTAGAATAATTATTTAAAATTAGTATTGTAACCTAAATTTAATAGTATGATGATATATATCAAGGAAAATAAATAATAGAAGAACCAGATTTCATGGCTAATAATTAGGAAATATTATAAGCTATTAATATTATAAAGTAAATTCCTCTTTATAGAATTTATGAAAAAGGAAGCCTTAATTAGTTTTCTAAAATGAAACAACTATTAAATTATAAAGTAACTGAATTTTTAACCAAAGACAGCAAAACTCCAATATACATATAATAATCTCATTACGTGAATTGTCAATTACCATCTGCAATAAAATTAAAAACCTTAATATTGAGTAAACATAAAGATCTTACAAATCATTTTAATTCTAATCATTACAGATTCTTTATAAACAGAAATTAATAATTTATTGTACACACATCTATTTATTACAGTTTTAATAAAAAATTAGATAATTTTAATTTTGATTAAAAAGGAAATGAAAGAATATATTATTTTGATGGTGAAATGCTTTATGTAAATTTATAATTAGAATTATTATCATCTAAAACTTCTTCATTTAAGATGATATTTTCCCATTAGGATTTGATTGAGTTATTCAAAATTAACATTGAATAATATTAATCAATTTATTACTTCGATGATAAATTTATTTAGAGAATGACTATGACTATTTTGAATAATACTTATACAGAAAGAAAATTTAGATATTAATTACCAACATTTCTTCATAGATACTTTTTATCAAAAAAAACTAGACAAACTTTTATTGAATATCAAAGAAGCATCTCTATAAGTGGTGATTCCCCTAAGTCTCCAAAAGGAAATATTATTTAAATTAATAATTTGAACTTATTAGAAAGACATAATAATTGTTAGTTTGTGAAATTATTTTATGATTCCAAGGAATAGGTTTCTAAGAACTATTGTGAAACATATTTAAAAGATGCGAGAGTTATTGGACATTTTATTAAAAAGTTTCATGTTGGTGTGAAAAATTCTTAACTATGTAATTTCAAGAGTGGACCAGCAGAATATGCTGTTGTTACAGTTTATAGTCATTTAATTATAGATGTTTGGATTATTCAAATATATGTTCCGAAAACAAGTAGATATCTACTTGGAACAATTAATTTTTTAGATTTAGCCAGTTTGGAAACTTAAGAAATGTTTTCAATTTTATTTGAGTAAACAAAAATGTAAAGGAAATCTGTTTACCTTAGAAAGTTTACAACCAATAAGCTAATTATGAATAAATAATAAACTTTTATAAATCTACATAAGTTTTTTGAGTTTACTAGAGAGCTTAATAATAGTTTAAATCGAAGATTGATAATTCAGCAATTATTATAAAATAAAAGTAAGATTATTAACAAAGGGGATAAAATGAGAGTTGAGCTAAATATATGGACTTAACTTATAAAATTATTGAAATTAAGTTTAAAAGATCCATTCAATATAAGAATTGAAAGTGAAGCATAAAATAAAAATTATTTAGAGAAAACCTTGATAGAATAACTGGAATAAGATACTAATGCTACAGTGAATTCTTTTAAATAGATAGGAAAAAATTATATACAAAAAAAAAAGAATGAATCAATGGAAAACCAAGAACTTCTAAATCATTTTAAGAGTTTGTCAAGTAATTATTAGTCATTGCTTAAGGATAAATAGGTCATAACGATAAAATCATAATTTTAAGATAGTTCTTAAATTTGTCTTGATTTTGGGTTTAAAGCTAATCTCAAAGAATTTATCCATAAAATGCAACTTAAGATTGATAAGATTGGACTTTACACCATTTAATTCTTTTTAGATTATATGAGTTTAGATATAGGTAGAGATAATCCCTTTGTTGCTTTTGAATCTATTAATTATGCTAATTCATCGATGTTTAATCTTTCAATAAGAGTTTTAGGCTTTTAAAGTGAATCACCAATATTTTATTGTCAAAAACAAATAAATTTAAGGGAAATCCTAAACTTGTTTATAGCAGATGGTTATTTTAAATATTAGACTAATTACATGAATGCAAAATTATCCTTAAGTGACTTGAAATAAATATGTGAATATATCGGGTTTAAGATAAAATCATAAAACTTTTTGGGTCTTGCTAATCAATAAAAATATATAAACAACAATCCCATATTTTTAGAAGAAACAAAATAAGAATAAGAAAATACAGATGGAATGACATTTATGGCTTATAAAAAAAACACATTAATTATTTTACAACTTTTTTAGGAGCATTAAAAAGTTCATATTAACTATTAATAAATTAAAGGGAAGATATAGTTAAGACAAACTAAGATGTATTTTACAGAGATAGAAGAGCAATGTCCTCATTTTAGTTCTTTTGTAAATAATGGATTATAGAAACAAGCTTTATAAAGATTTATGTCTACTTTATGATTATTATTATTTAAATTTATGTAAATATTTTCTCAAATTGCTTTGAAAGCCATTTAAGTAACACCACAAGTATCTCCTGCTTTCAAGGTCATAAAACCTTATTCTCCCCAAGTAGTTCCCCAAGAGTTCTTGATGATCCAATTACCTTTAGAATCATAACCTACTGCCAGAACTACATGATTGATATTCTTGTTGCAATTATTGAAAACTCCTTCTTTATAATGATTCCAATTTGTGGCATCAACACTGACTGTAATTGGATATTCTTTTATTGCGGCTTTTAAACCTGTTTTTTCAATACTTTAAACGCCTGAATTTTTAATTTTATGAATTCCATATAATTATGTACATACCTAATTTCTATCACCTGCGTAAATATAGGCAGATTCGGAATATATTCCATAATTTGCTATGTATTTGATCCCTAAATCTGGATGTCCTCCCAGACATCCTTTGTTTTTAGTCCTATCGCAATCAATTAAATATTATTCAGATAAACTGTAATCTAGATTTTTTTTAATTTTAAAGAAAGCTTCTACAGCACCAACTGCAGAAAAGGCCCAACCAGCACCGCACCATTATTGGTTCTTAACACGAACTTTTGATCTCCAATCAACTGAGTCATTTGGTTCAACACCTACTTAAATGACTTCTTCATCTGATGGTTTCCATCCACTAGGTGGGATAAAGCTCAATTAGATGGCAACAAATTCATCTTAACTAAAATCGGTGAATTGATTCACGTCGACTGAGTATGTTTATGTTTTGTCAGAATTGTGAGCTTAGATTTTTTCATAGTTCGATCTAAAGATGACTCTTCTGAAAATTTCCTCAGGTATTGTGTAAGATTTTTAATATTTCTTTTTAAATTCTTAAAAAGCCAAAGAGACATCATCAGGTTAGTGATTTTAAATGGAGCCAATTGAGGTTAAAAGGAGCGTCAATCCTGAAACTAAGAATGTTTTTTACATAAATTAATTAAAGTCTTTCAATTTTTGATCATTCCTGCTTAAATAATATCTATTTGAAGATGACATAAATGAAGACTTAATGTTGTCGTAATGAATATATAATTTTATTGCTGTTAAAAACTTATATATAATTGCTTACTTCTATATAATTAAGTAAAGTTCTACTCATTCAAATTTTCTGCAAATCGACTCAATGTATAATTTGTCATTCAAAGATTCTATTACCAAATTCATAACAATATCATCATTTCATGTTTTATCTAAATAGAAGTAAATATGGTGTGCTATGTAAACAATTGCCTTTACAATGATAGATTTATTAATATAAATTATAATCCGAACTACAAAGAAGAGCTTAAAATTGTAATTCAAGGATGTAAAATATAATTAATAAATAGAATTTCTATTATCAATATTAATTGAGTTCATAGAAACAATGTCGATTCTAAAGAACTTTTATTATTTATTGGTGGATTAATATTGATTTACAGTTTATAAATAAAGATCTATTATTAATAAAATGATCAGACTAATTCATGAATCTATAAATCAAAATGATAAAATTCATTTTTTTTTCATATTTATTTTATAGTTTATCATCAAAGAAATGCGTTCCTGTTTGCTAATTCCTGTTTCTTAATAAATAAATGCTTAAACTTATCATAAAATTGTTTTTTTTCCCTAAAAAATGAAACTGTGTTTTAGATATTTTTGAACACAAATTTGCAAAATATTTCTATTTAATAATGATCAAAATCTGTTCTCCTTATTTGTGAAATGCTATTTGAATTTTTAATCTTTGATTATAAACTAATTAAATGTAATGGAAATATAAATTAGATTTCAAATTTTATATATATTATAAGTTAAATAACTAACAAAAATTATGCTTGTTAGAAGTAGTTTATCTCCAAGAAGGAAATGTTTCACCCCTTCAATGTGGGAAGGCAGACAGTAATAAACTATAAGAAGAAGTCAAAATCGTTATTTGAAAACAGAAGATGTTGACCATCGGAATGTTCAATCTAGAAACGACGATTCAAAAAGAAAATCGGGGAGCATTGTCAATAATAAGAAAAATAAGTCAACCACTAATCATAAAACCTCGTTAAATAGTTCTTTTAATACAAAAAACCTAAAGACAATTTAGTTATCTACCCGAAAATCATCATTACAGAAGTATAACAAATTAATTTTAAATTTAGCAAATTACAACCTAATAGCACGACAAGTGAACACCATGTTCATCAATATTTCTCACAGTCTCCCGCGAAAAGAATACTAAATTGTGAAAAGCTGATAAAGGCATAAAAATTTTAAGAGGCTTTAAAAGATTTGGAGGAGATTGATCAGCCTCAAATGAATCCAGAATACATAAAGGAAATTGCCTACTTTAAGGGTTTAATTCATATGAATTGTCGACAATATGATTAAGCAGTCAATTAGTTTTCAAGAGCAAGACAATCAGGGGATTTAAATGGAAATACTGTAATTTTGTAAGCATTGTGTTTAAAAAAAATTGGGAACTACAGTGATGCAATAGCTGTTTTAAAAGAATTTTTATCAAAAAAATATTCAAAATTATAACCAATTTATTATGATGCATTAATACATAAAGGAAAATTATTAATGAAAATAAAAAAATACTAGTTAGCTTTGCAAGATTTCTATTAGGCAAGTGTTCTAGAGAATGATTAAATATCATTTTAAGGTACATTAGGTAGAGCAGATTGCTTAAGATTGAGTGGTAAAATAGCTGAAGCATTGAATGTTTATGAAACTATTCCAGAAAATGAATAATTTTTGATGAGAAAAATATATTGCTATATTGAGTTATAGTCTTTAGATAGAGCCATGGAAGCTATCAATCAAATTCTAATGAATGACCCCAATAGTTCAGAGGCGCTCTTCATGAAGGGCTAAATTTACATAAATAAAGGCTAATTCAATGAAGCTATTTTGAGCTTTGAATAATCAATTAAATAAAATAATAGTAGGAAGGCAGTAACAAAATCATTATAAGAAATAGCCAAAATTAAAATTGATTAGAAGGATTTCTATTCTGCATATTATACATTATAAAGAGAAGACCATTTAGAGGTTGATAAAGAATCTATTATGAAATTAAGATAATTCACAGAAGGAGTTATATTCTTAATGAAAAGAAAATATTAAGAAGGTGTAAATGTGTTCACATAATTAATTAATAATTATTAATTGGGGGAGTTCATCAAGAAGATTATTTTTCTTTATAGAGCCTATGGTAAATTTATCTAATATTCTAGGTTTTATTTGTTTAAATAAATTCTAAAAAGCATTAAACGACTTGATTTATGTTCAAAACTTTTAAGAATTAGATTAACCATCATTATATAATAAGATCATATGTGAAGGAATTGTAATGTCCTAGTCGAGTCAATTTGAAAAAGCGTAATCACAATTTCAGAAAGCCTCCAAGTTGTTTCCTGGTAAAATGGAGCCGCATTTTTATAAGTCCTTGACTCTTATATAATTTATTAACAAGCATATGCCAAAAGACAAGGATAAATATATAAAAAATGCTTTAAAACATTTGGATAAAGCAGTAACTTTGAATGATTAGAATTCTAACCTACTTTATCATAGAGGAATTTTAAGATTTTATTTTGGTTAAATAGATTTGGCTTTATCTGATTTAACAAAAGCAGTTGAGAAGAATGAAGATCGAGTTGCTAAATATGTTTATGCTAGAGGATTAGTAAGGGCCTGTTTGGACAATCCTCAATAAGCCTTAAATGATTTCACTATTGTGATCAATTGGGACTCAAAATTCGCTGAAGCTTATTTGAATAGAGCCAAAGTATTTACATTGTTAGGGGATAGAACTGCTGCATTTAATGATTTGCAAACTTACATTTCTCTTAAACCCAAAGATCCTGATATTCATTTATGGGCAGGAAATTTGTTATTTTTAATTGGAGCTTACGAACACGCAATCAAAACATATTCTCATTCTCCAGATATTCAAAATAATGTGTAGTTATTAAGATACAGAGCACTGTGTTACATCATTTAGAAAGAATTAAATTATGCAATGTCAGATTTAAATAGGATAATAGAATTGACTGGAGATAAGAAAAGTTATATTGATAAAGAATGTTTATTAGCCTTGAAAACATCTACTGTAGGTCCAGATGAATCCCAATCTATGATGATTCTTAAATTATCGCAAGGATCAAATAAATCAGTCAATTTTAGAATAGCATCTTAAATGCTTAAGAAATTAATAGTTTTAGGATCAGATGGCCATGTGTTTTTAACATCAGATTTAATATTTTATAGAGGAATAATGAAATTTTACTTAGGGAACTATAAAAAAGCTATGGATTTATGGACAAAATCATATGGGTTGAAATAATAAATAAAAGAATTTAGTTAATAGTCGAATAATTCATTAATTTCTTAGTAAGAACAATAGGAAAGATTAATCAGTGAATTAGATGAATTGGAATTTGAGGATAGAACATATAATATGTACGAATACTATTACAATGTTTCTATTGCTACAATATTAGTAATATATATATATATTATTGAAGAATAAATAAAAGAGAAAAGGAAAAGAATTATTAAATTAATTAGCTGAATAACTTTAGGAATCATTTGAAACTCCAATTCGAGATTTTCTTGCAGCATTAGACACAAATTAACCTAAAAGTGCAACCATTTTTCCCTACTCCAATAGATTATGCTGCATTTTCCCAACTTTTAAAATTGGAAACTTAGAAACCAGACTATCCTTCTGTTTACCAAGAATAACTCCTCCCTCTATGAATCCAGAATTTGATAATAAATTAATTGAAGGAATTCAAGTAATTCTAATTATTCGATTACAATAGTATAGTCTACAGACGTGGACAACAAGCCGGAAGCGCCATGGATTAGAAGAAATCCTGATGGAGTGATATTCACTGAAAATGTTCAATAGGTTGAATTAGATTTAAGAAGTGAAAGCTAAAAATCATAAATTGATCATAACCAAGAAGAAGAAAATGACGACGAAAATTCAGAATAGTAGTTTTATTTATCCTATATCTAGACATTAAATTTCCATTAATGATGATAAAATCACTATAGAATAACGACATTAGGATGATTCAACGACATATCAAACTAATTATAAAAAGGATATTGAATTGCTCAAATAATAACTGAGGCTTGATAGGATTGTTGAATAACGATTAGCAAAATTAAAATGATTCTATATATATCATATATCAATTTATATGTCAAATTAATTCATCTTTTCCAACCATCCATATCACAATATCAATAGACATCTATCTTTCAAGCCCTAATTCATCTAGAAATTAGCCAGCAACTTTTAAAGTATCAAATTATCATCACTTAAATTGAAAATCTTAATTATTAGAGATGTTAGAAATAAATTATGAATAGATTTTCATAGTTATTTCAAATCATTAATTTTTGATTTCTAATATGCTTTTTGCTTATAAATTAAAATTACGTAATTTGTAATGGGGAGGAATAATTATTACTAAAATAATGAACATATTGAGATTATTGTGAAAATGTAGAATGAAAAATTCTCTCTTTTAAAATTTAGTTAATAAATCTCCTTTGACCAGAGTAAAGCGTTTTTGTTTTAAAGAGGGACCAATAGATTACGAATCATTTACAGTAAAAATTTTTGTATTCGATCAATGAGTTAATTCATAAAATCCAATCATGGTTCATAATGTTTTTTTGAAATAACTTATTTCTAACAAGTGAAATATTTGGTTCTTTTCATTGAATTTATAATTTACTAATAAAATGGGTCCATGCATTTCTCAACATCCAGTCTCAACAGAAATTGATAAACGAGGAAGTATGTGCTTTGAAGAAGGTTAACTTCAAGAAAAGGTTAAGCCTGAAGAGGTTTAAGCAGAAGCAATGCCATTATCATCATATGATGAATAAAATGTGATCAAAATTTAATCAGGTTTTAGAGGAATGAAAGCAAGAAAGGAGGTATATAACAAATCAAAACTCTAGGCTGAGCAAGAAAAAGAGTAAATGGAAAATACAAAACCAAAAAATGAAAAAATCAAGCCTTATAATGGAACTGTAGAATCCTGCAACGAATTAGTAAAAGAGAAGTTATTTTTGTATGGAGAATACAATTACAATACGAGATATGATGAAAAATTCTAAAAATCTAGGTCTTTAACACCATATGTAAAATTTAAGTTGATATCAGCTATTAGAAGATGGTTCAATTTATGAAGGATAATGGATGAATGGTGTGAGGGAAGGCAGAGGAAAACTAATTTATTCTGATGGTTCTATTTATGAAGGTTACTTTTTCTAAGACTATTAACATCTTCATGGGAGATTAATTATGGCATCTGGGGAATTTTATGTATCTAATGATGTCTAACACATAGTAAGGTGATTTTTAGAATGGCAATATAGAAGGCAATGGAATCTATAAATACGCTGATGGCACAAAATACGAAGGCGAGTTCAAAAATAATAGACAAAATGGTTTTGGCAAAGAAACATGGCCTGATGGAACAAAGTATGAAGGAAGCTATGATAATGGAGTCAAATATGGAACAGGCCGATTTTAATGGACAGATGGGTCTATTTATGAAGGGAGTATAGTAAATGATTAAATGGAAGGTATTAATCTATTTCCCTTAAATTTAGGATATGGAACCTTTACATGGGCTGATAAGAGGAGATATAATGGTAATTGGAGGAATAGTATGATGAATGGTTAAGGGGAATTATTTTATCCTGATGGTAGATATTACAAAGGTAATATCAAATTGAATCTTTTAGGTTAATTTCAAAATGACCTTAGAAATGGGGATGGGACATTCTTTTATAGTGATGGAACAAGCTATTTTGGAGCATGGTAAAATGATAAATAACACGGGAAAGGAATTAGAAAATAGAAAGGTGGTTAGGATGAAGAGTAAGAATGGAATAATGGAACTAGAGTAATTTGAAGAATCGATACAAAAATTATTAATATTGTAATATTAATTTATAATATTTTATTAACGTATGCAATTCACTCCCGACACTCGGAATGTGGGAGGACGATAATTAATATTATCGTAATTATGGGGTCATAGATTATGCCTTTAATAGATTAAAGAAAGACATTTGAATACAGAGATTAAAACTTCATTTCTAAAGAAAAATGAAAATTCAAAACTTCCAATCTCTACAAGAATAAATGATTTCAATATGGCAATTCACAGAAAAAAATTATAAAACATCAAGGAATGTTTAACAGATAGAAGTAATAAAGAGCCTTCGTATTTTTTCAGAAGATTGCCTTCTCCTTAAAGTCTAAATTCAAATTCAATGTTCAATAAATTAACAATGATCAAATCAAAATCAACATAAGATAAACTCTAAAATGGGAAGATAATACCTCCTCCAAAAATAGATATTGATAATTTTATACCTTAAAACACCAAAACCTAAATTAGTTGGATTAATTTTATAAATAGTTTACATGGTCCTCAATATCCACTTAAAAGGTGGATCAAATAGTTGGCCATTGAAAATAGGATATTCGATGAAAATGATTTTGCAATTTTAATCAGAATTTTAGTAAAAGCCTATTAAATTAAATAAACAACATTAGTCAGTTTAGTGGCAGAAATTATAGAAGAATTTGAAAAGTGAAACATATTTGAAAGCAGTTCAATGAATCTATTACTACAAAAATACAATATTGTTGACTAAAATAAAGTATTAAATATCTAAATGAATCCATTATTTATTCTTCCAATTTCATGGTCTATTTTGAAATTTACTTATTTTGTTATCATAGTACAATATATTCAATTAAATCGATATGGAAGTAACATGTATTTGATCTAAACAAATAAAATATAAATGAATATATATTTTAATTTTTAATTGATGCAATTCAATATCAAGCTATTTTAGTAAATAAAATACTTTAATAACAAAACAAATAGATAATATGCTTCAAGATAAAATATTGAAAAGATGTTTTTAAACAATCGACCTTCACATTGTCTTAAAATTTAAATCCTATTTGAAACAATATGAAGACAATATCGACTTCTTTGGATGAGTAACTGCATAATTCTTTTGAAATTTCCCTAACAGTTGATAATTTTGTTAACACTAAATTTACAGCCTAAAACATGTTATTGTTGTTATATTGATTTCAAATTTGGAATAGAGCATATAATAAATTAAGAATGATGAACAACATAGAGGAATCAGAAATCTCTCAGATTTTAAGATAATAATATAATATTAATTCCAATTTCTTCTGATGAATATCTTTGCCCTTTTAGAATGGTCATTAACAATTAAGAGTATCAAATATGAATTTACTTTTGGTAGATGATTCACAAGTAAGTTTTAATAGCATGGTTAGTACTTTTGAATAAATCTACTTTTCTGCTTGTAATTATCACGAATCAGGCTAAATCAAGATTGAGAAGTATAAATAAATTTATATATTTTAGGTTTGGCAGCTGTTTCATTGCAGTATTTATTGAAAGAAATACATGAAGACAAAATTATATATGGAACCTAAACAGAGAATGATTTGTTAGAAATCTGATTGAGTATAAATAAGGAACTAAAAATAGATTGATGTTATAAATGTGAATTTTAAGCATGGAAACAAATACATATATTAATTATGATTACATTTTATAAAAAAATATTTAATTCTTTCTTGAATTGAATAAAATAGATGAAATATTAGAAGTAAATCTTAATAAATATTAAATATATAATAATTTATTTTAAGAGGAGATGGAAGAATTATTAAATTAGAATGACCTTTAAACTAGATTTAGCGATTATTATACTTATGTTGAAACTCTAGGACACGGTGCTTTTGGATTGGTTGTTAAAGCATTCAATAATTACTCAAAAGTATTAGTGGCAGTAAAGGTAACCATGTCATCAATAAATTAGATCATCTCAAAAGCAACTATAAAAAAATTTGAGGCTCTTGAATAAGAAGCTGCCATTTTTTCATAATTAAATCATTAAAATATAGTCAAATTTTATGATATTAAAAGAACAGATACTAAAATTTTGATAGAAATGGAAATCATAAATGGAGGATCGTTATAAAAATTAATGGATACTAAATTAAAATATAATTAATGGTTTGAAGTTGAGGAAATTAAATAAATCATTTAAGGGATTCTTGGTGCCCTATCTTACATTCATGAGAATCATTTTGTTCATAGAGACTTAAAGCCAGATAATATACTTATAGGAGAAGCAGCAAATGTTGTTAAAATTACTGATTTTGGATTGAGTTCCCATCATAATCGATATGCTTTAATGTAAAAGAAATGTGGTACTTTAACTTATATGGCCCCAGAGTTATTATTAAAAAAAGTTTATAACAAAGTATGATGGTTATTTAATTAGAATGTAGATGTGTGGAGTGTCGGAGTTATTATGTATTAATTGCTAAATAAGGGTTAACATCCATATTTTATAAATGGATAAAGCCAAGAATAATTAATTAAAAATATGGAAAAAATGCATACAGTAGATAACTTTCATAATATGGATCGGTATTTTTGATTGATTTAACATAGTTAATAGATATCTTTATTTCAAAGAATGACTGAATTTGATTCCACAAAAAGATATAGTGCTACTTAGGCTTTGCTTCATCCTTGGATAAATGAAAAAAGGCAGATGATTCCTTAAAATTTCACTGAAATGTTTGATCTTTGGCTTCTCACATAGAAAGCTATTGTTTTTATAAAGGGTTTGATGATTATTATAAATCTCAAAAGTAATGTCAGAATATCAGGGTAAAAATACCTTACTTTATCTGATAATTAATCAAAAATAACCAAAACTGATGTAAGTGATGATAATTAGGATTCTTCCCCATATTATTAAACTTCAAACTTATTAAACTTCTTAAAAATAAGACAAAAAGTTTAGAAATCAAAGTAGAGTGATTATTCTTCCACAAATGCTTCTCCAATAATGATCAAAAGCATAGATAGATAAGAAAATAGCAACGGCGATTTATTATTCCTACATGGTTTCTTACCAGATCTAAAAGTTTCAAAAGAATATCCTGAAAAAAATAAAAAGGTTCAAATAAAAAGATTGGATAGTTCCTTATCTCAACATACAAAAAATAGTAGTAGTACTAGCCCATATAAATGTAATGCCAATAAATAAATGAAATTTTTACTTAAACCTTTACCAACATAAAATGATCTTCAAAAAGTAACCTAAACTGTAGATTTATACAAAATATAGTAAATAGTAAATTAAGTTAGGCAAAAATAATTTCGATATAAGTAAAGTGGAATCCTTGAAGGCGATTCACAAGAGTTTAGCCCTTTCCACACAAAAACGGTATCTTTTCATTAAAGTCGAACTACAAAATATAAAACTGAGGCTTAATATAGATAGAAAAGAATTTAGAGTACCATTGATTAGAAGAAGCAAGACAATAATTTAAATTATTTTAAAAAAAAGTGATTAATTAATTCTGAAACTATTTGTATATGCTACATTTAATTATATCAAAAACTTTTAAAAAACTCTCCAATCAAGAATTCAATATTATAATTGCATTTTGAGATGATCTTTTCATCTAATAAAATCAATAGAAGATTAAGGTTAAGCTAAATTCATTATCATACTTTACAAAATCTAAATATTTTAAACCTTGAAGTATTATATTATTAAATTCAAGGTATAAATTGTATCTTCAATGAATTACTAAGTTATTTAATTTGTTTGAAATTTTGTACCATGTTTCTGATCCATGAATTTTTTAATAGAGGTTTGAAGTTCATAGGATCAAAAGTTGACCCTACTTAATTATGAGATATTTCCCCTCAGAGATATTAGGAGAGCATTTTTCTTTTTCAAAATCTTATTGCTTATTATAGTAATTTATACTTCTTTCAAATACCTCGATAAACAATTCAGAATAAATTGTCAAAGAGGAAGGAACTAAAAGAGAGTCTTAATGAATCCGATTGAGAAATGATGCCTTACTTTTCTGATTTGATCTTAGATGAATAATTGCTCACATAGCCATTCAAGGAGATTTGGTACAACTCCAAGACTCCACATTTTTTTAGGTTCTTAGTCATGGTCCTATGTTCTT